CTTCACCCAGGTGCTCTGTATTAACTCTACCTTACAGATTTCTACACTATACTGTTCTAACCTATGTCTGAGCTACTAACTAAGCCTAATGTTTACTAATCAGAGTGATTGGTTTTAGAGGAGGGGTGATGTTACAGTTCTCTACTCTTGTACCTTCAGTTCCAAGGGTTCTACACTCTTCTGTACCAGAACTTAGGACCTCTGTCCCTTAGAGGTACTGTCTATAGACTATATGTGTACTGACTCTTACTACTACCCTTCCTTACTTCATCATCTCATTCCTTTGACCACCCCTTCATTCTTTGTACCTTTATCTTTAACATTCCTCTCTTTCATTCTTTATAGTTTATCATTCTTAGTGGCTCATACTCTCTGAGTACTCTTATATAGTCTAGTATATATAAGTGTATAAGATCAGACTAGTCCTGTAGTCTTGATCTTGTCTACTCTAGGTAGTCCTGTACTCTTAGGCTCACTCTATATACTCTACTCTTGTCTCACTCTCTCTCTCTACCTGTTCTGCAAGTTCTGACTACATTCTGGTGCTTGCATTCTGTATTTCTGTTGTGTAGGATAGTTGTAGCCTGGTTCCCCTTACTGAGCCTTCAGGTCCCCTCTACACTGTTGCTGACATATGGATGGGCTATGTTTACTGTGTGAGTTCAGTACTGGAAGACAGATAGTAGTATACATATTAACAAAGAGACTAGTATATTAGTACTAGAATAAGGTTTTTCAGAATAATTTACTATTCTACTTCTTTTAAAACTGATTATACTTGCCAAACATTTACTTAGTACTTATCTAGATTATATACACACATTATACTAAGATCAAGAAGCTTTAAGACCCAGTTCAAAATATTAGTGAGCAACCTTCCAAATTCTTTTAATATACTTAATAAGTAATCTGTCTGGTACAGTAGAAGTCACAATACATACTAAATCCTCTCATATTAGTCAGTCTGACAATTGTATTTACTTTTGTTTTCTTAGATTGTCCTCCCTTAGACTTAAACCAGTATCAAGCCCAGATAATAGCCAGAGTACTAGTGTTTTATGATGGGAGCAGGCTGAATAATCTGTACAATCTTTTGCTTCATCTGTAAATAAGATTCAAAAGAGGTATTACTTTCGGGTTCCATTTCTTCAAACATTGATACAGCGTCGCTGCGAGGACTTGGTGGAGGAAGTTGCAAGCTCGCTTTCCCCAGTGCAGTAATTCTGAATCAGTGTCAATTAGCATTTATTTCTGCGTCGCTCGTGTTCTGAACACATTCTAATTTTACCCCGGTCAGAATACATGCATCCTATTAGCAAGTTACAGCATCATTCTGAGCCCTTAAAGAGTTGTTAAGTACGGCTTCCCTTTCAGCATCGTCCTTAGGATTTGACAAGAATAAGGACAGGCTTTGTGGGCTCTGCGACATTGTTGGTAATGAAAGAAGCGGGGAAGACGCTGGGAGACGCGTAAACGCGATTGTTACTACTCTGTCACGGGCGAAATTTGCCTCATTGCTCTTTCCTTAAACAGTCACGCCCAAGTTGGTCTCCTCCACCATCCAGGATGTCTGCGAACATGAAGAAGCAAATTGCCAAAGTCAATGCTTTATCTCACTCACTAGACGAATTGGAAAAGACACTGGAGCCGTTACTCTCCAAGCCCTTGCCAGATACACTTAGCTCGTTGGATACCCTGCAACAGGCAAAACTTCAAGTCGTATTACCATATCTTATAAATGACCTCGTCTTTAGTGCGTAATGGCAGTGCCGCGTGTATTGTGCATGTAAAGCTCTTGACTTACTTGTACTCTAGTATATTTGAAGACAAGAGGTATAGATCCAAAGACGCATCCAGTCGTTGCTGAACTTGTACGAATAACTCATTTTCTATTCGTTCCACGATGAATTAAACATATAAATAACGCCTTAGGACCGGGTTCGTCAATATTTTGGTAAAATCAAGGATGCAGAGGAGTCCAACAAAAGTACATTACATCAATCAATACTTCCTCACAGCCAGCTGACTTAAATTGTTTGGTATTCCAGAGAGAACGACAGAGGTCGACAAAGCTGCCGCTGGACGTTTCATCAAACACGCAATTTCCGAAGCTCGACAAAGTGCCACCGCTGCAGCTCAGCCAAAGGCAAGCGAAGCTGGACCTTCGAACGCACCGTCACAACAATCACCACCATCGACATCAGCACACGCACCCATCCGCGTAACAGACAAAATGCGCGAAAGAGAAGAGTACCAACGAAGACTCGCAGAAGAATCCGATAGTGAAGAACCTAATTTAGAGGTTATTGACGATGTTACTGAGGAAAAGATTAGCGAAGTAACAGTAAAGAAGGGGAAGGGAAAGGAGGTCGTTAACCTGGAGGCCGAGGTCACTCAGACAGCTCAGGAACTTAGCGAGGTACAACCCGAATCACATAAGAGGAAGAAACGAAAACGTCCAATGGATCCATTTGGCCGTAAGCTGCTTTCATTAGAAGTTCTCATATAAAATTCTCACTATTTGACAACTATAGCCAACGAAGATGCTCCTACACCAAGTCCGAACGACAAGCCCAAGAAGGGGAAAAAGAAAAAGAAAACTACATCAGCTATTGATACCGACGCTGCAGCAGACAGTCGAGCCAACTCTGACCCCGATGCTCCCAAAAAGGAATCGAAATCAAAACTGAAGAAGGTTAAAGGATAGTAGATACGAACTTCGCCGAACAAGACTCAGATTTCTTCTTCTTCCAACAAGGGCTGCATGTATTCTTGATCTAAGTACAACCCAGATTTATTCTTGGATGTAAAGTACACACGCAGAACGTTGCATTTATCATACTTTCGTTGATAGATGAGAAATAATCAAAATTCAATTGCAAATTATAAGCTGTTAGCTACTTAGTTACATTTGTGAAAACAGTATGAAAGCAACGATGAAGACAGCAGAAGCAGCAAAGAGTTACAATCAACAAGTTACACCTTCCACATCCAAACAATCCAACAATACTGTAAACCAATGAGTAATCCAAAGGATACAAATACAGAAAACAAAACCAACCACATCCGAAACAGTGAAGTCCGTACAAAAGGATTGTAAGTGCCACAAAGAAAGGTATGCAAGATAATAATAAGAATGAGTGATGATCAGATGATTTTAAGAAATTATGAGAAATCTGAATTGAGATAGAATGTGTGAAATCCCAAAAAAGACATTTGAAAAAAGAGCGTATAAGTATAAAGATACGTTAGGCTGGGAGTGATGGTTTGATCTTGTAAGCTTCAAAGACTCGAATCCGTCGCACGAGCGTGGGGTTCTCGGATGCCTTCTTGTGCAAACGACTTTGATTGTTGATAACCGCCGCCACAGCCGGTATGATCGTGCGAGGATGCCGTGGAGGTTCCTTCAATAGAGTTGACACATCACATTCCTCGTCATCTCCATCATCGAATTGACCTCCGGCATCGGGTAAGTTAAACCGCTCCCGGCGTGAGCGCTCGTATTCCCAGAGAATATCATACCACTCGTCTTCTTCGATGATGCTATTGCCGTTTTCGTCGCGGAGATTTAGAACGAAGTCGTCCAGAGCGGCTTTGGAGCTGAGCAATACATCGATGTGTTTGAACAAATATCGCTCTAATTCCGATGGAGTCGTCTCCAGGAATTGATCCGGGAAAATGAATAACCCGGTCGGCCATTGACGACTCTTTGCTTCTGATATCGCAGAGGATGAGCTTGAAGGTCGAGGGGAAGAGTTAGGGAAAGCGTAAACTTGAATTCCAGAAGGCGCTCGTGGGCGCATTGACGGTCGCCGTACGACGGACGGTTCATCGTCGAAGTCCCCTTCGTCAGAGACATTCGTGCTGACTGGATCGTATGTCGGTGTGGTTGGCCCATCAGCACCAAGCACACGTAGTGCTTTGCTTTTGCTCTGCGACACTGCAACCCTGTCCAAAATCTCCTTGTTTCTATCAAACCTCTTGCCATCACGATCTGATTTGAAGAGCTTCTTTGATCGTCTGTCTTGCATGGAATCTACATGCCTCGTTTTGACGAGGAGGTCATGCATTGACGAGTCTAGAAGTGAGAGCTGAAAGTCCTGCATCGTTCTCGCTTTTCCGGATGGTCCAAAGATTTTCCGAAGCAAGAATTCAAGGAAGTCGCCTGGCCGACAATCCACTCGGTATACTCCTTCCACCATCGTATGGTAAATTGACTCGACCTCTCTGCAGAGTGAATTGGGAGTTACTGGATTACTGCGTGGAGTCGTAGGGTCATCAGAATCGAGTGATGTCTCGAGACCGTGGACACTAACGACTCCTGTTGGAGTTGGAGGACAATCGGAGCTTTCTTCAGATGGTGAATCATCTCGACACAAGCCTGGGGCCGAGCCCACGCTGCTTCGATCCCCTACCGCATCGAGGTCAAGGAAAGAAGACTCTTCTGCTTCAGACGGTCGAGCCTCGTCTGTCTCGTCGGACGGTTTCCATAGGTCAGAACCCCAACTAGCATGAGACTTGTGCGAACCGCTGTCAGACGTCATTCGACTATCAGAAGGTTTGGGAACCCGTTCGAGGTAAGGAAATATCATTTCATCGTCGATGATCTCCACTCGACCTAATCCAACACGAAAGCTATGTTCAGTAAAACAACTTCTATATTCAAACGTTTAAAGGAGATACTCACCGTTTGGCCTTAATACTCGTCGTACTTCAATGAGCACATGTTCCCATCGGCTTTGAGGTACAGCCTCGGTCAGATTGGATAGCCGTACGAGATTGAAACTCCCAGATTTGAATGGTAAGCGGTATGCAACACTGTGAATATCAAACACCGTCAGTTGAATTGTGCCTGATAGACTCAAAATAGGACGCACAAGTTGCCCCTTCTCCAAGTCGTGTTTGGAGGTGGTCTTGCAATGTCGCTGACGAGATCAACGAGATCATATCCCACGATCCGGGTACCGGACTCTGCCCAGGCGGCCGCAGCCTCTTGCGCCCAAGTACCTTGACCACAACCAAGGTCAAGAACGTCCTGTGGGGGATACGGGTAATCACGGAAACTAGGTGACCCTGTGGGGTTGAGACGACGGAGAAGAAGATGGAAGTATAAATCACTGTAAAAAATATGAGAATAGTAGTTTAATTCTTCGGTGAGAGATACTCACTTATACAATGCGACCTTGTTGTAGTTCTGCATGTATGGGGCCTCTGAGTGTGGATATGAATGTAAGAACATGCAGTCCTTGCTCCTCAAAGGCAAGGGTAGGTATGCGGCTGTTGAAAGGTCCACGCCTTCCCCGAGTTCCGACTCTGTTACGGAAGCCTTTCGTGCTTCACGAATCCCATAACCCGTACCATCCACAATCTCTTCCGGCATAACAGTAAGCTTTCGCTCCTCCCTGAAACTGAGCGCGGGATGCACGTCCACGTCTATCGCTTTTACCGTGTCGTCCATGACCGTACTGAGTCGCGACCGGCGACTAGCTTTGCGAGGTGGCGTGGACCTGAACATCCAGGAATCTTCGTCGGAAGGCGGGGTTGGGACTAGCAGTGAATTCCTGAGCAATGGCGCGGATTTCTTCCTGTTCATTCGCTCCTTCAACGACCCAAGAAATCCACCTGGGGAACGCTCCCCGAAATCAATAAACGACATCCTCTTGTCAGACTCGGATGTGACTGTATCCTCCAATAATCTCGAGCCTCGGGAAAATGATCGGGAACGTGAATTGCTGTCGTAGATGGAACTGCGCGACGAGGAAGAGGACGGCCTCTGGAGGGGTTCTCGTAAGGTAGAAAAGCGGCGCGAAGTGCGCGAAGGTTTGTTGTCCTCTAGAGCAAGAGAGGGGGTTGAGAGAGAGGACGGTGCGGCCCACAAAGATCGCCTTCGAGGGCGAGATGAAATAGTCGTCGAGGACATGAGTCCATGCAAATGAGGCTGTTTATAGCGTGGCGAAAGCGGTGGTCGGCAACGCCGAACGTGGCTTTTATCTATAAATCAGTTGCGTGGCCCAAGTAACGTCTGAACTGTGATAGTGGCTAGAACTGCTGAAGATAGCAAGTGCAGCAGCGAGGTAAAAAAAAACAAGCACAAGCAGCAGGAGCCGAAGTGGGGAGTGACGCGAGACCGTTCTAGTCCAGACGAATGTTCCGCGAATGAGCGCAGATCAGGGCAGCACACTGGCGTCGGTTCGCGACGATGCAGACAGGCGTCGCTGGTGGAGGGATGAGAGTCGCAGGAGACGTAGTGGACGAGGGAAAGGAGATTGAGCGGCTGTGCATTGGGAGTCCATGGAACACTTGGGGGGAGACTTCTCAATCAAATCCGTCTGATGGCATCCTTTTCCGTAACGTACCTCTCCACAACCGTCCTCGAAACTTTCTCTCTCCATTTCTTTCCCTTTCTCTAGCAGATCCCCCTGGCAATGTTCAGATACATCATATTTTTTGAGTATTTATTGCGAATTATCGAGCACAGTGTAGGTAGAAATACAAGGCCTGTCTATATGCGCATGATTAATTGAACGGAATGTGGCACACGCTATCCCACGGGCCGATCGGGTGAAACGGAATATTGCTCCCGCCAATGACAAACACCCGCTGTGTTGGCGTCCTCATTTAAGTCTCCTCTCTCCCGGCGCGCGTCCCACGTAATTCATTCAAGACAGACATACGCAGCACACAACTGCCACACAACTGACAAGTGGGAGCACTCAGTCCTCGTCCTTCGCAGGCGGTGGTCCACAGGGTTGCAGCATTCGCTAGAATGAATACCAGATGAGAAAAATATATCCCTTTCGACCCCACCAGCATCACACACCTCTGTCATCTCAAACTTGACCCTCCCAATGCTCTCCCCGTCAGCAATTGCCAAATATGATGCTAGTGTAGGGTGCCCGACTATCGATGCACAAGTATCCCTGTGCTGGTGTGTCAACCATTCACTGCAGCATCAGGCCTGTTAGTTTCTCTAACACGCCTCAAGTGGAGTAGTATACGTACTACTTCGTCATATCGGCATGGCCTGTACCGTATGGTCAGAGCGCGGGCGCATAATTTGAGTCATAGTATGAAACTCACCGGTTCCTGTATACCGAGCATGCACTGGTCCCGTAATAGTCAGCTACGTGATGAACTGAAATATGAAATTTTGCTCACAATGCTCTAGTTGAGTGTTTGCCGTATATCTAAGTTCGGAAGACTTGTCGAAGAAAGAAAATATGCATGAGCTTTGTAAAGAAATAATGGCAGATGGACGTACCATTGAAGAAAGCGTGAGAAAGAGAACTTCGTGGAAAACGCGTCTAAAGAGAGACGCGTACAGCTTACACTCGTCCAAATTCTTCATCCAGCAGAAATCGCCAAACAAAATGCAGAGGCCACTACCTATGGTATCCAATTGCTTATTACTATCCCATTCAGAGTCTAATCATATTAATACTTATGCAGCAACCAACTGTGGTGCTCCTGCGAGAGGGCACTGACACCTCGCAAGGCAAACCCCAGTTACTGTCGAATATTTCAGCATGCCTTGCCATCGCAGATACCCTGTCATCAACGTTGGGTCCACGCGGAATGGACAAGCTCATCGTCAATGATCGTGGCGAAGCACAGATCACCAACGACGGTGCTACTATTATGAAGTTGCTTGACATTGTTCACCCTGCAGCGCGGACTTTGGTCGATATTGCACGTGCTCAAGATGCGGAAGTAGGAGATGGCACTACGAGTGTCGTTCTACTGGCTGCTCAGTTGTTGAAAGAAGTACGAGGCTTCGTTGAGGAAGGCGTTAGCCCACATATTATTACCAAGGGCTTCCGTAAAGCGGCGCAAATGGTAAATACATGAACTTTTTTTCAATTTGGACCAGATATTGATTAAACATGTTTAGGCAATCGAACGTATAAAAGAAATTCAAGTCACGGTTGACAAGTCGGATCCAGAGTATGTCGCCATTCATTCAGATGTAAGATTGTTACCGAACGAGTTTATTCCCAGAAAATTCCGATCATTGCTTCTCAAATGCGCCTCAACATCAATGTCATCAAAATTGATCCATTCCGAGAAACCTTTCTTCTCAAACATGGTTGTCGATGCTGTACAATGCCTTGACGAAAATGACTTGGATGAGTCCCTTATTGGGATCAAAAAAATTCCCGGCGGGGGCATGCAGGACTCATTGCTAATTCGCGGAGTGTCTTTCAAGAAGACCTTTACGTATGCTGGTGCTGAGCAGCAACCCAAATCTTTCAAAAACCCTGTGGTCCTGTGTCTAAATGTAGAGCTCGAACTCAAGGCTGAGAAAGATAACGCGGAGGTACGCGTTGAGCAAGTTTCGGAGTACCAGGCGATCGTGGATGCAGAATGGGAAATCATATACCGTAAACTCGGGGCTATTGAGAAAACCGGTGCAAATGTTGTCCTCAGCAAACTTCCAATCGGTGATCTCGCGACACAATGGTTCGCGGATCGTGACATCTTCTGTGCAGGTCGCGTTCCCGCTACTGACCTCCGTCGAGTCGTTCAAGCTGTAGGAGGTTCGGTACAGTCAACATGTTCAGGCATCACTCGCGAACACCTTGGTACCTGTGGTCGCTTTGAGGAGCGACAGGTTGGAGGAGAGAGATACAACATCTTCGAAGAATGCCCGAAGGCAAAGACGTGCACGTTATTGCTTAGAGGCGGCGCGGAACAATTCATCGAAGAGGTCGAACGGAGTTTACACGATGCAATAATGGTTGTTAAACGCGCTATGCGCAACGGGGAAGTTGTCGCAGGAGGTGGTGCAGTTGAGGTTAGTGTACCAATACTGTCTTCGTAAATTCGTATCTCACTCTTTTCCAGATGGATGTATCAGCGTACATTCGAAAATACGCTCTGACCATTCCCGGAAAGATGCAACTTATCATGACAGCCTTCGCTCACGCTCTCGAAATCATCCCTCGCCAGATTTCCGACAATGCCGGTCTCGACTCAACGGACGTACTCAATAAGCTCCGTATGAGGCATGCAAAGGGTGAGCTTTGGGCCGGCGTCGATGTCGATGGCCTCGATGGCGTACGGAACAACATGGAAGCATTCGTTTGGGAACCAAGTCTTGTAAAGGTGAACGAAATCAGCAGCGCGACGGAAGCTGCCTGCTTGGTGCTTAGCGTGGACGAGACTGTCCGCAACCCACAGAGCGAAGCGGTACGTCAAACAAAATTTTCGTCTCTGCAGTACGAAAGTATAAGAACGATTGCTAATCTATTTTTACCTTCTATCTTCCCAGCCGAATCCTGGACCAAAAGCGCCGGCAGGCACTGCTGCACGCGCATTACGAGGCCGCGGACGTGGTATGCCCAGGCGGTGAAGTAAGTCATGTGGTGTATCGTACGTGTGAATCGAATAGAATGGCACACCCGGTTAGGAAATGTATGAGATAGTTGATGGCATTTAGACGGTATTGACAAATTCATTCTCACCATTTAAATAAGCACTTGGCGCGATAGGGTTCGCAAGGATTGCACCATTGTACAAGGAACACCGCAAGTGGCCCTATCATGCTACCTGGTTGCTTCTTAAGGTGAAGAAGAAACGTCGGCAGATTAACATCCTTCCAGTAAGATTTCGAGACTCGTGCTCGAGACTGATAAGAGATGGTATTTGTATCGTTCAGCAAGCGGTACCTTCAAGGGGAACTACTCTCTAGATGGCTAACTCAACCTCTGCTTCTGGATCTCTCGACGAACAACTCAAATATGGTATTGACGATAAGGACTCTACGCTTGGCAAACTCGGTGAAGGTGTCAAGGAAATACTGCCTCTGGGAATACCTCTAGAAGAAGACCATCGACCTTTCTGGGATAAAGTCTTCCGGCCTTCCAGGCTTGATCTAGATAGTATTGCCACTCAGCCGTCTGTCTTTGATGACCCTACTACGCTTGAAGTCTATCGGCCTCCTGCAGCCTATGAGAATGCTCACAGATTTGATCCCGACGCTAGGTGGACCTGGCGAGAAGAGAAGGTCGGCGTTAAGAACAATGGTCGCCTCACTGTCATCAGAGCGTTAACACCGCTGTACGAATTAGAAAATTGTCCGAAAGGTCGACTTACGTATAATGCTTTGGGCATGTAAGTTCTACTTCTTCCCAAGTTCATTAACACCGCTTGCTTATCTCGCTCTCTTGCTCTTCTTATAGGTGCGATGTATCAAATATACTCTATTTCCCATATTATTTCGGTTGTTAATTAAGAATAGGTATCTCGCACTCGACTTTGATCGCGGAAACATTTCGAATGCCAACTCGGACAACTTCTTGGACGATCTTGGATTGTCTACTGATGACTTCAACCTTGGGAACTCGTTGTTTCGTCTATGCTTCCTCATTGCGGAACTCCCTTCTCAATTGGTTTCGAAGCGAGTTGGTCCTGATCGGTGGATCCCAACTCAGGTGAATACATACTGACAAGGAAATTTTGGTGATAATATTTTGATTGTATGTATCTAGATTACAGTTTGGAGCGTCGTCGCAGTCAGCCAGTATCGCCTGTCTGGTCGTGCGTCATTCCTTGCTACCAGGTGAAGAGCCACTGCATCTGTCAGCTGCCCGCTTAACTTAACGTGTGCTTGCAGGTGTCTTCTTGGCTTTCTCCAGGGAGGCTTCATCCCCGATATTGTTCTGTATTTATCCTACTTTTACACAAAGAGGGAACGTAAGTACCACACTGTGATACGTTTTATTTTCCCCATCGCAAAGCTTAATGTTTGACTTCCGTCTTAGTGCCGATTAGGATGGCCTATTTCTGGGTCGCGGGATATATAACGGATATTGTCAGCTCTTTTCTTGCGACGGGAATTTTGCAGATGCGAGGTGTTGCTGGCCAGGCCGGGTGGCGATACTTATTCCTTATTGAGGGCTGTTTGACTTTAACGATTGGTTTACTCTCGTTTTTCCTTCTCCCACCTGGTCCGACGCAGACGAAGGCATGGTTTAGGCCCAAGGGCTGGTTCACTGTTAGGTGTGTTGGAAATGAGATACTTTGAAGGTTACCAGTGCTTACTGTGTTTTCTTATGTGTCTAGGGAAGAGACTATTATCGTCAACAGGTAATGAACACTGCCTTGAGAGCTTATGTATTTGCGTTAGCTAACTAATCGCTCAGGGTACTTCGAGACGACCCGTCGAAGTCCGACATGCACAATCGTCAGGGACTTTCCATGCGTCAAATATTTGAGGCCCTCTGTGATTGGAGATTGTGGCCAATTTATGCACTTGGTATCACACATCAGAGTAAGTATTTGTTACCAAGTGCACGGTGCTATAAATTAACCTGTTCTTATAACCCGATAGTTCCTACGGGCCCTCCACAAGTCTACCTAACACTTTCTCTTCGCAACCTCGGCTTTACCACAACACAGACGAATCTACTGACTATCCCATCGACTTTCATTGGTCTAACAACTATGATACTTGCCGCTTACTTCAGCGAAATGGTCAATAGCAGGGTGCTTGCGACGGTTTTGCTTCAATTTTGGGCTTTGCCATTGCTCATTGCACTGTATACGTTTACGGAGCAGACGTCACCTTGGATATACTTCGCAGTGGTAAGAATGCCCTCTCTATTCTTTGGATGAATGTGCTTCTAATTTGATATGCTATCAGGTAACACTAATTACAGGTCCGTCTAGCTCATAAGTATAGGAATACCGTGGCTAACGCTTTCCAGGCTATCCATATGTCCACCCGATACAAGTAGCATGGGCGTCAAGAAACTCAAACAGTGTACGCGCTCGTACGATCTCTGCGTCATGCTACAATATGTTTGTGCAGGTAATTACTGCATTGTATTGACTCAAAGTCATATTGATGAATGTGATGCTTTGAAGGCCGGCGGGATTATTATAGTACGTATAGTTTGTCAAGAGGTTGGAATATATTCACCTATCTATATTCTTACAGGCGAACATTTATCGAGCGGACGACAAAGTGAGTGGCATACAAAGTACTGAAGGTTATTCATCCGTTGCTGACTCGACTATTCATAGCCTCTATGTGAGCACTTGCTATTTCAACGGTACTCACAAAGCTAATACTTGGCTCAGACAAGCGCGGAAATAGAGACCTCATCGCCATTTGCTGCATGAACATTTGCCTTTACGCCATAACGTTCCTATTCTACCGCATGTTGAATAACCGGCGTGTAAGGATATGGAGCTCCTGGACAGCGGAGGTACGCAGCAGCCTCCAGAGAGTGGATCGAACACATTAATTATTGTCTCCCTTAGGAACGAAAGGAATATCTCGAGAATACGAAGGATAAGGGTAATGAACGTATGGACTTCTGCTTTGCTAGTTAAAGAGCTGTAAATCGCTGTAGCGTAATCCGTTTGGATGTGGATACAAGGTTATGGATTAACCCTATTCGTAATAACGAATATCTTTACATGATTGTTGTTCTCTCCAATTCTGTCAGGCTGATTACGTAGGAAACAAGTTGACAATCCATCCTGACGGATATCTATCTCTTCTATACAAAGCTTCGCTTCTCGTACTTCATCCGTAAACGAGCTGAGTGTATTTTCGTTTCGAAGTGTCGCTGCGATGATGGCTCTCCTTCTAGTGAAATCCAAGTCAGAGCTAAATGCAACGTCGCTACTAGTGAGGGTATGATAGTGACGTCATACACCTAAAAGCATCATTAGGTCGAAGAGCCGAGGAATAGAGACGATGTATGGAAACTGCGAACCACGTCTGCGCCGAGAATCAAGTCTGCATTTACCTCCACAAGTAGTGCGGACAAATCGGTCCTACGAGATTTATCCAAAGCGTCAGACCAGTCCAGCGCTTTGAAATGTAATCCCGGGTGAGATGACACGCCATCTATAACATCATTGAGTCTCAGCCAGAACATGAAAAACGAGAGCTTTGTCTTACTGCAAGGTAGTCTAACATTCTGTTCACAGCGAGCGAGGACATTTTCATTCAAATCGCTTAGACACAAGTACGCCTGAACGCCATGGTCTGGTTGTTTAAGATCTTCCTTTTGCAATTGAGCTATTATAATGCCCAGGAAGCCAGCGCCAGATCCAAGCTCAAATATACGCGATGACTTTAACACACCTGCATTTGAATTTGATTATGTATTATCGATACGAACTGATATTGCTCACTCCAATTCGAAACTAAGTAATCGGCAAGGACGAAGCTCGCTGTCCATGTCCTTAGGCCAGTTGTTCCACTTTCAACGGTAGTTCGAGATTCAAACAGTGTGCAGCTACGGCAGCTATCAAGCACCGATCCCGATGGATGTCTATCCGTTCCTTGAGAATCATCTCTCCAAATGTAGGTAATATAAGATGGCGACGGAGGCTGGATTGAGGCGGAGACAGATCTGAGAGAAATAATGAATGCTAATCCAGCGCTGCAACATTGAAGATTTACGTCGATTCTCTATCCAGCAGCGATAAGTAATGCAAATATATCTCTTCGTTGACTTCTTCGTCTTGTTCTTCGAGATTCGTGATAACCCATTTCCAGAAAGATTTCTGGTAATTTTCAGCGGGAGTATAAGATTGGAAATGCGCAGAAGAGATAAAGCGTTGGATCAAGAATTCTTGTATTTCATCCGCCGATGCAGACGTTGGCCACCCAATATCTTTCGTAGGTACCAGCGACGCAAAGCTCTGCAGCAGGGAGAAAAGCTGCTCTTGGTTCATCAGTCAGTCACAGTCTAATCCCCAGAATAGAGTAATGGAATTTCGGGACCAAAAAAGACCGACCCTAAACTATGGCACGTGTCAGGGTAACCATAAAATTATAAACTCGCGCAGCTCACACTTCACAAATGTCTGCACTTGCACGACGGCCTCGCTTAGACGTCCCTTGTGTTCAGCGAGTCTTTTCTCGAGGGATCCGTCTACCTCGAAGGTCAGTCGGTGATGATGTCGACAAATGGCTTACTGGTCCTGGTCTCGAGTACAAATCGCCAAAACACGGCCCGAACTGGTTAGGGAAAAAATATGTTCGTTACTTGTCCGCGTTTTCAGACGTTATATTCTGCTCTAACGCCTATTTAATGCTAGCCATTCCCGATGAATCCTTCCTTCAAACCTCCTCCACCAATTTCGAATAGGACGAAAGAGCACATGTACGAACGTTTCATGCAGGATCCTGAAAGATTTAACGTCCGCGTCCTATCTGCTGCATTGGGTATCAGCTTGAAACGTGTAGATGCCATTCTACGTCTGAAAGGGATGGAGAAAAGTTGGCTAAAAGTAAGTCTATCCTCTTCGAATAAGTTTTTCGCGCTCTGTAAAATCTATGATGAGCCAAAAATCGATTAGTCTTTAAGACACCTACATGGTTAAAAACCTTTTAACATGCATGGCTTTCTGATCTCCCTCTGTCTCTATAATTGTCGCTCTTTGGTAACTCGTACTGACTGTACTTCTCATTTATAGGAGGTACGTGCTATTTCCTTGCAGAATGATACATTACATGACGTATGTCTGGCCTTTGCTTCGTCTAAAACAACTAGGTTCGTGAATTTTCCTTTCAATCCTCGGCGATGAAACTATATTTTATCATTCGCGGGAAAAGACATGAGTGCTAAGCACACTTATGGTTATACCGTTTTCAACCCCATCTGATGGACTTCCTCTTCTCTACAAAAACCTACCCCGTTTGCCAATGATTAATTATTCATTTAATAGGGAAAGGAACTCCAAACCGGATTTCAAGCAGGCATGGAGCAAATACTACGATCTGAAGAGCTTATTATGGGATCCGTACCTGAATCGCGCAAAGACGTAACGTTCGCTGATTCTCAAGACCAGGACGAGGCGGATGATCATGCTCGTGATCGGTACCAACGTCTGTTCTGGGAACCTGTTGTTGAAGAAGAGGTACGTGTGCACTTGTTGTGATTCCAATACTGTAATTCCGCTGCTTATCATTGATCCTTCGTAGGACTTGGTCGTTCCTCGTGCACTTGAAGAAGCCAAAGAGAAAGCCAGGGCGGCTCGTCAAGAGGCCCGTGAGGCTAAATCTGACGTTACGCTACTTACTGGAGAGAAGGCGAAAGACGGACTTGCTAAATTGCCTCTTGAGAAGACCGTCGTCGTTGCCTCGGCACCAGGTCGTCCTGCAACGATTTTCAAGGACGTTGGGGGTCGCTTCCTTGATGTCGAAGATCGTAGGAGGAGGATGCACGAATCAGAACGTCGCAAGGAAGCAAAATCGAAACGAAAGACTAGATCATAGCTCCGTTTACCTATGTATTCCATATTTCAAGTCATTTTACTGCTTTCCTCGATCTCGTACAATCTAGCTCTATAATTTCGCTGTCCGCAATAAGTCCGTTTTATCATACATATGTGCAGCGTTACAGGGTCGTGAAAAATAGAATACATAAAGTTACAAACAACAGGCTTAGTCAAGAAAAGGAAAAAATAAAATGAATACAACCAACATACACTGCTACACTTCAATCACAATTTGTTGCCACAGATCTTGTTTACATACCTAAAATGACGATTTACATTATGATACAACCTTCTCTTTCTCTATCCCCAGTCCAGGTGACGGGTGACGCTGAGCCAGATCCTCGTCTCGAACCTGGCGACCACCACTTTGAAGATGAGCGTCTCGTAAAAGCGACTTCCTCTTCTCCGCGGCCATTCTTCTTCGACTTGCGTCGCTTCTCGCGCGCAGCCTCGACAGCATCCACCGTCTGCCACTGGTAAAATGACTTCAACGCCACCCGTTTCTCATCACATTCGTCCGTCCCAACTCCGAGTCCTTCGTCATCCCGTGCATCGAGATAATGCAAGTGTTGTGCTTCCCACGCACGCCAGCCTTTCCGCGTGCGCGTCGTCCCATGGAGCTCTTTCACAGCGCTGTCACCGACATGACGACAATCGACCACTACGATCTCCGCGTCCACTGCCTCTCGCTTTCGCGATAAACGAACAAATTCCTTGACACTATTACCACTGACCCGTGTGCTATCCAACTCGATATGCACGAGACGCGTACAGTTACGAACCAGTGCGAGGATCGCATCGTTTGACAGCTGGACCGCATAGGATAGATTCAAAACCTCAAGTTGCGAACCTGGCGCCAATCTTTGCACGTTCGTCGGTTCCTCCTCAAATATTCGTGGTGTCAGAACGGCCAATGTTGCATCCGTGAGCTCGCACGCCTCATCAAGATCAAGGCGACGAATAAGCGGGGTGGTATTCAGTAAACGAACTAAACCATCATCCTTAAGCTCAGCTCCAACACCGGCAAGCTCGAGGAACTCCAACTGCGGCACTGCATAAGCCAGGTGCGAGCATGCGTGGTCGGTAAGCAAGGGACAATACGAAAGCGAGAGATGGCGAAGCTTCGTGACACGGCGTCGGTACTTCGTGGGATCACCAGGATCACGTCCAGCCTCCCGAGAAGTCAGCAGGACTTCTTGTGAAGAGTCTCCATCTTCAGCGCATGTCACAAAAGCTTCTATAGCTGTATTATGCAGCTCGCGTGCGCCGCTGAGATCAAGAATCTCGAGGTTCGGAGCATAACGTCCAAGCACCGAAAGAAGCCTGTCACCAGCACGCTTGAGACCGGCCAGGCGAAGGCGCCTCAGCATTAGGACTGTTCGGTACTCGCTGTGCGGAGCAAAGAACGACAAGACACCGTACGCGTCCATGCCATGACAGCGGCTAAGATCAATGGAAGAGAGGACGGGACAATGAGTACCGAGTAATTTGCACGTCTCATTAGTCACTGCAGATAAGCCTCTGACATTGACTTTGTCCAGGAGTGGTGATCGTGTGATCAGATCATGCAATACACGGGTAGTGATACCAGAACAACCAGAAAGGTTAATACTGGTTAGCTGGGTGACCGACATGGTTTCACCAGGGAGGGTATTTGAGATACAAAAAGAATTCGTGAGTTCCAAGAAAGACGCCGCTGTGAGTTGTGTATGACCAGTCAAGTCCACGGTCCGAATGAACGATCCCGAAGATACCGCCAGATGGCGCAACATATGTATCGGTATATTCGGAAATGCCTTGAGGTTGAGGTCGTGCCAAAGCTGACCATCGAAGACAAGACTTTGCCATGATTTGGACACCTATCGGAAGTTAGCTACATCTAACACTTTAATAACCATATTAAGAAACTCTTACCCTGCTAAGCCGAATCAGTTCAACAATTCCTTTCTCCTTGCCAATCCAGCGATGCTCCTTCTGAGACGCCTTCAAGGCTGTCCAGCCAGAAGACTTCTGCAGTGTTTCGCCGTCCACCTCATGCAGGCGGAGCAGAGTATGAAAGACCTCCAACTTTATCTCTTTAGGTAGCATACATTCAAAGAGACTTGGCGAGGAACCTCCAACGCGGAGGGCGGATATCGCATATGCATCTGAAATAGCAAAGGAACGAGAGATGCAAGGTGTGGACGGTGCAGAAAGACTAGAATAAAGAATGCGTTCTGTTTCTTGAATAGGGGTGTTTGAAGGGACGATATATTCCGGCTCAAAAACATCGTTCCTCGATAGTAACTTGCGAGCTAAGTTGCTCGGGCGCTTGCCACTGATTAGACTTAACTTTGACCTGCGAGGCTGTCGTGTTGCAAAGCGTCGTGGAGAATCTGTAGTTAAAGATGGAAATGAACGATGGCGAGATGCACATTTGTAAATGGGAGTTGAGGCACCCGAGCCCAACGGAGGTGTGGGACTTGCCGGGAAATCGACGACCGTCGGTGAAGCATGACTGGACGAAGAGACTGCATTCACCGGAGAATGACCGATCTCAATCGGCCAATTCGTCTCCCCTCGCGAAAATTCTGTTGGACTGAACAAAAGGGGAGGTAATGACGGTGGTTCAGCGCGCGACTTTCCCTTTCCAACGTCCTCCGACTCATGCGAGAGATCCGACTTGAGCTGCTGTGCATCAGGAAATGAGGATCCCGGAGTTGTGATATCCGTCGCGTAACTAGCTGCCGCAGAGCCTTGCCGGACGTCGCTCATCGGAGAAAAGGCAAAATAATCAGGGGATTGAGGGGGTGAGACGGATGACGATGCGCGGAGTGAACGGCGGCTTTGTTTGCTGGGACCCGATGTGCCGCCATTAAATGAAAACAAATCAAAACGCGGGGTCATGGAGCTGTCTCGCGGAACGATGTCTACTGGCCTAGATACCGCCTTGCCCTTGTCTTTGAAGGCACACAAGTCGCCACTGTCCTCAAAATACTCGTACGAGTCGGGCTCCTGAGCCCTAAAGATAAAGTCAACTACTTCCGCGGGTGTCGATGCCGCGGAGAAGGACGATAGGTCGAGGTGGGCGAGTTGAGGGATGAAGGACATGTCGAAGAGCTCGGCGGGCATGGTGTGTGCACTCATGCATGTGTCCAAGGTTGCCGGGTCGTTGCCTTCAAGGCCCTCAATGGCATCAAAATCGAAGAGGGGCTCGTCGCCATCGATGACACGCCCGCAACTCATGGCGTCACGGTGTGCCGCCGTCTCGGCTGTATTGCAAATCACTTCCAAGCCAACCGGTGAAGAGACACCCGGGTTGTCGACGAGCGACTAGGACTTGGAGTAAGGCAAGAGAGGCGAGGGAGGGGGCAACGCAGTAGGAGATATTTATGAATGACGTTCGTGTTAAGCAGACAGGGACATGGTCAGCAAGCACGAAAGGGCAGTCTCAGAGGCAGCTATATGCGGTGCTGCATATGGCTTCCGTTTTCCACGCTCATAGTCCCTTTTAATCATTATCATTCCCCATTCCTATCCGTCTTCTCTCTTGTCCTGCTTCACGCCTCTCAGTCCTGCACGCAGACCTAGCAGGGTAAGCTTGGGGCACTGCAAGGTCAATGACGGCTCTTGCTCGCTCAGGTAATTCGAGTGATGTCAACGCTCCAGGGCTCTACAAGGAAGCCATTATCTGTTCATTTCTTGTGTTTCAGGGGTATTATTTTTGTAACTTCCAAATGCAATCATGTGTATATATCATCAATATACTTTTCTGTGTGTATGCACGCATTTGGTCACAAGCTATGGGACAGGCTCGAGAGACTCGTGGCACCGCACGGCTACGTCGACGTATCCATAGGGGCTTCCGCGGATTGAGCAAGTTGACCACCTCAATCTTTTTCCCGACGAGCGCTTGCGATGGTCTATGAATAGCATGCTTCTTGCCGCACTGCGCTGACACCGTCGATCTTCTCATCGGATATCAGCAATTATCACTTCCAGCTGCCATATTATTGTCCTTGTCCATAATTTGTGCACTTATTCTCACTCTCATGGATTCCCTCTTTTCCCTTGTCAGCGCGGAGCGCAATATCCGAGACGGACCGACGCATATAGCCCATCTATTCAAGCTCGGCAGCTTTCTCCCAATCACCCTTCTCGCAATTATTTCTGGCATCATCACTTGCCCACGTCGATCCAGGGGGGACACATGCATTTCGACACTCTTGACTCTTGTTCTATGCGGTGCCGTGCAATGCCCCTTCCCCTTTATCTGCCTAGACCTTTGCATGGTGGCACGGCAGCCCTCTAGACTGTTAAGCCGCCGTAGGATGTATGGCTTGTATCAGAGAAGCGTCACTTTTAATCAACTTCCAGTTCGCTAGAGAACCTCAACAGTTCCTTCTGGTGCAAGAGTTTTCTCGCTTCTGGCTCGCAGATCGCACTTGTGAGCCTCGTGTTCAGATGAGCACAAACGCCCAATGTTTATGCCTAAATAGGCCACTCCAATGTCAAGCCACATAAACATACTATAAAGAAAGCGAGCCAGTAATGACATTCAATACAGGTGCATACATGAAATAAAACACGTTGAACATGAACCGATAGCACTTTAAGAAGTTGCAACGAATGGGGTAAATAAACGACAGCAGAAGATCGAAATGCGCGACGGAGCAAAGACATAAAATAAGGGAAAGTTCATCACTGTCCCTGAGAGAACACCGAAATTACTGTTTAACTGTGAGTAATGTCATTTGCAGGACAAAAAGGTGATCTCTACATACACGTAGATAAGGATGCAGTATCGGTCGACATCGGGAGTGAATAAAACAACGCGAGGCGTTACTTGGCGTTCTTTGGATTCTCCTTCGCTTTAGCCCAGTTAGTGGCTGCTATCTTGAACCTGGAATGTCGCATAATCAGTTTACGCATGGAGACACGTAGGATGAGAGAGAAAATGACCTCTCTGGGTGCTTCATGTCGGGATCGGACTCCTTGAGACGAGCAAGCTCTTCCTTCATGAACTTATTGTAGGGAGAGACCTTTCCCTTCTTTGTTCCACCAACAGACTTGGCTGAATAAGACGCTAGTTTAGCACAGAAATTCAATATTGAGAACTAATGAAACGGCGCTTGCTCTTGCGGGCGGGCTTTTCAGCACCAGCAGCTTTCTTAACCATGTTTCAGATGACTGTGTTAAAGGTGGGAGGAGCCTGTCAGAGCGCGAAAAACGCGTCAGATGCGCGTAAACGCACGTGTCGAGTGTGTTGGCTAGTTCAGCCTAAGGACGCGTCGAACGCGCCAAATCGACGGGGGAACAATGAGTAAGTGGCACGGAAAACTTGTGGAGGGGACTTACTAAAGGGCAGTAAGGTGGTTTGAAGGGGGGAGTTGAAGATGGGGATGATGGTGGTTGGAGAAAGAGGAGATGTAGCGCGTACTTTTCCTTTTGGCGGAGCTTTTGGTTCAGATCTGACTGTACGAGATACCTCTTAAGCGGGCAACTGGCTTTGAATATTGGTCACGCGAACCAAGGTCCCCGATCACTGGTTTTGTCCAACTAGGCCACCAAATATTTATTCATGCTCGTAGAATGTTGGAGTCTCGTGCATATTCGGGCTGCGATCACAAGCCAGACTCGAACAGGCCTGAAGGTGCGAGACGTCAGCCAGATACTGGAGACGGAGCGTTCGGTCGTGGAGATGTGCGGTGGACCTCGGACAGGTCCCCTGTCGAGTACCATACAAATGACATCCATGCGAGAATATACTCAGGCGTAATCTGAATACAATTTTGCATTGAGCCTCCTGCCTGACCTGGCCATCCTTTTGCGCCGATTTTCAGCACGAGTTACGTAGCTCGGCATTGTCCTGTTAATACAATCCACAAGATGGGCCTTCTCAGTCAGATCATTTACATCTCTTGCTTCTTTTGGCACCCTACTTCATGGAAGGGGCCACGCACAAACACGGTACATGTCGAGAGGGACTGGGGCTGACAAGAAGCGCAACGTCACGGATGTCCGCCTTGAGAGAAACATTTGTGCTGAACAGGACACGGTGGCGTTCATAGCATCAAACTTCGTATTCCTGAAGAATATTCTCAGTCACTCTCATTTCCATATAAGGTATTCTTGGTCCCATAAAGATAATTCGAACTTCTTTGCATGCAGATCGCCAATGATAGGTCATTTTCCAAGTACCGTGCCAATATGCGGTACTTCCATTGTGAATGGCGATCTAGAATATCGTACGAAAATGACACTGGTCACCTCTTCTTTGTTCCCACTATTGGGAATCAACTCCGCAGTTTACTGTTGCCACGGTCCAATCATACACATAAGCAAAGCAAAGTTAACTGCAGTGCCAATCGTCTTGGTCTGATGATTCCAGAAGGCCCTTCTGTCACAGCAGTTACCCTTCTACGAAGGTACGGCACCCTTGCCTGCCACATCTCCCTCCAACCCACTGGCCATTCCAGTTATGAGCGATGAGCCACTGATAATGCCCGTCGTCGCTATTAAAATTCGACGGCCTAGGACAAGCATCAACCTATGGGCGATGTAGGATTGATGAAGCATAGGAAACATTGCTCACCCTGAATCTGTCGGCTGATCAGCCGTAAAGCCGCAATCTCAGTATAGGTGCATCCGCCCAGGAAGAATACAACAGACGTTGACGTTCTTTCTCCTGATAATGATAAGTGAGCATCATGACTTTTGTACAGCTCCATCCGGACATTGACTTACCCGTACCTAAGGAAAGGCTGTGGATAGCATCGGAACCGCGTACATTCTGACCAGCTTGAAATACGTCGATGGTCTCTCCAGACAGGCTCTCCAGCACATCTTCAAACCCCTTCCAACCTAAGATAGGGTGCGCCCTCGCTTTATTTAGTGCTGATGACTTGCCCTTCTTTGCACCATCCCCACCATCACTTGAACCAGGGACACTGAGCACACCTCCCTTCTGCACCACGCATTGCACGAGCCTAATGCTCAATGGTGCATAACCAGAGTATACATAACTGATATCCGCCGGTTCGTCCGGATTTTCGTGCTCGTCTTCTGCTACTAGGCGCAATGACTTTCGCAATGAAGGGTAGGGGATTTTCAGCGCTGATAATGATGCGGACGAACTCGGAATGGGATTCGTGAGGATGAGACCCAGAGGTGGGGAAGACAATGATAATATGAGAGGAAGGTACTCATAGCCGTAAGCCTTTAAGAAGTCATATTGACTCGGTAAGACCAAGAACTTGCCATAAAAGACAGCTTCCCACCTGAAGTATCTCCCGCTTAAGGTTTTCAAGAACCTTATTCTTAATACCGCCGTTGACTATGCTTGCTAGACAAAGAAGTCGCAGAACCATTTGTATGCTTTCGCCTTGTGCTATCAAATCTTCGATAGCAGAGATCTGGGTCGAGATTTCATAAGAGGAAAGAAGGTCTGATGTGGAAGGTCGCTAAATGATCAATCGTGAAGCGAGTATAGGAAACTTGTACGCACTTTGCTGAATTTCCAATACTTTCAGAAATCGCACAGTCCTTGTCACAGGTACGAGTAATTCGGACAAGCCAGTATCTGCAAAATATGAACAAGTTAAGCGATAATAGCTCTGTAGGCATGTTACGGAACTCACGCAAACGCAGACTCTGGTGATCTATCTGTAAACCGCTCAGCTTTCCTACGAAGTCTCGCAGTTGAGCAACGGTTTTCGCTTGCAATCTGCTCTGAAAGTCTTGGTGTGAGAAGCGCGAACAACACGGCAAGGAAGCATATACCTTATAATCTTCGTCCAGCCTTCGAGCATGTTTATTCAACGTCTTCCCTACCGATGAGAAATTCAGATCTCTCAATTCGCCGAATAGCGGATCAGAGGATGCATTGAGATGGTATTTCTTTTTCGGTTCCTTCACCAGCGAGGATGCAGCGGGCGTACTGGTGTTCGGAGGGTTAGAAGCTCCCTGTGGATTCGGAGGAGTCACAATTGAGACCGGGAGTTCGACATGAGCTAGACGCATCTTCGTAAGTATTAATATATAGTGAAGAAGTGGTATGAAACATGCAGTTTTTAATCCCAAGCTCTTCGTCGATTAATCCTTGATACGTCAGCTGGGTTATCATTGGTGTTATCATGTCCACTCGTCGATCTAAAATAATAAGAGAGTCGAGCTTGTCCGAAGAGTTAAGCAGAGTTTCTGATGCAGAATCTCTGGTCGCTTGTTCTAGGTGCCGGGAAAGCAGACCCGTAAGGCGCTTTCATACGGCTGTGAGCTCTGAAGGTCTGCACATCAACCGAGAAAGAACGAAGCTCACGCCAGCACAATTTCCCTTCCCAACGATTCGTGGAAATTTCCCGTATACCCTCTGGAAAGTCACGAGTGCTTGCGCAGAGTCATAAACAATAGTTTCGTCTCCGTCCTAGGCACATTCCATTCATTAATATACGAGAACAATTGCACCATGCATTCATACGTACAACCCAAATCTCTTTGAAGGCGTTCTCATGTTCCAAGGATACGACGTCGTCCGCAATGGGTATGAATTGCATATTGAAGGCGGAAACGTTGACTTCGCCCAAGACGCCTTCCTCCTCTAGAACACGCGTTACGAGCGTAGACGTCCGTGGAACGAGGAAAAGCGTGTATACATGCTGCTTCCCTTCACGGGCATGGCGCTTGATTTGATCTTTCGTCACTTAGAGGCATGCAGGCTAAACTTCAGTAACAAACTGACCTGCAATTATCTTAATCCATTTGATTTTCGGACGTGTTAGATATACCACATTCGTTGTACTTGACGATAGAGGTCCTGCTTCTAACCAGAACATTTTATCCACGCCATGGTGCTAATGCACTTGAGCATAGCTCCGAGTCGAAGTACAGACTCATAACGTTACCTTCAGTAGGGACACCTCAGTGAGCAATCCCAGCGGTCCAGCAATGGATGGATCAAGCACGAGCGTTTTGACGCCGCTCACCTACAACGCATGTCTGATTATCACTGCTTGCATTTCAGAGTTGCGTCGATTATACTACATACAGAATTGAGGGCATTGACCAAAGAGCTCCTTCCCAGTTCTTTCAGAAGCGACAGGTCGATTCCAGCATCCTCCTCCGTCTCTGTCCTTGAGCCGTCTGCCTCAGCCACTATGGAGATGTTTCGTCAGTAACGCCAAAAAATACGGTCGAAACGAGGTCTCACTAAGTCCTCAATAATAGTGAGATATTTGCAGAGCAAGAGTACGATTACTATGCAGATTTTAGCACGGAGCAGTACATTCCAAGAGGAACGCACGTGACAAAGACATGATCGCAGATTACACCGATCAAGGCTCAAGGCAATTCTGCGATTACTGATTTTATTCATGTGGTAGGTTTACATTTTGGCAAAGAACTATTAGGAGCATCTAAATACACACTCCACCAACCTCATACGCCTTCTTTTCAAATCGAATTCCTTCTAGCACTCAAACCTTTCCGTTTCCCTTGGCTTCGTACTTCTGCCAGATCTTCCAGAACAGCCGCTAGCCTTCCATCCTCCTCCCATTCTTGCAGGATTTTCACTGCTGCTTGATACCCTTTCCTCTCTATCTCCTCATACTTATTGAACTGCATCGTCCCGTACTGCATAGAGCGTCATTAGCTAGATTTCTCAGTTAGATGAGCCAAGCTCACATCTTGGACAGGCAATTGCATGTAAAAGCAACCGCGTGCAGCTTTGGCTTCTTCCAATGTCTTTACACTCGAGACACTACCCAAAAAAGATCAACACTCATCACGAAAAGATTGGGTGGGGGACTCACTAGGCCAAGCGACTCTGAATCTCCGTAATAGGTGGAATTTTCCTTGCACTCGAAAACGGATTCCACCTGTTAATAAACAGCCAGACACCAGATACGGAATCACCGAAATTCCTCGGGGAGTTATCATCAATCTGGCGATGATGTTCACTTAAAACGTGCGATCAATCGGAGAATGAACTCCACTTACAGAAGCAACATCGGATGCAAAGACTACGCTTGCTCCCATCGCAAGCATCGTGGATACCTGAAAACTAATATATATCATCTGCTGACCAGTCATAGCAACAGTGTAACATACAGGAAGGTTGTCCACTATACATGCGAGGTCAGTCAGAAGTATTGGGCAGGGTATCCTAACACTCACTATATCCACCATCGACGAGCATATTACCATTGTCGCAGAGTGGGGGAAGAAGACCAACAAGGGTCATAGATGCACCTGAAGAGCTAGCTTCAGACACGCATAAGAAACAATGGCAAATGTACTGACGGATATATCGCCACGCGTATCCTGATTCATGAATCTCCATGCGAGAAGTCAAAATGTTCGTGGTCTGTTCGAAGAACTTGAGTAAACTCGACTGCATTTCTTGACGACGTGATAGTGCATTACATTACAGAAGAAAGGTATCCACATGTCTTCAATATGTAAGTCGTAAAAGGACTAATTAAGCCATTAGCTATGTCTATATCACTGCAAGGAAGCGTCAATCGCACCTTGTAAATAGCCCTATTGAATTCATGGCCCTACATCACCACTATTATTATTTTATGATTCGACTCGGAGTTTATACTAACGTACCGTAGTGTATGCAACGATTGGGTAGGTTAGATCAGACAGCAAACGCCAGATATTGCCCATTCGAGCACAATATTGCTTAATCCTTCCAGCGCTGGATAGAAGATCACCTTCTCTAGCAAAAAGACCACCAACAAATGCTCCAATGCTCGTTCCTCCAATTTGGTCAATCGGAATTCCCCGCTCTTCCATAGCTTGGATAAGGCCCTGGAACGAAGTTTAGCCATTAGGATTGGTTTCGAAAGGCGAAAAATCTGACCAAATGCGAGAGTCCACGCGCGCCGCCACCACCAAGGATCAGCCCGACGGACTTCCCGCATATTCTTCTCGCTAACCGGGCAAAATCACTCATCTGAGCAGGTCTTTGAGGGCGAGGGATGTCGCGCCCTCCGCGGAACTTCTGGATCTCACTTTGCACCTTATCCTTCAGGTTCTTCAGCGCAGTGACAGCAGCAGGATCCGGATCCTTTAAAATTGTCTTTCCCACCGGTAAGGTTATTCCCTGAAAGATACATTGAGTACGCTTAAATCCGCCATCGAATCGGATGATCGCTTACAGGGAGTTCAACGTGGAAATGTCGACTTATCCAAGGTCGGATCTACTGCACTATAAATATGACATGTATGCCCGATGAAAAACAAGGCACACCTTCAGCCATTCTCTTGTACTTCCCGGAACGACACTACGTTCCGGATGAAGCAGTATGAGTTCCTTTCTGGCCGTCGTTTTGACTGACATTAGGAAACGCTCGTATTCTCCTAGGCTGGGATCATCTCCGGCTCCGACAACCATAACACAGTCCGCCTAGATTAATTGAGTAACTTTCATATGACTTGACGCAGAAAATGCAGCAACGCACTTGGCGGATACACGTCTGTGTCCAATTGCTGTTGACAGGCGAATCAACAACGTATAAAACCGTCCTATATCGCTGTTCCTGATCAGCCAGCCAACCAGCGACCTTGAGCTTTCCCATCCTCGTAAATGCATGTCGTCCTAAGCTCCGGCTTATCGACGCTTGATTCAAATAAGCCGTAGGGGCACCGAAGCTTTCCAGGGCACTTTGCAACTTCTTCGCAAAAGCTTCTATCGGAATGGCCCTGGAAATAGGCATAATTGCTACGGTCTTGAGATTCAAGTTGTTCCATCCAAGTTCGGGTGTTGCGTTCGCTGTGCGGCCGGAGGAAGAAATATCAACCTCGTTACGAACCCTTGAAGCGATTAGTCGCAGCAGTCTTGATGAGTGAAGCGTAGTCATTAGATATGCTACAATCATGCATGCAAATAAATAGTTTCTACTCACTGCGATGTAACTTGAGGATTGCTACAATGATGTTTGGATGAGTTGAAAATGAACGTGATGCACAAGTATGCCTACCGAGCGGATATTGCGTTAAATAACGTCAACGGCATGCGTACAAGCTCTGTATCTCGGATGGCATGGACTGTGTTCCGACGTGGAGAGCGTGTGATAACGTCAAGTTCGCCCACCTATTAAAGTTGGAATCAATCAGGAAGTTTCCACTCCATCAATGTAGAATTTGACTTACCGGATCTCCTTGCCCATATTCGCCTAGAATAAATATTTTAAAGTGAATAAGTGATCGAGAAACAGAAATGAGGCTGGATAGAAAAGACTTACCGAGTATCTTGACTTTCCCTTCCTCTTTATCATCAATTGCTCGGAGTCGTCCATTAACCACGATATAGAAGCTATCACTAGGATCTCCCGGTCGCCACAAGACTTTACCAGCAGTGACCTGCATCCAATCTAAAGAAGCATCGATATGGAGAACTAAGGGATCACATGTTAAGCGACGGAGTCAGTTATTATTACAGACAGAATAATTACCCAGTGGAGACAATAGGGAAATAAGCCTCTTCGCTAAAGTTAGGAGAACAATCGGTCGTTTCTCAAGAAGCCTCTCCAGTGCGTTATATGGCAAAAATCCCACGTATGTGTCCATTTTGGCAGTGATGTCAACATAGGATGGGATTCCACAAAGAGAAGCTAGTAGAATGAAGTCAATGAGTCTCTTACGTCGATCAGTATCACAGAATTAAGTGACGAACACATGTAACCAGCTATGCCTCCCGGTTTGACCGTAAACAAGTATCTGCGTTTCTCGTTGGAGGAGGCTTTGTTATTAGCGCGTTCGGTATGATTTACGTTATTACGCCGTGCAGAAGGTAATTTGTCCGGACGCGAACTGGGTGTAACGGTTGCAGATCGATGTTTTGCAGCTGGCTTGTGCTCCCGTTCCTCTCGTCCCAATTTGGTGGAAGTATCTTCCTCCAATGGAAGAGAAATGTCGAGAATTCCATCAATAACGTAAAACAGCCCTTGCAGTATCAAATTTCAATCAGCTGTCGAGAAGGGTAGGGATCAAACAAAATATACCTACCGGGATGTCGCTCTCCTGCTCGAGCAAGAGTTGAGCCAGCAGCGAAATACAATATCTCAACTTCATTATCCAAGGCCGCAACACCATGCACGCTGCCCATCGCCGACTCGCCCGTCACGCTAGACGAGGCATCGTCTACTGTTTCAAGCAGCGAAAGTGACCCAAACGATGTGAACCCTTGGTTGCGTTCATGGCCATCTCCACTTCGACTCCCAACAGGGGAAAACGCAGGTGACGCTTCCACGGAGTCTATTCCACTCAGAGGCGGTTGACGCAATCCGATCGACTTGGCGATACAGGACATGACCTCTTCCCTCAAATCGAAGTCATCATTGTGTAAATGATGATCTGCACCAATTATAGGGCTAGGCAAGAAATTCCCTGTACCAGTTGTGCTGAAAGGCCTGTGGAAAAATCGGTTCGGATCACTAAGGATTGCAGACGTGTGGAGATCCCCTGCTTGCACCAGATGCCGAGATGAATGCGTACGTTTGGGGTTGAAGGTTTCGCGGGGCAACGACGTCTGCGATGATGATAAAGGGCTTTCGGTGACGCCATGATCATGAGACAGGTAAGGACCATTTTCTGAAGGTGATTGTGAGTGTATCGGACTGAAATAATCACGTTCTGGTTCGGGACTTTCCTCCCCAGACTGCTTGTCAAATTTGTGTCGGAGAGCATGCAGCCCCCCACCTTCGTAGAACCTGTTAGGCAAAGGATGACAAGCAATTTCGTTAATTGCTTTTTCTGTTCGGATGACTTCAGTGGTTAAACCAAGATATTTGTGTGCAGCATTGATAGTGACACGAGAGAACCTTGTCAAAATCACTTTTCCACTAGTTAATAATCTCTTCTAGCAATTATACTGTAAAATGTAGACATACCTTGAACAATATGAGCGGACGCTTTAGGAAACTGCTTCACCAGACGCCGAAATGCTTCAGCAGGGATGACAGCAAGGGTAGCATCTTCGACAGCCAGAGCGACAATACTATTATCAACTATCCGAGCCTGGCTTTCCCAGCCTATATACGACGACGATTCACGACGGAATGACTGGGTTCCACGACCATTGGGAGACGAAATAGTACTATCATCTCCGTGAATAGTTGAACCTGATGAAGACACGGACGGTCTTCGCCGAGAATGTGACCGACTCGACAAAGGCGACGAATAAGCTGACACTCCATCCAAATCAATATTAGAAACATCAGAGTCTGAACGGTGCATCCTTGTTCGCGTCGGACGAGTCGATGCATGGTCTTGATCCGTATCAACTTCCGTGACCTCGTCATCTTGCCAACTAATCCGAACGTTCTCCGTGAAGAGGCTTAGAATAGTAAAGAGACTTGACAAGGTACCACCACTACCAACTTCATTCAAAAGCTGGTATCCATTGGGACTTCCGTCTTCCCAAGAACCCTCCTCTGGTTGGGCGTCACCTGTCCGAGTGTGCACCTGCACCAGACCATCGATAACGCAGTAGAAATTTTTATCCTGGTTCAACGAAATGCTATCTCCCGCAATGAGTCGTCGAGTCTGCAAATGTCTGGCCAATTCGTGGAAGACCTGATATGCAATTAAGCTTGCTTCCACAGCATGACGAGTACAGAGGACTCACTGGTTTCTCAAGAAACCCAAAGATCCTAACAGCTTCTAGGAAATCATCCAGATAATTATGAAAGTTCGGAGGAGCTTCAGTCGCATTCACATCGGGATGGAGTTCCTTAGCATCCGTCCTGACCAATGGCGGTTCTTTCAGTGTCGAGTATACATTCAAATAACGGAATCGAATAAAGTAGTTGAGTGCGACTGCTGATGCGATGAATATAATGACGAAGGACCAGAAGTTCAGCTATCGAGGCAATCGAGCAATGGATTAGTAAGATATACGGTTTGAATGTGAAAGAATGACAGCATACAGTAAATGTGAGAGAATAGGACAAGACTGCATAGATGAATCGAGGCACAGATATCGTTGCGAACGCAATCAGGGACTTGGCCCAGGACAACAGCCATACTTCGAAGCGTTATGAGATGACTGCAAGTGAACAGATAGTATTTACATACGAAGAGCCCAGAATACGGCTGCAACCAGCGACAACAAGGGGTGAGTGGTAGAAACGTGCAGCTCTTGGGGATCGCTGGGCAAGTCCATGTTGTCAATACGGTCAACGTAGAGGAGCCTTTGCAACACTTGTTCGACGCCCGGACTGGCTATTTAAGTTCGCGGCGCCTCCTTCGATGCAGCGCTATCTTTAAGTAAAGAGAAACATGTAAGTCCAACGTAAGTCCAGTGTACAACGCGACGGCAACAGGCAGCCAACTTTGGTCCCGATGTGTGCTGAACAGACCAGCACGTTCTTGTCGATCACAGTTACGTCATTGATCAAACGTGAAACTCATTGTCTGGTAATAACAACTATATAATTATGTAGTAAACTGGTATCAAGACATTCGGCGCAAAGGCATCATCTTCAAATACAGGGTAACTGTGGCCATACAAAGGAATATTCGAAGGAATGGACAGCTTAGTGGAAGCACTTGAGTAGACAATCAGACGCCCAGCGACCAATTAGTGCCCGAAAAGCCTCAGGAAAAGGTAGAACGTCGTTCCAATAAAACGAATAAGACTGATTCCGGCACTATAATAGTGTTCAGTATGGCATTTTGACAACATTATTATTTGGTTCAGACTTACAGAGCGTAGAACAAGAACGCAAGGTATGGGTTGAAGGCAGCACCTTCCTCAACATCGAACGTATTCTGGACCCAATCTTGGAAGGCCTGCGACGTGAAGAAAATAATCATCGCCCTGCAATGGCTCCTTAGTCCATGACCCTCGCACACTTCATTATTCTAACTCACATATTTGTTCCCACCCAGGTAAGGACCACGTTCGTCCTAGAGTTCCTGTCATGATCAGCCTGTTTCGTATCAGCATCTGAGAGTCCACTTCCTTATCAGCATCTGCGTGTGAGAATCGATTAAATGGACCACCAACCGCGATGCTCTTTCTCTGAAGGTGGTTTGTGGCGGAGTGCACTCTGGCTCGCAGCCCACAAACTGTCAACGTCTTCTTTGGCAGTAGGCAGCTCGACCTCCATAACTTCCTTTCCATTAGCATCCTTGACCTTCTTCGCGCCTCCTAGGTCCTTGCTCGCTCCGTTATCACCTTTCGTTCCCCTGTATATTTGACTTAGACTCGGCAATGACAGGAAACAGCGTAGTGCTCACCAAGTAACATCGTGCAAGTTGCACATCGAGTACATCATCAGAATGTTGACGTCTGCACGAAGTACACGTCAGCAAACTCAAAGATAGCGCATCCCATAGTACGTACAACTCGGCAGGAGGAACAGATATTGGGCAAAGCATGTAAACATGTGCCACGGTTCGAAATGCATAAACGAGCTAATGAAGTAAAGGCCTGTAGTGGAAAAAATTGATCAATACTCGTCCTTCAGAACTAAGTCCATACTCACCATACGTAGCAACTAAGGAAATAACGATGTCCCTGAAAGTCTCATTGACTTGAATCAGGCTGCAGTACATATTAGTTTAGTCACCCAATTACAGCTTCAGCTAAAGTTACTGACTGTCCGATATTCTTCCAACCATCCACGGAGTGGGGGACGGCCAAGTAAACGGTCCAAGCGGCACACCACAAGGTGATCATGTTGCACACACCAAAGAGGAAGATGGCTATGGTATAACTAACAATGGAGTCAGAAAGTCTGTCAGGTAGGTATACAAGCTCAGACTTACGTCCACTTTGAGCCTTGTGGCCGATTACCCAACGAGCAGACAGTCATAACGAAAAGCAGCGCAATGTAGACCTACGGACATGGCGAGTGAGTGAACGAATATTTAACAAAACATAAACGACTAAAAATCACATACCTTAAGGACAATCTCAAAGACCTTGGAACCCGCGCCAACACTCAAAAAGTTGAAGGCGTCCGTTTTGCGATCAGACGTTGCCGAGGAGACCAACTTAGGAACGTCGTCAAAATACAAAAACGATGAAAACCGTAGATCACTCACGAAGAAGAAAGCCAGGTAGAAGTTTGCCAGAGACGTCCAGGTAAATACAAGCTGGATTGCATTATAAATAAACTCGATGAAGAGGATAAACATCCGGATGATGTTGTGACCACTCGTAAAGATGCGGTAAAAGTGGAATGTCGCATGGATGGCGGCGAACAGTGATCCGTTAAGCCATCTACGCCTCTGAGAAATGAATTCGGGCACAGATGTTGGAACATCAGTCGCTGCTTTCGCACTCTTCACGTATCGCAGACTATGAATGGCCATCGTCTATCAAGAGCGCCTCATCGAGAAATTTTTTAAGGACTCACACCCAGGCTTCTCTTTTCTTCGTAACGATTTCAAAGCAGAGAATACGATCCTCAGCGAGGTACTGAGGAACAAAACAAACTTAATGCACAGCTATTCATTTCCCAGGAAGGAGACTAACCATGTTGCGCTCTGGAGGTAGATATCGATTGGTCATCCGACAGAAACACTAGACGGATTTATACTCACCGAAGAGACCCGCACCGCTTGCTCCGCCTCCATGCATCGTCTCGCCCTTAAAGTAACTAGCCAAGGGACCTGTCCCATTCGGGTGATTCTGAAGCGCCTTGTAGCGGTAGGCGGAGAAAGCACCTGGAAGCACAGAGATGTACCCAAATACGGATTCAAGTGGCTTGTCCAGAATGTTTGACATCTTGTACTCAAAGTTCTGAGAAGCTGCGAGAGGGCTGGTCAATAACAAGGAGCAGCCTCTGCCGGTATCGACGCAGATCCTAATTAAATTTTTCGTTGATCAGGAAATATATTCGAGGTAAGATCGGAGAGAACGCTTACTCTCCGCATGCCCCACCAACGTTCTTGTTCTTATCGAAGCCTATCGTGTAAAAGATAAGACACGGGTTCAATATGGGTAAATCTGTTGCTCACATTTCCATAACTCGTAAATAGATGTTCCTGTCGGCTTAGTTCCCACATCCAGCAAGACGCAGACTGTGAAGAGGAATAGTGTTCAAAGAGATGATTCTCCAACGAGTTGACTGGCTCACCGTGAGGCTGAATAAGAGGGCCAAAGGCATTAAAGAACCAGCGGTGGCTGTTGAGCTTTTTCTTGTTCTGTTCTTTAAGGCAGAATATAATCTGCACTGGACAAGCACCAGACGAGACTTCACCCGCTTCTGATACAACCACATTGGAAGTGTATCTTTTGAAGATGTCGGCCTCCATAACTAAACATAGGCAATTTATGCTTACTCGAAGATATGGGCTGTAACATCTTTTCCAGCGACTGAATCCTTGGCGATACCTTCTTGATAGCACCCCATCTAAACGACTACTTAGCGATAACAGCAGATTAGGAGTGTATCAAACGCACCAAAGCCAGAACGTGGAGTGTGCGCTTGTTGACCTTGTTACGTCCATCGGAAACAACGCACACGACTACTTTTTGCCATCCATTAGGACCCCATGTTTTTGACCTTGTACGACCACAGAGATGCGCTATATTTTTTATGACACTGCAAGAAAACGATATATCAACACTTGAATAAATCCAACGATATTATATTCTTACGCATTCATAGTCTTGACAAACAGAACTTCATCTTCATTATACATGGTCATGACTATGAAGAGCTCCGTCTGTCGACTATCAAAATGTTTCAATCAGATCGGCGATCAAAGAAAACATAACATATCAAGCATACCCGTAGAGATAGGGGCGCAAAGAGTATTTTTGTCGCATGAAATCACTAGTACAGCGTTAGAAAACTGCAAGAAAGATACGAACATTGAAACGCCTCACTCAGGATCACAAGTCGCAGCCGTGTAACGCATCTTGGTCATCTCTTCGCTTCCACCAGATGCCTTGGGAACGATGTGTGATGGAACGGGAACATCAAGAACAAGATTACCCTGGTACAGCTCAACTTGGCGGACGGAACGTCGCTTGAGCAGCTTATCCCTTGCACTAGACCACCCGCCTGTACTCTGTGGACTCATAGGCGGCCGAAGCTGGTGCGGGGGATAGTTTGATTGGTAGCCCATTGTGGGAAGAGGAGGCGCAACCTCGGACATTTCGTACTGCGGATTGAGGTGGGCCTGCGAATCAGCGTACCCACTGTGATAGGTATTGAAGGACTTTGTTGACTTGTTGTCCCACCCGGAGTGCGCATCATAATCGCTGTAGCCGTTGTGCGCATGGTAATTTCCAGCATTACCAGCGGGAGGCATATCGGTGGAGTAGGCGTGAGCGGCGGCGGAGGGGGGATAGTCGGAGTGGTGGTTGTAGTTGTTATTGGAATAGTAAGGATCGTTGTGCTGGCGGTAAGCCATCGTGTGTGTCGTTCCGCGGTAGCTATAGGAAACAGTAGGGCTGGCCGGCGACGCGGAAATCGACGAAATGGATCAGTTGTCAAGGACTGTCAGAGCGAAGGAACGGACGGCAGACAAGGCCGTAATTGATGCGGGTATCAGGCAAAAGAAAGGGAGCGTCGAGCTGGACAGAAGGAGAGATGAGCGAGGGAGAGGATGCGGGAGACTGAGAAAAGATGCAAAAGATGCGTGTATGGCTATTATTGCGGGAAGGCAGTGCTAGTCCGTCCCGTGGCATCAAACCTTCACGCGCTGATCCGACATCACTCTCACCCTCTCTTTCACAGCGACAAGTTTGCAACTTTGCACAAAGGTAAGCAAAGCTGCTCACTCTTCTACTAGTATAGCCTGAGAAGTTCTTTGACTCCAGCCAAGATGGGTGTAGATATCAACAATTTCTTGTTCTGTCAAGCACACGGAAGCGAAGTCTGCCATATCTGTGGCTGTGATTATCGTGAGGGCAATGTTACCCAGATAGAGATAGCGGATAAGCTTGATGACTTGCCGGATACCTTTAATCTCTATGTATGATTAATAGCACATCTATGTTCTTTGCAACATCTTCTAATACATCTGCCTTGCAGGAACGCATGCCCATAAACGCCTTTCAGAAGGGTGCAATTTATCATGCAGGTGGAAAGTACAAATGTACAATGCACGGAGTCATCAACTGTCAGAACTGTTTCAATTGGATTGAGCTCATCCGTGCTGAGGCAGAAGATGCTGTAAGGACTCAGCACTGGCTCGAGAAAAGGAAGAAGTGGTTGGACAAGGTTGATCCTTGAATGAAGGATAAATGATAAATGGATAAATGGATAAAGGATAAATGAACAAGAATAACTGTACAATGTAACTGTTAGATATGCTATCAAAGATCATTTGTAGTAGGGCAAGAACTCAAAAGTCGGCTCCTCAGAGTCGAAAAGCTACTGAACTGAGCCCCTTCTTTTTGTCCATGCATTCGGCCCTCCACTACACGTCATAAGGGACAATTCCAATGTACACCACACCAATAATGTTTACGTTTATCTCTGTGATGTGAGGGATGCATAGGACGTCACATAACACCTTTCGACGCGGGATGGACCACGGTGACGTCTGAAACCGCCATGTCGACTGCCATTGCAAATCCGCCTCATTTGGCCATCCTGTACGGAAGTCCGGAGATTAGCCCAAATCTTGTAGCGCGCACCGGTGCATCAGTAGCGGGACGGCATCCGAAGAAGAGATGATGGGAATATTTTGACTGAGGACACCCGCATCGGGACCAAAAAGGCTTCCGGATTCCATTCGATAATCAACATGGCGTGATGCCAGCAGCAGTAGTTCTTGTGCAGGTACCTGTAAGCCGATGATTTCGGTGCATTCGAGTGCAAGTCTTACGCTTCAAAGCATTACAAGTGCATAGGTGAAACAGACTCATTAGTGCTGGAGACATCTTCATTGACATGCGGGGAGGAGTTGACCAAAACGGCCGTCTTTCGAGACGCTTCCAGGTTGCATGAGGTAAGTACTGAAAGTGGGACGTGGCAGTTGGCAAGTACCGCAGGGTAATCGAGTCACAAGGCAGCTCGGTTTTACAGCCTTCGGGAGTCCACTTTGATGACGACTGCGCCACTCTTTCAGTTATCTGAGTCGCAGCATCAGTGGGTCCTTGGAAATCGAAGGAGATGGAGATGAAGGGGCAGGTGGGAATATTAAACTGTGTCTGTTTCTGCTCCTCGACGTCGGAGTAGCAGAACCGTTATGAAATCAAATAAGGACCTCGGTATCTGTGCGTGACAAAGGCCAGGTGGACGGAATCGAGGAACCAGTTGCATGGATAGAGCATGTAGTTACTACGATTAGTCACATAGCACCTGAACATGCAAATAAGAGCCAGGATATCGCGCAGATGCCACGCGCTCTTGTGCTATCTTTGAAGAGACTCACGGCTAGTACTAGTAATGTGCATTTCTGACTGATGATATTACAAGAGTAAGAAGAGAGAAGAGCCCGAAAAGAGTGTAAGGCATGCCCCGTATTGTCCTAACGTCACGTTGTGGCACTGCATTCCCACTGGCCTTGCCTCCTTTCTTCACTCGTTGACTTAAACCCCCATCTCGTCCCATCTCCTCTCCTCTTCCTCTCTCCCCTCTTCTCTTTTCAGTATCCATCCCTACCATTTTTTAGCCCTTAGTGAGTTCCTTTCCTTTCCTGCTGATTTTCTGTCTCTTTTTGGGCGGAGGGTTTTGCCTTAAGGTCGCCACGCGCTGATGTGTCCTTGGGGAGGCGAGTACAAAGCGGCCCACTTGCCAGGCAGTGTGGCCTCGGCCACCTAGTCTGTGTTTTCACCCATTGATCCGAAGACGTGCGTCTGCCAGTTATAAAGCGGGCTTTCGCATCTCCTTCGCAGACTTAACAGCGTGTCAGCCTGTGTATCACCCCCCCCCCCCTTTCGTCCCCGCCCCTCTCCGCTCGATCTCCTCACATCCACCTCTCCCACATCATCTACCGTTTACTTTCAGCCTTTGACCCCCACTTTTACTACCGTTTTATAGCCCACTTAACATCTGCCCACCACGACGGACAATACATCCCCGAAAATGGATCTTCGCGTTGGCGGGAAGTATCGCCTCGGGAAGAAGATCGGTTCAGGATCGTTTGGTGCGTACCATTGCTCCTGGGAGTCCGTCGACCATCTTACATTATTCCTTTAGGTGACATTTATCTGGGTATCAACATCATCTCGGGTGAAGAGGTTGCCATCAAACTTGAATCGGTCAAGGCGAAGCACCCCCAACTCGAGTACGAGTCGAAGGTGTACAAGACTCTTGCCGGTGGCGTAGGCGTACCCTTCGTTAGATGGTTCGGCACAGAGTGCGACTACAATGCGATGGTCCTTGACCTCCTCGGGCCGAGCTTGGAAGACCTTTTCAACTTCTGCAATCGCAAGTTTAGCCTGAAAACTGTCCTTTTGCTAGCCGACCAGTTGGTTCGTTATTCATCAAAGTATTTTACGTACATACCGTTTGTTTACTTAACTGTATTGTTTTTCAGATTTCGCGTATAGAGTACATCCACTCTCGCAACTTCATCCACCGTGATATTAAGCCCGATAACTTCTTGATGGGCATTGGCAAGCGTGGCAATCAAGTCAATGTCATCGACTTTGGTCTTGCCAAGAAGTTCCGTGACCCGAAGACTCACCTGCACATTCCGTACAGGGAGAATAAGAACCTCACTGGTACAGCCCGTTACACATCTATTAACACACACTTGGGCGTGGAACAGGCTCGTCGTGATGACTTGGAGTCTCTTGCCTACGTGTTGATGTATTTCTTGCGAGGTGCACTTCCCTGGCAGGGCCTGAAGGCTGCCACCAAGAAGCAGAAGTACGACCGCATCATGGAAAAGAAGATGACAACGCCCACCGATCTTCTTTGCCGCGGTTTCCCCAATGAGTTTGGTATCTTCCTGAACTATTGCCGTGCACTCCGCTTCGACGACAAGCCCGACTACTCATACCTTCGCAAGCTTTTCCGGGACCTCTTCGTCCGAGAAGGTTACCAGTACGATTACGTATTTGACTGGAGCGTTCAGAGGACCACACAGGATGAAGCAGGTTCTAGTGGAAAGGCCCCGCAGGGTCGCAGGAAGGTTGTTCAGGAGGATGAGGGTGAACCGAGAGCCAGTGACAGAATGTGAGACCTTCACTTTCTCAGCCATCGCGGTAGCTAACCGCATTGTAGGCTTCGCTCGCAGACGAGACAGCAGCAGGCTGCTAGTGCACAGCGTAGAGGTCGTGATGAGATATGGTGATTGAAGCGGAATGTGTCCTTGTCTTCATTGGCTGCGGTCATGCCGAGAATAGCCGAACATGTTGATGGTGTAGATGATTGTTCGGGTAGTTCGTGTCCTTGGCCGTCGTCGTTCAATGTTCTTCGTGCGTCAGGGTTCAGTCGGGTTCGTGGTGGATGTGACAACCGGGCTCGCCACAGTTAATTCAGAGCTTGGGTTGTCATGGTCGATTTTTTGTTGGGAGTAAGAGCATGCCAGCGCTCCCTTCGGGCCTCGAAATTAGCATCGACGCAAACACGATTTTCGCGGTACATCCACTGCGTACGAGTAGTGATCCTTTCCCCCTTTGCCGGGGACCGCGCTTTCTTGTCTCCGATTAACCCGCGAACGAGGTGCTTAACGAGTGATTATCTTTCAACGGACGCTGTTTCTTTTCAGGCTACCCCTACTTCTACTGTTGAGGAAGAGGTGGCCGTCATTCCTATCGCTTAATTTTCCTATCCATTCCTAGCGCCCAAACTTTCCAACCCCTTGCCCTCTTTGAAGCAGTTCTCACCGTGCTTTCCTGGTCCTCCACGTTCTCCCTGGTATATGTATATATGTGTGTTTTCATGTCCCTCGTTACATCCCCCTCGTGTACCGTCTCTCTTCGCTTCCCCTGCTCATTCCGGAATTGTGTTCCTCCCTTCCCCACCTTGGTCATCTGAACATCGACGTATGTCGATTGTAGGCTAAGGGCGAGGTGATGGGAGAGGGCGTCGTGCTCGCGGGACGATTTATTCTACGAGCACGAGTAGATTCGACTGACGTTATCAGAATATCTTCCATCTTACCTACGTTGATGCGAAACCCACGTTCCTATCATGCCTTGACTTGAAGGACATGCTTCCCTCGTATGTACGTAGAGTACTTCCAATAAGAGTTTATATGCCGGATAGGTTTTTACATACACGAAATATGTCGACTGAAATTTCATAAAGTTCATTAAAAGAGGTTATAAGTATAAATGTAGTATTATGTAATCCGTGTTAGGACACGTCGCGTCCTCTGGTGATGGCCGACTTCACTTTTGAACAAGTTGTCCCTCGACCTCTGGTCCTTGCTCGTTGTCTGCCCGTTAGGCATGGCATCTATAAAGAAGGACGACGAAAGTGGTATCAATCAGTATTATCACAACAAGACAACTGTAATCCAAGAAGCCCGTGTCTTCAACGAGTCGCCCGTTAGCCCTCGAAAATGTAGAGCATTGCTGGCACAAATTGTCTATCTGCTATATGTTGGAGAAACGTTCAGCACACAGGAGGCAACGACGCTCTTCTTTGGTGTAACAAAGCTGTTTCAGCACAAAGACGTGAGAGGTCTTCTGGCTTTCCATATCACTTTCACTGAAATAAATCATTGCAATTGTTGCAGAGTGCACTTCGACAGGCTGTTTATCTGGCTATCAAGGAGCTTGCTGCGACAGCTGAGGATGTCATAATGGTGACGAGTAGCATCATGAAGGACATGCAACCTAACTCAGAGGTCATTTACCGGCCAAATGCTATTCGAGCATTATGTCGTATAATTGATGTGTGTATCCTTATGCCTTATAACAGATGATGTCGAGAGCTGACGCTATTACCCGAACTCTCAGCCTTCAATGGCACAAGGTGTTGAACGTTTCTTCAAGGCAGCTATCGTCGATCGCAATCCTTCGATTTCTTCTGCCGCACTTGTATCGTCGTATCATCTCTTCCTCTCTGCAAAAGATGTTGTAAAACGTTGGGCAAACGAGGCACAAGAAGCTGTCAATGCAAAGAGCTCGTCAAATCTCTTCAGTAGCTCGCTGGGTGGCAGCTCGTATCTCGGCTTCGGTTCTTCATCACAACAAAACAGTTCATACCAGCCTATCCCATCGACGAGCTACATTACTCAATACCACGCTCTTGGCTTGCTTTATCTTATTCGACAGCAAGACAGGATGGCAGTGACAAAGATGATACAGCAACTGGGCGGTGGAAAATCAGGCGCGGGCACAACACTCAAAAATGCAATGGCTTTGTGCATGTTGATTCGTTATGCCGCCAAAGTTATGGACGAAGATCCCAAGTATGTCCATTACCCCGTTTTCGTGACATTGTGTTGACGGTCTTGCTAGTGTACAAAAACAAATGTTCGAGTTGCTTGAAGGTTGGCTTCGTCACAAGAGCGACATGGTCAATATCGAGGCTGCTCGTGCCATTTGCGAGATGAAAAACGTTACAGGACAACAGTTGATTCGACCTATCTCTGGTGAGATGACATCTGTACGCTAGTGCTGATACACCCGCTAACTGATCGTATCAGTTCTCCAACTATGCCTGAGCTCACCCAAGACGACATTAAAATTCGCTGCAATTCGGACATTAGCTAGCCTGGCACTCACCCATCCTGGAAGTGTGGCAACGTGCAACGTTGAGATGGAGCATCTCATCTCAGATCCCAATAGGAGCATCGCAACGTATGCAATCACGACATTATTGAAGGTGCGTGGACAGTTCCGTTCGAAGTGGACGTTTACTCACATTAATGAAGACCGGCACGGAAGCATCAGTGGATCGACTTATGAAACAAATTTCTGGATTTATGACCGAAATCAGTGATGAATTCAAGGTCATTGTGGTTGATGCCATCCGGTCATTGTGTCTCAAGTTCCCCGCGAAGCAAGCTGCCATGTTGTCATTCCTCTCTGGTGTTCTAAGGGACGAAGGCGGCTATGACTTCAAGCGTGCCGTTGTGGAGGCAATCTTTGACATGATTAAGTTTATCTCCGAATGCAAGGAGCAGGCGCTATCACATCTTTGCGAATTCATTGAAGATTGCGAGTTTACGAAGTTGTCCGTCCGTATTCTCCATCTACTCGGGATTGAGGGACCGAAAATGCCACAACCAGCGAAATTCATTCGTTACATATACAACCGTGTCGTACTTGAAAATGCGATAGTACGCGCTGCGGCCGTGTCAAGCCTGGCGAAGTTTGGTGTCAATGTGGCAGACTCATCCATGCAGAAGAGCATACGTGTCCTCCTTAATAGGTATGTCGTGCCTGTAGCTGATGTCGAGCCATGTCGCTCACATGTCATTAGATGCTTAGAGGACGTCGACGATGAAGTCCGGGACCGTGCTGCTTTCTATCTCAAAGTCTTGGATGAACAGGTGCTGGCACAGACGTACGTTAAAGAAGGTGCATCAAATATATTCTTTCCTTGCCATCATATTTTCTTACTGTGGAAATAGATTCTGTCTTTTCACTTTCTGTTCTCGAGGCAAACCTCGTCTCATATGTCAAGGACCCTTCTGCATCAACAAAGCCGTTCAGCTTTGACAATATACCAAAGATTAGTCGCGAACAGGCGGCTAAAGAGAGCGCACGTATGTCAACGTCGATTATTTCTGCTTTTGAATTCACTGACATTTCTTGTCAGGTCCAAGCACTCTGGACACTATTGCCGCACCTTCTGCTAAACCAGCAGCAGCTACACCTCCACCTCGTACTGATGCAGAAACTCGATCAGCATATGCAGAGCAACTGGCCGAAGTGCCAGAGTTTGCTGATTATGGACCAGTGCTTAATAGTAGTACTAAACCCGCTCAGCTCACTGAAAGTGAGACTGAATACCAGGTTTCTTGCGTCAAGCATATCTTCAAGGAATATGTTGTCTTCCAGGTAGGTTTCTTTGTCGTTCTCATTAATGTGTAAGATTTTACTGATGGTTTTTACTCTACAGTTCAACGTGTCGAATACAATGCCAGATACTGTACTTGAGCAGGTCTCAGTTATTATGCAGCCCCAGGCCGACTCTGGGTTAACAGAAAAATTCATCATCCCTATACCCTCGCTCGCTCAAGCTACCTCTCCGGGCATCGTCTATGTATCATTCGCGCGCGATTCACCAGAAGAATATGCTGTTGCGTCCTTCCAATGCATTCTCAAATTCATCAGCAAGGAGGTCGATCCCTCGAGTGGCGAGCCGGAAGAGGAGGGTTATGAAGATGAATACCAACTTGAAGAGGTCGAACTCGCGCCCGGTGGAGATTATATCATTCCTAGCTATGCATCGTTTGCTGCTGAATGGGATCGTCTACGTGCTGGAGCAACAGCAACGGAAACGTTTGCATTATCAGCAATGGAGAGCATAAAAGGTGAGTCTGCTTTATTTGCACTCTCGTATTGTTCGAGGTTATTGATTCCCTTGCTTTGCAGCTGCATGCGATTCAATCATCGAAATTCTGAACATGGAGGCACTTGGCGGAACGGAGAACCCATCCTCGACATCTGTGCACACTCTGCAACTGTCAGGTCTGGTGATTGGCGGCGGAGGGAAAGTTCTAGTTCGCTGTCGAATGACGTATTCATCCAGTGCTGGCGTGACTTTGGAACTGGGTGTCCGCGCGGAAAGGGCAGAGACTTGCAACTTGGTCGTGGCAGCTATTGGCGGGTAAACCACTTTGATCGTGTCTTCTCTAGTTTAGATTGTAATACTTTGTGGAGCTCCTTGTTGAACGTAGACCTGTTCATGTGCCGGGCCTGACGGGAGTTTGATGCTAGTTTTTGTGCAGCAGAGTGAGAGTGGCAACGTCTTTTCTGTGCTTGGTTCCATGCATAGTGGGAATTTGATTAGAGCACATGAAATTTCTCCTGAGCCGCCCGACGTCGTGCGACACTGAATTGTCGAGGTATTGGTGCACTCGGAACAAAAAAGCTTGATAAAACCCATTTCGTTTACTTGTCCTGAAACCGTATCCTTGCTTTACTGCACCGCACGAAGCAGAAAAATAATAATAACTCGAGTTGTGTAGTTGTCTAGCGGGAAGACGGAGAGTGAGGTAAGCGACGAGCGGCGATTGGAGACGGCATCGGGTGGCCATAGTGCCATTAGTGGGCCATATGCATCCATCCCCAACACACTCAGCATAGCACAAAGTGTTCCGATCCCGTTATTTACCATGCCCGTGTAACTCTCGTTCATGCTTTTTCCTTCAAAGCTTTCTCTCCTCCTTCCTTCCCTGCTCTCTCTGCCCCTTAATCTCTCCCCTGTTCCATGGCCTCAAGCACACCGACTCTCCCGACCGCCCGGGTAATCCATGTCGATACCCGTGGAGCGGTCATTTTGGACGAAGAGTCCCCAGAGGTTCGTTGGTGCTGTCACTTAGCGTTTGCAACTCGCTTTAACTTACATTTTCGTTGATTTGTAGACGAGGGACAGTAGAGGAATTTATCTACCTAACCACATTGAACCGGTGTCTCATATTGCTGTCGACGTGCGTAGTTATCTTACATATCGAACAGCATAGGGATGCTAATTCTAGTTCCTTAGGTTGGCGGTTCACTAGCAAAGGTCATTTACTTCACTCGTTCACCGGAGCCACCAGCGTCTCCATCCATTGTAGCTACGAACGGGAGTAGCGTCCCCAGCGGCTTCACAACGCCGTCCTCTCATTCCTCCGGCGAAGAATCACAAAATCCAAGTCCCGTGAAAAGGCTCAATGGAGCACTTACACCGCTTGTATTGGAGTCAGCTAACAACGGACACCATGTACTCGGCGGACCGTCAACAAATGACGAGGAACAGCAAATGCTTCGGGATACGCTAGTCCGGCGGGCATCTTTACGACATTTCCCTGGCGGCTCGCTCAATTTCGAGCGTTTTGAGACGGATAATATTCATGAATGCGTTGAGTTCATCCAGACGCTCATTGAGCGGTCTGCGCAAGTGAATGGTGTATCGATTGAAGAGATGCGCCAGGGCGTCAAAATCATGGCAACAGGCGGTGGTGCACACAGATTCTACGAATTATTCAGCGAGACACTCGGTGTAGAGGTACGGAGCGAGGACGAGATGGAATGCTTAATTGAGGGGTTGAAGTTTATCACGCTCATTCCGGATGAAGTCTATTATTTCTCCGATGAGCTGGTGCAGAAAGTGTCGAGACCGACACATGGACAACAGCAGGAGATTCCAAATGTATCTACGAATTCATCCGGTGATGTTCCTCTTGAGCGACCGAGTGCGAATCCGCCGCAATACGCCGTGACATTCGAGGGTAATCCTACACCGCAATTACCGTGCTTACTAGTCAACATCGGTTCTGGTGTATCAATAATCAAGGTCGACGAGGACGGGAAGTTTGAGCGTGTAAGCGGAACGAGCCTTGGGGGTGGAACTCTCTGGGGCCTGCTTAGTATGCTAACTCCGGCACAAACCTTCGATGGTATGGACTCTTTTCATTGCTGAAACCAACTTTATTTCTGATAGACACCTTATCAGACATGCTGGCTTTATCAGAGAAGGGAGACAATGCGACGGTTGACATGCTTGTCGGGGACATATACGGACAGGACTACAGCCGATTAGGGTTAAAGTCAACTATGATTGCAAGCTCGTTTGGGAAAGTTTTCAAGAAAGGCCAGACGAAGCAGACGTTCGCACCGGAAGATATCAGCAAGAGTCTATTGTATGCTGTATCAAATAATATCGGCCAGATTGCGTACGTGATCAGTTGTCGCATTTAAGGCTTGGTTTGGTCTTGTCTAACAGCGTCACATCGCTCGCTTCCATAGGTACATGAATGCGGAGAAGTACGGCCTTGAGCGTATCTACTTTGGTGGTTGTTTCATCCGGGGTATGGTTACTACCGCTCACCCTTGATTAGAAGACCGTTTAGCTGAGAATTACTTTTGATGCACTTGTATACAGGACATGCGGCGACAATAGCAACGCTTTCGTATGCTATCCGGTTCTGGAGTAAAGGGACGAAACGGGCATTATTCCTGCGACATGAAGGATTCCTGTATGTGTATAGCCTTTCCACTAACGGATATGCGGCGTCTAACTTTCTTATCTGTCCTGCCTGCAGAGGCGCGTTAGGAGCATGGATCAAGAATATAGAGCCGCAAACTCGAGAAAGCACCTGATGTAGATATCTTTGATCCGCCGAAATTAATCGCTTCTGTGCTATCAGTTACACTTCTGCATTGTTACATCTTCCCTGGACCGGACTTGTGTGGCACGCATTGATCATTCATTGATGATATTAATATTGGTCCATTTATCTAAAGCTGTGCATTTATACTAGCATTACTTATATATAGTACAACAGTTAGCGGAGATAACAATAATATTATATTTTTGTAGATAGATGACGGAAGTAAGATGGTTAACAGTGTTCGGCGTTGTCGGATGGTAGTTGAGGTGTACTTTGTTCGCCGAGGACAACGATGCTTGGACGAGTAATACGTTTTGGGAGAGGCCTCATCGGGCGATGAGCGGATGCTGATGGAGATGAAGAGCTAGACTGAGAAAGGGGGAGCATGCCGGGAATGACGGAGGGTGACGCATCGGGGTCGGAATCGGCGCCGCGCTCCTGTAGTAAGTCGTCGGTGTCATCATCCGACAAGTCAGAGCCGTTTGACTCTGAACTGGACGAGGTGCCCGATGAGGAGGTGGCAGAGACAGAGCTTGAGCTACTACTGGTCGCAGTATTAGCAAACCCTATATCGCCCGACGGATGCCGACCTCGCACATCAAAGACTCCGAGGCCGAGGTTCTGTAATGCAGGACCCGGAAGATGGTGAGTAATGAGAAAAAAATCACGGAAGCCAATAGATATACACATGGATGCGGTGTTATGGGATCCGATTCGCTGAGGAGAGGTACGGACCATTTCAATGTATTGACCAAGCCCGGTGTCCCCTAAGTGCTCGATGTCGACGCTTTCGGGATGAGCCTCGATACGGTGTGCCAGATCGGCGTTGGCCGCCTCCATTTGGGGCAGGAACTCTTCCAGCCGGGACAGCACTGTAGCGATGACGCAAACACGCGTAGCATAGTAGTATACAAATATATATTACATGTCAGTTAGTGATGGATGGAAAAGATGGAAATTAAATAACAGCCGCGCATCGGGATAGAGGACGGATATGGGCTTGCGAGCTTACAGTGTGTGGGAGGCTGAACCGGATGTGTCTCGCATACGCCAAAGTCGAACGATGATGGACCTGGCAAGGCGGCCAACGGGGAAGAATCGTTGTTGTTGTTAGATGCAGATGCAGTGCTGTTGTTCGTGCGTTGCAGTAGCTGCCCTGGGAAGATAATTGCGGTGATGCGGATGGTCAGCGGAATTTTCGCAGGAAAAGGAAAATGGCGACAGGCGGGTGTTGGCACGACATACTCAGCCGGGCTTCGCGCTGGGCGTCGTCCTCAACGTCGAGACGTTCGGTGGGCATGGTTGGCAGAGGAAGGACTTATTTAGTGCTGTGCGGAAGAAAGCTGAATGGGTGAATAGAATGGCAGAAAGTTAAATTGTTGTTACGCAGAGCGGATTTGGTAATGCATAATATAATGACGCTCTGCTAAATTACAGCAGCACAATGCACCCTCTTAGGCCCCGTTTGAAAAAAAGTTACTCGCCTCTTTCATCTCCCTCCCCACCACCATCTCCCCTCCCCCGCTGCTGCCGTATGCTCCCGCCCCTTGCCCGCCCACTCGATCCGCTCAACTCGCCTGCCCGCTCCACATCATCCGCTAGCACACCCCCAATGGCCATCCGACCAGACGAGCCCCGGGACAAGAAGCCGCGTATCCGGCACTCCGAGATACAGCTCACTGCGCTCAACAACCTGTACGAGGAGAACGAGCACCCCTCTCTCGAAGAGCGTGCCGCCCTCGCAGAAAACCTCGGGATGTAAGTGTACCTCGCCGTTGTCCTCCCCCTCCTCGTCTCCCAACTTCGTTTCGTCTGCATTCTTTTGTGTGCTCTTCATATAAGCAGTGTCTTGTCTTACAAAGACCATGTCTGACACTGCATGTATCTTTATTAGGGATCCGAAAGCAGTTAATGCCTGGTTCGCAAATAAGCGATCTGCTACTAAAAAGAAGACCCGGGGTGTTAATCACCCATATAACACCCCTCCTCCCCATCTCCGACTCGACGACGAGTACGACGGCATGTCGTCCCGTCCTTACTCTCGTCTGTCCACCCCGCTCAGCATGGCGGACTTCCCCTCCATCCCGACCTCCGACAACGACGCACACCATGTCGACAGCAGACATGTCTTTGACAGCGAGATTGCTGGTGCCCCTCGTCGGATGCGCATCCGTCCGACACCGAAGCAACGAGAGGAACTAGAGAAACTTTTCAAACTCAATACACATCCCTCTAGGGAGGAGCGCGAGGCACTTGGCAACAGAATTGGGATGTATGTGCTCATCATTGACGCATTAAGACATTGATCCGTTGCTGACTTTCAGGGTTGTTTCCAGGAGGTATCAAAGTGTCACAAACTGGTTTCAAAATATGCGCTCCGTCATGAAGAAAAGACTCGAGGATCAGGAAACAGATTCCCACTCGGTACAAAGCGCTGCTACACATAATGACTTCGGCGCCAATGAGTTCGGTGGCTTCAGTAGACACGCGGAACCACGCGGTTATCCGACACTTCCCCCGGCCGCGTCCCATCCTTCGTTATCTGCACCCATGCCTTCGCACGCCCCCGCCGCCCGTGCTGCGCCCCTTGTTCAGATGCAAGCGCACGATAGCTATAGACCATTCTTGACAGCGCCGCAGCGACGCCAAGGGAACCCTGGTCCCTTGACAAGACCCCGAAGAACCCGGCCTGAGCCACATCAGCTGGAAGCGTTGAAGAAGCTTTTCGCGAGAACGGCAAACCCGTCAATCGAGGAAAGAGGTGCGCTGGCACTTGAAATCGGAATGTATGTTTGCCCATAAATCAAATCTTTATTTATCACCGCTGATCATTACTACGTCAAATTAGGGATGTTGGCAAAGTGACAAACTGGTTCCGTAATCTCCGTCAGACGGCAAGAAAGCGTGCGCAGAAGGCAAATACCGAGGATGGAGACGAAAGTATGGACTACGACGATTCGGCACCCGTGTCCAGGGCTAGCACGCCTCTGTTCCCATCTGCCTATTCTTCTTCATCGGTTTCCGTGGATGGTGATGTGGAGCATATGGAATTGGACGGCGGACGCTATTACGGGAGACAGCATCATCAACCGCATTCCGATGGGGGTAGCGAGGAAGACTACGAAGAAGCCGTTACTCCACCTCCCGCTCCCCGCACGACTGGGAGAAGACGCATGGACGTCGGATTTCTCACCGGTTCGAATGACGATTTACCGATACCACCGCACTCGTCAAAGAGCACTTCTTCGACATCCTCTACCGATGCCCCTCGCGTTGAGGATGCCATGTTGCTATTAAGTTTTTCCCAGCGTATTGTGCATTGGTAAGCAGAATCACACACTTGGGCGCTTGATACTAACTGTATTCCGATATGGCAGATATACAGACACAATCGGACCTTGCATCATCCTTGACTCATTATCTATATTTGCAATCCTCAAGTCTCATACACGGTGTTGCTGCATTTTTGATATCCCCGTCCTTACATCATCATGCTTCCATGTCGCTAATGTTGTTTTACTTGCCGCCCCATCTTTGTTACGGACACTGCTTCTTCATCAGAGCTGTAGTTTTACAGCGCCTAATTTGTCTTGTAAAGACCTAGGGTGTCCTTGGCGGGCTCCTGTTTCGTGTTTCCCGTGCCCCTCTATTCTGCTTCACGATGATGATACCAACCTTCAATTCTCTTTGGATGGGTGGCTTCTCCATGGTACCCGCCTGGGATTGCCACACCACCGCGCTTACGCCGGATGATAAGTACACAACCTCCTTATTGCGGTCGTTTCGACGATCACAATTATTTGTCCTTCTTTATCTCTTATCCGGCTCTCTTCTTATCCTTCCTTTTGGTCTTTTCCGCCATACATGCTTGCATTGCTTGACCGTCTTGGCCTACTTTTTGAGCACCGTGTTCTTCGATTCTACCATCCCAGCTCCGTATGTTGTAGCCCAGTCGATTATTATTAATGTCCGGGTTTATTTACTGCCTCAAAGCATCCACAAAGCGTGTCTCCTTACTCATTTACCATTGAATAGCCTTCGACAGCTGTGTGATTGATACAGCAGCTATAAGTAAGCACAATTAAGGGGTATACAAGGTTACGCTGTGTGCCTTACTTGCCTTGCATTTACCCTGTTATCCCCTGAGTCCTCGTGAGTCCTGACCCTGGCCGAGATGAATAGACCATTGCTATTTCAAGATAAATGCGTACGCAAGCACGCGATATATGCATGGAGGGTCAGTCAATTCAGTAAAGAGACCCATATCGCACTTTACCGAATCCAGTTTTGATACAGCAGGTGAGCAGGTGAACCAAAAGATAGCATGATGGAGATACGTATGAAACGGGGATGATCGGCGATCACTAAATCGAGAGTGTGTGCTTCGCTTCGTCGATCGCTGATAATAAAAATGATTGTTGTGTTTCGAGAATTCAGATGATCAATACAGAATACTGTTGTAAATCAGGATCATTCTTCTAACAGCGATGTATAGTTCTATCTATAATTGCTATTGTTAAGGGTTTCGCAGCTAAACATCTCGTTGATGTGCTTTCATCACGACTAGCTTGGCAGCGGAAGGTCTACCACCCCTCACCGTCGGATGAGAAAAGAAGAAACACGGCCGAAGCAAGAAACGTTTCATTCCGCTACTGTCCGGCTTCGCTGGATATTTTCTTCTGTCTTCGTGTCTCTCGCCCGGGTATCGTGTCAAAACTTCACAACTTCTCCTGTAGGGTCGGGACAATTGAACAGGCTAGGCTGTATGCATACAAAGCGGAAAAGAACTCAAGAAGGTATCCTACACCTGTGAGACGGCTGCTACAACGTGAACGCGAGGTTTTCGGGTGTTCGGACGCATGGACATATCCTGGACTTCTTTTGTGTTTCCCGCCTTGTCCGTGTGTCTCCTAGATATTCTTAAGAAGCTAGTAAACTAGCTTACTCATTAACACAACGGATATTTCGGCTGTCTGGAACTGATAGTATCTCATTACAAACATTTAATAATTTGATGTCAGTATATCCAATCAAGGTATGCAAATCAAATGCCAGTAATAAGAGTATTTCATACTTTACAGACAGCTCTAATGACATAGTATGTTTTGACTTTACCAGGTTAGGTCTACTGTCTGTCAGGTTTTTATTATTTTGCAATGCTAATAAGCTTCTTAGTTTACTTTAATACACAGGGCCTTGTAGGGTGTATGTTAAATTGTCAATCCTGAGTAGTTCATGCATATATATATATATAGTTATTTGGTTATTTACACACTTACACTGTAATCCTTCCATCTGCATGTTTACTCCGAAATATTATCATAGTAAGACTTGTACAAGTGCATGGCATCCACACTCTATTAATTTCCACACATCTGTCCAAGTAAATTGCCCACTTAATCACCACCACCACCTCGATCATCCATGTGATGCTTCATCAATCTTTCATAGACACTTACTTCTATGCTTAATGTCCGTTTGTGCAAAATATAAAATACACGTGTATGCCTTCGAAAATGAAATGAAAATCAACAGGGCTCTCTATTATTACAAATTTACATCCAATGCATTCTGGGTCCGAATAAGAATCTAAAGAGGTGTCTAGCCTACACGTTGCCCTTCCCAGCAACCCGTTAAGCAGAAGTAAGACGTCTGTATGCCTGTAGGCCGCCAGACTCGTGTTGTTCCCTCCGTTCTTACATTCTTAGTCTTGGCATTCATTCGTTCCTGTGGATCAAACTCTCTTACACCTATTTTATCTGGAATGCCTGTTAGATTGTACTAGTGTACCAACAACCAAAGCTTCTTCCTCGTGCTTGAGGCTGGGCGTTAGCGCTTAATAACACAATGTGGTAATGTACGTATTCTAGCTCTCTTTACCTTTCTCTTGGATTTTTTTTTGAATTTCATTATTATTTCTTCCCTTTCGCAGTGTCACTTCATCCTTGCTTTGCTTTGCTTTACTTCTACGCATCCGAACAAAGCGATCGGTGACTCTACATATTTGCATACCGTACGTGCATCCATTTATCCCGGATCCGCACTGCATATGGTATTTCACACGCATCTCACGCGCGCCCACGCACAAGACACGCAGCATGGTCCAATAATAAACTCATTTTTCTTCTCCTTTATTTGGTCATCTTCACATCCGCGAGCCTTTCCAGCAGCACAACAATAAGCTAATTATAACAATGACAATCACTTTTCATCTCGATTAATGCGTGCACTTCTATGTTATTCTAATAATAAGTAGCTGTTATGAATAAGTTGGGGAGATATGATTTTGAGGGAGACGATGTTGGAATGCAGTTTGCCGTATATATATGAATGCGGAAGGTTGATATCAAGACAAGAAGCACAGAACAGGAGAAAATGGAAGACGTGAACAAGCCAAGAAAACAACGAATCGATCCTTTTTATCAATACCCGGTTGCGATCTGAAGGGGAGAATGGTAGAAGTGGTGGGAATGCGCAGCCAGGATCAGTACTAATAAGCATGAGAGCAAACGGGTTAATAAATCGGATGACGAAGGCGCAAGGTAATGTAAGTGCGAAATGAAAACCGAGCAAGGCGGGGTTAACAGGAAGGTTTAATAAGGTGTGAGTAAAATAAGAGCGCGTGAAATGATGTTGGGGATGGAGAGCGAGAGATCGTAACCGGAGTCGTGAAACGTATATGGATGCATGCGATACTGTACAATGGTAATGACGCGGGAGAGTTTTTTTTTATACATGGTGGGGTGAACTTGCGTGCGTATCAAAAAATGCCGGGTGCGTGAAGGAAAAAATGACAGTCAAGTCCGTGCATGCGATGATGAGAAAACAACAGATGGCATGTCGGTCGTAAGCAGATGTGCTATGCTATGCTGTGTTGTGTGACTTGTTGGTCGTCGGAGGCAACAAAGCATCCATGAGTCGAAACGTTGATGTTATCCGACTTGGTCGGATAATAATAACGCCCCAATCATTCTCCTCTTCACAAAACGACGCGCGCGAAAAGGTAAGCAATGCTAGCAGCGCCGAGCGCGACACTCGTCAGGGTACTGTATAACGGCGAGAATGGCAGGGAAGGGGGAGAGGGCAAGCGTGAGCGGGTTGTGGAAGACAAGGAACGACGAGCGAATGCATACGACGTGAGCGACGCGGGCTTGGCGAAGAGCGCAAGGCAGTCTATGCAATTACATGCCGGGCCACGCTGCGCAAGGAAATGAGTTGCACAGGCGGTCCGTCTGTGAATCTTGTCCACAAAGCGAGCAGCGGAGCCTAAACGGAGAGAGAAAAACGGCGGTTAATATTAGTAAAATTATGACAGGTAGAGAAAAATTAAGCGGAAAAAGAGTGACTCACTCTGTAATGCAATACTCGGCTCGTCATCGGCAGGCACTTTGAATTCGAGTTCACGCAAGAGCCTTCCGAAAGTAGTCGCGGGCTCTTCCTCGGATGCAGCGCGCTGCTGGTTCTGTCCAATACGGACGAGGGCACCAAAATCACAGGAGGTAGTGCGGAGCGGCGTCTTCTTGGGAGCTTCTCCGGAAATCACGCTCTCAGAGGCCGCTGCGGCAAGCTGAGGAAGCTGAATCGAGTTGCGTTCGAACCGGTGCCTGCAGCCAAATTCGGTGAGTACATCCCGGGCGAAACGCCATGCAGTCGTGTCGTCGTCGAGATACGTGCGCTGGACATATGCGCGGAACCATTGCCCTCGTGAGCCAATATCGAAGCCCTGGTACTTCTCAAAAACGCGTCGCTTTGCCTCGGAGGGCGTGCGTGGGTCGAGATCACCGACAACAGCGCAGCTGCACGCGCCGCGGTAGCCGTTCTCGATCCAGGACCAGATGTCGGGTCCGTAGACATCGGTGTGCCACCAGAAGCAGTCTGGGCAGATGCCCTCGACGAGTGCAGATTGGTACTCTTCAAGTGCGGCGGCGGCGTCCTCAGTCAGCGAGCTGATTAGTTCCGACTGGAGATGGCTGCGAATACGCAAGAGAATCTCAGCGGGGAGGTTGAGCACAGAGGTAGCGGATTTAGCGGAGTTGTCGAGGACAAGAGCATTGCGAGAGTGGAGGGAGATGACGTTGTCGAGGGTGCGCATCTCAGGGCGTTCGTATGCAACACAGGCGAGGAGGACGTCCTCCGGCCTTGCCATGATGTAGGCGTCATCTGAGGCTGTAACAGTCATAGTGAGCGTAGGTGGGGTCGTGAGTGGACGGGCCAGCTACAGTACAGCAAGGAGGGGGAGGAATATTTAAAGTAAAAATGGAGGGGGGACGGAGGCGCCTTATAAGCGTAGATAGATAGACTTGTGGAATGGAGCTCTGTAGCTTGCCGACGCCCGAACGACGAGATTGCTGACTCGCTCTCAGATCATTACTGTACTCACTCTGAAACGGGTCTTGTCCGTTGAAATTTCCATTCCTAAAACATCTCTCAACGTCATTACGGCACTTGATCCCGTTCTCCCGAAATACCACCCTATTGTCTCCCTCCATTTCCGAGCATTGATCCCGCTCGCATATAGCACAAGCACAATTGTTGCTTTAATATCATCCATATCCATCGCCACACCCACGCTCTCGCAAAGCATAAAACAGCACACATGAGCACAGCAGGCAATAATCCCGTGGGTCACAATGCGCGGCAATGTAGCATATCCACCTCTGACGATCTCGGCAAGCTATTCCATGCCATTGCCACGCACCGACACACACGGTGTTAAGCGACAGCACAGCCCAGTGACCGTAGCCAATTAGCATTGCACTAGCCCGATCTACCTGCGTCTCCGTCGGTCATTTCTCTTTATGTGTATTTCTCTCCTCCGGCCATGTTCTTTTCGCTTTAGCTCGACACTAGGCGATCGTCCCATCCGCGTATACCGGCATCGAAACGCAATTAAGGAGTAATCATAAATCATTCAATCCTTTTACCCATCTTTTTCTCTTATACGTATGTAAACAAAAATGCTTAGCACGAAGATTGTATCCACTTCAATATTACTGTCCCTGTAGTCTTCAAACACAGGGTCAAACCAGGTGACTATTTGTCGCCACTACACAGAAAATGCAAGATTACAGAATTAAGGGAAACAAAAAAAAATCCAATGTACTTATGAAGGAACGAATAGAATCGGAAGTAGCTCTGCTTATAGCTTATACAAAAGACGGGATGAAAAAGAAGTGTAGCGTAAAAATGAAATTCAATCAAGCGAAAAGGTGCAAATTGGCGAAAATGAAATCCGCTGATCACTCACAATACAACTCACGCTCACACACAAAAGCAAGCCAAGTCGGAACTTGTCCAATCGCGGCTTATTCGTCCCGATCTAATCCGTTCTGTGTTGTCCCTATAGACACAGCCGGCGACAAACGACCTACGTGCGGCGATACAATCTCGAATTGGCTGTCATCGAAGCTCGACCGCATTCCGTCTGAAGCTTCACCCGCGCTCGCAAGCGATAACGTCAGACTACCGCTCAGGCTGCCTGCCTTGTTCTTGCTCTTCGAGAATGACAATGGTGGAACTGCAGAAACCGGTGTTGGAATCGGGTCAACAGATTCTTGTGAGGAGTCTGTCGAAACCTGTGTCGTCGGCTTCCGTCGTCCGTAACCACGATCGTCGCCTGTCGTTGACAAAACAGTAGGAGCAATGGACGCGCGTGACTGCGTGCGTGGATGCTGGCTCATGCGATACTCAGCAGGAATTTCTGGAACAGGTGATTGCAGCGCAGTCGTCGACGAAATGCTTCCTCCTCCGCTTCGCATTAAACCCGCAAGATCCAGAATACTCGGGCGCCGCCGGCGTGTCTCTGCCCCCGAATCCGTCGAAGAACCCTCTGACCCGTTCTTCCATTTACTCACAAGCGATTTTCGAACTGACCTCTTCTTTTCAGAAATCGGGGTTGTCGAGCGTACCGCTGCTTGAGTTCCAGAGTTTGGTGGGAATTGGTATGCCATCTGTGCTGATGGCGATGGAGTCTGCCGAGTTGGGTACTTTAGCTCCTGGTCAAAATAAAATGGATCAAGTCCTGAATCCCGCGAGGACTTGCGCGGCTTCTGGGCTCCCCGTTTCGGACCAGACGGGAACGGTATTGACGGCGACGGTGTGCGCGAAGTATCCGTCTCTGTGTCCACACCGGTAGTAGCCGAGCTCATTGGGCGGGAAGGCATAGATGAAGGGTCCGGACTGGGAGGTATCGATGCTCCGGAATTGTTGGATTTATCATTTTTACGCCATAATTTCCTAATGCTCTTCATAGAGACGAGGTTCGAAGCCTTGTTCACCTTCGACGACTGTTGCTCTTCAGCAACAGAGTCTACTGAAAACCGACTAGACGGCGCCATCGAGTCTCTCGCGGTATTTCGGCCCGTGAATGAGCCCTTCTCGAGCGAAGATGTTCGTTCCGGCGGCTTATTCACAGGAGACGCCATGGCATCAACGGAGGACGGGAATCGTCCGAACGGATCCGGTGAAAGTGGTATCACGGGGGACTCAGTCAACTCCGGCGTCCTGCGCGATAATGATGGCTGCAGTCTCGGCACGTCCGTGTAGAACCCCGCTTCCTCCTCAAACTGCTTCATCCTCGCCTTAGACTCTGATGTCTCTCGAGTTCCGCTGATAGTGCTAAGCAATGATGATATAGAGGAGTTCTTTCGCTTATAGACCGAAGTAGTCTTGGTCGTTCCGTTCATCTTCCCATTTAATACAACCTTAGGAGGCGAGTTCGGGTGCCTGGCCGATTTCAAGCTTTGAAGAGAACCTGTCGGAGACAGCAACGGATCCCCCTCACCCCGGTTGGCTAGCGTTGCATATGATACAGATGGCCAAGCTGCTCGATGCTCGGAAGACTCGTATATTACATTCCTTTAAAACATCCAGAAAAAAATGAAACACTTTAATCATCCCCTTTAATGCGTATAGTAGGCAGGACATACCCGTCCGAACCCCTCTCTGAATGATTGGTGCCTTTAAAACTGTCTGCTTCTGGACTGGGAGTCCCAACCAGAGCGGGTTGTTTAAACAAAGGCGGGCCTATGACACCCTCGCCTTTCACGGAAGAGACGCGATTGGGGTTGAGACCAGAAAGCTGGACACTCTGGGAGCCTCCGTGGTGCGAAGATGAAAATACTGTACGCTGAGGAGGTGCAGAGTTGAGAAGAATGCTGTTCGGAGGCAGCATGTCTGGCGAGAGGTTGATGGAATTGAGTGCTCGTGGAGAAAATTGCATCAAGTTCTAAGACGAGCGTTAAAAACAAAGTCTCATATAGAGAATATATTAATAACTCACGCGTTCCAGGACGTCTAACTCTTCGCGGATCTTTAGTTGCTTCGCACGATGCTCCTCAATGTTAAGCTAAATTAACGTGGCACATCAGCAGTCATGAATGATCGAGATCTTGATGAGACTTACGTTTGCAACGAGGTCGAGTTCGACATCGTCGTAAATACCACCTGTCCTCTTCTCCCGAAGAGTCTCATCATCGAGGAACAAGCGCGTATCCCTTCTGTCGGTTAAGTATGGAAGACGGCTACTATCTTCGAAGCTAGAAGATGAATATGGGCTCGGAGTGACAGTCGCAATGTTGATCTCCAAATTGCTGCCGCTTCCCTGCAGATTCAAAGGTGGAGGGACCTTGCCTCTTTGCATCTGCATGCCAGAAACGTGTAACTGTGGCTGATCGTGGGCTTTCCATAGAGCGAAGACTTCGTCGTCGGATGCTTCTTTTCGTTCCGGATTCTCGGAAACTTGAGGGCCACTCAGAGACGCGCCATCAAGGGCCAAATCGCCTTTGGTCTTTCGGGCAGGTCTACGTGACTGCATATCGGACCAAGCTTCTCCGTCTGAGCCAAAGACGTCAGCAAGTGGATCTACGCGACGAGGTGAAGGGCCGGCTGTGAGTTCGTCCTCTGGATCGATTTCGTCTGGAGAATCACCGAGGCGTTTGTATCCTACTTCTTCCTCCTCGTCTGAAGACGACGACGGGGGACTTATAGTGCCTTTTTTGTCGTTAATTGTAATCCGCAGTTGTAATTTTCCCTGCGCGTCAAGCGACTTGTCCTTCCGCTTTTGCAAGGCTTTTCGCGAACGACACCACGTTTCGTACCACGTTCCCGCCTTCCGGTCAATGTCAAATTCCACCTTCGCAAGAACTGGGAGTAGAGATGGGCTGCCAAGACCGGGTAATAACCCTCGGTCAAGGTCGAGGGAAGATGGAGGAGTATCCGGTGCAAGATTGGATGATGTACTAAAGTATTGGGAAGAACCAGATTGTCCGACTGAGGAATCTCGATCCTTAGATTCCTCTTGCCTTGCAGTCTGCGGTGTAGTTGTAGAGGTCGAGGTAGACGGAGTCGAAGGCGAGGGAGTTAGGGGGTATTTATCAAACCCAGATGGCCGAGACAAATCGAGCTTTGCGGGAGATGAGTGCTTTCGCAACAACATCGGCCGCTCACCTGGAGCAGGCGAAGACGCAGTACTGGATAAGCCCAGACCAACTCCACGCATAACAGGTCGTTCCTCTGCTACTTTCGTCCATAGCCAGTTCCAGACCTCTTCACTTATTCGCGGACCCTTCCCCAAAGCACTTCTAGTCGATACTCCATGTTCTTGCTCGTTCACAAGATACAATACAATACCACAAGTAGTAGGGAGCTGAAACTCCCGAGCAATGGCAGCGATCTGCGCTTGGAGAGTCGCGTGTAGCGGAACCAGAGAACCACGTCGGAATGCCGCAAATGCCTCGGGGTCCTTGCGACTTTCATGGGGGAAGTGTTTAGGCGGGACTACATGTATCAGATACCTCGAGCTTGCCGAACGAAACGTCGCTGAAGCAGGAGTCGCGGTTTTCGACTCAGGAGACACGCGATCTTCAGGAGGACGGGGTGTGGAAAAAGACGACTTGGATGCCGAGGGTGGCGGACTAGATGCCGGCATAGGAGTTGAGATACCCAGAGCATTGGCAAGTTTTGCTAACTTTTGCGGAGGAAGAGGAGAACGTGGGATGAAAGCAGCTTCCGCGACGACTGGCCTGTGTAAAGCAGAACCCTGCGTCCTCAGATTCGGCATGGCAGGAGCCGTAAACGGCGAGATATATTCGCCATTATCTGGCGGGTAGATGGAAGAAATGCGACGAGAAACACGATGGTTCATGGCAGGGATAATCGCGATTGGTCTGAGAGAGGATGTTTAGCAGTGGGTAATGTAAGTTTTTTCTCAAATGGCGCTGCCTTATGAAGCGTCAGGGAACATGCCCGAGGACGTAGAGACCGGCGTGAAAGAGCGTTTTGGAGCGTTGAGCGAGCGTGATGTAGTCGTCGACGACGTTGTGAGCTGCAAGAGCGAGCGAAGAGGACGGGGAAGCGAGCTTGATGTGTTGTTTTCAGTGAGCAAACCTTAGCTTCATCTCCATTCGGCTATCCATACCCTCGGCATCAGCCGCTCAGCGGATTTACGCTCTGATACAGGCTTTCCCCGCATCCACTCTCCTCTTGCATAGAGACTTAGAATCGACTGATAATGTCATATATTTCTCTCTGAGCTGTCCAAGCTTGCTTAATTACCATATTCCGACCATGGTTGCTATTCATTATTATTTGTGTGATTTTTCGCTTGTGCTCGCGGCGGATCTGCCAACAAGCGCCCGTCTATTTGTACATCAGCTCCGACAAAAATACCCATTCCGGGACTGTCACCTGTCGCAACTGGCCATGGTAATCAACGTCTTTGGTCAATTTTTACACCTTTGGCCCTGCTTTTTTCTTCTTTTTTTTTATCAGGGTATTAATGGTATCAGAAAGTTTTGCTTCATCACGTCGGAGAAATCAATCAGGTATGAAATTTCCCGCGGACAAAAGGAAATTAGCCTAGCAGACAAATAAATTGGCCTAATGAATTGGCCTAATGAGCTTGAATAAACTGAAATCCATTCTGATGACATACTACTTGAATACTATACCACACTACAAAGGTGGTAGCACCATACATTAACTTTATTTGCAGAATAGTGTTTGCATTGTGAGACATTACCTAAACAAGCTTATATCATACTATATTTAGAAACAGATATTTACAAATTGACTCAATGAAGACAACTCCGAGTATTAGTGCTTATCCAGATGTGACACTGCCTCCTGCCTGTAGTAGCACTGCGATTTGGGAAACAACAGCGTTCAGAATTTCTATAGAGTTATAGATAATGTAATAAAGCGTTTTATTCGAGCCCGCCTAGCTCAATCGGATAGAGCGTCAGACTTTTATACCCGAAGTGGTTCACATCTGAAGGCTGCGAGTTCGACCCTCGCGGTGGGCTAATAAGATTTATGACGAGCTTTTTTGTTTCTGGCTTTTTCTCCTCTTCTTGTTCTTTCTCTCACACATCAAATATCAAAGTGTTTTTTAATTGTCAAACTTAGAACATAGATATATGGTCTTCTGTATTAGTACAAGGTGTGTCTTTTCAATACATGCACAATTGGGACATAAGTTTCAACAATTTATCCAATTTTCTTTATACAGACCATTGTTGCTCTTAATACAAAAACTGAACATTCTTTACCACTGGTTGGTTCACTGTTGTGCAGTGTAACATAGTAATCATAGTAAATTTTGTATAGAAGTAGAGCCAGGTTGATTCTCTGATCTGCAGCTCTCCATAAAGGACATGTATCAATTTTCCAGAAGAGAAACCTGTACTGCTCCTTCCCATTCGCCCCTCATGGATGGTTCACATTGAGTCACTAATTCATCTCTGTCTAGGATCTCCTCGGGGTTTCACATCGAATCAGTCTCATCTTCGTATACATCTTCGATCCTTTTTTAATACTGTATTACTTCCGGTGTATGGCATGGGTTCCAATTATAGAAGTACATTGCTGTAGACGAGTAAAATTTGAAAACATCTCCATTCAATAACCGCGGTCGTAGCACTGGCAAACTGGCAAAGCTTCCCATCGTGCATCGTGCAGAACCAAGAAAGGAGTGAAGAGCAAGCAGAAGGAGTTGGGAGAAAGTGAGTATCAAAGTTCAAAGTTCAAAAGGGAGAAGAGAGAAGATTTATTTTGCCGCTCACAAGCAAACTCGTGGCCGATAAGGCCGTCCGGTAATTACCATTGCCAACTGGACACAGCACGTATTACAACTCAATGAATGGCTAACTGACTACACGCGAGTCGGCTTTCAAAAGTCATGTTCGGTAGACCCAGAGCCGACCGAGCTCGTGGTGGACGACGAGCTCACGCTCTGCAGGATTCTATCAACGTAGTTCGCTCCGCTCCTGGAAAACATTCACACGAGAATCCACACAAGAAGCCACGGATGCACGGTTACAAACAATTGAGACAAGTCCGTAATTAAGCGGGAGAAGATACGGTTAATCAAGCTAGCTTTGCAGACGTACCATTTCTGGTGAGTGAGTACATCCACACCAAGCTCACGTTCCTTCTGCTGCACGAGTTGGACATAAGCGAGCATCCCGTCTTCTTTGAAGCGCCGCGATAGCTCAGCTTCCGAGAGCATACACATAATCAGTCAGGAGGATCATCGGGTGTAGTCAAGTGAGAAAGAAAGAAAGTAAGGGAAGTAAGGGAAAGGCGGTGAATACGTACCCCAAGAAACGGCATCACAATGTAAACCAGCAAGAGAGATCAACTGGAATACGAATCCTTCTTTCGCAAGATCCCACACGAAGTTCTTCAGGTCGTCATCTGCTTACTCGCGTAGTTAGAATTCAGAAATCACGGAAATTCGCGCGGTCATTCAAGGAGGCGGTGTGCGTGCGTACGTACCACTGAACCCGAACTTCGCCCAGTTGAATGATGGACTAAGATTGTATACGAACCACTTTCCGGGGAATGCTTCTCTGACGGAGCCCGAGATATGACGCGCAGTAGAGAGATTGGGACTTGAAGTCTCTACCCACAGGAGGTCGGCATATGGTGCGTATATCTTGGCTCGTTTGATTGCCGCCTACGAAATTCTGGGTCAATGATTTTAGCAAGAAAGATACGGTGCTGTATACCTCCTCGCCGCCAGCGTAGTGATAGTATCCCTCACGTGTGCGAGGCACTATAAGCATCATATTGAGAGCATGGATCAATATTAGCAATTGAATTCACTTACAATCCCAATCCCAAAATATCTGCTCGCCAGTGATCTCTTTGGCAATCTCTCTTGCGTGCGTATTAGACTTTCCAGAAGCTGCCTGAAGATATCCCTTGATTGCTGCATCCTTATCAGTTATGCGTTCGTTGGTTTTGATGGCCTTCTCAACCGCTGAATTGGATAAAGTATTAGAACTTCAATAGAATAGTTTGTTGCAACAGTATTACCTTGATCAAAAGTGCACAGCTCGTGCTCCGCCACCCACTTCCTCTCAATGGACTCAACCTCAGCAGCAGTTGCACCACGCATTTCTGCTTCAGCTACCTCATCCGCCAGAGGAGATCCTTGAGTCGTTGTCCCAAGGATAAATTCATGGTCATTGATGTCCACATTTGATGAGATAAGTCTGGCTGATTCGGCGTCGGAACGGGCAATTAAGAGCATGGTTGAATGAAGCATGTCGAGTTGGAATCTTGAAGCAATGAGGCGAGAGACGTGTGTCGACGCTGGAACGAGGACTTTGCCACCAAGATGACCGCACTAGTAGAACGAATTAGATTTCAAGCCCGTCAGTGGTAATTCACCCTTAACCGACCTTCTTGCCTCCGTGAAGCTGGTCCTCCATGTGTATCCCAGCCGCACCCTATCCAAGCATTAATATTGATAATCCATCGGTATAGTACATTACTCACAGATTCCGCAAAGAGCTTGACGAGCTTCATAACAGCAGATAGACCTCCGTGTCTATAACAATTGAGAACAAATTTACTAAACGAAGATATGCACTCACCCTGTATCAGCATCTGCGATAATGGGTCGCAAGTAATCGATATACGGCATCCTCTCCCGGTGTTCAGAGGAGACGGACATTCGTTCATCATATTGTTTCCTGTCATGTAGCTGTTGAGCCCGGAAGATACGGTGCACTTGATTTGGTACAGTCGTATACGGGTAGTCGCTGGTGAGCCAAATCATTTAGAATCAGCAATATTTCTTCATGAATCTTGCAAGTGAAGCTTACCCGAAATCAGGTCCAACCTCATTATTAGCAGTAGTAAGAACACTACTACACGCCCACCCACTAATATATACAACCTCCTGATTCATCGCCATCTGCGTCATCTGCACAGGATCTATAGCACCCATCGTATGAACCGGCTTCCCCTCCGTAGCAGCCTTGCTCAACCGTGCATGAAGCTTGTCAGCAGTGAGCGTCGAAGGCAGCGGAAGAACAGGCAACGACCCCTGCTTAGACACAACGTCCACAGCAGAATAAGGACGCTTAATACCCTTAAAGCGTGGTAAAGCGAAGAAATGCTCGAGGTGTTCACAGCGGCCTTTGAATAGCGAAGCTTCATGTTCAATTGAGGGTTGATGAACGGGTAGAGGCTTGGGTGTTGGGAATACTGCTGTGCTTGAGTGGTTGCTCATCGTGCGCACGCAATTACGTGCAGGCAGCGCTGCGAAGCGCGCCCTTGGGAGACGATGCATGGTCACGGTGTTGGATTCGGAAAGGTCGGACCCGTCGGGTCAGTCTCAGCGTTGTCCTCTTGGCTGTTAACCAACGTGATCGACGCTCGCGTCTTGCGGCCCGCCTTCGTCCACCACATTTCTGGTATTCGCGTTTGACCCGTATCCCGAACCACTATGAACGTTGACTCGTCAGGGACAAGACCCGAAATGAATAGCGAACGACATACAGAGAAGGTAGACCCTATTTGGACTTCAAGTCGCACTGCACGCCAGATATTAGCACTGGGCGAAGTTGAGCGGGTGCGTCTCTGGCCAAATGCTCAATACGTGTCTACAACTCTGACTGGCATTCGTCTCATCATACAGGACATCAGCAAGCTGCTCTCACTGGCAGGCTCTGCAATCTCATTGCTCACGCTCCCGCAGACCGACCCACCAGATAGCTCGCTTCCACATGGCGAAGAACGTTCGGAGCAATTCGTTCTTGAGGCAAACGAGTATTTCGAGCGACTCGACGTATGTTTCTCTCATTCATATTGACAGATAACACCTTATTTACTCACTACCTTTCAGCAAATTCACATCAGTATGCGCTCGACCCTCGCACATATCCGTCAATCTCGCATTGCTCCGTCCGCCATTGACGCACCTCCGCCGAACTTCGTCCCCGCACCAGCAGGCGTCGGTACGCCCGCTTCGGCTCCTTCTACTTCTACAGAAGAGTCAGGACAGATGGGCGTGGCTGAGAAGAAAGATGCTGAAGACGGCGAAGAACCGGTGAAGCGTGGCTTGCAAGAGGAACGCGTAAACCGAGATGCATGGCGTGGTATCCTCGACGCGCTAACGCGACTCAAACGGGCCCAAGAGCTTGAACCCGAACGAAAAAACTTGAGCAGAATGGATACGGACGGCTAAATATCCGCCCATGGGATGATAGAGGCGACAAGGAATGCGGAGTAATGCAAGATTCTTCCAATGCACATTTCCATCATGCTTACAGGCCGGAACGCCTCCCATACTACAGTTAAGTTAACTCGAACTTCTTATCAACCGCCGTCTCCGCTCCGACCAATGGCTCCACTTCCTTCAGCGTCTCTTTTGCAGCCACGAGCGACTCGTCGCCTGCAATCCTTTCGTCTCCCTCGACGGATGTCTACCAGGCGCGGATGCAGCAGCCGAAACATCAGAAGTTTGGAAGAGTAATGCGGCGAGTAAGTTAGTTCTGACTGATGGGGAGGGAACGAGAACCAGAAGCGACGCACCACAAGATCTCGCAAGCCACCAACCTCGTTCCTCAGCTTCTCCTTTGTCAACTCCACTGTTCGAACCGTCTCATTTACCAAGTTATTCTACATGTCGTAAAATATCATCCGTATTCGCATTCCACGTTATATCATTAGTGATAGAAGTCCATCCATTTAAATGAATCAAGAGTCATTAGACAACCTCGGAGTTAGAGAAAACAATGCAGATGACGAATAGGCTGCTCACAGCATTCTTGACTTCCCACTCATCCCCGCCTAAACTCGAAAGTTTTTCCGCCTTGACGCGCAACTCATCGATCTCTTTGAGATATACGTTGTTCTCCTTTGCCAGCCTAGTTTCATTGAAACAAGGGCAAGGCAAGTTTTGGTGGATGAATTCCGAATCGACGTGTCGCATATATGCAGTCCACATACCGCTTCACAGAACCCGTTTTTATCTTGAGCGAGCGCTTGATTGTAGCTTCGTCACTCATGCTGTGTCTGCTAGACGATTGTAGTATGATTGTGAATTATTGGGAGTTCAGTTGCAGGTATTAAGTAGTCAAGGATGATCCTTGTACCGAGCAAATCAAATACCAAATAAAGTTCAGAAATTTCAAGATTCTTCCATCGATACGATTACGATCATCCTCCCGATTGTGCAATCAGAGTGAAAAACACAGCCAATCAACAAAACATAGCACATATAATCAATTGCTTTGCACAAGTAGTGCTAGTGACTAACGAAAACAAAGTACTATAGTAAGTACTATTGCAAACTGAATCCAGAGTCCAGTGTAAACTACTGATGAGTGTGGTAAGGTCAATGGATGCAGCAAAAGTAGTCCAGCGCCGCGCAACGGCGGTATAAAGTCATAACAAGATAATCTACATAACAGGGCGTCGCATTGTCCTCTCTGAGAACGAACGTAATCCAATTGCGTATGAAGAGGTAAGATGAGAGAGAACGGAATGTAGTGGCACAAAGCATTAACACAACAGTGGAGTGGAGCCGACCAAAGATAAGACAACATTACGCACGGACAGTACCGCACGTCAACGCTCGGGAAAGGCTCAGAGAAAGATTGGATACACCAAATGCAGACAGGTTACGCGAACCGGGACACGGAACAGCAATCCGACGTAAACGCACGAGCTCCCTCGCACAACCGAACGCTGACTGAGGTCCGCGTGGCACACTGGGCGCACACACAGCCATGCAGCGCTCGTGCTCACTTCGACTCGACTCCGAACAGTCGGGCCACCAAGCATCTGACGTCAATTCCATAGGCGAGGGCGACGGGGCGCGGATGTACGGGTTGGCGAACAGACTAGAATCAACAAGCATCACCGGATTATGTGCAAGACGGTGGTCTGGCCACCACAGCACGACCTAGCGGATGCGAGGACCGTAGTGGACGCGGGCGTACGGTGCGGCGCGGCAATCGGCTGGCTACTGGCCGGAAAAAATCACGATGATAGGCGCGAATGAAACGAAGGAGGAAGAGGTGTCGTGTGAAGGTGAACGGACGCTTGTCGAGGGCTGTTCTAGCCACACCAATTCGCGCGCTATCTGCAGGTGACCAACCATCTCTTTGCCTTAGATAAGTGTTGTCGACGAACAGCCATACGGACATAGGCTTATCTGGATGGTCGGAGACTTGCAGCACGAAAGTTGAAATAAAAAGGACTGGCAAGAGACTCCAATAAAAGCAGCCAGCGACAGGAAGTGGAGTAAGGGAAAAGGGGGGGGAGGGAGACAACGGAGTGGAGGGATTGTGTGGAAAAGTCATGTCGTGGCGTAAAAAACAGCAATCAATATAAAACCAATAAAAAATGCAATGCAATAAGTAATCAAAACTGAGCAAGCAAATGCGTCTAGGATAAATGGTTCCATAGATTGTCACGATAGAGAAAGGAGGGCATGCCGTAGAGGCACATATGGATTAGCAAAGACCGGTGTATCGGTGGCACCTGTATCGGAAAGGTGCAGTCGGGAGAAGTTGGCGAGGGCGTGCGTAGGAGACAAACTGACTGTACAAAAACAAGAAAGTCGACAGCGGCGGCGGCGAGACGCTAAGCATCAATTCGTAAGAATTGACGACCGGCGCATCTCTAGCAGGCGCGCACTGCTCTTGCGTCGTGTCGTTGCTCCTCGCAACAAGCCCTGGCCGTACGTCCCAGACTCGTGCTATCCAAACGAAGTCGGAGGGGGCGTGAGGATGTAATCGGCGATTAGCGTGGCGCCGCCACGCAGACAATCCAACAGATAACAGTGCATCGCAGAAGCACTACCATGGGTCGTAAGACGGGATGCAAAGCTCGTAATAAGACGTGAAACCAATGCGAGAAATACGAATGCGTGAGAGAATGCCGGAGAATGAGGTTAGATTAACTGCAGGGCGATAAAGACGAAGTAATCGGGGTCGTGAGTAGCCATGCATCCCGAGCAGGCATCGTGAGTCATTTTTCAGAAGTTCACATTGACAGATTGAGTAACGAAGATCCGTGGTCAGGAGAACACCGCGGAAGTAAACCGAGCATTGCCGGACTCGGTCCTTTTACGTTTGGCCTCTCCAAGCAGAGAAGACCAGCCTTTCGTGCGAGAGCGGAGCTCAGAAGGCGGTCTGTTGCTGCGCAGCGGCGAGGACTGCCCCATGACGTTCAGCGGTGCTGAGCATGAGAGCCTCGTTCAGTCTGGTCGGGGTAATCAGTTACTGGGTACATGAAGGAAGAATACCATGGATACATACGACCGTAAGCGCTGCGTCTCCATTTCAGCCTGGTTGAGCCTCGTCTGGAGCTGTTGCTGAGTCATCTCGAGGTATTTGATGTGAGTCGTCGCTGGATTAGGAAAGATCGGCGGATCAGAGATGCGCGCCTGCAAATAGGGGAATCAAACAACCAAACAGATACTCACCTCGATCCAGAAGTGACACCTTGCTGGACTTCTGGTTCGACACAGGAAGCACGTCCTTGAGTCTGCGGTAGCCGTCACGGAGTTCGTCACGGCGACGCTGTTCCGACTCAATGCGTTGACGGCGGATCTCTTCACGGCGCTGATCGGAGTTGGCAGAAGCACTCAACGTGGGTGTGAAGTCCTCTTCGTCGTCATCACTCGCGTAATCATCCTTGCTGGCACGGCGCCTGCGCTCTGCGCGGGCCGGGCGAGCACCAATTGGGTTGAAACGGTGCTGGCCTCGCGTCCCTGGAAGGTTACCGTGCACGGAGCCAGGCGAGCTCACACTGTTGACTGAGTTTGAGCGAACTTTGCGCGTAGGCGCCGCATTGGAAGAGGGCATGCTATCCGAAGAGAGCTCGCCATTGCTCAAGTGCGTAAGTGCAGGCGGGCAGATGCTGTCCGGCGGAGTGAAGGGACGTGCTGGTGATCCCGTAGTGAACGAGGCACCGGACGAGTAGGCATAGTCCGGAAGTCCGCCCGCAATGTTCAGCGAATCAAATGAAATGCGAGGCGATCCAGCACCTGGAACTACAAAAGATTACAAACAAGAGTAAGTAAAATTACAGAAGCGAGTTCTTTATCCAACAGGTGGGTGAGCTCCACTCAGACTTACGTGGGACGTTTGCGACATTGAAGGGGGAATGCGGGAATTGGAGGTAGTCGAAACTTTGGTAGGCATCGACGTAGGGGAAAGGCGGAGTTGAGGAGACGGCGTCCATGGAAAAGCCCGGCGACTTTGGGCGGTCGAGGTGATCAAAGTGCTGCTGCTCGATGTGGGTGGCCATTGTGACGCAGAAGAGATGACTATCAACAGCTAGGTACGTGAGGACGAGGAAGGAGGCGTAAAAGGGCGTGAAATGCAAACAAAAGAAAAAAGAAAAGGAAACGTGGGTGTAGGGGAAGAGGAGGGAAAGGGAGTAAGTAGAGTTGGGGGGATGGGAACGGAGTTATATAGTGTTATATAGGAAAGCAGGGGGCAATTCAGTCCTATTTCGGAGTACGGCTAGATGTCCGCTGATAGTCCCTTTCTTTTCTCTTCTCACTAGTCTCGCTCCCTGGCCCTCTTGTCCGCCTGAGCTGCCCGTGTCGCCTTCGCTCCCAGTCACATCAGCATGAAATTCATCCCGGCTCATCTCCCAATCCGCACATTAACCCACCACGTCCGTGGTGATTTGCTTCCGTCTCCACTTGCACTAGCACTCGTCTGCCCGTGGACCCTCGACCCATGAGTGCATCAAAAAGCGTCCGCACCGGGGTCCGAAGATACTATCAATTCAGGATCTGTCACAAGCCTACTGTTTACCCGTCCTGCCTTTTCTGGACACATTATTCCTGTGCTCAGGCCAAACACGAGGCAGAGACCCTTTTCATTTCCCGTCTTTCCTACTTTTCTCCCATCAAACCCTACTGCCCATCACAGGCTTCTCCCCCATTTCAGCAATTTCGACGCGCTCGCAAACTCCGTGTCCTTTCAGCGTCCCAGCCTCACTAAAAAAGACAAGTCGTATCGTAGCCTGCAGACTCGAACCAGTGCTGTCCATTGAATACAACAAAATAATGCAAAACAAAAATATCAAGAATCATAAATACAAAAACCGTGAGTCATTAACGTCATGTCATGAACTTCGTATGTGTCGTTAGATCGTATCACCATCGCACCCGTGTGTCTCTCCGAGCAGCAAATCCGGAACAGCAAGCATACATAACAACTTCACCCTCTCACTCGCAAAGAGGTATCTCGGTACCATTGTCAGATCAAAGTTTTCACTGCATCGCGCGCAGCACCGCGACGCTCAGCACGTTGACCCCTTTGTCAGCCTATGAGTTGTAGTACCCTATAACCAAATTCCAATGTTAATCGATCTTGACACCGATCTCCCGGACATGAAAGAATAGAACCGCCGACGGAGGTAGAGAACTATTCTTCCAAAGCCCTTTCACTTTTCAAAACTTCGAAGAACTCACCCCCATAGAACGGACCTTTCATCTCCCGGTAATGTTCCAGGCGCTTTGAGAAGCGCCAGTTCAGAAAGAGCATGTAGAGCTTTTCGTATAAGGAAAAACAAAGAAATCAAATAGCTGTTGAGCCGAGCATAGCACGTATTAACTTGGAAGGCTAGAACGCACCTGAAAGACAAGATCTATGAGCAAGCCAACAATGAATGCTGCATACAGGCTCGAAAAGCCCGAGGCGCAAAATCCGCTTGGTATCGGATGCCCATTGTCGTAACCATTAGCGACAGACTCGGTCCAAAGTTGCCCTCCATGGTCGCATTCCCAGGTAATCTTGTCTTTCCTAAATGCGCAAACAGATGCCGGAGAAGTCAGCCGGGTGCAAATGAAATTAAATCGGTTAGAAAATCGATGTGACTAAGAAGGCTTCCCGCAACATCGAATCAAAATGGATTGGGCAGATAGGGGAAAGGAATTAGCAGAATGAATTTCTTCTCACTTACCCTCGTTGAAGCTCCAAAATCATGATAATCGCTCGGATAGCACATATGACTACAATGAAGGGCCATAGGAACTTACACACTCGCGTCCAAATGTATGACCTCTGTCAAACGAGGAAAGAGAAGACTTAGCGCTCAAAATATTCCGGAACAAAATAAATGCAACTAAAGCGAACGGCAAGATATCGGAGGTGGGTCAGAGGGATTCATCTCCGCTCCGCCAGGGCTTCTGGTGCAATCTCAATCATTAAGCGCGAATTACTTACGTTTGAAAGCGCGAGGATATTGATGGCAGCGGCGGAAGCTACACCGATTGAAATGCCCCCATAGATCTGCCTGCAGGACAAGATGGCAACGGCGGGACGGCAAGTTAGTCTCCTCGATCAAAACGTGACAGACGCAAGATACTGAAACTCGGAGGGCAGGGGAAGGTACATAAGGACACACAAGTTTACGTACCATTCCGGGAAAACAAAGTAAATGTACTGTCCCACCACGAGAAGGAAGATGCCACCAGCAAGGCTGTAGAGCTAACAATTCGGAGATTGGTAGGGTTACATCATTCAGCTTCGAGTCCTGGAAAGTTGCGAAGAGTGCGAAGTAGATGCTCACAACCATAACAACACCCCAAGCAATGGCACCGTGGCGCTACGAGTTCCGGTGGTCATGCACATACATTTACAAAACTCGTTAGTCAACGGGTTGAGAAGCGGACGGGGGCGCGGTGATCCGGGAGAAATGGTATTTGCAATTAGCTCAAGACCTACCAAAGGCAAGAGTAGTAGACAGTTGTCACACCTACAATGTAATCGGATAAATGACGACTATAAATGAAACTAAAAATCACAAAGCGCTTACCACATGATATCAGGATATTAAATAGGGTACAAGGGTTCTGGGTTTCTTGGAGCTTACAGTCCTGATACAGGCGGCAGATACAACAACACAGCACAGATGTTCGGGTTGATCAGCGAGGGTTTGGGTAAAGAAAGTCCGTAATCGTATCAGTCGCGTTTCAGGATTGTATGAAGGGTATATACGACGGTAGAGAACACGAGCAGTGCTCGTACGTGGTGGACGAGCAAGAGCTTGAAGAGCCCCTATCCACTGAGAATCACTGACCTACGACTCGTTGCCAAATGAGGTCACTCCCTATTTTCCCCGCAAACACGGACCAAATATGGACACACTTAATCTATTTGCGAAAATGCATTCACTGTCTCCCCCTAAGAGTCAACATTGTGTCCTATTACTCGCAGAGAGCCATCAATCGTCTAAAGAAGCACAGTCATTTACTCTCTTGCCATGGGCTCACGACCACGAAGATTATATCAAGTCTGCTCACCTCAGACCGGATGCTTTCATTTATATCGGCAGCTACTATTACCGTCTTCCCGATGAAGACTTTTTGTTCACGCTCTACCCCCAGTGCTGTGCTTGATTAATAGTTCTGTCCCAGATTCCGGAGTTCCCTCATGTGGCATTGAACCTAATTTGGATGAGCCCTTTTCTCAAGAAAACAAAGCCCTGGCAAGCGAAAAATATCGGAACCGATATGAAGCCAAGACTGCAGTTGCGATGGAAAGAACAATATGTAATATGCATGCCTATCTATCAGAAAGCATCAAAGAACTTCTGAATCTGCATACAGGATCAGAAGAGCTATGATGACGGTCATGGGCTGGTACTGTAAGTCTTATCGTTGTTGCAGCATAATATGACTGAGCATTGACGTTCAGCAATTGTTCATAAGTAATAGTAGAATTTTTCTCTCACTAGCACACACCCCTCTGGATCCTCTTTTTTGTTTCGGTTCATCTCTTGCAACCACCTGGTTGTTTACGGGGCAAGTGGACAGCAGTGATGGACTTTGTGACAATGAGTCGGTCTTCTGAAATGTGGGCACTTACTATTTGAAAAGCACTTTCGATGTCTTGTGCGCTCAATGCATGTGATGCTCGTGGTCCCAGGTACGCTAATCCACATACAATGTGCTTTCACTTATTTCGAATTCATATATGCTAGTAATCCTTAATAAAGGCTTGACCGGCACGAACCTTCTGATCAGCTGTCCAAACTTGCAACGGTTTTGGCGATTATGAACCCAAATACGACGGAACATCACCGGTATTTCGCAACTTTCATTAAATGCACGTTTACCTCCCACGAACAGTCAAGGCTCATGTTCCGCGAAGAGTAGAGACATATCAAAGACGGAAACATCCACGACATCGATGGACAGGATGATTATGGATGATCCGCTATTCTTTGTTCTGCACTGGACCGTTCGAGTGATTGGATTCGGATCTCACTGTACTGCGGCTCGTGATGCATCGATTAGAGCGAAGGTACGCTGAAGAGAAAACGGATACCAGTCTGGAACTGGAGTAAACTAAAGGCGAGCAGTTATGCAATACCCGACGTCACAGAGGATTGTGTTTGCAATTGGACAACAGCTGTGCAGCGGCAGACGGCGGCAGTACAAACTGCTCTGGAAACTGAAGAAGTCGAGTTACTCGTCATACCAGGGCGTCTGTGTCCGATGACTCTCCGTCTCTTGGAGTACCAGGTTCTCCTAATGTCTTTCTCAGTGTCACTGTACCTGACTTCGTCGATTCATCCCTTTCGCTGGAGCTATGCCACCTCGAGCGTCTCCACTCGCTTAGGGATACTAGAAGATGATAAGGTGAAGCCCATCTTGGTTTCAGTCTCTTCACATTCCGAGGCAACAAACTGCTATCCGCGGAAAAGAGCAAACGTCCTCACCACTTCATCACATACGACACAAAACTCTTCGTTTGTCACAATTTTTTTGATTACCCAACTCTTCTGGCCTGGATAAACTTGAGCGGAGGCGGTTCTGTGAAGGAAGAGGATATGCCCTTCGTGATGAGCCACTAGCATCCTTTGGTATCATCTGTTGTTTGGATGCTCCGAAGAGCCGATGGACACTCAAGCTCCAGTTTACCTTTTTTCGTGGGATAGACTTGACTTCAGTGCAATGCTTCTCCTGGCTGTCCCTCTAGTCACTTTGTCGCCACTGTTGTCCGGGTGAATACACGAGAAGCTAAGGAACTGTATCCAGGCTTGAACTCCGCCCGGGATTCTGCCCGGTCCGCCCTCTGGAACCACACGCCTGGTGATTTCCCAGCCTCATGTTGCACGTTTATTTTTAAAAGCCTAAAACTGCATTTACCTTTCTACCGCCGACTCGTTATCCGGAACAGATCCTTCCAGATACAGGGTCCCAGCATTCCTCGTTCTTCAATGTCCACAACGACCACTATGGCAGCATTGCAACACGAGGTCTCCCGAGTTCTTCTCATTATTGGTATCCGGTTCTGTCCATGTTCTCCCAGGATTGATTTACAATGAAATAGTACTTGACAGGTCAGTGATTCTCGCACATTAATACTCCAGAGTGTGCAACAGCTGACCTCTATCACCAGCGGCGTCCCGCACGGGGGTACCGTCCATTGAAGTCTCGATCGGACTGGCCAGCTGTGAATCGATATTTTCAGATACTCGGAGGTCACGGGAGGAAGTGAAGCCATAACTGCGATTGTCACCACGCCTTTGCCTAGAGGAGGGCCACAAAACCCGATTCATATTTTACTCGATCTTTCTAGTCGCTTAAGCGTCTTTATGTTTTCTACACGGCGGGACATGTGCGCTTCATGATCGTCAGAACAGGCCATTAGACTGAAGTGAATGATTGTTGCTAGCTATGTCGCGCCCTCAAGTCAATAAATTCGTGCAGGTCAGCTGGTTGAGGTGGCGTTTATCATAAGGAGTGCCTGCCAGCCTGCACTGTATAACTTTTTGCCAAGATTACGGTTTCTCGTACCTAAAATGAACTTAGCTTATAGAACGGTGTCAGTTATTTGTCGTGTTCCGTTCCCTTCGAGTTCCCAGGCCATATTTGAAAACGAACACGAACCCTATCACACTGCCTCAAAAAATCAGTGAATACAACACTGTTTGCACGCGAAAATACTTGTACGCCGAACAGACTATGTAGTTACATGACTTTATGTACAAAAATGTCCATTGTAGTGCCTACGAGTAGTCTCTTTGCTGAGTTGTTCATTGCTCGCGTATAAGATGGTGGGCAGAGTAAGAGAAATGAAGACAAGCTGCCAGCAGGCTTGTACTTCTCCCCGCACTTGAAGGGCGTAAAATGGTTGTACCCTGGCAAAGGTTAGACGTATGTAGACAAATGGGACAAGCGAGCGTCTGAACAAGCTTGAACCCACTTCTCTATCTGCCCTCGGTCATCCGTGCGTCGGCAGTGTCGTGATGGGTCGTCATCCAGTCTTTGCTCACTTTTTGAACTGATGCATCAGCGGGCGAAGCGAAGATGGATATGCGTTGAGCGTCGTTCGTATGGAGAAGGGTGGAGAAATAATCATGGTGTTACAAGAATGTCGCGAGTGACCGTTCCAGAAGTGAAAAACAAGACCAATTGGGATCAGAGTGCGTGAGAGCGCGATGGAAACGGAAGTGTACAATCAAGCTTCGTGCGGCATTTTTATTTTGACAGCGAAGTGTCGATTTAGGCGATGAATACAGTGCTGATAGGGATCCTGGAATCCCGGCCAGCTTCTTTGAAGGAACCAATTGGCACCACACGGGGAACTTCAAAATACGATGGCGAGCGCTGACCGGTTGCTGGACCGAAGGAGACGCGGGGAGCGACGATGCGTTGAATTTGGAAGAGTTTGAGCGTCTTAGGAGCTGAAAAGTTATTCCTGGCACAGAGTTGAAGCGTTTGATACCACTATCCGAAATATACCACCTCAAGCTCCTCAAAAAAGCGAACAAGATTTAGAGAAGAAAACATTGGAAAAACGAAAAGGAACGAGGGAACGTTATACAGCAGCAGTAGCAGCAGCAGCAGATGTCGACAGATGGAAATCAAGCGCATAAATAACAAAAAGACTGTTTCTGTCCAGCATCAAAGGCCTATCATTTTCCTAGATGCTAAAACTCGTCGGATCCGTCTGAATCCTCACGAGGAGGTTCTCCAGTAACTGGGACGAGGTTATGCGATGCCTGAGAAGATTGCGAAGCAGTCTCGGGAGGTGGAGATAAGGGACGCTCCATATTATGGACCATTGCCTGACCAACAACATTTGCAGAGGCCTCGGGGGTACTACCGACACTAAGAGATATCTTCTCGTTAAGCGCTCGAAGCCTCTGTACTTCGCCTTCAAGGGCTGCGAGCCGTGTCTGCATCTGTCGCGTCGATTTGTCCAACTGGATAATGTAGTTCGTGGCTGGACACATATTACGTGAATATATGCGCTGGGATTCTGAAACAGTAGATGAAACCTACCACGCTCAAGTAAAGATACTTTGCTACTCTTCTGGTTGGAAACAGGAAGGACGTCCTTTAGTCTCGCGTATCCGTCCCTGAGTTCATCTCTTCGCCTTTGTTCCGCTTCAATGCGCTGGCGTCTTGTGGCTTCCTTCCTGTTGTGAGCGATTTCTTGTACAACGGACATCATGTTATTGTGTTCGTCGGAATCAGAGTCAATGGAACGTCCACGGCGGCGGCCGGAAGACGAATTCGATGGCGACGGCGTCGGATTATAGCGCAGAGGATTCCTATGTACAAGACTGCCGCCGCGAGAAGATGCCGGAGAGGTAGTACCACTGGAGTTCCTCGAAATGTAGATGCCGTCGGCCGAGGTGTCAGATCCAGAAACTGGGGGGGACAAAGGGTCGTAGCCCGGAGATTGAGGAGGAGGAGGAGACGCGTTGAGCGGGAGATTTAGGTTGGGGGGCGAAGACGGAGGATAGGCTGGGTTAGGGTAGGGATGGTTAGGCATGAGGCTAAGGTTGCGGAACTGGAAAGCTTGTTGCAGCTCTCCGGCCGACATTTGGCCTGCAAAACAAAGCGCAATGTGAGCAGAGGAAGGGCAGGCGGCAGACATGAGGTTATGGAGAACCCACGCGGCTGGTGTGCGTTGGGCACGACTTCGTAATTGGGCATCTGGTGCGCAAAAGGCATCGACGCGTAGGCCGGATCGGCTGTTTCTGGATGATAAAAACCATACGGCGGCTGGGCAAGAGCAGGGTCGTGCTGCATCTCGATGTGTTCTTGGGGGCGGGGGTGCTGCTGCTGGTGCTGATGATGGGGGATGTCCATCGTCTAGATATTGCGAGGTGGAATGCGAGCGGAGACGGAGAGATGGATGTATGCGGATCGTCTACAGCGTCGTACGGGTCGTCGTGTTGGTCGTCCGAGTCGTCGAGCGTCGTAAGCGAGTGGGGTGAAGGGGAGAAGAGGGAATCTTGGGGCGGCAAGGCTGATGCCTCGAGGCCTACCTTAAGTAAATCGAACACGAGGCGGCTTTGGCACTCATATATCTATTTGCCGCTATTTGGCTGCTAGACTCTATTCTATTTGCACAACATATAGCCTGCGTTACGTAACTGATGTCTTCTCAGCCACATTCATTGATTCAATTTGTACAATGGCCCTGTGTGTGCTACAAACTCTGTTTATTTATGTCCCGGCCTGTGTGAATCCAATCCTCTCTGCCGCCTATCACCCTCTCTTAGTAGTACTCGTCCCGACCGGGGGATCTGCGCCGCTCGCCATCGTCTTCTAGGTTCAGACGCTCCGCTCCGAACGTCTCATCATTTCCATATTCTCCACGACCTCCATCATATCCGCCGCTGTAACCTCCGCCACGGCCGTCGCCGCCACCTCCATAACTACCGAAGCCTCCTTCATCGCCGGTAGACTCGCGAGGCGCTCCTCCGTAGCTGCCGTAACCCTCATCTCTAGGCGCTTGCCGCCGATCATAACCTTCGTCGCGTGTTTCGCCTCCATAGCCTTCACTACGTCCGTACTCGGCTCCTCCACGTCCGTATCCGGTCTGAGAATATGACGGCTGGTAGCCTTCCCGAGAATATTCCGGTTCTTCTTGCTGACGGCCTCCGTGATACCCACGACCGCCATATTCCTCGCCTTCGCCTCTGTTGGCAGAACCGCCATAGGAATCGTAAGAAGACGTCTCGAGGCGACCCGAACGGCCGTAGGACTCGGACTCCTCCCGCCCATAACGAGTGTTACCTCCGTAACCTGGCAAACGCATTCAGTGTTCACTGTAAGTATCAGTATAGACATGCTAGAATAACGCACCGTCACCGGTATCCTCACGTCCGTAACGTGTCTCTGTACGACGAGAGTACGAGTCCTCAGAACGTCCATAGTCTGAATCAAAGCGTCAGCACAAGTACAACTACGTATCTCTGAATCACTTCACTTGCCTTCGCTCTCCTCACGGCCCCTGTAAACTTCTTGGCGCTGTCCATACGTATCTTCACTGCATCGCGATGTGTAATCGTTATCGCTCTGACGACCTCCGTACGTGTCCTGAGCTCTGCCGTATGGCTCCTCATCGCCACGTCTGGAGTATTGTCCAGCATTCGATGAATACTCTGGGTCGTTCTGGCGACCACCATAAGGTTGTCTACCCTGACTATATGCTCCATCCTTGCCATCATCTCGACGTGAGTAAGAACTCGTATCGGTGGTCCCACCGTAACCTAGGCGCCATGTTAGCTGATTCGTCGCGTTAGACATGGCTATCTAGAGCCCACCTCCACCAGAATAAGTTTCCCGACCGTAACCGGAGCTCTGCGTCTGCGGACGCTGCTGTGTGTACGTGGGTGCTGCGCCCGGCTCCCCAGACCCATCATCAGATCCTGGGCGTTTGTTTTTACCTTCACGGACGCTTTCCTGATAATTTCTTGTCAATACTAGTCGGAAGGCAGCGAATCAACAGGATCACTACCTTGGTCAAAGCTTGAATAATTTCGCTTCCCTCGCTCTCTCCCAAGCCACCAAACCAACGTTGCATTTGGTCCATCATTGCGTTTTGGATTCTTGATCTACCTGTGGCATAGTATGGGTGGTGGAAGGCCTCCAGGATCTGGTGCAAACATTGAATGTCAAATGCATTTGATAGGGCTAACAAACATACCTCGTCGATCACACGTCTGGGATGCTCGTCGTTGAACCAAGCCTAACAGAAATGAAAAGACGTCAAGAAAGACAAGATAGATGGCCTTACTTGAACAATAAGATTAACACTGTTCTCAACTACAACCTGAGCAATCTTTCCAGCTGGCTCGTTCAGAATAAGCGAGAAATGGTCCTTGGACAAGATTGAATGACTAGGGTCACTGGCGTTGGGATTACTGATACGATGAGGAGAGTTAGCTTCCTAAGAATTCTATACAATCAACCTTGCACTCACTTGAACACCTGTCAAAATCACCAAATCGTTGTGTCTGCTAGCCATGCTCAACCAAGGGAAATACTAACCTCATACTGATCGTCAGAATCGATGACCGCTTTGCTACCCTCGCTGAGAGCTCCAGTGACTTGTTGCATGATTGGCTATGCAAGGCAAAAATAAGCTAGTTAGATGGAACAAAGGATCAGCCGGGCTCACTGTCAGCCACGGAGCCAGGAGTGTATATATATCTATAGAATAGACGCCATTAGTCATTTCAACAGGAGTTTCATTGGTGGGAGAAACAACATACACGCATTCAGCGCATTGGTAAGTTGGTCAATTAAGTCATTCAACCCTGGTATCATTTCCATCTTCTCGACGATGTCTCGATAGACACCATCCCGCCATCGAAGAATTTGAAGTAATTGATCTTGGACCTCCTTTGGTGCATACTTATCTGGGTTGAAGTCGAAAGCCTTCTGCTTGAGATTCGCAGCTTCATCCGCCTTCTCAGATCCGCCGCCAATGGGGAGCTTGCTGAGGATAGCTCTGAGTCCCTCAAATGAAGAATCGGCATCTCCGGACTGGGGATAACATTTATAATTGTGCATCATCAGCTAGAAGCATTTACACACCTGCTTCATTTTGTCGAACAGGTTCGTAACACTTGCTTCACTGATATGACTGTAGAGACAGGTCAGAGTACTGCAGAGCAAGGGCGCATATGCACTGACTCGGTTGCTTCGCCCATGAGTGAGTGGATGAAGTCAGCACTACCAAATGTACCAGTGATTAAAGGTGGTGCTGGGCCGTCGGGCGTTTGAACGATCACTGGAACAACCATCAATTCAAAATAATGCATATCTAGCAACGAACATACCATTGTCACCGACGTGGCAGAAAACCTCAGAGTGACCCATTTTTCTCAAGGCAATCTCGCACCAATTGCTATGCGCGAGTAGGTCTTCCATCGTGTGTAGACCTGTACCCAAGAGCCGATAAGCCTCCCAGAGATCACTGCCCTCACGGCCTCGTGCACGTCTGCCGTACTCGATGCAAGCCTCAAACGTGCGGCGAATATGAGCAGTAGACGTATCCCATCCTTCGTTTTCGGTTGCCATGTAATTCTACACATGGCTTAGGGCAGTCTTTGTGTTATTATGAGGAAGTAGATTACCTTCATTCCAGTGCGTTCATCAATTTCAAGTTCGCGTGAATCAACTGGGGGCCTCAGTTTGGGATGGAACTGTCGGGCGTCTCCTTCTTTCTCAGCATATCCTCTGAGAATATGTATGTCGGTTTTGGTTAAAGAACTTGAAAAGTTAAAACATACTTCGGATTGTCGATATGTTCCTATGTACGAATATTAGCGGTAATGTATCGATACAGGTAACACAAACTTACGACAGGCAGATATACGGACAGCCTGTCCGCTGTGACTTCAAACTCTTCCGTTGCAAAGCCGAATGTCTAGTCGGCACATTTATAAAAGTTTCCCATAGCTACTGGCGTAATTGTATGCGCACCATGAACCCCAAAACAGAGATGATCATGACAATAGTTTCCGCAGATAATTTACTCAGACCCGCAATGTCCATCGCCTGCAAAAGGTAGGTTCGAGCTAAGTAACTAATCCAAATAATAGGCGACCTGACCTGTGAATAATCTCGAAGCCAGTTGCCCTGGATTAACGGATTTCACGTATCAGAACTATTCGCTTATTTTGTGATGAAGTAGATACTTGCGAAATAAACACGCTTAACGTCCAATCGTCCAAACTTCTCGCCGCCTTTAGCACTGGATAGGACTGAAGATGCGAATCCAAGAAGGCCACCTCCAGAAGCGGCACCCGCTACGGTCTTTGCAAGATTCTCAAGGATCCCCTCGATATCACCATGTCGGAAGGCCTTGTCTGTTGACGTCGCGATTTGAAACAACGTTACTGAATCGATAGACTCAGAGCAATCAAATATATGGTCATACCATTCAAATAAGAGAAGTCCGGTATGTCTCCGGCACCGAAGGCATGTACACCTACTGGTGCGCAGAGGATGAAAATCGTGCAACTTAGAATAATTGCTGTTAGTGTATGCATGAATGCTGTCGATGATGGTGGTCACTGGATAAAAGAGTTGATAGATCGCGATGTATCTAAGTGCCCTAGAAACAACTATGACTCTGCCAAGCCTTTCTGCAACGCACGTGGATTTTGATCTCTTCTTCTGTGGGGACAAATTCCTGAAGCAGATTGGACTAGTCAGCATAAGGCTAAGATAAAAGAAAGTAATTATATTGCGGGTAATTCTAGCTATATAGATGTGCAGATATTTACTACATTAAAGCATCGTATCGAGGGGGATTTGTGACCGCATGAGCATCAGGTCGAGTAGACTGGCGTTGATAGGCAAACGTAGATCGTAACGATTGCCCAGCGTTAACAAGTGTCCGTTGAGAAACTCGACCTCCGTTACCTTCTTTCCTTTCTTCAAGTCCGCCAACATCGACGACATGTTGTTCTCAGTGATCTTCGCCACGCGCTTGCATTCATCGATAAGGGCACCGTTTGATAGCTCCGGGGGTATGTAGACGTCTTTGAGAGACGTTCCCTCTCGACGATTTGCCAAGGCCTCTGCTCTGAATACTAACGACGCTTCTGTGCAAACTCGATATGCCATGCGCCCTCCGGCCTCGTGTTCGAACAGTTCTCCATTGCGACAACCGAGTATCGCGGTAAGCGGATTTATGACACAATTAACGACTAGCTTTTGGCGTAAGATGACTTGCATGGTTGAGAATGGTTCCCAGGAGGTACGCAGCGCCGACACTTTTTGCAAAACTGCGACTGTGTTGCGAAGTGACCGGTAGCGCGTGACCTCGTGGTCGCCCTTTGGGAGTGCGATGTCGTTGATATGAAGGCGTGGCTTATGGCCGTCATTATCCGAGGCGTGCAAGCTCTTCTCGAAGTCTCTCCTCCCATCAGGCACGATACCGAAGCGTAGTTGTCCAATCCCAGCGTGGACAATGTGGAATGGTGCACGCTTGAGCCAGATGCCATGAGTGTTGGAGACGAGTATGATATTGGGACGGTTCGCAGGGTTCGTGAAGACTTTCTCCATAAGGAGCTCGTGCACCCTGAGGTTCCCGTTCTGCAACAGGACAATCGTGCTGTCTGATGACAGTCGGTGTTCCACTTCTTTGATTGCAGGCAGCGTCGACTGCGCTTTACATGCGACAAATAAGGAGTCAATGTGTCTTTCTTCGGCAACCTCCTCTTCTTCCGACACTGAAGTTGACTGCAACTCATCTCGCGACGGTACAACAGGTCCACTCCATCGTGCTTCCTGCAAACCGTTCCTGTCATCCCCAGGAGTCTGTGGCGTTGAAGAAAGCCAGGAGTTTTGAGGAGGTCGTGATGATTCTGTCTCGAATCCCGCGACAGAGCTGACAACCCCGTCGTATTCGACGTGAAGTGGTAAGCCGCGCATGCGCCTTGCGTATGTTCGGTCCTTGAACATAATACTAACGGCATGCTTGGGAGACAGGCTTCGCCGCAAATGAAATGCGATGAGCTGACCAACGGGTCCCAGACCAAGGACATGGAATCGCATGTCACTTCGATACTGCCGTTACTGGCTGCTCGCACGAACATGAAATCCTGAAAGCAGCATAGTTTTTCATAAGACAACTCAGTGGTTCAACAGGCTTCTCCACTTACCGACAAGTTTGGGGACCGAAAATCGTGTTATAGAGGCTTAATGCACTCACGTTTCCATCTCAAATGTGCAACGCAGTGTGGAGCTATTGGACCGATTGGCCAAACTTTTTGAAAGGTATGTGACACAGCGATCTTCCATTTTTGGCCGTGAGATTCAATTTCCTGGAACTCGTTATACTGGCCGGCCCGCTGTATCCCGGTTCAGAAACGCCATATGAATCAGTATTTTGTCAAGTTCCAAGATTGCAAAGTTCTAGAAAATTACCCCGAGCTGACTCGTAGCTGCGCTGTTATTTTTGTGTCCAAGGAAGATTATGCAAGTTCTCACATCCATTTAGCTCGTCAAAACCACGGTTTAGGTACTAATACTAGTCTAATAGGGCGTGAATGCTGCAGTGATCTTACGCCAGACCATTCGCAAATATACAACATATTTGGATAAGCTCCAGAGCGGCGCTCGGAGTACGAGTAGATTATCCCTCTCAAGAACGGATTGGTTTGCACAGTATAACTCAGAGCGACCAGCCTACCTAGCGTTAGCGGCGCTACAGCAATAACGCATGTACCTAGTAGCACATAAAGAAATCTAGTTTTCGGAGATGATGCACACCCTCAACGCAATGGAGTCACGTTTCTTCGTTCCGGCATTGCCGTCCCGCCTCGGGCACAATTCCGCTCCTGCTTAAATATACCAGCCATTCATACCAAGTACCCCGACAATTTCCCGTCGCTATCTGATTCTCCCTCTTTGCAACCACCATCATCACCAGCGAGAAACCATGTCGTCCGTCGTACTCAAGAGGACTGGCCAGAAGGTACGCGTTCACGTATTATTTTCTCAGCTCAGATACGCTGACTAGTCGCTATTAGATGCCCCTCGTAGGGTGAGCTCCACATCCTGAACAGCAACGCATATAGTCTACTAATCATTGTCTTCTGCTCAAGCTTCGGACTCTGGAAGGTGCTTCTGCTCTTTCGAACTCGGTCAAGTATCGCATACTAATAATGGTTGCTGATCCAGGTCAATAGAGACACTTGTGCAGATGTGAGCCCAACTTGAACCAGCATATAACATATTGATAATTTATGTATCATGATACAGACTGTGTATAACGCTATCAAAGTCGGATATCGTCTATTTGATGGTGCCGGCGATTATGGCAATGAAAAAGAGGCTGGCCAGGGTGTTGCAAGGGCAATCAAGGATGGTCTTGTGAAGCGCGAGGACTTGTGTGAGTAGGATACTCAATACTGCGTCCTTGATCCTATTTTAACACAATCGCCCTAGTCATCACATCAAAGGTATCTGACCGTCTATTTCTCTCCATGGAACAATATATTTACCTGGACGGAAGCTATGGAATACCTTCCACGCACATGACCATGCGAAGGCTCTGGCGAAGTACCAGCTTGGCCTATGGGGGATCGATTACTTTGATCTTTTCTTGGTTCACTTCCCAATCTCTCTGCAATATGTAGACCCTCAGCACCGCTACCCCCCTGAATGGTGGGGCGACGATGGAAAGGTTCACCTCGGTGATTAATTATTTTATTTGAGATGGGGAGAAAAGTCTGAATATTCGAACTGTAGCAAACGTTCCCTTCCAAGAGACATGGAGAGCGATGGAGGAGTTCGTTGATGAAGGCTTGGCAAAGAACATTGGCATTAGGCAGGTTCTCTCACGAAGATTGGCCGGTTTAGAAGGCACTAATGTCTTTCTACCAGTAATTGCCAGGGTTCTTTAATCCTGGATATTCTTCGTTACGCCCGTATCGAGCCTCAGGTCCTTCAGGTCGAGATTCATCCTTATCTGAATCAAGAGGCTCTCGTCAAGCTATGCAAGCTGCTCGGAATTGCTATCACCGCGTATTCGTCATTCGGCCCCCAGAGCTACCTAGAACTTGGCGTGAATAAGGGTGTCGCTAGTCTCTTGCAACACGACGTGGTTTCTGCGATTGCTAAGTCTCACGAGAGATGTGAGTTACTATTCCTGATGAATCACCTGTGATTGATACAATCGTTACATCCGTAGCTACTGCGCAAGTTCTCCTTCGTTGGGCGACGCAGCAAGGCATTGCCGTAATTCCGAAGAGCAACGATGCTGCGCGGTTGGCTTCTAACCTAAAATGCGACGACTTCAACCTATCGGAGGCTGAGATGAAGCAGCTTAGTTCGATGAATATCAATCTGCGCGTAAGTAAACGCACTGTCAGTGGGATTCTTGAGTGCATGTTAAACTGGTACATCGTCTAGCTCAATGACCCGGCGGATATCGACCCACGTCTCGGTATCTTTGCTTAATTATGCCCCCATCCTGATGGACTAGAGTAAATGGTGCCATACGATTTCTTTGTTCCGATAGTGTTAGAAAAAGTGAAGTAGCAGAACTTCTCGATGCTATCTGCGGCTGGTCAAGAAAAAATGTTATCTGTGCTGTATTACTTTTATTCAATCACTGCGGTTGACTGCGGTAACTGCGGTACAGTGACTGCGTGGCTGCGCTTAAATGATATGATTATGTATGATTCGGTCCGTGGAGGTGATCTCCATGCGATCGGAGTCTGAATTCTGCATATAAGGGCCGTTGCGTCACGTCATTCGGAGCTTCTGCATCACTTCCAACAATCATGCCCTACCAACTCAAGCTCACCAGACCTGGAGGTGAGACGAGGCGGCTCACTTTCGCCGCCCAGCCTTCATGGTTAGAATTGGAGTCAAGGATTGCATCGCTCTTCAACATACAAGAGGGAGCCGTGGCGGTCAGCTACGAAGACAACGATGGTGACATTGTCACAATGAGTTCACGGGAGGAGCTGCAGGATTACTTTCAGACATCATACAAGCACGGCCAGATTGCCAAATTCTCAGTAATTGACAAGACTCAGAGCCAGCGCCCGGCACGTTCGGCTTTTGTCGAAGATCTGGATGAGCAACCTGACGACGGTTTGCCAACAATGGGGCCAACGATGTTCGTCGAGGTGGACGATGGTGGCTGGCAGCACCTTCCGCGAGTTCGTGAGATGTTCAGCGTACATGAGGAGGACGGTCGCAATGCATCTGGAGAAGGGCACGCGTTCGTTGAAGTTGTGGATAGCGATGCAGAGGGCTTAAGGAAAGGCAGTGACCCTGCATCTGGTGAACATACACCCAAGAATGGCATTAATACGCGTCAATCCCGTTACAAGGGAAAACAGAGAGTTTCTGCGCACTCTGAAGCGACAAAGTCAACATCTGCAACATCCGTTGTTGAGAATGACTTCCCGACAAAGCCGCCAGTTCACGTTTACGACGTTTCTGACATAGGAAGATCTCCTCGTAGTTCAGTTCAAGGTATATCGTTCTTTATGTTTTATCCGCATGGGGTGCTCATATGCTCTTCCTCTTGCGTAGATCGAGTGGAACAATCATCGCTTGGCGGTCCGGGCACTGAGAACTTCATGGGTTCATTTGGAACGGTGTATCCGGTAAATCCTCCACGTGATGCTTTCATGCACGTTCCTCGAGCGGGTGAGACGTATAGTACAAGCGAGAACGAGCCGTTCCGTGGCTCGTCTTCTGTCGGTGCCGATTCTCTCCAACCGGGGCAAATTCCTTCTCTTGATCTCGAAGAACCTCCGTTGGGTCCCAACGGAACTGGAGGAAGCCGTACTCCTACTCTCGGGCAGACACCAGAGCCTCAACCGTCATTCGTCCGTGATGTCGCAGACTTCGTTGATAATATGACGATTGCCTTTGTGGCTCACCCAGAACTCTCGGAGGGGATCCGCAATATCGTTAGGAATGCTGTGGGTGGTAGATATTGGAACGCAGAGCGTGATAGAGTTACCGCTGTAGCAGAAAATGTCAAAGCTGCTGCCGAAGACACCTCGGCTCGTATATCCCAAGTTGCTGGGGACATGGCGAACAATGCCGAAAGAGATGCAGTTCGCATGATTTCTGAGGCTCTCGGAGGCGTATTTAGGGTGATAGGAGAATTAAGCGGCGCTGAAGTTGGCAATCAATCTGCAAACGGTCCTGCTCCTCCTGTGACCAGACCACTTCCCCCGCATCCGCCGCCTCCACCGCCTCCAATGTTTCGTCCGCCATGGCCACCAATGCACCGTCATCATCATCCGTTCTCTTTCCCATTTGGGCCAGGTCATCGTCATGGATTGCACGACGCCTGGAATGACCGCCGTCGTGGCCGGGGATCGCCTCATCGCCCCTATCCTGCACCAGGCCAGGAACTTAGTTATCGTCTGCCCGAGCCGGGAACGCGTGGGATGGACCCCTCTCACTTACCTTGGTCCGACCCGATGGATTATGCTCAACGAGACAGCACATGGGGACCGGGTGCATATGCACCATATTACTATGGTGGTCCCGCCTACGACAATGTCGATACTGAGGCAACTCAACCAAATATACATGAGACTAAAGCGCAACTCGAAGCTGCGAAGGCTATTTACAAATTTGAGAAAGACCGATTCAGGCGAGAGAAAGAGGAGCGTCGGAAGCAGAGGCATGAAATTGCCGAAAGGAGAGCAGGACAGAATCGCGGTCAGCGCCCCGAGTAGGACCATTTTCTCTTTCTTTACGTATACTTTTTCTGACACCATTTTCTCCATCATTCAGTGGTACTTCTCGGGAAGAAGAAATTATAGCCAGCATTCCATTTCACGACTCTGTGAGAGGAGGGCCGTCAAAGGGCAGGCAAACCGAGTCTCCCGCTATCCCACCACAGACGTCTGGTGCTGTGCCTAGTGTAAAGTCTGCGACCCATGTGCCTTCTGCCCAAGCAGCGCAGCGCACGTCTTCTCGCGATTCTGTTATGAGCAATCCTATACATTACGCTGCTAGTCCTGTACCGCCTGTTCCTCCGGTCCCTGTTCCGATAGATATAGTCTCGCCAGCGCCACCAGCACCTCCCATACCGCCTGTGCGACCATCCGGGTTTATTCATACTGTCCAGATGGTTCCTAACATTGTGCCTCAATCGGGCCATCCTGTCTCTCCCCAGGCGTCTCGAGCTCCATCTGGGCCGGGTCCATTCTCGTGGCCTGCGCCGCCAGCTCGCGACCCTTCTCGACGAGCGCAGTTGGCAACTCGTCGGGACAGAATTCTGACGCGTCTCTTTGACATGGGCATCCAGGCACCATCGCAACCGGATATGATGGATATTGTTAATGCGTGTACTAGCCGCGATGACTCTGCTGACGACGATGAGGTACTTGCAGATATCTTGGCGGCGATAAACATTCGCAGCAGCCCATCTCCACGCGTTGGCAGTTCTGGATTACCCCACTAATTCGACCAATATGAATCTGTTATTTCTTGACTTATGCCAAATTAAGGCTTTTCAGTATATCTTGGGGTGTTATCGAGATTGCGAATCTGTGTTGCTATGTACGATATCTGGTGTTATAGTAGTGAAGAATTTTGTATGCCTTGTATTTACTGCAATATGATACTGTCGGCGATATAGTGTGTCTTATCGATGCGGCTTGTTTCATTGAGGGTGCATATGGGTGTCAGTATATTGTTGTTGGCAGACAAAGGGACGCCGTCGATCATGGATATATTGGGCCAAACAGAGTACCATAAAATAATGTGATGCTAGGCCTTGTTCACCGATATCGGTCAAAATCTAGGCAGCAGATACAGATCTGACACTGTTAATAATATTTGAGGTAATCGTACGTGAAAAGATTTTGAATCTGGCTGTAAATTCTCTTGTAATTGAGGTGAAAGGGCTCAAAGTTGTTGCCGTGTGTAGCCAATTGCCGGTAGGAAGTCAAAGGAACACTGAGCCCTCATCGCGGTACAGATCTGAATGTTGACTTTCGTTGCACTTGCACATTCGATCTAGGACTACTGGCCACTCGAAATTTACAAGACCTTCCGGTTGAACGGGTTGCGACGACAGGCAATCGGCAGACTCCAGTGGACCTACTAGTGAAAACACCTCAACTTTGCCGCGAGTGTAAAAGTGGATCGTTTGGAATTTCTTTATAATGTGCCATGCTTGTGGATCATGGACTGCTACAACATACCCCGCCTTGCTCGTTTGGCCCCACCCCGACACGAATACATCTCGAATACTACTCATAGAAGTCCACCAGTCACCTAGCTGCTCATTTTCGAATCATCGTGCTATAGATGCAGCGCAATCTTCAGGAACAGAGCACTGTGTCCTTCGACGAGGAAAATCGCGTCTTGGCGCGTGACACGGAAGCGTTCCTACGAGAAGCTCTCTCATCTCGAAAGTTTGTTCTGCCGCCTTGGTCGAGGCAGGACACGCTGGTCCAAGTCGCATGTTATGCACAACGCATTCGTCAGCTGGAGGCGGATCGCAGGCGGCCTCATAAATGGGAGCTGGTCTACGATCTCGCCAAAACGAAGGCCGTATACTTGCTAATGAGATGGAGACTATTTCGGTATCCCATTCCATCCCACCTCACCTGTCCTCACCTGTCCTAATTCTTGTCCTTTCCAGGATCAATGATTTCCCAGTTGAGATTATACAACGCATATTCGAGCTTGTCGTAGCATCTCCTACATTTCCTGAAATCTCGAAATCGCGCATTAAGTTGGCCTCGGTATGTTCGTATTGGCGGTCGATTGTTATCAACACTGCAAAGCTTTGGAGCGACATTGTTATCAACATGCGGCCCCCATTCCACCTATTCCGTCTAAGCCTGCAGCGCGCAAAGGCCCATCCGCTGACTCTGTTTGTTGACCAAAAGGATCCTAACTGGGTGAGTTATCGCGAAATAAAAAGTATTGGATATTTCATTTAACTGACGGACTGCTTCATTCGGATTATCCCATGAACTCGTGTAATTAGACCGGTTCCGAAAATCATCATCGTTTAAGTCCAAAAGACATGAGAGCATTGATGTCTGTCATAGCATCATGTCTTGATCAAGTTCGGACACTCATCATCCATGCGGATACGTGGGCCGTTATAGGGGCAGCTGAAGAAATACTTCAGTCAGCGCCTCCTCCTCGCCAACTGCAACGTCTCGAGATCCGCAGAACCGGAAAAACATATGTCCAGTTCATCGCTCCGGCGAGACCACCCCCTGGAATAACCTCTCCGTTTAGACTCTTTGGTGGTCGCCATGCACCTACGTTGAAGCATATCTCTTTCAGCGGCCTCTATATTGATTTTGCACCTGCTTCCTTCCGCGACCTCTGTGTTTTTGAGATGCGAAAGATGGCAGTGGAGCAGATGCCAACCTTATCAGACTTCCTCCCTGTCTTGCAAGCGTCGCCGCGTCTGGAACGACTGGTGTTCGACAGCGCATGTCCTCAGCTCACGGGGCTCGGTTCCAGAACCAGTATATCTGGCTGCCTACCGATACAGCTGGCGTATTTGCGTGATTTCGAACTAAGCAGTCTGACACCAGACTACGCCATATATATCCTCCAAGTCTTCCAAGCGCCCGGATTAAAACGACTGACGTTGGAGCGATTGCTGCACGAAAACTACAACCCGTTCGTGCTGAAGTTAATAGGCAAGTTCCCAGAAGTCACAGTGCTGACCGTGAACGGACTTGGAGCAACGAATACCGGTGATCTAGTAGCGTGGCTACGCACAATGCGAGTACGCTATCTGAGGGTGGCTCGTGTTGCAAATGAGTTCTTTGAAGCCTTGGCGACTCGAGCGCCAGTATACCCCGTCGATCCAACGACTCGCGTACCCGGATGGGACTTTGTTTGCTCTCGTCTTGAATCATGCGAAATCCTCCTCTGGACATCTATTGGACCTGCAGCTTTTAAGAAATTTTGCAGTGAACGGCGATCAACACTACGGAGGATTCTCATCTCACAGGCGGCCGCGGAGGGTATACAATCGGCAGATAAAACATGGCTTGTAAAGACAGGGATTCTGAATTTCATCCCTCCAGGAGCATTGCCGCATCTGGATGAGCGGTATGATAGAATAATGTAGCTGTTAGTCTGGTCGAAATATAATGTACTCAGTACTGTTACGTTGTAAATACTAAATACGATGATGAAACCATGCCGTGTCCAGAAAAGGCAATATGATCGCCTGCTTGAGAGTCGCAATTTTTGTTGTGAACTCTGCTGCTCAAGTAAGTTCTTCCGTCGAGTCGACAATCGGGCCTGCCTCCCTCCACATTTCCATTTACCTCCCTCATCAATGTCAACCACGGAACAACCTGGGAGTGAGGCAAAAATTTCGAGGTCTTCGTACTCGTCCAAAGAGAAGGGGAAGGAGAATCCAAGAAAATCTGACAGGACTGGTAGGAATGCCCTAAAGGGAGTACCCGTAGCGTCCTCGGAATACGGAGCAGAAGAGGAGCCTGAAGGAGATGAGGCAGAATGGCCATGGATGACGCTGGCTGAATCGAACGTTTGTTCACGGCCTCCAGTTTTCACGATCGATGGAAAGTAAGCCGAGTCCCGTTTCGACCCTTTCCTGTACATCTTATTTTCTACGATTGTAGCTATTTCTTTTCTATCATTGGCGCAGCAGTCAGAATATACTCTGTTGCAACGGGGAAAGTCGTCTCAACGCTGTCGTCTTCCTCAATGGGCAGTTCAGCGTCTCGCGTAACTTCTGGTGAAGGGCACTCGGACGTCATTACTTCCGCTATTCTCAACCCAGAAAACCCCTTTCAGCTCCTCACAGCATCTCTTGACGGTGATATAAAAATTTGGGACTTCCTTGATGCTGTTCTACTCCAGACCATTCATGTTGGGAGACCGATATCTCACATGTGCTCGCACGGCAAGTTCAAGGGCCAGGTTTTTATTGCTGTCCCAACAAAATTAAAGAAATTTAGTTCCCGTGCGTGATATCCCGCGATTACAACTCAGTGCCATGTTCTCATTTATCACAACAGAAGCTCACGACAAGGGAAATACTATGATTTATCGTATTTCTTTGACCCCGAGGGAATCAACCTCATCCCAGCACACTAAGCCTTCTGAGATCGTTCGCGTAGGAAAGACCAAGGCTACTGTATCAATGGGAATCTCGCCAAGTGGATCCTGGCTGGTTGTGATTGCAGGGCATAAGGCATACGTTTCGCCTACATCCTCTCCAGAGTCCGGTTTTACCAAATTCGTGTCGCCCGAGAAACTCACTAGCTTTGCTTTCCACCCTATTGAGGATTATTTCGCAACTGGTGATGAAAAAGGCCATATCAGACTTTGGTACTGTCTTAACGACCAGATGACTGCGAACACAGCGGGCGAAAGACGAGCGCAGACGACGACCATGCATTGGCATGCTCACGCCTTGACATCGCTTTCATTTACCAGGAACGGTGCTTATCTTCTGAGCGGAGGGGAAGAAAGCGTACTTGTCATCTGGCAGCTGCAAAGTGGCAAAAAGGAATTTCTCCCACGTCTTGGTTCACCTATATTAAACATTACTGTGCGCACAACGGATGAAGGAGAAGAGTATCTTCTAGGATTAGCAGATGGGACTTACTTGTTCATAAACCCTGGTTCTCTAAGTGTCAGCCGCTCCATCTCTCGCATTCGGTTAGGTGAGCAAACACGCAAGATAAAAATTTTATCAATGTGCTGAATTATGTGTAGATCCGAAAGGCATGGGCCGACCGCCGCATACACCTGTTCCGCTAACTGCTCATTCAAGGACTTCTACTCTAATTCTTCCCGCGTCATATCCATCATCGCTTCAGATATTCTCTCCGAGTACTTCGGAGTTGTCGGAACTAGAGATTTCTTCGTCTAACAGGGTATCTCGGCGTGATACAAAAGACATAGAAGCTGCTCGCGTCGACTTCGTGGCAGTCAGCCCCTCAGGCGATTGGATGGCAACTATAGATGTTCGCGATAATGAAGAAGAATTTAGTGCCGAGATGAACCTGAAGATCTGGCAGTGGGATTCTTTAGCATGGTCCCTCAACACGCGGATAGATCGGCCACATGGGTCGAAGAAGATCGTGGCTATTGGATTTTCCCCCTTAAGTGAAGGGAGTAATGATGGGCTCCTAATGACAGTAGGTCTAGACGGGAACGTAAAAATATGGTGTAAACAATCCATCAATTCGAAAACGGGACTCGTGGAGGGTTAGTGCATGATAATTGACACCTAGCCATTAGCTCTGACGTCGTTTTACCCTAGACTTCTGGATAAACCGGTCAAATTTTACCTTCCGCAATGAAGTCCCTTCAGATGCCTGCTGGTCCCCGGATGGATCAGCCCTTGCAGTATGTTTCGGCCGCCAGATCGCACTTTATGACCCTTACACAAGCCACTTGCTCGATTGTTTAACAACAATGGACGTACGAAATATATGGCAAATCCGTTTCGTGGGTAAGAGTGGTCGATACGTTCTAGCAAGTGGTAGGAACAACATAGTCTTATGGGATTTAGTTACTCGTGCAGGTTTGTCTTACGCTTGTCCTTGATTGTCTGGCTTAATTTATATCTTTTTTTTTCGCAGTACGTTGGCACTACTACACCTACTATACTGTTGCACAGGCCTTAGCCCACCCAGTTGATGACCTCGTATGTCTCGTGGTCCAGCCTTACGCCGAGGATAGCGCAATTAGGACGTCAAAAGTTCTGCATTTCGGCCCAAACTCATCAGAACCACTTAACATCCGGTCCCTCCCATTCCGATTCCGCGCTGTGCATTGGAATCCTCTAGACAATAGAAGTCATTCTCTCATCGGTATCACATACTCATGGAACGTTGTACTCTGTGGTAGCGACGCATACATGCCCGGTCAGTTGGGCGATGCGGCACGGCAAATAGACCTAGCTGCTGGCGTGGCCCCAAAGAGAACCCTCTTCCAAGATATCTTTGGCAAGTCGGCCTTTACTGATAGGGATGTAGACACAAAATCGCGTTCGTCTACGGTTGTGTCATCGGAGAACGCCATTAAGAGCAGATCGGGCATGTTATACACCTTTGATGTACCAGCATTTCAGGCCCCTCCCATTGAAACTCTGTATTCATCGTTAATGGAGGGTTTCCTAGCCAAAGCTCCGGAGCAGGAGGAACCTGCTGGCATATCTGAGGATCATGATGGCACCGATGATATGATCGTTGATACAGAGCCCGTACAGAACATTTCGCAACGGGTAGTAGAAGATGCAGAAATCAGTTCCTTGGTTGAGCTCTTCAAAGGTCATTCTGTGAATAGTGAGTACACGAGGTTTCCTACTTTCTTGATGCCCTTCTGACTGCGCCTTGTCATACAGGAACGGCCCAAGTAAGCCCTCCAAATACTGGCGTTGTTAATGGCGTCCATAAAATGCTCACGAACGGGACATACTCGGGCGTTTCTCGATCTCGCGCCTCGACACCAAAAACCCCTCACGCAAGCGAATATGCTAGCAACGGCTCATTAAAATCCACGACTGCACCTAAACAAATTCCTGGCCGTTCCTCGCCTGTCGCTACTGGCAAGAAGCGAAAGAAAAGTACATCATAGACATAGTAGTAAATCAGTTGTTATCTTTTGTCTTGTTTACATCGCATTTTTTACCAGCATGTCAACCAATATATTCCCACTTTGCAAACGACATTAGATCCCTATAAAAACTTGCAAAGAAGAAAAGGCGAGAAACGGAGAGAATGAGAAGATAATACAAGGCAACTATGACTGGTCTTCAGATCGTTCTGCGAGCGAAGAGCCCTGGCCCTTGGTTCTTCAGCTGTAGTAAAGCTAAGGCAACATCGAGAATATCCTTTTCAACAAAGGAACAACCGCTGAAGCTTTCACAGCGCACCAAAGGCCTATGAAACTGATTTTCATTACCGACGGTAAACGATATGTTCTTCACAATATTAGACGAAGGCATAGGCGGTTTTCTATCGGTCCTCTGTCGGCGACGCAAAAACGCATTCCCAAATACTTCAGGCGGACTGCTTTTATGCCGAATCTTCTCGCAGTCGAGGCTGATTCGTACTCTCTTCGTTGTACGCTCGTCATTCATGCACGCCCATTCCAACGAACGACGACCAATCTGCTTTTTAAGAGGACATGGCGTAGTATTGTCAAGTGTGAATGAAGTCTCGGAGTTGTTCGCTTCGGATTCTGTGTCTTCGGGAGATGAAGGCAAGAAGTCCCAAATACCAGGAGGCGCTTTGTCTTGTTCTTGTTCTCGCGCCGATTCAAACTTTGATAAGAGGGAGAAAGGCTCAGAGGAATCTTCAGGAAACTTGAATGTGACTTCTTGAGAACTATCAGCGACGAGTGTTGATTCATTCGGATTGACGTCTCCAAGGACTTGACGCGGTTCCTGGTTTTCCTTATTCGACACTTGATTCTGGAGAAGGCCAACCCGAAGACTCTCGTTGGATTTGTTCGTTGGCCGCCGTTTGTTCTGGAACCAAACCGAGACGACTTTAAGCTCGCTGAAAAAAAGTCCATCCAGAAAGTATTAATGAAACGCAGAAAATACACGTTTAACCTTCCAATAGAATAAATACTTACAGACCAAGTTCCGCTGCGAGAGCACGCCTAGCTTGCAAGGAGGGATTGTTTCCTTGACTGGCAAGATTCTCGAGTGCCAAACGTTGCTGTACTGTAAGCTTACGCCTTGCCTTCTTCTGTACACCCTCTGCTGCCACATCTTGCTCCACATATGCAAAATGAGGCGTACTAAAAAGGAGCTGGGTCTGAGGTGCTTCCTTTTTCGGCATAATGGCAGAAGCAGTTTCAAAAACGTCAAAACTTAATGCTTGCCCATCACCACTGGTATCGTCATGTACTGACCGAGATCCCGCCCGAGCGGAGCGAGTCATACGCCTTGGCGGAAGCATGTCGACACAAGGAGGGAATTTCGGAAGCATAAATGAGACAAGAATGCTACTGGCTTTATAATATAATCAGTAAAGACGAGGCTGACACTAAAAACATGGATCTAGAATAGTGGCTGACCACAACTATCACAATCGCACAACATCGCCTCGGAGTTATCAACAAGTCCCAAGCGTGACTACAGGGTATATCTAAGAGAGTTTGCGGTAACATGTGAAGCGAGGAATACCAAGCGACATACAAGTAAAGGATTGCATCACTTGGCATCCACCAAACCCAATGCAGCCCTTGTTTGGGCCACAAACAGACCCTTTCCCTTAACCATAGGAACTACCCTGTCGCCAAACGTCAGTCCCCAGAGCGCATCTGCAAAGCCTGCACCCTGATTCTAGTAAAACGATTAATGTCAGTAAAACAATTAACATAAAGAAAGAAGACAGCCGTATTGAACCGACCTTGCCGTTTGTGACGAATATGCCTTCCATTGAACCTCCATACGTCTTCTTTGCATCCTTTCCAGAGACGAGGCTGAGAATATTGGGGATGATCACTCCTACGTGCCCTGCAGTCTTTGCCGCCTGCTTCTGTTCTTTGAAAGAGATTATATCGCCGGCGGCAAAGATGTTCGGATGACCAGTCAATTGGAGAGTAGAGTCGACTTTCACGCAGCCTCGATCATCAAGGACGCCCAAAGACTCGAGGTAGGCAGTATTGGGCCTTGGTCCACGTGTGGCAAGCTAATCAGGGTGAAAAGACTTTTTAGTATGTGAGACCTGACAGCGCGCGAAGTTGAACGTACAACTACATCTGCTTCGAATGTTTGTCCATTCTTCGTTGCTACTGAGCTAAATTCACCCTCTGGTACGTCATCAATGCGGTCTTCAAGTAGGAATCTAACGCCGCGTTTATGCCATCTCTTGAGAACATCCTTTCTGAATTTCTCCGGATATGTGTCGTTGAGTGGCAGAGGGGTAGCATTAACGATTGTGACCTTCTTGTCCTGTTACAAAAAATGAATATAAGTTGACACACTTTAATTAAATTATCAACTTACCGGATAGGCGTCAAGTATTTCTCCCGCGAATTCTGAACAAATAAAATATCACTATGGGCGGAAAATAATGGATAAAATACTGCATACCTAGTCCAACAGCTCCAGCACCAATAATTGCGATTCCTTTCTTCGATTTCTTAATTTTCTCTCTCCAGCTCTCTACCGAAGACAAGAGGTCCTGCTTCTGACCGTTGACTGCCGCAAGGGGACCCTCCCAAACACTTCCAGTAGCTAAGACAAGATATCTGAAATACTGTGTGAGCCTTACTCCGGCGAATGCTAAAATTTGGTACCTACCTATATGCCACTTTCTCGCCGCCCTCGAGTAGGACGTTGCCACCGGAACCGGTGGAGCTCTCTTCAATGCCGACCACTTTACCAATTTTGACTGAACCGATTCCTTTAGAGAAAAGGGAGTCGTAGGGTACAAGTGCTTTATTTTCGAGGGCATCCTCGGAGTAGGTGAGCATGCGGATAGCTGCGGGCAGATGCACGAACACTTCGCGAAGGGTGATTAGAATGAGATTATAATCGGAACTTGTCCCAGGCAACTTCTGGGAAAGTTCACGAGCAATAACTGCGCCTGAAAAGTATGGAATAAGTAAAATACGAATTATGACCACTTTGCAATATAGTGATTGCTGTACCTGCAGCGCCACCACCAACGACAACGATGTTTTGCTTGGACATTGTATACGAAGGACAATGCGGGGTCGAGAGAATGATTCTGACGACAGTGGCGAACGCTGGTCATTTTATAGAGGAACCGAAAGGGATGCAGCTACACGCGGTGCAAAGTTGGATGCGAGACGGAGTTGAGTAAATCAAGTAAGCGGAATGAATACGCGCATATTTGCTGACGCAGTTTGTCGATCAAATCCCCCAGGCCCAGCCACAGTATTACCTCCGCCACTTATGACTTTACTCAGCATCCGACACGGCACAAAGGCGTCTCTAGAACAATCGTAATAATAAAACCGTGCGACGGTCGGACATCAGGCATCCGCATCGTGTCCAATTATGCATTTTAGTTCCCAGTTGGTCGTGGCAGAGCAAAAAGGACTAATAAGCCTTCATGTCGTGCTTGCGCACCTGCATGGCGCCTTGAATGGGGCTCACGATGGCATATACAGGAGGTGATTTTGCGACCCTCTCAAGTTTGCACGGTCATCAACCAAATGAGCCAAAATCACGTTGATCGACTAGGTCTCGTGACTGAGTTGTCTCCAAATGTATCTGGCGCATCAGTAGTCCTTATGCATCGTCTATCTGCTTTGAAATTCGAGTCGAGATGCCTAGACGCAAACCCATTTCTGCCAAGCAGCGTAAAGCAGAGTTACAGGTCAAGCGCGCAATCAAGCGTGGTGATACTGTCCCAGAAAACATATCAAGCTCGCGCGCGTCTAACACCTCCAGTCGTCGTGGCGGTCGTGGACCACGAGGCAACAAGGAGTCTAATAGAAGCAACGTTGATGCATCCCGTCGTCTAGAATCATCTTACGTCAAATTCTCTCGTGACTTCCTGGAAGAAGCAAAGCGCAAGGCGTCTATTCTCACTGCTACTCGACCTATTCCGATTGAAAAGTTGCTGCTTCCTCTCCACGCGGAACAGGATGTTATTAGCGCTTCCAGAGCAACAGGCCATACACGCCAGCTCAATGTCCTCAAACGGCCAAAATGGAACTATGACATGTCAAAGAAGGAGGTAGAGAACAATGAAGCTGCTCTTTTCAAGCGATGGCTTGATGAAACTGATCAAATTATGCAATCGTGGAAAATTGATAAACGGGATCCAGACGGATTGAAGGACCAGACTGAAGCCGTGGAGTCTCAAACAACAACCTGCAACACGCAGGATTCTTCTGAAAGCATGCCTTATGCTCCACCTCTATTCGAACGGAATCTGGAGGTGTGGCGTCAGCTGTGCGTCCTATCATGATTAGTCTTCTAAACTAGTTATTGACTGCAATGAAAGGTGGCGCGTAACAGAGATCTGTCAGGTGTTGTTGGTTCTACTGGACTCTCGTTGCCCTCCACTGCATTATCCTCCGACGCTAGGTTCATATCTGTCGTCCCTGCGACCACCCCGTAAAATCATTTTCGTGCTTACAAAGATCGACATCACTGGACCTAGGAGAACTTCTCTGTGGAAGGAGTACCTTCGCAGGACTTATCCGGACATCCGCGTAGTCACTGTTGAGAACTATGTTGAAAAGTCTTCAGGCGAGGGACAGGGTAAACGAGTGAAAAGAGAGCCATACATTCCCGCAGAGCTGAGAAGCGAACTAGTCGAAGCCCTTAAAGGAACTCATCAAGAGTTATGTTCTCCACCTCCTCACATTGCTTCTGATGCGAAAAAACTGGCGAACTGGAGGCCTAGGGTTATTGACAAAATTAACTGGAACAAGGTCTTGAATGCTGTAGACAGCGATGTAATACTCGCTCGATCGACTGAGGCTCAGGATATAGGAGCTGAAAATGATACTCATGCTGAAACCGAGAAGATCGAAGAATTCTTATCGGTAGGATTAATTGGTAAGAACCCGAAAACAAAAACTTGTGTAGAGTTTTGTCTAATTTGGCATCTAGGCCAGCCCAATGTAGGAAAAAGCTCATTGCTGAATGCCTTGTTCGGCAGCCATAAAGTGAAGGCTTCGAAAACACCAGGAAAGGTAAGATTAGTCGACTACATCAGCTGTATCTAATCACAAAGTAATAATTGTTATGTAGACTAAGCACTTCCAGACTCTCTTCTGGTCCAAGCAAATTAGACTCGTGGACTGTCCAGGTCTGGTCTTCCCCGCATATACCGACTTGGAGATGCAGGTTCTCGCGGGTATACTGCCTATATCACAGATGCCTGCAATTCCATCATCTGCTCACTATGCACTTCAATATCTCCCACTCGAGAAAATTCTAGGCTTGCAGCATCCCGCAGAGAAAGAAGTCAAGGAGGACAAGAGAACCTGGCGAAGCGGGACGCAGCCAGGCTCAAAATCCGACAAGAGTGTCAGGGCATGGACTGCTATGGATGTACTAACAGCATATGCTGAAAAGAATAATTGGATTACTGCGAAGGCCGGTCGTCCAGACGTGAATCGTGCTGGTAATGCTAGTGCGTATTGTTTTACATAGTTTCTTCTTACCCAGTCATTATTGACATGTGTTTTTAATTAGTTCTAAGAGCCCTTGCAGAAGGCAGAATTAAATGGGCATTTTATCCGCCGAATACGGATTTGAACGTGCTCGCAAATGAAAATAAAGGATTGGGTATTTGGATTGAAGGAAATACTGAAGATTACTTTGCCGAACGAGCTGATAGTGAAGATGAGGATGATTCAGAGGAGTTCGAAATACGTTCTAGTAATGAAGATACAGAAACAGAAGAGGAAGAGGAAGAAGGGGAGGGTAAAAAGTCAGAATCACACCTTCGGTCCGCAATCTCTAGCGGAACCGGGATGTTCGGTGCTCTAACATTAGAAGATGACGGCAATTCTGCAGAAAGTGATTGACGTGTGTTGCAATTACTTGTGAAGGCGATTTCCTAGTGCTGTGTAAAGTGTACCAGTTTGCAGTGTCATAGGACATCTCGCGCATGACCTCTATTAGGCTTGCCGCGAGATGAAATAGACTTACAGTTCCTAATGGTCCTCGATCATTGCCGTTTCCATTGCGGAAGAGTGAATTGATGTTCGATTTAACCCCGTGCCCAACGCTCTCCCTCCGCCCCGCGTCATCTTCTCCACCCATAGCCTATGCACCGCCTTACCGGCGTTCATACCCTACTTAAGGAGTAACGTCGTACGAGCATTAATATTAGTACCACACATAGGCCTACACTCTACCTTCCGAGATGTCTCAATCCGTCGAGTATACCATTAAAGATGCATCGGCTGACGACTTTGGGATGAGCTACAGCGAGGGTGCTGATACTATGAAATGGCCCCGGCCTTATCGTTCGTACCGGAGTCATACAGCGTTTAACGAAATGGAGCTGGCTAGGATTGCCGACTTCGCCGAGTTGAAGTCACCAGATGGGAAACTTGTTGCACACACGGCAACATTCCAGCCGTTTCAGGAGCCCAAACTCGGTGCCAAGCCGAGCGAAGACCGGCTTGTATTCCAGATTTGGGATCTGCCGTCCGGGAGCTGGCACTTTGCCGCTGTTTTCGACGGTAATAACTTTCGTTCTTTATTTGTTTCGACACTGGCACTCATATATGTATACACAGGTCATGCTGGGAAGGAGATTGCTGAATATGCTCATCTTGAGCTACCAGCCCGTGTTCGACGCGCTCTACAGCCTCTCGATATCACCAATGCCGAACCTCAATTAATTTCTGATACCCTTACAAAGACCATCGAAGACTTCGACAAATCGATTGCGGACGACCTTAAAGCACTTCTGCCAAGAGACTTTGAGAAGCTTGACGATGATTCCCTGAAGAAGCTCGTCAACGACCAAGACGCTGGCAGCAAGGTGTATGACGCGTGTATTCGATGTATGCGTGGAAGCACCGTCATTATAGCATTGATCGATCGCTCAAGGCAGAACTTATGGGTCGCGAACCTTGGGGACTGCCAAGCCAGTGAGTTATCTATATGATAGCCCATAATTTCTTTATTATCTTATTAAACTTCTTCCAGCCCTTGCAGAGTATCCGATCGGAAGACCTGATGACTTCAAAGCGACGTCGTTGTCTTCTCCTCACAATGCACGTGTTGACAAGGAAGTTAAACGGGTCCAATCAGAACACCCTGGAGAGGAAGGGGCAATACTCAACGGACGTGTACTTGGAGCCTTGGCAGTTACTCGGGGTAGGTGTCGAACGTGATTTACTCATGAACATCATACTGATTCAAGCCCGTTTCCTTTGTCGTAGCTTTGAGTGACTTTACTTTCAAGCTCCCACCTGTTTACTCGACCAAGTTATTCCTACATGCTAATCCTGGTTACCGAATGAGCTCCAAGGTACATGATTTCTTACCGCGTAGTCTGACACCTCCATATGTCTCTGCAACACCAGAGGTCGTACATCGTACATTGAAGAACGTAACGGACACTGGCGAGGAAATAAAATACTCACTTGTACTCTGCTCTGACGGACTAACCGACCTTTATTACTCGCGTGATTGGACAATGGAAGGCGCTGCGAGGCAAATTGCACGAATCTGCGTCAAATCGAATGGTGAAGAATGGCCGGGTCTTAAAGGAAACCTTGCGCTCCATTTGTCAAAGGACGCAATAGGCGATGACCTTGAGCAGCAGTGCAGGAACCTTACCGTCGACTTGGACTACCAGCACTTGGACGATACCACGACGGTCGTTCTTTCTTGGTGATTAATACTGTTCACGGCAACTTGATTAATGATTTTTTCTCGCTATTTGACTAATTCCACATTGTTGTATATTGCCTTGATTGAAACCAATGTATATTGACGATTTTACACTCTTGTATTATGTGCGACGTTATGCTACAGAGACTTGGTATGAATAATCATAACCGCATCTATGGACGGGTTGAACCGAAAGCGTGTATTCTCGGATATGAAAGTGGTCGTCTAGAGAATTTTGTCCAGTGCTTTCCTTGAAGCCTCAACTCCTAGCTAGAATGGCGTTAGAATATGCAAACTCGCACAAAGAGCACTATTACTTACAAAGGCCGCTGCATTTGCCGGAAACGCCTACACGTCATCCCATTACTTAGGTTTGTCTCAAATCACATTAAGAAACAAAGAAACACACCCTTGCCATGGCGGGTCCCAAGCCCTTCCATAATGCAGTCACGCCATCCGCAGCTATAGTTTTTCTTGCACAATCCAAAATACCAGAGTAGGTGCCCGTAGGTGCTGTCTGAATTCGAGATTTCAAGACCTATTCATTTCCATCCATCCAAATCAGTAAGCAATATGAAGACAAGATAATTGAACATACATCTGGTGGAATAGCAATACTCCACATGCAAACGCCGGCCATCCCGCCTGCGAATATCACTGCGCCGAGGTTCAAGTCAGAAGGTGACGAACCAGCTGGCGTCACTGCCCTTTTCGTCACCTCATATCCGGCGAAATAGCTTTGTTTCCGTTAGGAAGCTTCATTTTATCAAAGAAGACCATGCATGGACTCACGCAGCACTTCCTGGCCCGTCACGCGCAAGTGTTGCACCCGTGCCACGAAATATGCTTCGAATACCTCCCTCCTTGTAAAGCCCTCGCACGACGTCAAGGACGCCCTTGTATTTGGCCTCGCCAGTTCCCTGACCCTGGATCTGTAGGAGAACCTTGGCGCGTTCGACGGGAGCTGCGACGAAGGTTTGCGGAATGGCAGAGATGAATCCTGCGATGGCGTATTCAGTCGTACTAAAACTAGGACTCGATCTGTTCGGCGTGAAGGCAAGCACGCATTTTTGGCCAAGGTCGTACCCCTGGCTCATGCACACTCAAATCAGGAGAAGATACATCGTCATACAATGAAATGGGCTTACCCAGAACGAAACAGCGAAAATCGGTGTCACGCCTAATAACGGAGGAACGATGCCACGATAGAAGCTTCATTTAACGATTATTAGCGTGTCGTCAATGCGTTGTTCGTGGGATAGGATTCACCCAGTGACACCATCTCTCAGCAATGTCTTTTTCACTGCATCCACTGCACCCGTATACGCGCCGGGCTGAGCTGTCTGTAATCGAGTCTTGATAAGATCGAAAGGATGTCCGGAGAGCACTGCGCACGCGCCACCAAAACCGCCAGAAATAAACTGAATGCCGAATTAATGACTACTTGTAAGCAACACGAGAAAATAAAACGACGTACAGCCTTGATCGAGGTAGCTGTTGAAGAGGCGGCAGCTTTCTGGCCTTGGACGACGTCCTCTACTGCATCAGAAGAGCTCTGTGATTTTGTGTGCATGGCGGAGTTAGTCACAGACAAGACCGCAGAGGTTTAAATCGGAGTTTAGCTCACCATGCTGTCTTCCTCTGAGGGCTCGGCGACAGATGGTCAGAAGAATGTCTAACCGCGCCTCAATTTATTTGCTCGGGCTTCAGCAGCCAAGCTCGACCGACGGGTGGATGCGCTTCATTGACGGAGCGGACTAGCACGTGAATTCAATTTATTCCCGACTCCATCTTGAACTTCATTCTAGGGCCTTGCAAAGCATTTCGCACACACAAAACTATCGCATTCACGAACAGACCTTTCGTAATAGGAAAAAAAAATCAAATATTTCCCCATGATATTATCGTCCAGAAAAGAAGATTATGTTAGTTTTACGATTGCTAACCATGCTTCTTGGCTTTTGGTGCCGGGTGAATGCGGGGAAGCACTGAGATCATGTGGGGAAGACGTTCCGATACCTCTCATGATAATAGGCCAATCACAAGCCTCACGAGTCGGAGGCAAAACCAAGCTCTGATGTCACCATATACAGTCGAAATTGTCTTATTGCATAATGTTGGGAGAGAGTAAAACCCAATGCATTATACAAATTATGCATCATGACAATACATTTTGGCTGAGAACTTGACTTTTGTTCTGACTACAGTTGAAAATATCTTATTGCATAACGTCGGGAGAGGCCTCAGACCTATGCAATATGAGCAATATGCATTATGGTAACCGTGCGAAAATATTACTTAATTAGGAACCCAAAATTCGATATTACTTTTCAATTTATTTGAAGACATATACACTATGACAAGAAAATAAGCACATATTCAGAGCATCAAGAAAGACAACCAAGACAATGACAAGTACAGTAAATGTGTATATCACTGTAAAACTCAAGAAATGGTTTGTAATACAAGGAAATACAGTCAGAATCTGTAGAAACAAAAAGATAGAAAAAGCTAGTCAATGCAAATAACTTTCCCCCACATATCATGAAGAGATCTTTGCTGCCCTATCTTGGTCTTGTGGCAGCATCAAAGACATTGTAAGCAATGAAATGTCAATCAGAAACATTCTTTTTGTATTGAAGTATGTCAGAGAACAATATGTGAGGCTTCTGGGTACAAAAATCACAACAGTAAGCAGTCTAACTTCCCAAAATGCTCAGAATTTTGCATAATTTTCTCACAAATCTTGATGCAATATGCAATAGACTATTTTTGTGCATAATTCCCTTATCCCGAGCTGGGATTAGGCAGAAAGCTATGCAATATTCAATTTATGCATTATAATGTGATGCAATAAGGTATTTTCAACTGTAGAAGCTATGCATTATGCAATATATGCATTGTGATGATATGCAATAAGACAATTTTGACTGTATGTACAATGGCTACTTTATTCAGTTTCTCTGTTTCAACATTTGTTCGAGTCTGGGAGTCTGTGTCTAGATTCCCATCAATTTAACACATACTTCAATTGTTTCTATGTACGTGTTATGTGATATATCGGAGAATGATCAATCTTCCATGAGAACGGCTGAGCCAGCCGGAAAGGGATATTTTTGCCACTCAAACTAGTGTTCACAAACTTCATCGATCGCGCTCAGTTCCTCCCACATGGAAGTCTATGACCGTTAAACCCGGTCGGTGGTTAGAATAAGAGAGTCTATTGACATTTGGGCGTCAAGACATTCACGGAGATCAATATTTGGCGACGCGGACTCCTCGTTACTCGGACATCGACGGTGCAAGGGTCCTGTAACAAGAGAAGCGTCTTTATTAGAGCTGCCAGCAGGATTAGAAGTCGCCTGGTTGGATTTAGACGCTCATCGTGCCGAAAAAGGTTTCTCCGAGACTCACGCAGAGTGATGGCTGTGGTGAAACCTAATGACGGCACGAATAGTGCGAGTCAAGGGGACCTAGATTGATCTGAAGTACTTACACAAAGACAGGAAGACGTCCGATAATGGAAAGACGCAGGGAATAGCATAAGTGCTGCGCAGACTGAACTTCATCTTTCGAAGCGCTCATTGAGCGCCAGTCGCATTCGTCGCCACTTGTGCCAGCGAGGTCATCGGATCGAGGAAAGGCCGTGCAAAAGTGCGTAAGCATATTTGGGTATAGGCATGAGCACAGTATTATACCAGCTGGAGCATATACAACACGGCAGACGAGGTGGGAACTCTGGAAGATTCGTAGGGTGAATTAACAAGGGCGTAAAGGCCTCTGGTTCTCGAGGCAGTACAGATTGGCATGCAAGTTCCAGATATACGAATTGCAGTTTATTCTTGCCTCGTTTGGGCCCCGAGTCTCAATATTGAACACACATGAAGGGGGACGCAGAACATGATTCAATGATTCAACGATTGCGTATTGCGGTCGATTTGCTAAAGGATATTGCCAAATTGGGATAGATAAGATAATCTGATCCAAGGCTATTATGTCACGGATTTACGCAACCAAATTTTCCGTCTTGCTTTCTTCGGTCGACTCACCTGCCTCGTCTTCCCATCGCCTCTCGTCCTAGCCCTCATACCCTGCCTCATGACTCACAAGTACATAAACAACCTCGCCCTCTCAGTGAGCACCTAAATCACCTCCCCCCCAGCCCCTTCGTCTTGATGTCCTGTTTGCTCTGCTCGCGTCTGTCTGTCACCGCAGCCTCTGGTGCTGCTCGACAGCGTCTCCCAAACGTCCTTGCATCGTCGTTTGCGGTTAGTCACTGTGTTTACTAACGTGCTGCGGCCATCTCATTCAGTCTTGGTACCAGACTATTCGACATGCAAGGATACCAGACACACCAGAAGCCGACGAACCCAACATATCTCAATCTCAAAATGTGAGTATGCCTGATTGCATGCCCGTTGTCCATACTGACGAGTCATATTTCTAGGACTTCATTCTCTCCATTCTGCGCGCAAACCCTTCTTTGAGGGATACAAAATCATATCTGCAGTTCTTCGGCCCTCGTGCTCGTCCGGCACCACGAATACCTATCCCTTCTCCGGAGGCATCGCTTTCCATCCCGCCGTTATCAACGGACTCAACCAAAACTGTACGGGAACAGGCTGTTAACAACACCGTGGCAGCGTCCATCTTAGAACCTGTTTACAGGCGTACCGCATTGGTCAAACTCCAAGGCCCGTTTACTGATCGTCAGCTCGAGAGCATCGCGACGGGCTTGGTCTACCTAGAGAAGCTCGGTCTTACAAGCGTCATCGTCATTGAGCTCGACAACTGGGTACGAGGCGAGCCAGATGAGAAGTCTCAAGTCATTGACGAAGTAATGCGTGTGGTCTCCGCGCTCGAAGGCCAAGGCGCTCGTGCCCGCCCTGTCCTGCAGAGCGTCGTTAGGTTAGGACCGGACGAAAGCGATTCCAGCGAGCACAGTCCAAGTGATGGTCCTATCCCAGAAGCCCATACATTGCCACATGATCTCTTTGCCATCCGGTCAGCGCTACGCGCTGGTGAAATCCCTGTTCTTCCACCCCTAGCACTCGATTCGTTCTGTCGTTCAGTGCGCATACATTCAAACGATGTGTTAGGTGCTCTCGCGAAAGGCATGACCAAGGCAGCGGAGTCACCGATCTTCAGTGCATCGAGCTCGTCGCCATCTACCTCTAGCGATACCTTCAATGAAGTGGACCTAGCGCCGCTCCGCCTCATGGTCATAAACAAGGAAGGCGGTGTGCCGTCCTACGCGCGTAACGGTTTGCCTCATCTCCTTGTCAATCTCACTGGAGAATACAGACACGTCAGGGATACCTTCCATTCGTCATGGTACTCATCGCATCCTACCGCACTCCAGAACCTTGCCTTGGCGCGTACCTGTTTGTCTTACATGCCGCCGTCCTCTTCAGCGATTATGGTTTCTCACCGATCTCCCAAATCACTTATTGGTAACTTGATCACGAACAAGCCGGAGCTTAGTTCGAGTCTTCCACACGCCTTACTGCAGGGCAATGGCAAGCTCACTGCGCATACTCCGACCATCCTGCGTAAAGGAATGCCCATCCGCGTCGTCAACAGTGTAGCCGAACTAGATCGTGAAAAGCTCACATCGCTTCTTGAAAGCTCGTTCCGACGTACTCTTGACCAGGATGCGTATTTCCGTCGACTCGAGAAGCACCTCGACTTCGCAATCATTGCGGGAGACTACGCAGGTGCTGCGATCGTCACGAACGAGTTACCAATCGGAGACGCAGGACCGGACGCCGAACCCATCACGTACCTCGACAAGTTTGCCGTCCGTCCAGAGAACCAGGGAGACGGCACCGTCGACTTCTTATGGGTCGCGCTGCACGACGAGTCATACGGACTTGGACTCTCGTACGCTGCCAATCCGAACGGAGGGAAAGAGGGACGCGGCGAAGGTCGTGACCTCGTCTGGCGTTCTCGCGCAGACAACCCCGTAAACAAGTGGTACTTTGAGCGCAGCACAGGTCACTTACGTATCGGCAAATGGGTCATGTTCTGGTGTGATGCCGAAAAACGCCTCCAGATTGAGGAGGGCCGTCGTGGTTACATGGGACTCAGCAAGGTGGAAGAATGGGAGCAGGGTAGGCTCTCCATATGGGCCAAGTCTATTGGGGATATTCCATCTGCTTGGTCCGCTTAATCAAAAAAAGCATGTTATAGATCGTGTCATTGTATTCACTCTTCCTTTACTCCCCTTGCTTTCATCCTACCCTATTGTTTATTTTCCGAACGGTTTTCAGACGTCGACGGAATGTGAAAACAAATCCATTGTACTTCTATCAATAAGCATGTAGGTTTGAAAGCAATATCAAAGCATATGTCAGAGCACCATGGAAACATAATTGCTGTAAATCATTCAAATCGTTACATGCTCAATGCAGAGTGGTATGAGGGAGGGAGGTATCGCACGGTATGTGAGTGAGTGAGGGAAATTGACATCAGTCCAATGTGATGCAATGCAAGTGAGTAAATGCGGGTAAAATGAGATATATGCTGCCAGATGAATTGGAAGATCCGATTAACGAATGTTCTGTGACTTAGTCTTGCTCCGAGTTGACTTGCGCGGAGGAGCCGGTGCTTGCACAGGCTTGGAGGATAGAGGAAGGCCAGGAAGGGATGAAGCATTGCTACTTCGCGGAGTAACTGTATTCTCTGTGTTCGTAATCGAACTCGTCCGGAGAATCTTCGGTTTCAACGCGTTTTCTTCTCGTCGCCAGGGCATGTACGGCTTGTCTTCCTGGACAACCGCTTTTGCACACTCATTGACTCCGCGCAAAACTCTATCACGAAATCCATGCGCGATCCATCTGTCGAGATTCCGCAAGACGATAAAGACGCAGAGCATGTCCGCAGGCTTGAACAGGTCCCATTCGAAGAAGTCAGACGCGTCAACTGAAGGCTGGGTGTTCGCAGTTGACCGCGAAGCTGCTGACAGTGACGATTCAGCTTCCTCAATGACCGAAGGCCCTGGAAATGTAGCAGAGTAGATTTTCTGTCGAGGCCACAGATGAGTCAGGATTGTTCATGGACAATTTTGCATTTATCTTACAGGATGCTCGCCTTCCTGAAGGCTCCAGTCCACATGTCCCTTCACCTTCTCATCAGCCCATATGAGTCCAAATACAGGTGATTCAATGCGGAATGACTGGAGTTGTCGTTGCGCACCAGCGCAGGCCATCCTATTTTGCCGGAACGCATGCTCAAGAGAATCGCAGCTGGGCTTCTTGTCTTCAATGAAGGCACCAACAAACTCAAACATTGGAGTAGCCTGTGGCCGTAGAGCGGGCGTTGCCTGGTAACGGAATGTTCCTTCACCATCTTGTCCGCAGGTTCGCTTAGTTGACGGGTGCTCATTAATCCGCTTGTATGCTGAGCCTCTCGTCCGCGAGAGTTTCTGCAAAGTAGCGGAGCGAATGAACATCGAACCGTCTGGGACAATTATTTTTGTGCTGATGATTCGACGCGAGGCAGGAGGAATTGGTTGTTTCGTCGGAAGATGCTGTGGTAACTGGATGGAACACTGTGTCCTATGTGCAATAACAGCGATCAGCAAGATCAGCCATTGTGGTCTCTAGCTCTAGGACATACCGAAATGAGCACTCTCGCATAGCTGGGCTGCGCAGAAGACTGTATACGTTGGCAGCAAAGTCAGATTCGGACCAGCGTTCCTTTGTCTCCTTCATACGGTTGAGATGGCTCCAAGCAAGATAGACAGTCCCAAGTTCTAAGAGCCATTCATCTACCTTTTTGTTCTTGTCGGAAAAGAGGCTCGGCATCCTGTCCTTAGCCTTAAGCAGAAACCTGTGCAACTCCGGCGCAAGCTTTTCAACGCGTTTATACACGCTGGACGTCTGAGACGGGGTGAGGAAGCAAGGCAAGCCACACTGGAGATCGGCCATACCTTGGTCACTAGACTTGCAGGAAGTTTCCCTTTCACATCGAAAACAGAAAAGACATCTGCTTTAATTGACTCGGGTAGGTCGGAGAACGCGACCTGTTCGCAACCATTATAGGAAGACCACGTCTCGAATGTCTTGACATTTCGAGCAATTCTAAAACGAAATTGTAAGATTCGGCATGAACACAAAGCTTCGGTGCTTACTCTGACGCTGAAATAGACCTGTTCGCAGGCGTTGCAGATGGTTTTGGAACCAAGCCTTTGGGCATGCTGGCAGCACGTAGTTGGTGTCGCGGAGAAGATATGGAGGTTATTCGCGAACGATGGCGAATAGTGTCGAAGTGAGAGTTAGTAGTTGGCTAATTTTTATAGTTTTTGTCGCAATTGATGTGGATGCTGCCTTGGATGGCAAAAAGACGCGTAGAGAGGGGAATGTAGAGGGTATTGGAGGTGGAAAGGAGGCAGCAGAGCCGGGAGTGCTGAATGCGTCGATCGGTTGGTTTTCTTCCGTCGAATTAGCATTCAAACTCCGCTCGCTTCCCATTCTTTCCTTCCTTTCCACAGCCATCAAAGCGGAGTCCACCATTGTCTCCCCTCACTCTTCATTGTACGTTGTCCTTTGAATGGCCGAGTACACCATAATGAGAAGGAAAGGAGGACTCCTCACTGTGACATGTCTGGTTGATCGTTGATTGTTTGTTCGCGACAGAACAGCCACGAGTACTTGTAGATCTTTGCCCCGAATGAGAATGACGATGATGATCGCAGTGTCTTGATTGCATGAACAGATCAAAAGGAAGATGATATAAGAGAATAGACAAGCTGAGGGTGTGTAGCAGGAGCAGAACAAAGAAATATTTCTTGCTCTCTGGCCATGACGCAACAGCATTTGTTTGACCATGTTTGAATATGAGGGATATATTTTTCGGGAGCTGGGGTTAGCAACCGACAGGCCAATGAAGGCTTGGCGGCGATCGGGAACCCGACGATAACGAAATTCGGGAAGTTTGAGCAACGTGAAAATTGATTGCTATACCCTTATACGGCAATTAACTAGAAGATATTTATTGTTTTCGTCCCTGCCTTGTTGCCCCTCTTATCCTCTCCACACTCTTTAAGTCTCTTGCCTCTCCCGCTCCTTGCTTCCTCTCCTTCCTGTCCGCCATCCATGTCCTCTGGACGACGTATCTACGACAGCGCCAACCCGGCCACCCCTGTATCTACTACCAATCTTCTCTACCAATCCCCAAGGGGCCCGGCGTCCGTGCAGGCCGCGTTCGCTCAAGGTCCTCCAACCCCTCGCACCCGAGTGTCCAATACTGCTCTCGTCCGTATTTGTTCTTGCTTCTCTCCTGCTTTTATCAACTTACACTTTTGAACCGGATTGCTGTAGAAGGAGACACCATATGCGGCCGCCAATGCGTCGAAGGCGTCTATTGCCCCCTCTATTTCAGACAAGGTTGGTGTGATTGCAAACGGCCTATAACCCCGCCCCACCTCGCGTCGTATCGCTTACTCACGCATGTAACTCTCATCTCTAGTTCTCGTTGTCCCCAGACCCTTCTTCATGGGGTGCTGAGATAGAACCGAGCTACGTTGAACCTGACGACTACCTGCATAATCCCGATCCTCGAAGAGACAGAAACATCGACAAGGGCGGAAGTGTATTCACCGGTCGAGGTTTGACAAATTTGGGTTGTCTGGTGGGTTAAATTCGATCACGCAGTGCAAACGGATTTAGCGTGAACTGACCAAATCGGTAGATTGTTCTTACTACTGGATTGGTCACTCTTTTGTATGTTTACCTGATGGTAATCTCACAAACCGGCGACCCATTTGTGCTAATCGGTGTTCTCGTGTAGTGCTGGTTATCCATTGATTTCTCACTTCACAAGTCACAAGCTATCTACTCTCGGTGGTTTCAACATCGGCGGCATCAATGCGACCGGCCAGATAGCAGACGTAGGCAACTGGGCTCTGATTGACAAGGACACGCCCAAGGACGTATACACCAAGCCATCTTATATCGATGGGTCAAATTTGGAGTTGGTATTCTCGGACGAGTTCAACACCGATGGTCGTTCATTTTACCCCGGAGACGATCCGTATTGGGAGGCAGTCGACCTTCATTACTGGGGAACAAACAATTTAGAGTGGTTGGTCTCATTTTCAGCGCAAATCTGGTGCTTACTGGCTAAAAATGTGAGATCAGGTACGATCCTGAAGCGATCACGACGAAGGATGGTGCACTAGTGATAACGTTGCGCGAAAAAGAGAACCATGACCTGCATTATCAGGGAGGCATGATGAGCACATGGAACAAGTTCTGCTTTACTGGTGGTTTACTTGAAGCAAATGTTTCTCTACCCGGGGCAAGCAATGTTGTGTACGTCATTAACTTGTCCATTCCATGTTACATCAAAGCTGACGTGCGTGGTTGATCGAACAGCGGACTGTGGCCTGCAGTGTAGGATCATGTGTTCGGTGCTTTGTGATATGTTTTAATAACTAGATTCTCTTAGGTGGTCAATGGGTAACCTCGGCCGTGCTGGTTATGGCGCTACTCTTGATGGAATGTGGCCCTACACATATGATGCCTGCGACGTAGGTACGGCACCGAACCAAACTCGAAATGGTTTACCTATAGCGTGTGTAACCTGACTGTAACATTTGACATTATCCTGACCCGCTGTGTAGTGCTACTCAAAACGGCGACAAAGGCCAGGGTGGTGCCTTGTCGTTCCTTCCGGGTCAGCGCCTGTCCCGATGCACGTGTCAAGGCGAATCACATCCCGGTCCAATGCATTCTGATGGTACATTCGTTGGTCGTGCTGCTCCTGAGATTGATGTTTTCGAAGCGCAAGTCGGTAATGGGATTGGAGAAGTCTCTCAATCCAGCCAATGGGCGCCTTTCAACGAGGGATATATCTGGTTCAACACTTCTGCCAATATGAAGATTACGGACCCAGCGAAGACAACTCTTAACTCATACATTGGTGGTGTTTATCAGCAAGCGACATCTGGTGTTACCGTAACAGACCAGAACTGTTATGAGTTTGACACAGGTTGCTTCAGTATATATGGCTTTGAGTACAAGCCCGGATTCGATAATGCGTAAGTGCTGCAATTGCAAAGAAGTATACTTGACCTAAACCAATGTTTCACAGATACGTTGGCTGGATATCAGACAACCAGCTCGCCTGGCAGCTTAACTCTGAAGGAATGGCAGCGGACACTGGTGTAGAAATTTCTGCTCGCCCAATTCCCCAGGAACCTATGGTACGTTCAAGCACTGCATTCCTCTCGATAAAAGTAATAATCATCCGTCGAACAATAGTACATCCTGGTCAACTTGGGCATGTCGAAGAACTTTGGTGAAGTCGACTTCGACCATTTAAGGTTCCCAACGGCAATGCGAATAGATTATATACGCGTCTACCAGCGCCCAGATTCAAAGAACATTGGTTGTGATCCTCCCGACTTCCCGACTGCCGCCTACATCGATCAGTAAGTTCAGGTTATTGTTGAATGATTGACACTGTCTAACAACGTCTCGATCAAGGTATATTGAGGCTTATACCAACCCGAACTTTACAACATGGGTGGATGACTTCAAGCAGTCATGGCCCAAGAACAGTTTCATGGGCGAATGCTAAACGCATTTGGGCTGCATTCCTCCCTACGGATGTAGCAGATGATATACAGACCACCACTTGCTTTGGTATGCTTCTCTTTTACATCATTGTTACACACATATGTCTCTTTTGAACTCTTACCTTGGGCCACATATTCATGGTACTTTGGTTATTTTCGTACTTATACCCTTCCTTGAAGAGTGTTTACGAGACGAACTCTCGCGACCTCCTCGTACACACTCGCTTATAGGTACACTAAGTCGTAGTTGTTGCCATTTTTAACATGTCTACCTATTTGCATACAGAGCATTGTTTTGACTTATTGAGGAGTCACTTCCGTTCATTTTGTTTCGCGACATTCATTTATTAGCCCTATTCCTGCCATTTTTTATGTACAATGTCTATTCGTAAAATACATATATAAGTTGGAGGATAATAACTCATTGCGCTGGTTTTTCTACATTGCTATGACGGACATCCACGAAATTTCAGAAGAACTGGGAAGATAGTGAAAAGAGGTCATCTCTATGCTGAAGTATTACTAGTAGTTGAGGCGAGTATGGTCTCTAACTTGTCAAGTGTTTTAGTGAGTGGAATTATTCCTCCTTCAGTCAGTCGAGGCACGGCAAAGTCGCTGGTATCGTCATCCGACTCCTTTGTCGTTCTGCTCTTTTCGATGAGGTTGCGCGAACTCTTGACGACTTTCGCGAGCTTGCCACGTGTGATATAGATGTCTCGAACGACGTCTTCTAAGCTTCCTACGGGAATTTCGAGCGCCCGGCGTACGAATCCACGAGAGAGTACGTAGGCTTTCTCGTTGTACAACCTGCTGTTTACCTTCCCTTCGTCCGTGCCTCGTAACTTCTCGAAGGCAGGCTCGCAGAACCATCTAACATTAATAGACGTCAGTCATTGTCAAACGCAGCTAAGGTACGATTCGAAACCCTTACGGTTCCTTCACAAGCACAAGACCCTGGATTGAAACGAAGGCTTGAAGAAGGGAGGAACGCGCTGGACTCCATGATTCGCTACGTTCACCCGCCCAAGTTCCCAGAATCGAGAGGCACACTTTCCCTTCCTCGTAGAGATTTGGGTTGACGCGACCGTTCCCTATCGACATTCAGAATATGATCCAGGAATGAAACTTATAAATAAGCTTACCATTCGTCCAACTGTGGAAATGGGCAATAGGTGGACTTTGAGGGAAGTTTGCATCAAGTCTCCAATCGATCACAAACGGCGCGTCTTCATATGGTGTGTTTTCCGGTCCAATTATCATGCTCCTTAGCAGATCCGTGCGATCCTCGTACGTGCGTACAATGATCGATTCTGATAAACCTGTGAGAAACTTTGCGGGAATACAGATATCGAATACTTACCCGGTAGACTAGACGAAAGCGCTCGATATTCCTTTGACAGTCGCGCCATAAACTGCCTTGAAGGCTGACCTGCAGAGATACTAAGGAATGCATGATCTGGAGGAGCAGACGGAAGGATATCGAATCGTTTCCATGAAGGTGCTAGGGAGATGGAGGATGAGCTTCCTTGATCAAGTTCCATTACAACTTCGGCTGATTCGGGAGGCTCCGAAGGTAATTCTGGTCTGGGTGCTGAGGATCCTTGCGATTTGACATCTCTAGTCTCCTTATCTGCGGAGGGCCATGCACCCGGAACTATTCCATTCGATACAACCCCATTAGAATCGACACCCTCTTCGACCTCGATAGATTCTTCATCTTCAATTCCGCTCATGGCGTCGTCTTCGTCCTCATCGATCCATTCATCTTCCGGCTCGCCTTCGTATTGCTGCCAACGTCCATCTTCCGTCTGTATTTCGTATATTCTCCCATCTTCATGGTCGTCTTCATAATCACTGTGACCCTCCGACAATTCTCCCCAAAGGTCCTCGAGCTGCTCAAGACCGTCATTCAACCTCGTGAGTCGTTCTAATGGAACGTCCATTTTAGTAAGGTCGGGAAGCGTGACCTCAATCAACCCGTTTAGATGAAGCTATATTTATGCTGACATGAGTACGTTCCCAAGTAACCATCGGGTAAACTTACGTTTGTGACTTCACCAAGCCAGTTTATAGTACCATCTCCCGGAGTAGGTCTTCGAATTTTTCCGTTGGTAGATTCGGTTTGCTGAGCGATTTCCCGCCCAATCTTGTCCAACTCTGACCTCCAGCCGGAGAGCTCACCGTGACCATCACCTGTGAATGGTAGTTCGTGTACCCATGCCTCTAGCTCGCCGATGCTGAATTATAGTGAGACACTTACTCTTAGTATTTACTTTGCATGGGAGAAACGCACCTAGGAACAGTGGGCTTTGAGCATCCATTCGTCGCTCCTTCTCCATGAATGAAGACCAAATCACCTCTGCGGACGCCGAAACCTTCTTGTGGATTACCGAGGCTGGCATCAGTCCCATGTGGATCAAGTTCCAACACTGAAACACGTTCTCGTCGCCAATTGTACAGGACTATTTCGGCAGTCCGCTCCGTCGCATTGACCGACTGAACAACCGCGCCTTGTCGCTCATCCTCGGTCTTCCAGACGACATGGTCTCCGGGCCTAAAAGGTTCTGCTTCGTGACTTAATCGTCGGGGAAACACTGAACACTTACCAGCAATCATACTCATCAGGATTCAAGTACGGAACAAGTTCGGTCGATCGAACCGTTTCTGTCCGGCCGTCTTGCCATAGTAAATCTACCATGGTCTGCGTTTCGGATACGACAAAAGTGTCAACGTGCACCACTCCTGCCTTTTGACCCGCTTGACCATGTGTTGTAACCATGCTGTCCAGTACTGATTTCAACGTGATGCGGTCTCCAACTCGTGGTAACTGATCATTTATCCCACGAAGTAACGTCAATTCTGAAATCTCAGTACCAGACCAGAACTTCTGAGGTCGCTTGCGTTTCGACGCTTCCTCTGGACTGAGCTGTACTTGTTCCATCAGAAACACACATAGGTAAACAAAGCGACAGTAGATACCATTTGATTTATGGCCATCCAAGCTACCACGTATACGGAATGCTTGACGGAGACTACAAGATCGTTTGAAGATGGTCGAAAGTCACCCATGAAGTAGGACAGTAATGTCTGAATACCTTCTGCGGGAGGATTCGGTAGTATATCCTGTTACCAAAAAATCGGTGCCAACCCTTACATAGACTACAAAGAAGCACGTACAGAACCTCGTTCTCCAACGACGAGGCGTGCACTGATTTCCGGAAGACGTACCAAAGAACCGTCGGACGTCTGGATTATCGATTCATCGAAAAACTGGAGACGGACTCAATGTTACTAGTGGCATGGCATCAAATTCAGGCACGGCACCTCTTGGATTTGACCTATCCAATCATCATACACCACGAAGTCGCCGACTGCTATGTCATCAAAATCCTTAACATCATCCACGGTTTTCCAGTCCTCCAGCTACAAAACGTATGAGAATGGATCCAGAATATATGCAAAATAACGTTGCTCGTACTTTTGCACCGCTGATGGCATGTGAAAGCTGATGCTCTTATTAGGTCCTTCCGTATGTCAGCACAGCAGCACACTTACGTACCTTGAATTTGACTTCGGCTCTGGTAACGACGGCGGATTGTACATCTTCGTATCTTCGTTTGCATACATCTCCTGCCTAATGAGGGCAGAAATTTCACTGAGCTGGTCCTTCAATTGCTTAAAAACGTACCTGCATGGGTCGGTCTATAAGCTTGAAACAAGATTCGGGGAGGATCTCGCGCGTATTATTGGGGTAGAAGGAGACACCGACTTCACCACGGTTGAGAGGGCGAAGTAGTGGGTCGATAGGAGGTCCTTGAAATTGTATGTCGTCACTGTCATGCCAGCAGCGCTACGATGTAAAGCAGCAGAGAAAATTAGCTTGGTTGAGGCATGGGAATTAAAGGAGCGCACCATTACGACACCATAACTTGAGCTATTGGACGAGTCATCGACACGCTGGACAATATCCTCGTTGAAGAACTGGTAGAATGGTTAGTGAATTGACTTGCTCAAAAGATACATCTACTTGCTTTGGTCTGTGTCTGCGACCGGACATGATGGTTCATAATTGATGAGTGGACTTTGGGGATCAAGATGGGATGCGGCACAGAAATTCGAGTGCTGCATTTCTGCCGCTAATGTCCACGCATTAGTCATACTTTATTTTTACTTCCGATCACTGATATAAAAGACAACAGTTAATTTATTATCTTATCGTTACAACTAACTATGTCTCGTCTCGAAACTAAAATTATGTGTCTGCATGCTCTAGTAAATCGTGGCTAAATGACTCGGGGCTGTCCTTCAACACATTCTCTTCAGACGCAGAGAGGATTTTGTTATTCAGTTCTGTGAATCGAGCACTTTCGGTCACCTGACTGGAGGCTGTGGCTGGATTTCCTAGGTTCTTCTTGTATTCAGCTGTATTCTGAGAAGCCAACGGCCGAAATATGGGTGCTCGTGAGGAGTGAAAGTCGTTAACTGAATGGGACAATGTTTCTAGCTGAATTATACGTTCATCAGTTAAATCCCCAAAGAATTCAAGAGTAATGGTCTACCTTTTGCATGACTGCCTCAATAGCTTCCTTTCTTACATTGAATCGGTTAGACAGTTTAGTAAATTCAGCAGCCTTTGCCGCCTTCGCCTCTTCCTCTACGTTTGTTGCCTCGTCTTCCGTTGCTTGCCCCGCATTGTTAAATCGCTCATTCTCCCCTAACCTTTCCATTTGCGCATGCATTCTGGCAATATCGCTCTGCAGAAGGCGAATTTGAGCAAGGTGGGTCCAGAGGTCATCTTCCTTTTCCTCGAACTCGCCATGAATTAGGAGTCCAATGCTCTGTCCGTCAAATGGATCGTATATATTTTCGGGGAGTGCTCTGGTTCTCGTTCTTGCTTGCGATAGTTCGCCTGGCTGGCTCGTGCTATCAGGATTACCACTGGAGTCGACATGTGGGTCCCCTGCAGCGTGCAATTCCCGCAACTCATTTTCAATCTTGTCAATGACAGCATCATGTGGTGATTCCATGGACACGGCGGCTTTTCGTTGGGCAGAAGAGTCCGAAATGTACGGACCAACCGATGCATTGGCTGACCCTAGTCTAGCATTGGCTTCAGCTTCATCATTCTTGCCATCTAGTACAGCATTTCTCTCAGAAAACCAGTTACTGAACATTCTGTCGTGACGTGGAGAAGTGCAATTGCAGGCTTCAGAGGTTTAGGTTGTGGAACTCAACGGCGTGTGAGGGAAAGAGGGGAAGATGTGATTGGCTGACGCGACCCGTGACATGATCGACGTCCAGAATTAGTTATGCTGAACTGAAGAATAATCCGCTTTGCGGGGTGTGATGATGCCCTTCCGCCTTGAGCTTCGACACAATGAAATTTAATAGCTAGCAACTTGTCTCCAACCATGATGCGCTCAGTTCGACTCTGGTCTGCTCCGTCCTACCAATCGAGGCGTGCTCTTCATACCGTCAGCCAAGCTCAGCCTGCTGTCTTGGATACAGTTCTGGGCGTCCGCGAGAGAGCAAGAGTAAGTGCATTACGTAGCTCATTTGAAATACGTAGTTTACTGGGCCATCCGATAAAGAACAGGATTGCTGCAGTAGACCTTGCAAAACCCGAGGTACCTGCACTTCATGACTCATTTCATCGACGACACGATTACCTAAGGATATCTCTTACCGAACGGTGTAACTTGCGTTGTGGGTATTACTGCACAGTTGTCACCTTGAACAATATGTTGAACCGTCGATTCTATTAGGCTTCTATTGTATGCCTAGTGAGGGAACAGAGCTTAGCCCCCCAGCAAGCATTCTCTCCGACGATGAAGTAGTTCGTTTAGCATCACTCTTTGTTAAGAACGGAGTGAACAAGATCCGGTTGACTGGGGGAGAACCCACAGTTCGGAAAGGCATAATTGAATTAGTCGGTACGCCTGAAGTATACTGATAGCCAAACGAACGCACTAAATCCCTTTTCACCGACATTAGGCCGATTGAAGGAGCTCCGTCAATTCGGTTTGAAGTCAATAGCAATGACTACCAATGGCATTGCTTTGCATAGGAAACTTCCTGCACTCGTGGACAATGGACTCACTCATCTTAACTTGAGGTCTACTCCTTTGTTCCACCAATAGTCATTAAACGCTGACTTGCTTCATTTATTAGCCTGGATACTTTAGATCCTTTCAAGTTCGAGCTTATGACACGGAGAATGGGACATGATGCCATTCTACGGTCCTTGGATCTGGCCCTGCATACCCCTGGTCTACATTCGGTCAAGCTAAATGTGGTTGTTATTCGTGGCTTGAATGACAATGAAGTTCCAAAATTTATTGAACTTACACAGTAAGATATGTTCTCTATTCGCCCCTGATGTCTCGCATCGACTAGCGATATCTAGAAAGCACCCATTATCTGTTCGTTTTATCGAGTTCATGCCCTTTAATGGTAGGCGTCTACTTCGTAATTCGATTAGTTTGTTAACCGCGATGCCCTTCCGACGTTTTAGGTAATAAATGGGACAAGCAAAAAATGGTCCCCTCTTCAGTCCTACTCGAGCGTATATCGGCTGTTCATCCGGGTGTGTACAAACTCTCGGACGAAGTGAATGACACCGCTCGGTCGTATCAAGTGCCTGGTTACCGCGGTTCTTTCGGATTCATCAGCAGCATGTCGGACCACTTTTGTGGCACTTGTAATCGCCTTCGTCTGACTGCTGATGGTCAGATAAAGGTAAGCCACTGTATTGACATTTTGACGAGAGACGTCCTGACAGTGTGCTAGGTTTGCCTGTTTGATAGTCGTGAAGTGTCGTTGAGGGACCTAATGCGCAATGGCGCGGCAGACGATAATCTGGTCGAGGTATGTGTTCATTATTGGACTGAAATGAGTAAGGCCATCAACTATCTGCAGGTTGTTCGAGCTGCACTCGGTATGAAGAAAGAGAAACACGCTGGGATGGAGGATATAGACGTTGTCCATAATCGGCCCATGATTAAAATCGGAGGTTGAGTGTATTCCTACTTTCAGACATCTTGTATACTGTGCATCAATGTAGCATAATCCCCATGTCTGTTAAATCCACTAGATCACGTTCGTCGGAGAAGATCGGTTTCAAATTCCCGGCTTTTTTTCACTTCAAGAGCAACAGGTCACTATACTGTTCCTGGAAACTCTGCACTTGAAAACTGTCGTCGCGCCACGGTGGCTCCTTACTCAACTGCTCCCGAAAGTGGCCATCTAACGCATATAGATAAGAAAGGCAGACCTGCAATGGTTGATGTTTCAAAGAAAGAAATTACGCACAGATCGGCGACAGCACAAGGCAGGATCTTCATCCCAAAGGTAGCATATGATCTCATTTGCAAGGAAGACTCTGGAGTCGATGGTGATGATTGCGAGCTGAAACGCCGTCGAGACAAAGCGAAAGCAAAGGGTGATGTACTTACTGTTGCACAGCTGGCCGGAATCATGGGAAGGTATGTCAGTGACAAATTTGTTTTTGTCCTTGCCCATTGAAATGCCGTCCCTTTAGCAAGAAGACATCCGATTTGATCCCATTGTGCCACCCTATTCCCTTAAATCACGTCTCGGTTGAACTGCTCTCAGAAAATCATCCTCCATCTAATGATTTCACTGAGATGAGTAGAAGATACAGTGTTCTTTGTCAAGCAACTGCTATCTGTGATGGTAAAACCGGAGTTGAAATGGAGGCTCTGACAGCAGTTTCCGTGAGCTTGCTTACTGTATGGGACATGCTGAAAGCAGTTGCGGGGAAGGAAATGATGATTGATGGCATCTGTCTCATAAAGAAGTCGGGTGGGAAGAATAGTGATTTTGTGAGAAATTTGGAAGGAAAGGAAACACATTAGCCAGGTGAGTTTATTTCTAAGGTTGGAAGTTGTGGGGCTCATTAATAACTCCATCGACCAGATTGATTCGAGACTTTGTTTTGAATGGAATGGCTAACTGAAGGTGCACAAGCCCCGCCCTCTCTTGTTCGCTTTACCAGAATCCCCTGTCCGTACCGTGAAAGCCGATTTCCAAAACGTCTTCAACGAAAGCGGGCCTAACCTTACCACAAAGTCCGACATATCCGACCCTATCGTATATGTGTTGAGCGGCATTTTCAACTCCCACATAAAGTGCTGCGTATTGTTTTGTCTTCAACATCCTAGACGCAAGTAGCTGGGTGATCAGTTAGCCTCTCCTACATAAACAAATTGAGAACGTACTCGTCAGTGACAACCCTGACCAGCGCCTCCGCAAAACCTCTTCTACGCCACTCAGGCGTCGTGTAGACCTTCGTTAACACCGCGACTCTGTCGGATTGACGAGAAGCAGCACAAATGCTTACGACCTTCCCAGCAGTCTCGTATAACCAAATGATATTCCTCTCAATGAGCCACTGCGCTTCCTTCTTCCCTCCATCCGACGTAAGCGGAAAGTATATCTATTGCTCTATTGGTTCTTCGCGCTGAGAAAGAATATACGAAAACGTACTGATGCGTCCGCAAATTCCTTACAGAGAACGCCTATGGCGTCTATGTCAGTAAACGCCGCCTTGCGGATTGTTCCCCTTTCCAGCTGTATGCGTTGGGATGGTTTGAATGTTTCCCTTGTGCAGTACGTCATGAGCGCCGTGTAGAATGGCTTCGGTTCGTCGGTGGCGCCTGTGTTGGATGTCCAGCATCTTTTAAAGGCGGTCACTAGATCTGTCCTACCAAACACTGAGAAAACTCGACGACGATCGACAATGGACTGTAATGCATCCTGGAGCAGCTCGAGGCGTGGGGCCAACTTGTCATCGGTTGTCTCTCCTGGTGCATCCGACGACCACAGGAATATGGGGTAATCTCCGAGACTCCAGCTCAGGCACGACAGCACCAGCTGAAGCTTTAGAGCCTTTGCTTCTGTGCCGACAGTTGTCCACAATGTCAACCAGAAGTTCTGTGTGCCAGAAGACAAGTCATCTGATGGTGCACCCTGCGGACCTACTTTCGGAACATCCTGCTCACAGACGGCAAGCCGTAGAGATTGAAGCTCTTTCCCCGCTTCCTGTGAGCGGTCTAGCGCATGGGCGAGAATAATGTTCGCTGATATCTCTTTTTCATAGAGAGTTGGGTAGGTTTCGATCAAGAGGTCGGTTGCGGAACTGTGCAACTTGACTGTCATCCCCCCACGCCTCCATCCTAGTAAGTCAACTCCCGGCATCTCCAGCTGATTAATGATGGGGAAGAGCTGAATAGTACAAGAATTTGGGCTTAGGCGCCTATCAAGATAAAAAAAGAGAGAGGGGATAACGCTGCTAGATTTGGTACAGTGGAGTACGCAAGGATGACATGTAAAGACACAAGAGGAATACTAGAGTCGATAGACTTTGGTAAGTACCGTATTGTGTCCCGCGTTTTATACGCGAATCGAGTCGGGCTGAAAAGGAAATTGATCCATTTTCTGGACAGTGTTTCTCGCAGTATTGCAAGCTGATTTAAGCCAATCGCTTCGTGCTACGACTCGGGATTTGCAGACTACGAACAGCGGACACTGAGTGAATGCCTTGCAATTTCGTGGGCGCGGGCCATACCAACTTGAAATTTATTGTTCGCTGTGAAACGCGAACGGAGACCTTTCGACATTGCTATCGGGGCGCTGAGTTACCTGGACCCGAGTTTTCCTGTGCGTCACTCTGTTGCTCTTCTTGCTCAAGCCGTCTCACGAGTAGGAATTCAATTGTCCATTAGACATCACTGCAATGATGGGCTCTAATGATGGACTTTTTGGACGGGAATCCCATTCTCTGTCTCCGACGAAAGAACAGGAACACACGAATATAGCACTTCCCCTGCATGCTTCCTAAACAATGAGAAAGCCCCCCCTTACTCAAGGACAGGCAGATAGGCTTATAGCATATTATACAGACGAGCCCCATCTAGAGCGGTACTCTGGCCAGGTTGCGCTTCGGGGAAGTCAGAAAATTTCTGAGGATCGTTTTAGAAGGGGCCGCACTATGCCATAAGCAGATCCTCATACGCTCGAATCTTAAGCGCTCGCGGGCGCTTGTCATCGAAGTTCAACAATTAGGAAATGGATTTATTGCAATGATAGACGCTCGCGACAACGCCAGAGGGTCTGAATTACAGGAATCATCGGGAATAGGACATATCCCGGCCAAGAGCGTCATCGATCACGTTCAACATTCCCAGAACCCTTTCTTCATTCAACCTACGTCCTATGAGCTGCAGACAGACAGGCAGGCCATCAGAGTCCACCTTTCCGGTCGTATTTCGCTGGGAGTCCGGTAATGTCGCCCTAATATCTACCTCTTTTGAATTTGACTTGCAATAACCAACTGGGAAAACCGCTGCTGGATAATCTGCCAGGTTCCAGTATGAAGTATATCCCCACCATTTCGTCTCACCGTGCCTCGGAGCCAAAGTTGGAGCGACCGGCGCAATGATGGCATCGACCGATCTATGCAACCCAGTTCTAGCCTCGGTATTATTCCAGTGCTCAAGGAGCCTTTGACGAAACCCTTCCCTCTCAAGATTGAGGCGGAAAGTCTCTGCAACTGTAAATGGCTTTCCATTGTTCGGAACTTGATCTAAAATCCACTTCGTCTGAAGCACGGCAGGTTCTCCAGACCCCTTCAGAACATTTATATACTCTTCTCCGCCATCCAAGAAGTACAACTTGGTCTGCATACCAGCCATCAGCACTTATTTACTTTGCAGCACGATTTCGGAGGTGACTCACGAGAAGTTCCCAGGCTTCCTTATGCAGTATTGGTTCCCAATCGATCACCACGTGGCCCATTTTGGTCAGCAAAGTTTTGCATTTATCTAGTGCATCAATAATTGCAGGTTCTGGCTTGAACACCTTATCGTCCCAAAGCACTGCGAAGCAAAGCCTTGATGGCAGGTCCTTTCCATCGACTACATCTTGCCTCCATGGAATCTCTAGAAGTGGTGGCTCAACCAACCATGGTTTGTATTCCAGCATCACCCTGCAGAATAATGACAGATCTCTGGCTGAGCGTGTGAGGGGCCCCAAAACGCCAATTATTGCATCCATGCCGTCATGCGAGCCCATGAGACCTTTATGCGGGATCCTAGCAACAGAAGCTTTAAAGCCATAAAGACCGGTACACGCCGCCGGTAACCTCTTTAAGCAGAAGATTACTTTGTGCCGTATCGTTAGATACAAAGAACCTGACGTACTATACTTCCCCCGATATCAGTTCCCAACCCGAGGGGGCTGCCGTGGAGTGAAATCAGAGCACTCTCTCCTCCGCTACTTCCTCCGGGAGTCCGATCACGATCATAAGGGTTGCATGTCCGACCAAAAATATTATTATTCGTTTCGAGAGACTGTAAGGAGCTAGTGAATATACAAGTTTAATCAAGAACCCATGATGTAGGAAACAGACCAGTAAAGTTTGTGGATTATTTGTCTTAACAAAAAGAATGGCTCCAGCCTTTCTAAGTATGTCTACTGCAACGGCATCCTTGTCTGCTTTTGTCTTGTAGCACCAAGCCACATATCCTGTAGAAGTATCTTTACCCCTCACCATGATGTGATCTTTTATCGATACCGGTAGACCATGCAAGGGCCCGTATGCCTCTCCTGTACGGTCCATGTAATCATCAAGCTCCTTCGCACGCTGCACAGCTTCGTCAAAGAATATCTCGGTAAGACAGTTTGTTAAATCCTGTGCGACGACGGCTGCATGACAATGAGCTTCTATGACCTGCACACAAGAGTAACGGCGATCGTGAACGGCAGCCAGAATCGCAGAAGCATCGCCTTGGACTATTTCCAGCTCTGCCGATGATAGTTCTTTGTGTAGCACCTTCGAAACGTCTTTGATTCCGGGAGATACTATGGTCTGTAGTCTCCATTGGGGATATTGATTGAGAATCGCTTCTCGATCAGAACGTTTACAACGGGATATCTCCTGCCATGAGTCCGCGCCAGATTCAGATGCAAATGAAGCGGAGGTCTGGGTCATCGTAGAGCAAGAAAGGGAACCTAGGATAGTGGAACAGATTGAGAGTATTCGTAGCGCAGCAAACTTCAGAGTCACTGCCTTATCTACCGCTGATGCTGCTGACAGAAGCTATGCTGCACTGCAAGCTCGTGTACCCGTACCTCAGGAAAGCCTGGAAAACCTCAAGTAATGGACGCTAAATCTGCTAGTATGGCATACAGCATGCAAAAAAAATCCGTTGGGATCCGAGAAACACACGCCAGATTAATGGCAGAAAGATACAGCAGTGCTTCTTATGAAGGTCATGAGATGCCCAATAGGTGAAAGTTGCAGACCAAGCCACCGAGATTAGCGGAAGGCGGTGTATAAGAAAAAGGGCTGTGCTGAGTACAGCGAGGGTTCATCGATAGCCTGATTCTTCTGGCGCTCATCTAACAGCGATATGCACGCAGTCAATCATAAATGTAACAAAACCATGTTCATATTCGGATACTAATCCGTCTTCGTCTTCGTTAGAGTCCTTAGCGCTTCTTCGTTGACTTCATCGTCAACAAAACGGACGTCCTAACAATGACGAGGGACAGACAGGGAATTAGTGTACAATTTCATGTATGGAAACTTTAAAAGGAAAATTCCGGGTCGCGTATGGACAGCATTCTAATGCTAATGTCTGTGTGAATTAGAAATCGAATCAAGACCCACATCTCGTCCTATTATAGTGGGAACAGAAGTGACATTCCACGGGCTTCCACGGAATTCGTTAGTTGTATTACCTATCCAACTAAAAATCACAGTGTCATCGCACGTTGGAATGGCGCTAAATGCGAAGCCATAAATTTACTGACTCCTCACGTTGGCCAACAAAGACGATCAGAGCTGAAGGCGCAGTTAGCGGCTCAAACGCCTTGCGAACGACTTCTTCAACGCGTCTACAATCCTGTGTTGATTACAGGGAATCAACAACAGATAAACACGCCAGAACCCACCATTCATAAATGATGACATGATGAAGGGATGCACCGGAACGTTAGAACAAACTCACCGGGCACCACATTTGGCCCGCGGCATCAACAGAGGAATAGAATATCAGATACTGTGCATCGCTTTGCTGCACCGTTGAAGCATCCGTAGGGTCGGGGGACGTGAACAGAGGCATGAGTTCCGATGCGATTGGATGGTAGTTGAAGAGTGCACAGGCAGTGGCGAAGAGGCACAATGCCACAACACGACTTGAATGCATCCGTCCCGAGTCGATCAATGATCAGCATATTTTGCACAGCCACTGTGGAAAAGCCATCTGCCAGTGCAAAATTTCTTTTGCAGCCCTTGATAAAAAATCCCTGGACATGCGAGTCTCATTTTGAAACGTCATCTTTACGTTCCACGTGGCACTAGCGGAAGCAAAACACAGAGTGTGTTTTTATATTACTGTAAACGAAAAGTCGTTATTCTTTAATCAAACCACTACTAGGTTCCATCTTGAAATCAGTCCTTGTAATGATTGCCTTCAGAGTTCACGAAGCCCCCATACAAATGATCATCACTCTAACTAATACGGCATCATGTTTAAGACGAATTGCATCAAGAATCCCGGTCAACGTCGGCCTGCCCAAAATTCTGTGTGTCACTGGTCTTCATTGCCCTCCGAATGCGGATTCGCGTGTTCCGAACGGGGTCGAGACCTGGTAAAATTTCCTTTACAAAAATACCCGGATGTATACACGGAACTGTGTGGGGTAAACTACCGGGATTGGACTGCAACACCTTGAATGGTGTGCTTTTGCTAACATAAAATAGCACCACCAAGCCATTATTTTCGGAGCCGAATGTCTAACAATTCACACCGCCCGAAGACAATATCTACCTGGTTCAGCTCAACCGTACTCCTTCATTCGAGTTTTGACTTCTAGTCCTAGACAAACAAACGAGGAAGAGGGTATGTTAAACAACATTGCAAAATATAGCACACTGTTGAATTGTCCGAGAGTGTTTTTAACACGTAAAAACCAGCTTGTGCTACATCAGCAACGAAGGGCGGGAGGAGGGAAAGGAGCAAGAAATAGGGATAAACACGAATATACGAGTGCAATATAAATTCCTGAACCCTTTCGAGAAATCAATCAAATACTTATCAACAATCTCGTGGTACTGAAAAAGAACGTCCGAAGTAGGTACAAACAGAGCTTTAATGTAAATGTCCGAGAGACGTGGAATGAGAAACATCTACTGTCGTCAAGAAACGGAAGAGAAGACGAGGTGACTAGTAATAGCCACTGCCACCGGATGACGAATCGGAGCTTGCTGACGCTGTCGCACTGGCCATGGAAGTGTCATAGCCGTTTGAGCTGCTTGAAGAAGCATACGAAGCAGACGAGGTGTCATACGCCACAGAGGTCGAGCTGGACATATCAGTCGCGCTAGCCATGTACGTAGACGACGTCATGGTCGCATACGTGTTGTACGTATTGTAGTTACCCATAGTTAATGACCAACTACCCTTGCACTAAACGGACGAGCCATTGAGTATGGAACAAAGCTTCATGTAGAGAAATTGCCTCACCGAGTTCAAGCAAGAAGCGAGTTGAGTGTCCTGGACAGTCTGGGTCTCTGTGGCAGTTGAGAGCTGCGTCTCCGTAGCGGTGGCAGTCATAGTCTGGAGATAGGTTGTCTAATAGACTAAAGTCAGAACACTGCTGAGAACCGTATGGATTACACTTACGCTATCGATGACAGTCGATGTGAGCGTGTTCTCAATCGTCTTTGTGTTGTCAATGACTTGAGTGCTGACCCACACACTCGTGTATGTCACTGCGTCCGTGACCTATGTAAAACATCCACAACATTCAGAACAATTGATTTGGACTCCTAAGTTTAATTTGTACTCACCGTTGAGATCATAGTCTCGGTGACGCTAGCGGTCTCAGTCTGCGTTGCGACGGAAAGGGATGTAGACACAACAGTCATCGTGTCAGTCATCGTCGCGGTCAGAGTGTTCTCAATCGTCTGGAACGACGAAGATCAACAATACGAAGACGGGCAATATTTCCATGATTAATTACCTTCGTGTTGTCGATGACTTCCGTGCTGACCCAGACCTTGGTATAACTAGAAGGGAGAACTTAGTACCAGTAGCTCTCATTTAAGGATCATTTCAATACTAACGTCGTCGGGACGAAGTCGGTCATCGTCATTTCCTGTTCAAGTCGGTCAGAAGATAAACATCTCTCATGTTTGATATACACTCACAACAGTGACAAAGTCGGTCTCGTGCTGAGTCTCAGTGGCAGTCTAAAAGCAATATAAAACTTAATCCTGTAACAAACAAACAAATTTACTTACTGCCGTGTCCGTTTCTGTGGCGGTTTGAGTGTAGACATTAACCTGAGTCTTCGTCTCCGTTGCCGTGAGGGTGTACAAGTTGGTGACCTAAAACAGTTGTAAGAACTATGTTTGTGCGCGGGCCTATCAGGAATACGATACTAACAGTGTTGTCAACAATTTCCGTTGATACCCAGACGCGACTGCCAAAATAATTAGCATATACCCAGATTAAACCAAATAGGCAGTGCTGACGTTGTCGGGACAAGCTCAGTCGAAGTCATAATCTACACAAACACTACTTAACATTGATCCAATGTTTCCATAAAGAAGAATGACATACCTCGGTTGCCGTGACAGTGTTCGTGTCAGTTTGAGTGTAGGTAACGGTTGCGGTCTTGGTATTTGATACATTGAGACAAATATTTATAAACCATAACTCTGGAAAACAGCCGTACCTCAGTCATAACACTGGTGTAGACCTGAGTAACAGTGTTGTAGACAGTTGAGGTCTCTGTCACAGTTTGGTCATAACAATTTTGAGAGCTTCAAATGTACGTGAGAAAAATAATTATAAATAGGTAGGAACCAATGGAGCTTACTGGTTGATAATAATGGTCTCATAGCAACCCTCAAAGGAATACTTCGTAAAATGGCAGAATCAGTCAGACCGGGATTTGCAGATCAACACGGACACCGAACACACCCATGACAGAGCCTGGCAAGACCCATCGTACGCCTTGGAAAAGCCATATCCACAGTTCATACTTGAGTATCCTCCAGCAGTCATCGACTCGTACGGCATCATGGAGTAGATGTCGGTACTTGAAGGGGGTTGAGTGTACTGCGCAGAAGAAGCATCTTCTGTCGAGGTAGTGTAGCCAGTTGCTTGCGCTGGGGCGGAACTACCGTAATAACCGCCATTTGACGATGATGCGGTCGCACTAGCAGTAGCTCCACTGTCTGTAGACGATAACGGCACCATTGAAGCACCATTCACCAATTGTGCAACGGCTGCACCCGCAAAGGAAAGACCAACGAGAACGGTTTTCATGATTGATTGCGAAAGCGAATGAAAGTATCAAAGAATTGACGAGCACTTGCGTAAACGCGAGAAGGTCGAAAAAAAGTCGGCGTTGAGAAAGAACGAATAAGCGGTCTACGCTGGGCTTTATGGGAGCAGTTCTGTCTAGCAGACTAGATAGAGCGGCGACGACCTTGGGAAAAGCGAATGAAAGAACGCAAGCGTTCTGCAAACCTGTCAGATCCTATCCCGAAAGCTTATCGACCGACATTGCACTCACCGTAAAAAAACGAAGTTTTTAAAAAAAGGAGAAAAAAGAACGAAAAGCGAAGGCGAATGAGGGGTGGAGAAGAGGAGTGATATGGGACGGCGGGGCTTATAAGGATTGGATGCATGATTCGGTTCCATCACTGTGGGACCGGATTGAACAGGGACCGGCATGGCCATAGCGACGGTCAGTGCACGGCGTTACGATTGGCAGGTCATCTCGGATTGTAGCCGTCTCCTTGACGCTAAATCATTTTTGCATCTTCTGTAATCAATACGTCCACAAGCGCGATTCGTTCAAGCAAACGCTTCTTGATCCACTCGTGAGGCACTGTCTCATTTTCTGCTGACTAATCACCATATCAGTTCGATCCTCGGTCTGGACACACAGCCTGTCCCAATATGAATCAATACATCCATTCAAATCCAATGCTACGCCAAGAAGATCATCTACGCGGGTGACCGCCGACCAACATCCCCATGAACATCCAGCAGAATCTTGAGCGCATTCCTCGCCCGCACCTTCGCCAGGTCCTCCGGCCCAGACGTAAATGCCGTCTCCACTTGTTTGGGGCGTTCTTCCCACGGATACTATCAGCGCAATAGATCCCGTCAAGAGAAAGTTAGCAATTTCCTCATTCCAAAGCGCAGCAACAAGGCGCCAATCGAACGTGAGAATTGTACTGACCGGTAGATACTGGGCAAAGGAAATTGACAGATGAAATCAAAACACCATCAATCAGTTATTGATCGGCTATTCAACAACGTTACTCGATGCCCACCTTGTGCAGATATTCATATGCGACCAGTGTGAAACCAAACTGCGGGCTGCTACGCAACACACGTGCTGGACCACCCTTAAACAGTGCCTTGAAGCCCTCTTCTCGGTCTTCGCGGATATCAGCTAATATCAAGGAAACAAATCATGACGCTGCACTGCTCACAGATCTTGACGAACGCATCTGCCAAGCCCTTATAATGGGTTTGACCCTTTCGCGCCTCCACCTGAAGTCTCGTCTTGACAACGTCTACCGAGAACGATATTAGACACTCCAGCCTGCACGACATGAGTCTGCTTACCTGCTGGCGTCGTCAGATATGCCGCTGGCATTCCTCTATAAAACTAGGATCAGAAGTTGAAGTCCAAGATTAACATCGTCACTGACGCTACACCGGCAGAAATCAGTGTCTCAAAGAAGCCTAGTTTCTTGCCGTTATAGCCTTCCTGGTAGACATCCTTCTTCATGTGGTTATACGCTGTGAAGTAGATGGCCGAGAAGGGAATGTCTCGCAGAAGGCATGCAGATGCACCCTTATAAAGCCCTACGAGACCCAGCTGGCGAACAATGTGCAAAGCGCCACGAGGAACAGCGCCTTCTGCTTTGGCAGCTTCACCTGCTACTTGTAACCGGATTTTTCTGTAGTCATCGATTTACCAACTTAGTAGAAGAAAATACTGAATTGCTCTGGAGAACATACACAATCTCCAGTGGATTTGTAAAAATCTTTCGTATGTGCAATGAGCACACGCTATCACGCAAAAATTTAAACTACATATGCTCACGACTTGGCTACCACCAGCGGTTCCACCAGCCACCAACTCCCAGCCGAGCTTAATGCGACCCGTCTCAGGATCCGTTGTCAGACCCCGAATCAAATCGTTGACGGTTAGCTTGATAGCCTTCTCAGGTGCAACACCCTAAATCAATTCGCATGTTACGAGCGGAGATCGATTTTGCAATAGATATGCGAGTACACACGATAAGTTGGGGACCCAGTCCTCGATAAAATCCAAGAAGGCCTTCGTTTCGAAGAACTTTCTGGACACAATCAAAGCTGTTTTTGTACAACAGTTCACCAACAACGTTGCCACGTTGATTCTGCATTCTAGACCCTACAGTTAGTATCATAATCAGATCCTTGTAAAGTTTTAAAAATATATACCGCGTCTTCACTAGAATATTAAAGTCTAGGTAAACCGAACCATAAGAGAGAATAAATCAGCTATGCTTACCAAGGTCAATAGGATACACTATAGTCGCTCCGAGAGCACCGGCAATACCTCCTTGAACGAAATTGTACACCGATTGTGCTACCTGATTCAGTACGGATGTCGAGACCTTTTTCTTGGCCTCTCCTAGTTCCCTGGGTGGTCGCCATTTTGGATCCAGAAGTTGGGCAAAGTCGATCAGAGCAAGGCGTTGCCCTCCATTACCTCGACCAGCAAAATGGAAGATGATTGATGCCTCCATTGGAGTGAACAAGCTATAACGGGTCGTCGAGGCAGTGTAGTTCAGGAAGTCACTCTGATCTATCCGCCCATCTTTCGATTTGCGGGTCGCTTCCCGGATTACGCTGTGATATAAGCTTAATTAACGTGATGGAGAAAGGATGAACTGAAGACCAACTACGGACCGTTCTACCATATCCATCTCTAACAAAAGCAAATAGGTTAATGTCTAATCAGTGTTAATTAAGTATTTCACTGACCCCTGATAACATTGTGAAAAGCAATGACTTCCGAATAGGATATCTTGCCACCAGGAGATAAAGTACACAATGTTGGTAAACGCTCAATTACAGCGTCAGATAACTTGTGCCCTGCCAATTCCTTTACACGAGTAAGTTCATACTATTTCTTCTCTAATAATCGTGACAAGTTACCATGATGATGCGCTTGAACTGCTCGGGTGTAATGAACCCGTCCTGATTTCCATCAAGGTATTTGAAAGCTTGGCGCAAGCGTTCGCCTTGCAAGCCCTTCATAAGCTGGGTAAATTCGGAGTCTACGCGATTTAGTATTAGAAAGGCACTAAGGAGAAGCGTGAAGACGTACAGCCAAGGACATGAGCCCCATTTTTCTTCCCCAGGTATAATTTGACCCAATCACTGCATAAATTCTCAATCTCGCTATACTTGCCTGACTGTGTGTTCTCTCGTACCAATCAAAGTCAAACGGTATACTGTCCGGCCCAAGATTTTGGGAAAATACGTTCTTGAATTCCTCAAATGTGATTGTGCCAGACGAATCTCTAAAAGCGTGCCATTCATGAATATTATGAAAGCGCTGTAACATCCAATGCATTTTACGCACACGTCAAAATATTTAAAAGCAATCCAATAATCCGCATCCGGTCTTTTCAAAATAGTCTGAAAGATAGTAAAGTCGTCCCACGAGATCAAACCGCGCTTTTGGGAGTCTGCAACTTTGAAGAGTGTGGCAAACTGTGCCCGGCCCAGCTTCGAGAGGTCTTTCGCGGGAGCAATAGCGTCTACGAATGAATCTACATCTAAAAATCTTCATGCAAGTAGTGCAAGTCCGACGACGCGTCCAGAAAGGACGGTTAGCCCGGGTTCAAAATAACAGTATAGAACAGCTCACTTCTGGTCGCCAACAGTGACCTTTGCGTGTGTATCGAACGTCCTACGCCACCGCTTTAGTTCAGACTCCGGAGCATGTACGGCCTGCTTGAGAGTCGAAAACGCGCCGCGACTAGAGGACTCTGATTTAGACGGTACCGAACCCTCATCACAGCGGACAGGCGAAAATACGCGAGGCAACGGGAGGGGCCACATGTTGGACGCGACGTAATCTAAGTCTAGAGGTCTATGACAAATGTGCCGCCACGGAGAGCAGGCACGTCTAGGAGCAGTCAAGAGAAAAGGAAAGGAGTGCGGCGAACAGCAGCGTCGCCAGAGTGGAGAACGTTAACAAGACAGATTTTTTTTCGGGGCAAAGTGCCGCAGGCTGTTCCCTGCCCTGCCATCAAGCGAGACTGACAAGATCTTCGGCTGGGATTGGTCCCGCTCATAACCGGCTCTTACTAAGCAAGGAAAAAGACGCAGTAGGCCCGCACCGCGGGCCTATGACGTTAGCCTGCATCATCAATACAATACGGAACTTTTGTTGTATATTATCATTAGCGTTACTGGAATGCCAACTTTTGAGGCAGTCTGAAGCTGATACAGTACATGTCTTTATTAGGCGCCACGGAGCGCACATAGTGCAAAGTTACTTCTTTCTCCAACTCTCCCCCGAGCGATTCCTCCACCCTCTACAGACAAGCCAAGAATTAGAGAACGTTTTGCAAAATCCCATGAGCTAAATTATCTGCGCACCTTTCTTATGTCTGCCTCCGCAAGTCCGGCATCAAGAAATCGTGTAAAGCAGTGACAATGAACCATTGGCATCGTCTCGTACACGCCGCTCAATTCCCGATCTAGAGGGTCCAGTACTCCGCGGAATGCATCAAGGAATTCGATCGCGGAGTCAGGCAAGTTCATAACGAAATGTCCGATACGATTTCGCAAGGCCGGAGTTGCGGGTGTGGGTTCGGGCTCGTTAGGGACACTCGCCTCATCCTTACTTGCGGATAGCCTCCGTCTGCGTTCCTCCTTCTGTTGTTTACGTTTGCTGAGTGTCTGACCACAGACAGGATCGAAGGGCTCCGTGAAAACCCGTTTGAATGCTAGACGAATAAAGTCCTTCCCGTCTTCGCAATAAACGCGAATGTTTTTGGATACCTGTCTCAAGTAATTAGGTCCTTGGCAGGTAAATCAAAGAAAGGAGCGAACTAACATTGTTGTCGTCCACATTTTTACGAAGCCACTTCACGCTATTTGGATTGAGGTCATTCGCCAGAACGGTACATCCCTTCTTCGCTGCTGGAACCGCGAACGGGCCGACACCAGCCATAACGTCTGCTATAACACCATCTTCAGGCTGAAACAGCTGAACAAGGCGGTCATGCTCAGTGTGCAATCGCGAGTTCCAGTAGACTTCCCGGAAATCGAAAGTGAAACGACAGTTCGATTCGCTCTACCAAAGTAAGGTCGTAAGTCCGCGAATTTCTTTCCTGAGAAAATCGGGACATATACATGCTGCACGATGAAATCCGGTTCTCCGGCAATCAGCTCCATATCGAAATATCGGAACTGGTTGTGAATGGTGTCAAGTTTATTGACAACAGTCCGAAGTCGCGGGTTTTTCTGCAAGAGATTAGGTCACTCTGAGGGTGTTGGAAAACTCCACTAGTCCAGTCACTGACATCCAAAATAATTTGTCCAATAATGTATTTGTACGGCAAGAATTCTGCGTTCAGATTCAAGTGCGCTGGCACCATATTGAGCGCAAATCGGAAAACAAGAAAATGACAAATTACCTAAATGACCCATAGCTGCGAAACCAGTCGGTAACTCTGTGCACAGCTCCTCGGGAAGCGTGGCCTCGAGGATATCAACTGCGTGAGTTAGCTCAAGTTGAATTCGGCGGAGGTAGGCGAAAGGAAATAGTACCTGCCGTCCAATAACTATAATCCAGTTCGATCTCATAAACCATCAAAGTTGCACCTTCTCTCTCGATGAACTCATTAACTCTTGCGGGTAATTCATCTTGCTTGCAGTGTCGGACAGACAGCAAATAAAATACAGAAGATTGTTGTGGATGTAGATCATGATATAGCTGCCTCAAAATGACACACCTCTATTTTGGTAATTGAGTAAAACTAGACGTCTTCCTTTGTCCTCTTTGTCGTGAACAACTGTACGACAGCGGCGTAGGTCCAGTACATCACTACCATAAACTTAGCATTAGTCTCTATGGAATCAAGCATGAAAAAGGCAAAGATGTACTTTTTAAGACCATCAAGAAACCGTCCTGACTTTGGAGCGGGAATTCGAGCTGCCAACACCGGTATTGATTTGCGGAAGATTTCCCTGTCAAGAGATTGAGTGCCCTCTTTGATGCGATGGATGGGAGGAGCAGTGTCAAGCGTAGATATCATCAGCGTGGTCGTCGAGCAGATTGTTCGGTAAAATGATGACTTCGACGCCCTGAGATGGAGAAGTCGAAACATGGGCCAAAACGAGATGTCGCGTCTCTTTCTCTACTCGGAGACGTTGACACCAACTCCCACAAGCACTGACGTCTGCGACAATCATTTCGCTAAATCTCGCTTGTATAAATACTTTCTCATACATGTCGGAACCGCCCTTGGACGTTCTCAAGCATGTGGTGGATGTCCACTGTCACCCGACGGATTCAGAAATTCCGTCAAATGTAATCGACGAACTTCCCATAACTATCTGCGCTATGGCCACTCGACCAGACGATCAGTCTCTAGTTGCTGACCTTGCAAAGTCCCATCAGGACAAGGTAGTACCGTGTTTCGGTGGGTTTGCTTTCTAGACTGCTGCATCGTACTCCGCGTATCTAAACTCATTGACTTTTGCTAGTCTAGGCTTTCATCCGTGGTTTGCACATTGGATCTCTGTAGCTCCTGGAGCACTACCTTCCAAAGAACAGCACTACCGTTCTCTCTTCTTGAAGGAGGATGAATCCGGTTCAACAAACGATGAGCATGTCCAAGCACTAGAGAAAATGCTGCCATGTTTACCGGAACCCATGCGACTAGGAGATTGCATATCATCCATTCGTCAACACTTTAGTGCATTTCCAGGAGCTATGCTTGGAGAAGTCGGCCTAGATAGATCTGCAAGAGTTCCTCTTGATTATAACTCCGAGCAGCGCGAGTTATCACCATTCTCTGTACCATTTGAGCACCAGCTTGCTATCTTAGAGGCTCAACTGGCTGTGGCCGTGGACATGAATCGGACTGTCAGCATACACAGGTATCTTCGGACTGGGTACCTTGTAAACTAAGCTAAATCGCGTTCACATTGCTAGTGTCAAGGCCCAGAAGGTGACCATCGATCTCCTTGAACGTATGAAGAACAAGTATGGGGAGTCCTGGACTCGCATCAGTATCGACATGCATAGTTGTGGATTCAGTCCAGAAACATGGCACGCTGTTGAAGTATGTGTCTTCAGTACTTTGTCAAAATGGCCGACTGATATAGTGCTAAGCTTTTAGAAATCTCATCCGAACGCGTTCCTCTCACTCTCTACTGTCATTAACGGACGATCACCAAATCATCGCAAATTAATTGACGTAGTTTCCCCAGACCGACTTTTGGTTGAATCCGACATTCATGAAATAGGCCAATGTGCGGCGCGCACATGGGACATGGTCCTCACTATAGCTGACGTAAAAGGATGGAAAGTCGAGGAGAAATGGGAAGATGAGGTCGACGAAAGTAAATGGGGTGTCGTACGGAGGCTTGAACATAACTTCAAATTATTCATGGAAGGCGGGCATAAACCTCGTATAAAGGGGAAGAAACGAAATTAAATGAACTAGTATAACACAACAAATAAGATATAGTCATATATGTCGTGACTCCTTCGATATTTGAGGTTGTGATTTATGTGGCCATTGGTCATCACGTGGGTCCACAATAGCCCGATCACGTCGATCACTGCTTTGAGGCTTGACCACAATCAAGTCGATTATTTTCTAACCTGGGTCCCGTTGGCTACTGTTTGCATGTTTATTTCTCGTCATGGCCTCCTCTGGAACACCTTCAAACGTAGAAAAACCCTTCCATACCGACTTCTGTTCATCAACGGCTGATTTTGTTGTCCGTTCGTGTGATGGCGTTCGGTTTAAATGTCACCGTTTATTCCTGCAAGAGTCCTCACCTGGTGAACACAACCTCACTGTCTCTGCTTCTAAGAATTTGCTTCTGACATATATCAACTTTATATAGTGTTCAGGACAATGCTCACGCTCCCCCAGCCTGGCACAAGCACACCTCCGGACGCAACGTCCCGACCACCATCCATAGACCTGCCAGAAGACACTAAAACACTCGAAGTCCTCCTCAGAATCATCTACCCAATCCAACAACCAACCATTGACTCCATCTCTCTCCTCGTAAAATCCTTCCTGGCAGCAGAGAAATACGACATGCAAGGTGTCATCTCCACCCTCCGCCTTCATCTTCGCGACGACAAGTTCCTAATAAACCACCCCGTACACGTCTTTGCGCTCGCTTGTCATTTCCAATTCATTGCTGAAGCGAAGGCGGCTTCGAGAGCGACACTTGCTGCGAACATACATATTCATGACCCGGCGAATATTGAGGTGTTTGAGCAGACTGGGTTTAAGATTACGGACCTTATGTCGTTACAATCGTTGCGACATAAACGTATTGATGGGATGCGGGAGTTCCTTGACGGAGATGGGTTTGAGGGCGTCAGTTTATTTCTTCCCACCCTATCCATACAAATAAAGGCTAACTACTACTTTTGCTCACAGAACGCACCCGACTTCAGTTGTGTCTCCTGTGCAAAGCCTCTACAAGATCCAACCTGGTCATTACTCAAAGCAAGCATCCTAAAAGAACTCTACTGGAGACCGCTAGGAGACACTATATTCGGACCAGACTTCCTAAAGTCGAACGCCGTCCAGTTCTTCATCAACTCCAAATGCGAAGAATGTCATGAGAGGCTCATATACGAGAAGGGTAAAACTCTTGCCATGATCTCGGAATATCTAAAATCTTTACCTGAATCTATCGATATTAGTGCGTAGCCGACTATCTGGTTGCTTGTGATCATTGCTAAAGTATGAGCAGGCAAATAGGGTTTTGCATTTTTTTGGCATACCTCGTCTCATCTTCGCTATTTTGTATCATAGGAAACTGTACAATGTCCATATCACGCACTTACTCAACTATGAACCTCAGATAAAGTCATCTTAATAAATCATAACATCGTACATGCTAAGACCTTCATATGCTTGCCAAACAACAAAAGAGATACCGTAATGAAGAAATACGCAGATAATAGAAGGGTGACATCACATCATCAAAGGGTGATGAAAAACAGAAAGGTCAGGAAATTGAATAAAATCCGCGGCCTGAATTCGTGCAACATTAAAAATCGTAGAGCCATTTGGGATCATAGTTCGTAGACTGGGAGCAATACCGTCAAGCAACAAGCTGCCCTTTTAAGCCATCGCCGCGACGAGCTGACAGGCATCCGCGGACGAGCACCACGAAAAGCGCTATAGTGACGAGGACCCTACATGGAAGCAATTGTCAGACACGCCAAGTACAACTACGAAGAGATAGAAGGCATACCACACAATCCATGCGAAAGCTAGAGTGTCAAACGTAACAGTCAGTACCCGCGCCTTCTTAAAGCGAACAGTTCATTACCTTCGAGAGCATTCAACTGATCGCAATAGACCAAAGCAGTCTTGCTGCAATTATGTCCTCCACCAAGAGCAGCCGTGATACTCGCAGCACCGGCTGTCCACAGAATCCACGTAATGACGAGGCTGTGATTCACGTTGTAATGATTAGTCCGAATTGGAAGACTCAATGGACTATTGCTACAAACAAGATAGCATGCGATCCGACACTTGTCAACACATTTGTAGATGTCCTTGATGCGGACCAAAGGAATAGTCCCGCGTAAATAGCACCGAATAGAACGGTCCACCAGCTGTAACGGAATAAGAAATTGTATCCCATGGGAAAGTTGAGTCAACCAACCTGGTAAATGTGAGTAGGCCAGTCCTGTCGCGAACTGCTTTACTTGGATAATTATGGTGCTGGTCAAAACGAGCTATAAGCCAGGTCGCTATTGCACCCTATCAACAACGTTAAATGTGACAGTAATATCTGACTATATGTGAAGGTACCTCGATGATCGAGAAGAAAACGATGAGACCGAATAGTACTGTAGGTTGGTATTGTTCTCGGTCAGCACCATGTCGAAACTAGTCTATGTGCATACATACCGGGATGACCGCGCCTGATGTGATTATCGAAGTTAACCATTGCGTCGCTCCTGGGGTGTCGTAAGGATGGAGTAGGGGAATGAAGAGTGGGAGGGAGGCTAGCATTTGTCTCGACCTGCGGGGCTGGGTGTCTGTGCACAGCCACACAGATCGACCCACCTGATGACGTCCGCCTGCCAAAATTCTGAATTACGTAGATCGGCTTACATGTACCTGCGACGAAGTGATCGTAATATTATACAACGTATATACGTATATTACAATGAGTAGAGGAGACTAATGATGATGGAATATTCAATGCTCGGTCATAATCATTCATACTGTTTGCGGAAGGAAAAAGAAAAAAATGCCAAGTGAGACGACCTTCCTACTCAGTCGTCCATGGGAACACACATCCTCTGTCCCGGCTTCAATGTGGAGCAGTTAATGTGCGGATTAATCGACCGTAGGTTTTCCAGCGACGTCCCGTATTCTTGGGCTATATCCCAGCACGTATCGCCAGATTTGACGACCATTGGTCTGCTGTGCTCCGGGCACGATATCTGACGTGGTTTGATGAATGATGGGGACAGACGGAAGACCAATAAGAGGAAGACGGCGATGATTAAGAAGAATGGCAAAAGCTGGCGCCATGCATCCCTGTTGCGGTCACGAAGGGTCCGGCCCTGTATGAAACGTTAGTTAGGAGCTTAACTGGGAGGCCCATAGGAATCTCAAAAGCACTCACTCCGACCAATTCAGGAACTGATGCGTAGCCATCTTCCCTTGAAGGTGCCGTAGCTTCAAGGTCAGCGCTGCTGCGCGACTCTTGTCCAACTAAACCAAAGAGTTACATATGAGTATGGATGCTCGACAAAAGTTACCACTGGAAATACCTTTTCTGAGCTCCCCATATTCCGCGCCCTCGGGACCTTCCCAATAGACACCGTCCTGATCTCTGAAAGTATATTTCTGTGTGTCTGCATCATAGCCCACACGCTTCATGCCCTCTGGCAAGCGGTAATCATCCTATGGGAGAGTGCGCCCATTAGGACCGATATCAAAGGAGGCTTCCATGACGACTTGCCTCATCATACTGGGTCCACCGGCCCATAGTGGGTAAAAGGTCGTGAAACAGGTATTACTAGTACAAGCGCTGCTGCGCGAATGTCGTGCGAGGAACGCTAACGGAAACCAAGTATCGCAATCGCAGGGGTGGCGGCAGGGCTGTGGTGAGAGAGGGCTGCTGTCGTGGCGCAGCGTAAGTAATTATTTGGGTAAAGATAGACAAGCGTGACAACGTAATCATCCACGCGTCCCATTCCGGCGAACTTGTCCTGACTCTGCCGCAACTCGACACTTCTTACTCAACTTGCTGCAGTCATGGCCGACTCCATGACCGGCATTGCGCCTGCACCTATCATAGCGAATTCAGTCCCTGCAGACCTCGTCATGCAACCAGCTCCTGTCAATCCCGCCTCCATACCAAATGCAGCAGAGCTACCAACAACGCCGACCGTACCTCCAGAAGTCGTAACGGAAACGCTTTATATCCAAAATCTCAACGAAAGGATCAAGCTCAACGGTACGTAAATGTCAATGGAGTACATACGTATTCTTTCTAACGTTTTGCCCGTAGTAATGAAACAGACTCTCCACGCATTGTTCTTGAATTACGGAGATGTGTTAGATGTTGTCGCCCACCGGAACTTACGAATGCGGGGTCAAGCTTTTGTGTCATTCGCCGATGCAAGCATTGCCAAAAAGGCACAGCGCGAGGTTAATAGGTTCCCTCTCTACTCAAAACCTATGGTATGCCCTATCGTCTTGTTTTTCCCCTTGCGTAAACTAATTTGATACAGCAAATTTCGTTTGCGAGGACTCGGTCAGACGCCGTTGTAAAAACGGTCGATTTAGACCATTTTGACCAACACAAGGCAGCTCGTCTTGAACACAAGAGTATGTTGGTCACGCCCATATACTGTGAACTTAGAATTGAATTCCCTCTCTTTTTTAGAGAAGACGCGATATAACAATCCCCTGAAGCGGAAATTCAGGGCAAGGCGGCTGGCAGAAAAGAGTATGTATTCTACAGTTCCTGTACGACATCGCTTGTTGGTATTGACTGCTATTCATTAGTGGATGGAGCTGCATTACCAGCACCAAAACGCCCCGCTGTCCAGATGCCAGACGAGTACTTACCACCGAACAAGATTCTCTTCCTACAGAACCTTCCGGAGAGCGTTACAGACTCGAAGGATCAACTTTTGGCACTTTTCTCACAGTACGTATACTTAATGTGTTAATTCTGAATGCCCTACTAACATTCCTTCGTACAGATACCCAAACCTCCACGACGTTCGTCTCATTCCAACAAAGAAGGATATCGCCTTCGTCGAGTATTCGGATGAGGCAAGCGCGACTGCTGCAAAGGATGCCTTGCACAATTACAAGCTGGATGGAGAGCACAAGATCAAAGTGTGTCGCCTTCTCTTTTCACTAAAACGGACTACAAGACTGACATGCATCGTTCTCAGATCACTTACGCCAGAAAGTAGTCTGGTCTTCTTACTCCTCATTCTGCTGTCATTACTTCTTGCTGGTGTACTGTAGTACAGTGACAAATTTGCTCATAAGCCAAAACAAGCTGCGTCGAGTGTGAATTTTACCCAAATGTAACTGACATGCGATTTGTTCGTGTTAAGTACCTAAAATTCTCGATAATATATCTGCCACTTCTGCAGCAACTCCCCAAGAATCTTGATAACCCGCCGGCCTGATGCATAGATTAGACTATGAGAAGGGAGAGTTCGTTTTGCTGACACCTACCCAAGACCATAGGCATGGATCACCTTCAATTCTCTTTGAACTCTCGTTTCTGCCACATAATGCGGAACCAGCTCGTTCGCTAACGGTAGCTGAACGTTCTCAAGCTCCACACGAGGTCCTCCACGTCGCGCCGGCCGGAACCCAACATTAAGACTCAGAATCTTCGTACCTCGTGAAACTTGAAGGCCAGGTTCAATTGCTGTGCACCGTTCATAGATGCTATTTGCTTTTCTATGGTCAACAGCAGGGTCGTAGTTGTCTTCCTCGAACGTTCCGCCTAGGATACATGTTCCGTCGGGCCTCGGGATGATATACGTCGATTCATTGGGCGCCTTTGAGACCTCTGTGATTTATTAGCGTTGACTTTGGGAGGTTATTAAGTATGCTTACGCGACCCGTAGATGGCGAGGAACTCTTTGACGTGCGGTGCATCGACTAGGATTGTCTGGCCGCGAATCGGGTAGACGCCCTTGTCTTCGACTCCAAGGAGCGATTTGGAGCCTACATGCTATTAATCAGTAACATAAGTATACGCACAGGAGGATCTATGCAACCTAAACCCGTTGCATTAATAACAATGCTTTCCTCCCCACCAAGAGCAGCTGCTTCTTCAACGCTAACAACATGCTTGTGTATAAAAACGACACCTCTGTTGACTAGCTCATCTTTGAGCCATTTCATGTACGTGTCTGGTCTCAACGAGACGGTAGAGAATCCCAATCCAGCTTTGAACCCTTCAGGCAAGTCTGCTTCTGGTATCACACGGAACTAAAATGTGAACCCGTCAAAACAAAACAGCATATCTTCAAGAGTGGTTAAGTTCCATGCTTCTGTGGACGTACATCGCGGACAATTTCTCTCCACAAGGGTTCTTTGGTGAATGCTTCTATACTTGTGTAGAACAGGCGGGACGGGAGTTCCTGTCAGACAGCCACATTAAGCATTGTCAGGTCCCGTTCTATTTTCAGTAAACACCTTACCATGACTAGTCCAGAAGAAATCAACGACCATAACTTCTCACTATTCCCAAAAGGCAAAACAAAGATGATAAGTACGAGACTCTAGTGTACTTTAACCATTCTCGAGACGAATTATGAATTACGCCCGCCACTAGACCGCCACTTTCGAATGTCCGGTACCGAAAGGAAACCAGGGAATCATTCGACGTACGGTACTTACAACGTCTCTTTCTCCCACTTAAGCTTCCTCTCATCGAAAGCTCCCAACGGCGACCAGTTCGCTCCAGCCCAGGGGCTCGACCAGCCTTGCGAGAGCAGGTGTTCATCAGATAACTCCCGAGCAACAACCGTGACCTTATTCAAGGGGTCATCGGATAGAACATGTGCGATCGTAAGCCCTATCACGCCCGCTCCAAGGACGACTATCGGACGACAAGAATGCGAAGAGGAGATGTTCTCTGCGTCGGGTGACATGCGTCTATCGATCAATCCAGGATTCAGAACTCAGGAGTGAAAGATATATAGCTAAAATCCTCCGAAATACAGTCTCTTATCTTTCTCCTCCTAAATCGATAGAACTTAGAAGGGGCTAAATACACGGGACACGTGCGAAGAACCGCGTCCCGTCCCGAAGCTCATTTAGTCATAAATCCTTGCAAAGTAATTCAAGGCACGGGAAAACATTCATTATTCTATAAGGCAAAGAAAACAACGCATGACCATTCGTGTGAATCGTGAAAAGGAAATGTAAATACGTTGTGCCTGATGCACATAATAAAGTACTGTACAAAGGTCATGTACAAATCCATACGCCCTGTCTAGAGGCGGTATCGTGTCTAAAGGAAAGACGAGAAAAGGCAGGTCGAACGCATGGGTCATTAATCAGGACATGAGCAGAGCGAAGAGGTTTGTGTAGCAAACAGAACAGAGAACAGAGAATACTGGCGGTTTGGGAGGGAATGGAGAGAGGCGGTTACAAACATCGGGTATTAGATAGCACAGAAACCAGACATCCGGAAGACATGATGCATGAAGCGAAGTGGTGGTAACAGTTAAATATTTGTATGAGTAGCTTCGAATGGTTGGTCAAGTCTCGGTTAATATGTACTTCTTCTGGTGATGCACGGAGAGCGGAGATGAATGAAAGGACGAAAGCGCGGACAATGAAGCACGAGAAACGTCATAGAAGCAGAATAATTATCCCCACAATGTCAGTTTTGTGAGATCTAGTCCGTCTTTCGGAGAGCCATTGGAGTTAACGACGAAGAGTGCGCCCAGTCTCGTGGCTGATAATCGATGAAAGTCAGCCCAGGACCATCGGGAAGGTAGCCGATTACTCACCGTTTTCAAACCCATTCTCATTACAAGGCGTCGCGACGAGGCCTGCAGCTTTGAGGGCCTGTTTAACCTGACCGTAGGTGCCTTTGAACAGAGCCTTTTTCGATGCATCTTTCCTCGCTGTGTCACGGCTACGCACAGAATCGTCGAGCGCCACATCTGCAGCGCTTCCTGTCTCGTCAGGTGAAGGCTTCATCATGCCAGCATTTGTTACAGCCTCCTCGATGGCGGAGCGCAGCTTCGCAAGGCGTCGGGAGGATATTTTCTGAGTTGCTGTGCCTGGACTGGATGCGAATCTTATGTAGAGGCCTCCTGGGCGTGGTGGCTCCGTCTTCACAGGCTTCGCAGGTTTCTCAGGTTCTACATGGCGCATGGGAGACGTATGTGATGGCATATGCCCACAGGTAGGACAACGGACGGGAGACGGCGGGACCTTCGGAGGAGGTTTAGGTGGACCTGATTTATCCTTGGATGTATTCTTGGACGCCTTCGCTGCCTTAGCGGCCTTGTCGCCCTTCCTTGACCTTAAAGAGATGTTTGCGAACTCGACGAGGTAGGGGAGCCCGAAGCTGTTGAATTTGATGTCTGAAGGCATCTCGACGCTGACAGAAGACGAGAGGCTCTCGAGTTGCTAGCGAGGAGACAACGACAAAAAAAGAGACGTGGGATGAGACCAAAGACCTCGGGGGAAGTGTAGTGGAAAGATTTATAGTGGACACGCTGAGGTCTCTAGTCAGGGTCGCGTGAAAAGAGTGAAAATGAGATGTTCGGTAGCGTACCCGTTTCAAGAAAAGACGCTCGCCCGGAATGGAATGCGAGTCGCGTGTAACGTTCGGGATAGTCAACCGGCTGACAAACGGCGGTGATTCCGGGGGAATCTGTGGCTAATATGGGAAGCACGCGGCAGCTGGTTCTGACAGAAGTGTTCTGAAGGTGCAACGAGGACAGAGAAGCAGGTGAGTGAGTGAGACGAGTGAGACGAGTGAGACGAGTGAGAAAGCAGAGAGAGAATAGCGTTGGTTCGGAGGCGGGAGAGTCACTGACGCGAAGAGAATAAATACGGTTGGCACAGGCGATGGAAGAGTCACAATGGAGTGCTGGAGCAAGCCTAACTCCCCGTTTCACAAACGCTCTTTACCATCCGTTCATCCTTCTCGTACTTTCCGAACGCACTTGTGCTTGCTGCGACTGCTAACCGCGACCGGATGCGGTCCGTGTGGAAGGACGGTTAATCACTTATATACCTTTCCCGCCCAGAAGAACAGCATGAGGCAAACGTCCCTTGCCTCGAGGATCGCTCGTGTTTTGTGAATAATCCGAAGGTGACTAGTAGCTACGCTGAATTACGAGTCCAGGATACATGACAAAATATTATCATTTTATGCATGCAAGACAATGTTGCGGGTTTATCGTTGTTCCTTGTGCGCTCGAAACGAAACGTGCAAGCGAACCACATTTGGCAAGGCGATGAGGTCAGCGTGTGACTAAAGGGTCGATGCAAATCACCTCGTCATACGCGATTTTGCGAGAGAGTGCACTCCAGACCAACTTGCCCTCTGACCTCTCCCTCCCTCGACACTCACTTCCACTACCAACGATGTCGTCGCAGACGAGAGAGCCGATGTGGTTCTGCCACGAAGTGTGTTTTGTATCCCCTTGTTTCAAAACCTATCCCACTGTAAGGCTGACGATAATACGTGCTTTCCAGTGCCAGGCAGAGATGCACCCTTTGATGGTGTGTTTTGAAAGCTACTTATCCACTCTAATGAAACTAATTCGCATGCTCGTCGCTATAGATACCAGATCCGCACTGTGCGTCATGTCAGGGAACATTTGTAGAGAAGGTCGGTACGACACCATACACACGTACAAGACTATATGCTCATCGCGGATTTGTCCCCTAGATGGAAAATCCGGCGGACGACCCGCGTGATTTTCACAATGCAGGGCCCGACTTCAACGACGCCCTTGGCCCATTGGGAATCATAGGTACGAGAGGCAATAAACATGGCCGTTATCCCTTTCATTGACTGCATACAGCGAGTTTCAATGAGTTGTTACGCGAAAGCGCAAGGTCGCAAGACGGGCAACGATCAACTGGCCAGGGCCGAAGTTCAAGCCCGATTAATAGACGCGAATTTCGCTTTGAGTTTGGGTCTCCTAACAGTCGACGACACTTGATTATCGGTGGCCCTAACGTTCTGAATAGGCGTGAGAGCGAGCAGAACGGGAATGCATCTAATGCACGTCGATCAGGCTCATCAGGCTCATCACCACCTCGGATGTCTGAGTACGCGTGCAGAACATCTATTACTTGTGTGTTATGCTAATATCTCGTACTACAGCTTCTTGCGTGCTAATAGCGAGGCATCCGGAGCTTCCGAACCGCGCGATATGAACATTCCTGGTCAGCTCATGGCTCAGTACATGATGGCAGTCCTCGGTGGTGCTACGTTAGGTGGTCCTCGAGGAATGTCACCCTTCTTTGGTCCAATGGGGATGGACGACCATGGACCTGGCGATGGGCGATGGGGAGATTATGTTTTTACTCAAGAAGGTATCTCATATGTTTTACCATTCTCAACCTTTCGAAACTTACTGCTTGTATAGCTCTCGATCAATTAATTACTCAAATGATGGAGGGCGCCAACTCTACTCGCCCTGTGCCAGCAACAGAAGAAATTATGGGGAAGTTACCCAGAGAAGTTCTTGAGGAAGGAAGTAAGCTTAATTTAACAGCGCGACGCACGGACCTGTTGACTTTGCACATGCTTTCATCTCTACTTAGGTGAGCTTTTGGGAAGAGATTGTGCCGTTTGCAAGGAGCAGTTTAATGCCAAAGCGGATGACCCCGATGAGCAGGTCGTTGTCACCTTGCCGTGTAAGCATCCATTCCACGAGGGATGCATCATGCCGTGGTTGAAGAGTAGCGGAACATGTCCAGTATGCCGGTAAGTTCTGCTCAATCTGTCCACTGTTATGAACAGATTTCTAATGTACTCGGTCGGATATTGACAGATACGCGCTCGTTCCTCAGCCGAACTCTCATCCATCAGGATCTGGATCACTACCAGACAGACCAGGATCAGGTAGTCCTGGCCCTCCAGGAGGTGGTAGTTCATCACAAAATGACCCAGGTAGTAATGCTTCATCAAGTAACAATGCTCCATCAAGCAGCAATAATTCATCAAGCAATAATGACACATCATCACCATTAGGGTTCTTGGCCTCTCTGTTCGGTGGTCACGGCCGTCGGAACAGTAATGGAAGTTCTTCACACTCGAGGTCACCACCGCGCGACAGTCAGCAACGTCGCACGTCGGGTGGGAGTGGCAATGGTAACAACAGCAGTAGTGGCAATAGTCATATTCCAGGGAGCTGGGGAGAGGACTAAGGCGTGTCGCGGGCTTTAGGGATCTTCACACTATAGACTGGCTTACTTGCTGTTTCCTGTTATCTCCATTGCATCTAGCATGCCTCCCCGTTGTTATTGGAAAAAGGAAGAAGAGTTGAAGGAGTAAAAAAAGGAAGCTCTGCTCGTACTCTACTGTGCATTTTAACTATGTTGAATTCGCTATCGTGTTGTTCATATTGTACTTTGCATTCGTTCGCCCGTCTCATGAATACAATTGTTTGAAATTGCAAAGATAAGGATACTTTGTGACTAACAATAAGTCCTCGGAAAGCTGGGAGGAGGAAAGAACATGGAATCCTGCAGGATGGCTACAAGTCAGCAAATCATGAACGAGTCTTCATGTCCTGTTGGAAGAAAGGGGCAGCATCACATGCGCGGGATAAAGCTTCTACTCAACCGAGCTTTAGGAAAAGCAGAAGCTATGCAGCGCACAATCAGCATGCCCGATAAATAGACAAGAAAAGCGCCTTTACGACGCGCAAGCACCAGAGCACACACACACACGCCAACAGCAGTCAGTCTATCACCCAAGGTGTTCGATCTCATGACCTTCCCAGACGGATAATAGTCAAGAGAAGGCCCCCTGAATTCGTATAATAGGGAACCGGTTTGTCCATCATCCTGCTGTGTATAGATGTGTGTGTGTGTGTCTGTACAACGCCGCCCCCCTCGAAATGAGGGTGTACGCGGGAAGCAATCTTATGGCTGTTCTCGACTCACTCAGTTAGAGTTAGTGCCATATAGATGTACGAGCAGTGTCCAGTGATAATTCATACATGGCTTCCAATCCCCGATTTCCAAGGATAAGGGTACGGGAGATAGTGAGAAGGATCCACTAAACGAGCACGAGAACAGTCATACACAGAAATATTATGAGAAACGACCAGATGTAAAGTTACTCACCTATTCTATCCCTCCGTAGTCCATATCTGATTTAAATCGATGGAGAATTACGCACAGGCATCGTCCATCTTAGGAATGCGCTTTGCAGTAAGGGTAGATGAGCTTTTCGTCAGACTGAGGGGACAGGAAAATCGAATGCTCATTACAGTTACCGTAAAAATGCCTTTCATTGTAGATGCCTTGTGGATGCAAAACTGTAGTCTAGATTCATGGATTGTAGGGCAAATGATTCCTCAATGAGAGTTTTGATCGAACGAAGAAGCAGCAGCAGCTGCAGCACTGTTCACGTGAGTTGAAGAGTTCTCAGGTGAGAATATCTTATCGTCAAAATCCTCAAAGTGTACATTATTCCAATCATGTAATACCCGTGTCTGGTGACGGTTTGATGATAATGCACAATGGATTCGCAAATGCTCTACAACTTTGTACTTTATGTGGTACTTCCGACATTTGGGACAAACTAAACTTACTAAAGAATAGAGAGGAAAGAAAATAAAATGAGTCGTAACGTCATAAAGAATGAGGGAAAAATACAGGAAACGCGAGTGTATGGAAAGAAAACTGGTAATGCGGAGAGAAAATCGCATTCATTTTATGCAAAGCGAACTTTCTCGCCTGGCCTTCCTTCAGACATAAGAACGACGGCCTATCAAAGTAGACGATAAGCCGATTGTGCAACCATCGAGAGAACAAGGAACCACATACATATTTGCCACTGATCTTCCAGCCAGGCTCATCCTTGTCGAGCTTATCAGCCATCTCGTTGCTTGGAAGTCCGACGACGACGTCACTCTTAATCGTGCGGAGAGAGCATATTCTCGGAGCACCAGGAGCGCTTGCCATGGGTCCAATGGCTTCTTCAAACGGAGTTGCTGCCGGAGCCGCGCAGTCATACGTGAGCTTCCGGTGGTTCAAATCGCCCTTGAAAATGACAAGATCGGAACGTGAGAGGTGCAAGAAGAGATCAGGCGCTTCAGTAATCAAGTCCCAATAAGTATAGCCGGTACACCAGAAAGGATGTTGTTCGTAGATCCATTTGCCCTCCTTCTCGTATTGCTACACAGAAGGTAAGTCATGGAAAATTTCTCAGTGACCGAAGTTATGTACCTTCCAGCGGAGACCCAACTTCTTAAGAGACTCTCTCTCCGCGTCGGTCGCTTTGTTGAAGAGTTCTCCGTGAACCATAGTGTTTAATAGCCAGTTCCAATCCTTCTTAGTGACATCTGAGACGAACCAAGCGAATCGTTTGCCGTGGAACCGGACTTGCTTAGCGAGACCCGACTGAATCAAAAAGTCCGCTGGTGAAAAGTTAGGATCATGACCAACCAATCTGAAAAGGAACGCCGAGCCTTACCGTATACGCAATCGCAATACAGCTCAAATCCAGCATTGTCAAGAACAAAGTCGATGCGACCACCAGTCTTGTTGCGAAGCTCCTTAACATGCTCCCACAGCTGAGGTAGGTGGTTGCCAAGAATGTTTTTCTCCGTCGCAGCGAGATGGTCTCCGCCGGTTGACTGAAGTTTTTTTATGTCTTCCTCGGTCATGTTAATAAGAAGTGACAAATCTGTTGAGTTGCCCCAGAGGCAGACTTGAGTTAGCTCTAGGAACATTAGGCGCTCTGCTTCAAGGATTTTATCCTCAGGCACTCCAGATCCGTGATCATGAGCCTCAGCATACTTCCACGGCAGTACAAAGCGAGTCGAAAGCTCGAATACAGCTTGAGCGGAGCGAGAGAACGTATCACACTGAAGAAAGCATTAATCGAGGATTGAATGATCTCCAGACGGAAATTCTACCTTCTGCCTAAAGAAGACATCATAATCGCCCCAGAATTTGCTGATGCTAAAGCATTCGTGCAGACGACGGTACTTGTAGGCTTCAGCGAAGAGCCACGGCGCGTTAATGAAATTTTTGCCTGGCCAAAAGAATCACGGGTCAACAGACATTTTTCTTACGTAATGTACAGACTCACCCCGGAAATACTTCGCGATTTCTTTGTTCCAAAGAGCTACATCACCTTCGCCGTCGTCGATAATCGGACGTAAGACCGCCTGACCAGTAAGATCATGCATCAGTTCTTCCATGCGCTCAATACATTTGTTGAGGTCAATCATCTTGTCCTCGTCCCATTCCTCGTTGAGGGTACGAATAACGTCCTGGATGCCTTTTCCCAGAATGGTCGGTAAACGTACGCCCATAGTAGCATGAGCGAATGAATATTCGTGGTAGCCACGGAAAGCTGGCCAGGGAGGAGAGTCTGGGTCAACCTGTAAGATAAGACGCGCATATAGTCATATTCAGTACGCCACAGTGATGAAAGTCCTCACCCTTGACGGCGTCCTTGGGTACGTTCCCTTGATCTCTTTCTTGCTCGGAAGGTGTCCAAGGGAGAGGGTGACCTTCTGAGGAGCGCCAGCGCGCGCAAGAGACGTGCCACGCCCTGCACTGCCGTTGGCAGTCGTGTTGGGGTTCAGATTTGCCATATTGTTTGTGACAACCGGATACTTGGGCTGCTGTTGAGGTGCAGCTGAAGAGTCGTCTGAGGCGGCAGGGGTTGGTGGAAAGTAGGAGTCGGACATGGTGGCAGGAGCGAAGTGGAGAGGTGATGGTCACGGAATTATAAAGTAAGGAAGGGGAGAAAATTATGGAATCGATGAGCATATGACAGCGACGATGCTTCGGCACGAACAAACGGAGAAAGGACTGACCTTTGCGAAGGGGCGAGTACACAGACGAAGCGGTAGAAGGGAACGATACACGGAAGGCTGACTTTAAAGGATTCAGTCTACGGTTTTTAAGGCAGTCAGCCTCAACACAGTAAGTCCGTCCCGTCTGTACTTATACGCACTCTTACTCTCAGTCCGATTCGCCACTCGCCACCTTGAAACAAAAATACCCGTCTCACCCGGTTTCCTGGTCTAATCGACGGCGTTCTCGCTGCTGCCAAAACCATTTCATCTCTCCGACATCGTGCCTGTCGAGCTCGACGCCGTAAACGACGGGACAAGAGCTCAAGGTGCACTGTGCCATGACATCACTGGACTTCCGGCCCTTACTCCGGTAGAATGATGGTCATTCACGCCAATAATCAAATCGGCTTACACGTCATCTACCTTTTTCACTGTCGACCTGCTGGAGCTGCTTGCAATTCAGCACTGCAGACGAAGAAAGGAAAATCTCCATGTTTGTATTGTGCGGCGGGATGCGCCGATAGGGCCGAGCCGTAATTTGCCATCAGACCTGCCTGTTATGGCGAACGTACAGAATTTTAACGACAACAGTACGCTCCGATAAAGACAGGCATGGGATGCCTCGAGGTCACGAGCCTTCCATCCTTGGTGTATCTCACCCACAAACCGAAGCACTTTTGCGCCACTGCAATCAGCACGCGCCGACTTGCGCTCCACAGGGTGGTCGCGGTCTTCCGCCCAAATATTCCTCTAGTCCACTACAAAATATCGGACAACGCACGTGTTTCCGAGCATCTTCCAATATTCTACCAGCGAGCTGTGCTAGATGTGGATGCGAAAATCCCGTATATTCACCATAGCAGCGGCGGTCATCTGAAAACGTAAGAGGGCAAGGCCTCTTACGAGATTCCCAGTGAAGAGCGAGTCCTTATTGCTATATAGAAGAATGCATCAGAGTGCTAGACGAACAGCAGATAGTTAACTGTAACTGAGAAGATAAGAGGCTCAGGAGTAGGAAGATGCCTCTGTTTTGGACCACAAGTTATTGCAGTCATTTGTCCGATCCGGCTTGGCACGGAATTTCTGAGGTATCTATAGTCCGCTGGAGTATTGATAGCGTGTCTCGTGTTAGGGCTTATGCCTCTGAAAGATGTAACCACTGTGTATATGTCAAGAAGCTATTGCCCACATGCACAGACTTAGCCGTTGACCTGTTGGGTTGCTATGAGCACCCACAGCTCTAATCGATTGATTCAGGCATTTATATAGTACTATCTTGAATCCTGGAGGTGTTCATGACGTCGCAAGGTACAACCTGGAGCCAATTGGAATACTGTTTCCCGTCATTTAAGTACTTCCTGAAAGGGAGCACACCACTGAGAAGGAAGTGGTGGAATGTATGCAACTAGCTTGCATTCGGTTCTCAACACGTCATAGGAATGCGCAAGCTACTGCTCCACCTAGAGAGTAAGGGTAACGACCACTCACTCTATCACCTTTATCCGATATCGTCAGTTCAGTCCTCCATAGTCAAAGAAAACCTTTTTTGCCTTGATTCTGCTGCAACAACTTGTTTTCGTCGATTCGCCTGCAGTGTCGAAGTGGGTGGAAAGAGCAGAGCGACAAAATTCGACTGCTTGACATGCTATGTGGTAATCCTATAGGAAGCGTAAATTGAGCCAAGGCTGATTCCACTTTGGTATGGATGAGCACTCAGGCTCCATTCGGAGCACCAACCGCACAGTAACGCGCAACCGGACGAAGGAGTGCAGCAGGTATAAGTGTGTGTGTCCAATATGTGCGCAGAGTGCTGTGCGAGGTTAAGAGGGATCATTTGTGTTCTTCTTGACTATGGATAACAGTGCGGGTATATGTAGTCAATGCTACTGCTAATTTTGTGAATGGAGCAGGAACATGCTCTGTCGGTCGCTGATCACTGTTTTCATAGTAGGTGGAGACGTCAACATGATGAATGTCGCCAAGTATATTCCAGGTGACGTCGTTCCTAGTATCCTTATAACACAGAATGAGAGTCTTTACCACTATTGATGCTCGTCGCCTGAGGTCCAGCATGGCCCAGTACGAAATAGTGGAGCGATTAATTGTGGGAGGACAAGCACACAGTCTCTCAGTCAATAGAGTTGTCCGTTAGAAAATTAAGACGTCGACGATCCAGGTACAGCTTGACATTCAGTACAATGATAGCCCAGACGATTTGTCAGTGTCAAAACAGGTTGAGAAGACAGTTTACTGAAATATCAATGACGATCAGCTTTGGAGAAGTTCTTTGCCATGGCTCGGGGTTAAACTAGAGACGTGAGTACACATGCCCTTTCAAAAGACAGCTTTCGGGGGGTATGCACTTGTCGCTATTATCAGGTTTGCGTCTTCTCCGAGTCGTTGGATACTATGGATAGTGAGGACTGAAGCTTGTTACAACATATTTGGTTCACCAATTCGTGACCTTCCCACGATTCCGACGGGACACACGAAGTTCACCTGGTTGTGTCCTGGCACCTCCACTATGCTTTCTGAACACGCTGCTCAAATAACTCTTACACGCCATGATGATCAATGTCGTCGCAAGTTCCATTTGCCTTATGGCTCATATAGCGCCTTCCTACGTTTGAATGTCGTTGGAATTCGATGATCAATGATCTTCTCACTAGTCTTGAGTTCAAGTCCGAGGCCTGTCCATGTCAAGTTCTTCCCTTATCTCGGTTACGCAATGTTCCCGCCGAATGGTGAGGCTGTGGAGGACCAATTCGGCACCTCGATTGACTGAAGAGTCTGGAAATAGCGACTTGTATCACACAGAAGTCACTCGAGGTAAAGATAGTCTCAATTATTATTGCAACACATCAATCAGAGCCATAACACCAAGCCTGGTTACAGATTTCATGGTCAGCGTGATCTTCTTCCAATATTGATGTACTGAGGGAGAGTAAGTACCACATGGTCCTGACATAATTCGCAAAGCGCTCGCGATACGGATGGTTTTACTGCATGCAACCTGGTCTAGCCGACCAGGAAATGACGCGACGTCCCCTTCTCTTGTTATTGCGAACTCAATCAAGGTATCTATGCATGCGTTTATCGCCGGTAGACCATTCGCCGCGGTACATCTTGTGACCGATGAGTCGTCCTTCCGCGTCAAAGGTCTTAGCCGCGAATCATCAAGGCGAATAACTTCGCGCAATTCCACGTGGTTCTCTGAGATATGCAAGTCGCACTTTTGGTTCTGGATGACGCCCACCGAGGGGACCATGCGTTTTCAAAGTTGCTGCGGCGCAGGTTTACATAGAAGTTCTGCACTGCCTAGATGGACTTTTGGCAGTGGTGGAAGACAGTTGCAACCCGGTAGGCTCTCGACTCTTTCCGGGTTGTCTTGGCTGCGCTTTCCGGACGCCGTGGGTCGAGCATCCGGATGCTTTTGGTCTGTTCAGTCTGCGGACCGAAGCCAAGAATGTAATGTTTTTCGCGACATATGAAAAAGGAAAGGATATATGGCGGAGCAAAACATCTAAATGCATCTCAAGCCTACTTTGGAAACGGAGGCAGTCGGAACCCGTACCTTGCTGTTGACGTGTCGAGCTGCGCTAGGCTGGGAGATGAGCGCCTTCCCAGACGAGTTGAGCATGTCGCGTGAGGAGAGAACAAGGAGTTATATTTAGCAATGTTCCCGTCATACGGTTGCGATAGACTTCTTGCAACATGCGGAGACTTTGGTTACAATACCAATCCACCGGGATGATGAAATCGTGCTTCCGTGTTGTAGCTTCTTCTCTGCCTTCGTCTCCTCTCCAGTCAAGCGCATAAATAGCCCCTAATGAAGCTGTTCAATGCCCAGTCTCCCCGGCTCCCTTCACTCCTGTGCAAACCAGCATGTTCGCCTTTTCGTCGCTCCTCTCAATTCTTCTCCTTGCTTTCACCGTCTCGGCGAACCCGGTTGTCGTGCGCGACAACCTCGTTCGTCTGCCCATCGCGAGACAGGTCAATGTGACTAGCATGGGCCATATTCTTAAGAATGACCAGGCTAGAGCTGCTGCGCTGCGCACAATTGGTGAAGCTCGTTCGTCCGGCAGGCTTCAGAAGGATGCTGTCATCAGTGTCGGCGTACAAAACCAGGCCGTGACCTACGTTGCGTCTGTTGGGGTTGGCAGCCCAGCTACCACCTGCGAGTCCTGAGGTTTCTGCTCTGCCCAACTTGTATACTAATGACCTCACAGATTCTTTGTTGATCGATACGGGGAGTTCAAACACCTGGGTAAGCGTTTGCCTTTCTTATCCTTAGAAAATCCGTGTTCTCAACGTTTCGCGTTTTTTTCTTGTATCTAGGTCGGAGCTGGGAAGTCCTATGCGAAGACCAGCACTAGCACACAGACCAAAGACAGCGTGGTATGTCTGACTGGCTATTGTTGCTATTACACTTCATCTTAATGCTTCTGTAGTCTGTCACCTATGGCTCGGGATCTTTCAGCGGGACAGAATTTACCGACACAGTATCTCTTGGAAGCGGGCTTACTATTAATAAGCAGAGTATTGGAGTGGCCTCCACATCTCAAGGCTTTGATGGGGTGGACGGCATCTTGGGTATTATACATCATTTTTAGCAATCTAATATCGGCCTTAAGACGTATGTGATTTCAGGTATAGGACCGGTAGACCTCACCGTCGGCACTTTGAGCCCAGACACTCGTTCGACGATCCCCACTGTGTAAATACCATTCCTGCTGTCATTTTTGTCTTTCTGTTGCTGACCTGATCAATAAAGGACGGACAACCTTTTCAGTCAGGGAGTGATTAGCGCGAACGAAATCGGTATTTCGTTCGAGCCAACGACACAACAGGTTGCCAACAATGGCGAGCTGACATTTGGAGGAACGGACAGCTCGAAATTCACTGGATCCATTACTTTCACCCCTATCAGTAAGCATACGTTAGTATTCTCCACCCATCAAATGTCTAATTACTTTATACAGCCAGCACAAGTCCCGCGTCCGAGTTCTGGGGTATCAACCAGAGTATCAAGTATGGTGGCACGACCATTCTTTCTACCACGGCTGGAATTGTCGGTAAGCAAAATTTTGTATCCCACCGAGAATTGGGAATGACAAAGGTATCTCCGTTTTCAGACACTGGCACGACTCTCGTCTTGATTGCGACGGACGCGTTTAACAAGTACCGATCCGCTACAGGCGCGGTAGAAGATAACACCACGGGCCTGCTGCGCCTGACTACGGCTCAATTCAATAGCCTTCAGAGTTTATTCTTCACGACCGGTGGTGTAAGTCACACAGATTTCATTGATAAGGCTAATAATAACTCACGTTAATTCATTGTTGCAGGCCACTTTCGAGCTTACTGCAAATGCTCAGGCATGGCCTCGTTCGCTTAACTCTGCTATAGGCGGAAACTCGAACAGCGTCTACCTCATTGTGAACGACGTTGGCAGCAACTCCGGTTCCGGACTTGACTTTATCAACGGATTCGCCTTCCTCGAGCGCTTCTACTCAGTATTTGACACCGCAAACAAGCGTGTCGGATTCGCGACCACTCCATTCACACGTGCAACGTCGAATTAAGGGTTCCTCGGAACATCAAAGTAGACTTGGTGACAATCACTCGGGTCGCGGCGCAAGGGAGACGCCTCTGTAACATTAAGCGAGAATGATTGCTTGACATACCACTGCATTTAATTTCATTGGGTTCATTTCTATATTTACATTGAGCTCATTCCTTTTTGCATCAAGCTATGCGGAATAAAGTTTTCAGCCTCTAAGCCGATTCAGATCCCTCAACTATGCTCTTCAATTCGTCCCAGTCTGCACTTCGCTTACACATCTCCCTGAATGCGCTGTCTGGTTTCTTAAATAGATTTCGAGGCGTATCAAACTCCAAAATACGACCACCCTCCCCAAGAACTAAGACGCGGTCGTAGTCAATAATAGTCTTGAGGCGGTGAGCAATGGTGATGACCTGTGACGGATGGGGGGAAGAATTAGTGATTCCGGGAGAAACAACGAGCCGAACTCGACTCACCATTGCACCTGACAGTTCTTCTCTGATAGTCCTTTGTATCTGCAAAACCGATAAGTTCCGATTAGAGTCCATGAGAACTAAATGGAGAAGTACCTTGTCGTCGAGATTCGTATCAATCTGTGATGTAGCCTCGTCCATGATTATCACCTGTGAACGTCGTAAAATTGCTCTTGCAAGTGCAATAAGTTGCCTTTCCCCAGCGCTCAGCGACCCGGTCGGACCGATCATTGTGTCAAGAAATGCGACGTCCCTTCCATCCGCATCTCGTTTGTTGATGTGGCATCGCTCCAAGGCGTCTGTGATCAACTGATATAGATATGAAAGAACCAAACAAGTATTGAACCTGTCTTACCTATGCAATCAAGATCAGAGTGCTCGCCAAATGGGTCCAGATTACTTCGGATACTGCCTGTGAACAACGAAACGTCTTGACTAACTGTCGTCTGATATCATTATTACCGATGGTTAGCCAGCAAGAATTATGATGCTCATGGAACGCACAATTTTCGTGCGAAGGTCTTCCAATCCAATGGACCCGATGTCGATTCCATCAAGCCTAGGTAGACAAGTGGCCATTACGAACATGAGAAAATGAGAAAAATAGACTGAATACACACAATATTCTCCCACTGGAAGGCTCGACCACACGTAAAAGGGTCAATGCCAGAGTAGTTTTACCTAGTAATCGGGATGAACCAAGGTTGAGCTTTACGCTTAGGAGCATCTCTACCTGAACCTGTCCTGCCCACCTGCAGATTGTGTTAATTGATCAGAAGATTGTAAATCTGACACTGGCTACTTACGACGCCAATTTTTTCCCCTGGGTTCACGGTAAAGCTGAGGTTGTTGAGAACAGTAGGGAGGTCTGGAGCGTAACGAACTACAAGGTCTTCAACGACAAGCTTTCCACTAGATGACGGCCAATATGCTGGTGGTCGCTTTTCATGCACTATGGCAGGTGCTTCTTGAGGCGCTTCCAGGTATTCGCCTATTCGCTCGACTGAATTGAAATCAAGCTCCAGTTGAGCCAATACTCTGATGTATAATTGAAAATAAGATCTCCATCTAAAAGTGCATTTCCTCCTACCTGACAAGCTGCCTCGATGCCTCTGCGAATACGCCGGCTTGAACAATGACAATTGCAGTGAACCCATCAGAAGCACCGCTCCAAAGTGCAAATATGGTTGTTAGGAAAACCACCACGGATCCCAGGCCTGCACGATTCATGTAAGAATCGCTGTACTGAAACTGAAACTTTACACGTACAGTCATAACGCCATCTGAGCCAACCAGCGACCAACCACTAGAAGTCGTTCATGACAGCTTTAACATTGGAAGCATTTATCGAATAGATCATAGACTAACATAGACGTGATCAAATCCTTGAAAGAGGTCGACCTTTTTGTAAAAAGACTCTTGATATTTGTGTTCCATTCCAAATGCCCGAACATGTGTAATTCCCCTCAGTAGTTCATCGAAGCCTGAAAATGCAGGAGATATTGACACTGATTCTAGGCGACGGAGGTCTCTGGCTGCTCGGATGTAAGGAGGTGCGATTCGGATGTACAACCAAGCGACGAAGACAGCAAACGGAGCAAACTTGGGAATAATACCGACGATAAATAAGAACGATGCTAAGAATTCAAGCACTCCTGTTATTGCCGAGCGTGCTGACTGCTGCAAGACTCCATCCACGGCGTTGATGTCCGTCGAGAACCTATTGAGTATTCGACCCAAAGGTGTTACATCGAAAAATCGAGCCGGTGCTCTGGATAGACGCGTCAGCATTCCTGTAAAAAGTTTTCTGGACGCTTGCAAACTGGCATAATATCCTAAAGAGATATATGCTAAAGTGACGATCGCACTAGCAACCGAGATCACCAAATAAACAAATAGCCAAGGTTTCGTGTCATCATTGGGTGAAGGAAGCCGATCAAGAGGATAAGGCGGCTTCGCTGTTACGAATATGTCAAATGCATTTTGAATCCTGAGTCGAATACGCTCCGATGGCATATTTTCAAAAGCTTCTGACCAGTTTGCAAGGAACAGCTAATATGAAACACGTTTAATGGCACGGCAATGTAGAAGACTCGAGAACGCACATCATTGACAACTTGGATGAGCCGAATTAGGATCATCAAACTAAGCGTTAACGTCCATGAGATCCAGCCCGCCGCTCGGACTGCAAGGCAGAACCATGTCAATTCGCGTGTTGCCCATCGAGAACGAGTTGGATTGTTACCATAGCTCATGTACGTCACTAGTGATACCCGTCCTTCCGCGCGATATTCTGCTTCAACGAGTTTGCCCTTTATCAACGACTTTTGAGACTTGTCGCATGCTGCAGCATCCACTTCATCCGCTTCATTTTCCTGTTCCACGATGGTCTCATCGGAGTACTCGTCCTTGTCAGACGTTGTGTCATCCTCTGTGTCTAATACCGTTTTCAACTGTCCAGAGTCTTGCAATTCCGTCACTGTTCCTTGTCTGATAACCTTACCGCCAGAGAGCTCGACAATATATGATGCCACGGGTAAACATATGGAGATATGGTGTGTAACGAGAATCACGGTCCTGCCTTTCATGAGGTCACCCCTGAGACACTGCTCAACGATGTGCCGAGCAGTGTGCATATCAACTGCAGCGAGTCTGTGAATGATCGGTGAACGAAAGCCAGACTGTATGAAAACGAGGCCTACGGGTCATCAAGGAGTATACACTGGTGAACGGGTACAGGTCTTGTCAACCATGCGTTCAGTATCTTAAAAAACAATAGGAGGTACCTTTGCATCCGAGTACAATGCACGAGCCAAAGCAACGCGTGCTCGCTGCCCACCCGATAGCGTCACTCCCTTCTCGCCAATTTCGGTCAGATCCCCAGCCTCGAACATGCTAAGATCCTGCAATAAAGCGCATGCTTCAACAACAGCGTTGTATCTCTGTTCATCGTATCCTCGATTGGATTTAAAGATGACGTTATCACGAATAGTAGCATGTTCAAGCCCTAAGATATGTCAGCAATTATCCAAGCACATGTTAGAAGGCAACACACATGGATTCTGTGCACAGTACGCAAGGAAGTGGTCGCTCTTTTTTATAGACACTTCACCGCCCAGGAGAGAAAGCTCTGCAAACAATCAGCACCTCTCTGAAGGTTGGATAGAATACCACACTCGTACCTCCAAGCAGTGCATTAAGCAAGGCAGATTTTCCTGAGGCGGTACTGCCAGTGACCAAGGTTAACTTTTCTAAAGGAAAATTTATGTTCAAAGGCCCAAGTCTAAATCGCTCTCGTGTATCCAATTCCTCGGACACTCCGTACCACTCGAACAATGCCTCCTTAAATCCAATCATTTCAGGTTCCTTGTCCCAAGGGACAGGTATGTGCTTAAGAGTAGAGGTCCAATCTGATACTTCTTCTTCTTTGAGGAAACCATTTATTCGTTGGTAGGACACATAAGCTGAAGACCTGATCAGATACAGAAATACCGGATGCCAGGAATAGCCCTACCATGAAGATACGAGAACAATTGGTCTGGCAATTCCAACATAGGTCCACGAAGGAACGAAAATAGTGCCAAAGACGTGAACGTTTTAGATACAGTCAAGCGGCCACCAGCGACTACTGTGTAGAATAGGAACGAGAACAGAGCCATGGCTGACGGAACCCATATCCTGACATCCAATGTTCAACATCTGATCTACAAATTCCATATGTGTGCTTACCAAACAAAAGATATAAGGACGGCACATATGTTCTCCTTTACACGCCATCGAAGCTCCCTTTCGCGTTTGTCGAGCACGCGGTCCGTCCACGTTCCCGTCCAGCCGTAGAGTTTGAGAAACCGTACCTAGAATACGGAATGAAGAACAGAAATTTAGTCACTGTGATAGAAGAATAACCATGGCTCAAAAATCTACATTCTGGAAGAGCTCGTTGACACCACTCATGCGCACATCTCTAGCCTTCCAGCTTTGTCGGGTAATCTGCATAGCAAAGTTACGAATTCGACGGATTTGGTCCAACATCGGACACGCACGTGGATATTGGCCTTTGCTAACGGCCAATTCAAAGCATATGCCACGAGGACGACGACAACTCCAGCAAATGCGCTGACTCCTATCACACTACAAGTCGAGTTCATCAAGGAGACGAGTGCCATGACGAAGTCTCCTCACCGGTAAAGGAATACTAATGAAAGTATTAAACGAACGGTCGCAGCAAACACTGTTGACGCTTGCCAGAAACGCAATGATAGATTGTATGCGTCTCCTCTGCGGATACTGTGAGTATTCCTACAAGAGAAAGGAAGAAACAACTAACTGCATGAGATTCACGATTTTTCCCAAATCAGCAGAATTGACACTAGTTATACTTTCTTCCTTCGACGTTCTAGCTGTGCTAGTATGATCACGTATTTTCAGCGCTTTGTAGTGTATCGCACAGAAAAGCTTTGAATTACATAGATCAACAAATAGGATGAGTCACTTGCCTACACAGCGCACAGACTTGATCAATGCTCACCTGACCCCGTGCTCGTTCGTACGAGCGTCTGGAATGCCAAGCTTGAAAAAGATCAACTTGGGCAAAAGACAAATGAAGGACAAAGGTGACGAAGGCAAAAAAATATGCTTCCGACAAGGCCTTTGGAGTCGCTTCCAAAGCAGAAAGAATCCGCTGAAGGGAGTACACGCATCCAAAAACTACGTAACAGAAATAATAATAAATTGAGAAACTGTAAGTCAATAGTCAAGCACCTGCTTGCCATACCTGCAACGGCACTCCAAAGCTCAAGGACAATGTCCAAAATGAGGTCAAGGGAATTAGATGCAATCAAGAAACGAAGCAATGAATGTGTTGGATGGCTGTAGTTTCGGTGAGCAAGGGTAAATTACTGTCCAGACACTACACTTACCGATTACGGTACTCTAAGTATTTTAAGAAAAGATTCTTGTGCTTGAAAAACGGCGATAGTGACCATACGTCCGCTACTTCGAGCCTTCCCTTTTGAGCGATATGGAAGATAGGCTCCGCGAAGGAGAATGTGCACCATTGCCATAAAGTGACGTTGTCCTCGGGCATTGTCTCCGCACTAGACGGGGTCTACAAGGCACTATTGTCTTGATTTTGTGGAAGATATTCATTCAATCAAAGACTAACCCCATGCGCTGTCGCTACAGACGGTCCTGGTAAAAATTCTTTCACTGGGAACGTTCCAACTATGTATACGAGCGATAGTGAAACAATAATGTCCACGCTCGACAGTATAAAGGTTTCAAGCTGGTAGTTCCCTGTCTTCAAGATGGTGACGGTGTTGATCGACGAGCACACAAAGTTCATTATATAGAAGAGAAATATGAGATAAGGTGGCGTTGTTGGAGGTCGCCACCATATTTTCGTCGTTGCATAGATCCAAGCGACCAACAAAGAAATGCCATTAAACAAGTGTGTTTCCCGGGACCAGTTTATTGCAAGGTGCAAGAGCAGAAGGAAAATCTCAAGCATGGACAAGGATAGCATAGACCTGTTTTTCCATTGCGGCGGTTTCCGTGTGGGTATTGGGCTGGATGCTTCTTCGAGATCTTCAAGATGGAGGAAGTTCCGGAAGGGAGACGTAAGACAAGCATAGACTCTATAAACCAGACGAGGGAAACGGAGGGAGTGAACGAGGTCACAGCAGAACGACCATGCTATAATTGAAGTGGGAAGTAAGGCGGCAAGATACTTGTGGCGGGACCATAAATCTGTAAGTGGGTCGGCCACGACCATTGCCTGGTACAGGCCGAGAATGAGGATGGCTATGTCTCAGTAACACAAAGGATGTATATCACTCACCCAGTAGCTATTTGCGAATCAATTGAAGATAGCTGGAGGTGTGCACATGGGTGGTCAAGAAAAGTAGCTTTTCGTAATTGCTATTTATCGTGAAAAGGAATCTGTGGCGCTGCAATGCGCGGACTTTTTCTACACGCGTGTCAAAAAAACGTGTTCAGACACCCCGTTTTGGAACATGATCAATTCGCACAGAAAGAAATGTCCTCGAAAGCTTTATAACTTCAGCTTATATGCATATTTTTGAGGCCAGTTTCGACTTCACTTCAATTAAGAAAAATCAAATACTTTCGCTCCTAATGGAGAGCCTTTTGATGTCAATTTAATTTCGAAGCGGCTATTGATGGGCCGATCTTCAAAACTTCGTTTTAGAGATTTTCCGCAAATACCCGCAGAACATCCAGATAGAAAAACATAGATATATGTAGGTCTGCCTGTATCGAGTGTGTGATGTTTCTAATTCTAATAGCTAAACATCTAATAGTGTCTCAAATAAAAAGCCTGAAGACGGACATGTAAGGATCAAAGGACATTAATTACTGGGATGTTTTGACAGGGTGAAAGGAGTAAGGTTTTGTTTAGAGTTACTACAAAAGGACTCTGCAAGTATTAAATTAATGCAATGAACCTCTATCTGATGATATCTGTATCTACATGCGAGTTGTTCTGTATCTGTCGGGTCATTTAAAACTAGTATCCTAACCCGACGCAGAACCCTCAACCGTGTTCTTCAATTCATCCCAATCTGCGCTTCGCTTACACAACTCTTTGAAGACGCTACCCGGCTTCTTAAATAGATTACGAGGTGAGTCAAACTCCAAAATGTGGCCACCTTCCCCAAGCACTAAAATACGATCATAATCGATGATCGTTTTAAGGCGGTGAGCAATGGTGATAACCTGCAGCGGAGGACAAATTCATTAAACAACATCAACGCAAGTAGCGTGCCAAAACCAAACTCACCATGGCGCTTGACAGTTCTTCCCTAACGGTCTTTTGAATCTACAACCCCATGAATCCCAATAAATATCTATTCGATCAAAAAGTGCAAAACAGATACCTGGTCGTCGAGACGCGTATCAATCTGTGATGTTGCCTCGTCCATGATTATCACCTGTGAACGTCGTAAAATTGCTCTTGCAAGTGCAATAAGCTGCCTCTCTCCAGCGCTCAGTGACCCAGTTGGACCAATCATTGTGTCAAGAAATGCGATATCCCGTTCACACAAGTCCCCATCGTGTTTTCTGATGTGGCATCGCTCCAGGGCATCTGTGATCAAAAGTTATAATTATGAAAGAACTAAGCAAGTACTAAACTTTGTTTACCCATGCATTCAAGGTCAGAATGTTCACCAAATGGATCCAGGTTGCTTCGGATACTGCCTGTGAACAGCGCAACATCTTGGCTGACTGTTGTCTACCACCGACGTCGCTAGTTATCATCCAGAAAAGGTTTCTAGGCTGGTGGTACTTACAATTTTCGTGCGCAGGTCTTCCAACCCGATGGAAGTGATGTCAATTCCGTCAAGCCTGGTAGATTAAATGCATACTAATTGAGTTGAACAAGCCCAGCGCCTGGTCAGGCACTTACATTATTCTCCCACTGCAGGGCTCCACCACTCGTAAAAGGCTCAATGCCAAAGTCGATTTACCTGATAATTAACATTAACAAACTGCGGGGTTTCATGATCGGCAGCGCCTTTACCTGAACCTGTCCTGCCGACCTGTGAATCACGTTAGTCAACCATGCAGCAGCAAATCTGATAGACCTGATGCTCACGACGCCGATCTTTTCGCCTGGATGCACCATAAAATTGAGGTTGTTAAGTACAGCAGGAAGGTCTGGTGCATAACGAACGACGAGGTCTTCGACGACGAGGCTTCCATTGGACGACGGCCAATATGCTGGTGGACGCTTTTCATGCACTATGGCAGGTGCCTCTTGGGGTGCTTCCGTGTATTCGCCTACACGCTCAACCGAATTGAAATCAAGCTCCAATTGAGCCAGAACCCTGATATATGATTAGAAATAAGAATTCATTCTACGCTAGAATGTATTTCTTACCTGACGAGTTGTCTCGATGCCCCTGCGAATACACCAGCCTGCACAATAACGATTGCAGTAAATCCGTTGGATGCGCCACTCCATATCGCAAACGCAGTCGTTAGGAAAACAACTACAGATCCGAGACCTGTATCATATATTTTAATTATCAATACCGCGACGAAAGCTCTGCACATACAATCATAACGCCATGTGAGCCAATCAGCAGCCAGCCACTACAGAAAGGTCAGCGATTATTTGGTATAATCAAGAGTTGTCAAAGAAATTATAGGCTAACATAAACGTGATCGAATCCTTGGAAGAGGTCAACCTTTTTATAAAAGTTCTCATGATATTTGTGCTCCATCCCAAACGCCCGCACATGTGTAACCCCCCTCAGTAGTTCATCAAATCCTGAGAATGCCGGTGACATCGAAACCGATTCCAAGCGGCGGAGGTCTCTGGCTGCTCGGATATAAGGAGGTGCGATTCGAATGTACAACCAAGCGATGAAGACAGCAAACGGAGCAAACTTGGGAATGATAGTGACAATGAATAGGAAAGATGCTAAGAATTCAAGCACTCCCGTTATGGCCGAGCGTGCCGACTGCTGCAAAACCGAATCCACAGTATTTATGTCTTTTGAAAACCTGTTTAGTACTCGGCCTAAAGGTGTTACGTCGAAAAATCGAGCGGGTGCTCGGGATAGACGCGTCAGCATTCCCGTGAAAAGTTTCCTTGACGCTTGCAAACTAACGTAGTAGCCCAAAGAGATATATGCCAACGTGACAATAGCAAAGGCTGCTGAAATCAGTAAGTAAACGAATAGCCATGGTTTCGTGTCATCATTCGGTGAAGGAAGCCGATCAAGGGGATATGGTGGCTTTGCCGTTACAAATATGTCAAATGCAATTTGAACCTTGAATCGAATACGCTCTGACGGCATATTCTCAAAAGCTTCTGACCAGTTGGCAAGGAATAGCTAGTGGAAAGAATGTCGGATGGTGCGATAGGGTGAGAGTCTCAGGCACGTACATCGTTTGCGACTTGAATCAACCGAATTAATACCATCAAACCAAGCGTCAATGTCCATGAGAACCAACCGGCTGCTCGAACTACAAGACAAGGACCATGTCAATCCCACTTGTACCGGTGACAATAGATGGGCTCTTACCATAACTTATGTACGTTGTTAGCGACACCCGTCCTTCCGCACGATATTCTGCTTCAACAAGCTTGCCCTTCATCGGCGATTTTTGACTCCAATGATGATTATCGGATTCCATAACACCCATTTCATGCACTTCATTTTCCGGCTTCTTGGTTGTCCTATCTGAAAATTCATCCTCGGCAGCAGTCGTGCCATCCTCTGTGTCCAATACTGTCTTCAACTGTCCGGAGGCTTGTAACTCCGTCACTGTTCCTTGCCTGATAACTTTACCGCTAGAGAGCTCGACAATATATGATGCTACTGGTAAGCACATAGAGATATGATGTGTCGCGAGAATCACGGTCCTTCCTTTCACAATATCGCCTTTGAAGCAGAACTCAACGATGTGTCTGGCAGTGTGCATATCGACCGCGGCCAAACTGTGGATGGATAATGAGCGGGCGAAAGCCAGATGGCATGGAAATAGAGGCTTACGGATCATCGAGAAGGAGACACTTGACGATAAGAACGGAGTCAGTCACTTTATGCACTCAAGCATATTTAACAAAGAGCAGAAACTACCTTGGCATCCGAATACAATGCACGAGCTAAAGCAACACGCGCACGCTGTCCACCCGACAAGGTCACCCCCTTTTCGCCAATTTCAGTAAGGTCCCCAGCTTCGAACATACTAAGATCCCGAGGCAGGGCACATGCTTCGACAACAGTGTGGTATCTCTCTTCGTCAAATCCTCGATCGGAATGGAAAATAATATTGTCACGGATAGTAGCGTGTTCCAGCCCTTAGATATGTTAGGCAATCATCTAGATGCATTGCAAAAGACAACGTACATGGATTCTGTGCGCAGTACGCAAGTAGGTGACCGCTTTTCTTAATATGTACTTCACCGCTCGTGCAATAAAGTTCTACGGTCAATGAGTTTTTCCGTTGTTTTTCGGATGGATATCCAAAGTCATACCTCCAAGTAGTGCATTAAGCAAGGCCGACTTCCCCGACGCGGTACTGCCGGTGACCAGGGTTAGCTTTTCCAAAGGCAAATCCATGGTCAAAGGTCCTAATTTAAATCGCTCTCGTGAATCTGGCTCTCCAGGCACTTCATACCATACAAAATACGCATCGTTGAATCCAATTCGGTCAAGTTCTTTGTCCCTAGGACCAGGTATATGCGTTAGAGTAGAAGCCCAATCTGATACCTCTCCTTCCTTGAGAAAAGTACATATTCTCTGATAGGATACATAAGCTGCAAACGAGTCAGACGCAGAAATAGACGATCGTGCGAACAGACTAACCGTGAAGATACCGCATCATCTCATCTGGCAGCTGTAGCATAGGTCCTCGTAGGAACGAAAATAGCGCCAAAGACGTGAAAGTCTTAGATACAGTTAGGCGGCCACCAGCAACTACCGTGTAGAATAGGAACGAGAACAGAGCCATGGCCGACGGGACCCATATCCTGATAACCAATGTCTAAGATCCATCCGCAGATTCTACATGTTGTGCTTACCAGACGAAAGATATGAGGACAGCACATATGTTCTCTTTGACACGCCATTTAAGTTCCGTTTCTCGCTTACCGAGCACACGATCAGTCCATGGACCCGTCCAACCGTAGAGTTTGAGAAACCTGACCTATAATTTTGAACGAGGCAGAACACAGTTTCAGCTACAGTGACGAAACAAAAGCGACTATAGCTCTGAAACCTACGTTCTGGAAGAGTTCATTAACACCACTCATGCGAACATCTCTAGCCTTCCAGCTTTTCCGCGTAATCTGAGTAGTCTTGTTAGCAATGACCGGATTCGCTGAATGTAATACCGGGTATATACGTAAACATTGGCCTTTGCAAGTGGCCAATTCAAAGCATATGCCACGAGGACGACGACAACTCCGGCAAATGCACTAACACCTATCACTCTGTAATTCGAGTTCGTCAAAGAATCGAGTAGCCTGATGAACACCCCTCACCGATATAGGAATACCAGTGAAAGAATTAAACGAACAGTTGCAGCAAATACTGTCGATGGATGCCAAAATCGTTCCGCCAAAGTATAACCATCTCCTCTATAAAACTATGAAAATTCATTCACGAGGAAGAAAGGAGCCACTAACTGCATAAGGTTCACGATTTTCCCCAAATCAGCACCATTGATACTGGTTATGCTTTCTTCCTTCGACGACCCAGCCGCGCCAATAAGGTCACGTCTTTTCAAGGCTTTGTAGTGTATTATACAGAAAAGCTTGATTTGCATATATCATTATAATGGTTGAGTCACTAATGCCATTGGCCTGTGCGGGTATGTTTGCCTCGACACTCACCTGACCTCGCGTTCGTTGGTATGAGCGTTTGGAGTGCCATATCTGGAAGAGATCGACTTGGGCAAAGGATAGATGAAGGACAAATGTGACGAAAGCAAAAAAATACGCCTCTGGCAAAGCCCTTGGTGTCGATTCTAAGGCAGAAAGGATCCGTTGAAGGGAATACACGCAACCGAAAACTGTGTGATAAGAAAAAATATTTGATTTGAGAACCTGATGGTTAATAGACAAGCATCTGGGGCACATACCTGCAACAGCGCTCCAAAGCTCAAGAACGACATCCAGGATGATATCAAGAGAGTTAGATGCAATCAGGAAACGAAGAAGGGAGTGTGTTGGATGACTGCGACTTCAGGTTAGTTTATAGTACATTGTTTATTCCTGAATGCTCACCGACCGCAGTACTCCAAATATTTTAAGAAAATATTTTTGTGTTTATAAAATGGCGATATCGTCCATACGTCTATCGGTTCCAGCCTTCCTTTTTGCGCGACACGGAAGATAGGTTCCACGAAGGAGAATGTACACCATTGCCACAAAGTGACATTGTCTTCGGGTACTGTTTCTGCATTGGACGGTGTCTGCGAAACAGCATTATTTGATTTTGTAGAATAACATTATCCTATAAACTACTCACCTCATGCACTATGGCTACAGACGGACCCGGTAAGTAATCTTTTACTGGGAAAGTTCCGACTAAGTATATAAGCGATAGTGAAACAATACTGTCTACGATCGACAGTATGAAGATTTCAAGCTGGTAGTTTCCTGTTTCCAACATGCCGACAGTGTTGATAGACGAGGACAGGAAAGTCATAATGTAGAAGAGGAATGTAAGATAAGGTGGCGTTGACGGAGGACGCCACCATACTTTCGTTGTTGCATAGATCCAAGCGACAAGTAGAACAATGTCATTCGGGAAGCGCATGTGTTGGGACCAGTCGATAGCAAGGCGAAGCAACAGAAAAAGGACCTCTAACATGGACAAAAATAACATAGTCTTGGTCTTCCATCGCGATGGCTTCCGTGTGGGTATTGGTCCGGATACTTCTTGAAGGTCTTCAAGATGGAGGAAGTTTTGAAACGGGGACGTGAGACAAGCATAGACTCTATAAATCAGACGAGGAAAACGAGTGGTGCGAATAAGGTCGTAGCAGAACGACAATGCTACAACTGAAGCAGGAAGCAGGGCAGCTAGATACTCGTGGCGAGACCATAAGTCTGTAAGTGGGTCAACCTCGACCATTGCCTGCCACAGACGGAGAATGAGAATGCCAAAGTTTTTGCAACGTAAGGATGCATGTTCACTCACCCAGCAGTAACTTCCGAAAAATAGCTAAAGTGTGCCATCGGGTTGGACAATAAAGGTAGTTATATACGTACGTGTAGCAGGTGTATCGCCGGAAGGAATCTGTGGCACTGCAGACGCGTTCAAGAGTTTTTAGACTCCGGTGTGAAACGCGTCTGGTTAGACGCGTCGTGGCGGTCTCCTCATCCTCGACGCAAACGTGCCGTCTCCGGTCGTGCTGTGCTCAGCCGAAACGCGAATATGGCTCTTGATGATGGGACAGGACTTTTCTACGCACTTTCCATTTGTATTGCGCTCGGTATATGGCTAGTCTTTGCTCGCTACCAGACTGTTAGGAATAGAGCTGTTCTGTTCACCTGGCCTGCTCCCGACGTGAGTTTTCTCTGTGTAATTGAGTGCTTGCTGTGGACTCGTCTTGATTCCAAATTGACAGGCTGCCGACCCGGACTGGTCTTCGATCACAATATCCAACCCCAGTCTTGAGGCCCACCTGCAGAATCCAGACCTACTTCCACCTGTTCATGTTCCTAATCGTCGATATATAACGTGCTACGATCCGGCTACTTCATTATATCTTGGCACGTTTTTAGCGGACGATGCTTTCGTGATTGGTGAAAAAATCGGTATGGCGGGCAGAGCGCAGCATTCTTGGAAGCAAAGCTCCTTTGCAGACCGCAAGAGGGTAATGCGCAGTCTACTTAAATGGCTCGTTGATAATCAAGAGGACTGTGCAAGGGTTACATGCCGTGACACTGGTAAAACGAGTGTGTGATTTTTTTGGATACAGTATGATGACTTTCTATTTCATTAACTCTTCGTTGTTCAGTGGTTGATGCTGCATTGGGAGAAATTTTGTAAGTATACTATAGCTGGTCACATTATCCGAAGCAAATTTTTAATTTTCAAATAAGGACCACATGCGCCAAATTGGAGTGGTTGATTGACCATGGAGAGTCGTATCTTCGTCCGGAAAAGAGAGGAACATCGTTAATGATGTGTTACAAGCGCGCTGAGTTGCATTACGAACCACTCGGCGTCGTCGCCGCCATTGTCTCTTGGAATTATCGTAAGTAATCTGCCCACTTAGATGTGACAATGGTAAATGCCGATGCTTGTAATGCCTAGCGTTGCATAATGCGTGGTCTCCAATCCTTGCTGCTATATTCGCGGGAAACGGTGTGGTTGTGAAATGCTCGGAACAAGTCGTTTGGTCAACAAGCTGGTTTATTGGGGCTATCCGAGAGTGCTTAACAGTCTGCGGATTCGATCCCGACCTCGTACAAGTAAGCGACGAAATTCCTCTCAACAATCAATACTGACCATTTATAGGTGGTCTGTTGCTGGCCAGAAGAAGCCGAAGCATTGACGGCCTCTCCACACATCAGACATATCACATTCATTGGCTCAGAGGAAGTTGGAAGAAAAGTATGTGTATCTATAAGACTTCTGTGCTTATTTTATTCATTTCATAGCGATAGGTCGCAATGGCAGCAACCACAGTGAGTTTCCCTCTTGCCCTTTGAGGCTTATGCCTCTAACAGTTTTCTCCCCTTCTAAAAGCATTTAACACCGGTTACACTCGTGCGTAATCTCGTAATTGCTTTGAACTACGTCTCAATGCCTCACAGGAGCTTGGAGGCAAAGATCCTGCAATAATTCTGCCAGGAATGGATCTCAGTAAATGCATAAGTACATTGATGCGAGGCGTCTTGTTAGTATACTTCCCTTAGAAACAAACAACTCATCTGACACTTCGCCAGCCAAAATGCAGGACAAAATTGCATAGGAATCGAACGTATTATTGTGCATGCGTCTCAATATGACGAGCTCCTCGAGATGATTGTAGAACGTGCAACGAATCTCCGCTTGGGCTCGGTCTTGCACGCGACCGATGGTTTCATTTCTCCCGTTGATTGTGGCTCGATGATATCGAGGGATCGCTTTTCTGAACTTGAGCGCATCATAAGCGACGCTGTCAAAGATGGCGCATCTCTTCATGTGGGTGGATTGACATTCAGACACGCGTATCTTGAGGATGGCTCGTACTTCTCGCCGACCGTCATCGGAGATGTTCACCAAGGGATGGAAATAGCCGATAAAGAACGTAAGTGGACCCAGCTTGACTGAAATCGGAGCATCATATGAAGTTATACTCTTGATGTTTCTTCAGTGTTTGCACCTGTCGCAGTGCTTATGAAATACGATTCGGTAGAAGATGCCATCGAAACAGCCAATGCTACACGTTATGGGCTTGGGGCTTCGGTTTGGGGACCAGACCAGGATGAGTGCCTAAGAGTTGCTAAACGCCTGGAGTGCGGAATGGTGTCCGTCAACGATTTTGCCGTCTTTTACGTGAGTCCATCTTCTGCATATATTGGTATGCGTTAATCTCACAGAAATGTTTTAGTTAAAGTAAGCCGATATCCGAAGTTTTGACTAGGGAATTACTGATATCCTTTTGCAGCCAAAACCTTCCATTCGGAGGTGTCAAGTCCAGCGGCTACGGAAGATTCAGCGGTCCAGAGGGCCTTCGCAGCCTGACGAACCCCAAGGCAGTGGTGGTTGACCGCTGGCCCTTCTTGATCCAGACGAGTATACCCGCTGCGTTGGACTATCCCATCCGTTCTTTAGTGAGCAGCTGGTAAGTCTCAAAATGTTCAAGGAGCCCGACATACGATTTATTGAACCGATTTCCTTAGGGAATTTGTCGGTGGTCTCATTCAACTCCTACATGGCGATACCCTTCGATCACGCTTTACTGGACTTCTTCAACTGATTAGGGCCGGACGACGCTGACATTTTTGCCAATCATTGGATTCCACATCTACGTACTAATTCTGGATATTCGACATGGTGGTATAAATATGCCTAATATCAACTTTGCGATTAACGCCGTTCGCATGATCTAAGCATGTCAAACTGATCATCAGTTGAGTTTATAACGCTCTTATCAGCTTCCATGCATGTGAAGCCTTGGGTACACAGCACTAGGGGCTTCATGCCTTTACAATGTTTTCTCACAGAAGAAGCTTGGTCGAATCGCTGCCTTCCGTCGAAGCCGCAATGCTCATGATAGACAAGATTAGTTTTATACGAATGTTGCTTAGTCCATCATGATCAAGGCATGATTGGCTCCTATAAACATATTTCACGAACGACGATACTACGCTACATCGTGGGAAGGTAAGATTGACACATCCGAATTGGGAAGGTGCCATGTTGGTAACGAACGTTCTTGGGCTATATTGAGACTTCACCTCCACATGCATCTCGACTCCTTACCGATGCTATTCATGTGCTACAGTTCTTCTCTAGCTCTCGGCGTATCCAGGCTCCGGTCGCGACAGAAATAATATATGAAGTCTGGGCATGCATGAGAAAAATAGTTTCAGTCTCTCTGGAGCTCTTTGGAACAGCATGATATCTGTAGCATCCCTTGCCGTCTTTGTGTTCGCTGCTGTTGTCTCGTCCACTCCTTTCTCAAATCCAGTTGAAACGTTTGAGCTCTTCAAGCGCGTTTCTAGCCAATGCTCGGCATCAGGGCAGACGTCATGTCACAATACGACTGCCCAGGATACCTGTTGCTTCGAGTCTCCTGGAGTAAGTTCATTTACTCCATTATTCTCTGTTAAGAACTGACACGCAGCTACAATCAGGGCCTTCTTCTTCAGACACAGGCAAGTGTTACGACCCGATGTGTATGTAATTTCTCATTCTCACACTACTGTTAGTTCTGGGACACGGATCCATCTACCGGCCCAACTGATTCATGGACTATACACGGTACGATCTACTACTTTGTTAATATTATTTCAAACTAAAAAATTTCATTCTTCAGGTCTTTGGCCAGACAAGTAAGTTTCATTAAAGCATTCCGACCACGCTAACCGTTGAAACATGTTAGCTGTGATCAGACGTTTGAAGAGAATTGCGATCCTTCTCGCGCGTATAAAGACATTGCTGGAGTACGAAATTATATTCACGTTTCATTGTGCATTTCTCTGACGACTTAGCAGTTACTCACGGATGCAGGAGCGACGGACACACTTTCATTTATGCAGACGGTAGATCAAATACTCTAGACATGACAGAATGCAGCTCATGATATGAATTATTAGAATTGGGTCGACATTAATGGCAACGATGAAACTTTCTGGGAGGTATGTGATACTCCTTTCACGATATTTTTTCTTCTTCATTTATTGATACCCGTTAATTAGCATGAATGGAGCACGCATGGTACTTGTATGAGGTAAGACGCGGGATCATTCACTACTAACCTCGTTCGTTAACTGACTTAAATATAAGCACGTTGGAGCCGGACTGCATCGAGAACTACACTACCGGTGAAGAAGTAGGTTCATTTATTCGCCTTACTAATTTTCTTGTTGGTTGATTTCCCCCACGTAGGCTGTTGCGTTTTTTGAAACGGTAGTCAAGCTCTTCAAGGTAAGAAGAAGCAATATCTTGGAAGCGGTTACAGTAACATAGTCCCAGACACTCCCAACATTTACGTTCTTATCCAATCAAGGGATTACTCCGACGACAAGCAAGAAATTTACCTATTCAGATCTCACTAATGCTCTCCAGGCAGAAGCGGTGAGAAAAACCATTCTAATTTATAACACTTTCACAACAGGCTAACAGTAACTAACAGGGAGTAGTTCCAGCGTTGAACTGTGATGGAAGCACACTGGATGAGATCTTTTGGTACTTCAATCTTAAGTGAGACCATTACCTTGCACTTGAGCTCGTCGCTAAACTGATTATCAAAGGGGCTCTGTTATTGATGGATCATTTGTTGCAATCGGTAGCCACACTGACTTCTTATGACGTGATGTTTGACTAAAGTTATGCTAGATGCACCATCGAAAGGGTCGTGCCCTAGTAGCGGCATATCCTACCCACCGAAATCTGGGTCAGGATCTCCCACAAGTGTAAGTGGAGCAGTTTTATCTGCTATAAAGAACATAGCTAACAGTAATTCTGCAGTCGTCACCAACTTCAACCCCTACAGTGAGTGAGGAATGTTCATTTTATCATACTATCGTTCATCATCCTTATTAGAACCCAGGAGGTCTTCCTGCAAAGGCAACCATAACGGCACAACAATCGACTGGCGGCTCTCTCGGAGGTTTATTGTCTGCTGGAACGTGGTCGACGCAAACGCTCGCGACATACACCCTCTCAGGAAGCTCGAGTAGTTTTACGATGAAGTCTTCAAAGGGCAACTGTGGCGTATCTAGCGGAACTCTCACTTGTGGTAGTGGCGTATCTGCTTCATCTTTCTCTGCAGTAAGTCGTCAATATTTGCACTTCGTACCTTGTCTTGACTTGCTTTATAGGTTACCTCGGGTAGCAGTCTGCTCCTTGCGTTTAGTGGGTCGACGGAATTCTCGAGTAACACTGCTCCCAGTGGCGAGACTCAGGAAACTGTATTCCCTGGAAGCAGTCACACACAGAAGTTTACTCTCGTCATCAATGCGTCGTAGGTGTACTTTGTTGGTGCAATTCTGAGATTACCTACGGAAGCACTGTATGAGTTATTGTTTAGGCTGAAATAGCAGTTGTGTAGTTAACACAGGAGGCAGAAACCTATTCTGCTACCAGGAAATTTTCTTTCAGCATGTATTTCCAGCCAATGAGGTGGAAGCTTTCGAATTTTGTAATAAATCCCTAAGGTTACAGAATGGGAATTTGTCTCCTGTGTAAAGGGTCAAACGAGTGATATATGATTGATAAGTCTGCCTAAAGCTGTGTAGCTTGGCTACTAAGTCCATTATCTGTTCTTGTATCATATTCGCTTCGTATCTTCATCTCCGGCACGACTCCAATGCCTCCCGCCTTAGATCATCCTCCTCTAAACTTGATCCTCTTGGACAAGCCATTCATCGTCTATAAACTATCAGTAGAAGAATCCTTACCTCCTAACATTGTGGAGGCGATATCTCACAACGTTGCTGATGAGGAAATGATATCCATAACACGCACGTCGGACGAAATCTCTATAGTCGGAAATATTGACAGCTTGCCTGACATTGAGGCACCTCGATGGAAATGCATCAAGATTAAGGGAAATCTGGATTTTGGTATACAATCCAAGTGCAGTATCAGGCTGGTTCACTGAGCTCAGACGCAGGATTGACTGGCATAATGTGTGACTTCACTACTCCCTTGAAACGCGCCGAAATTTCAATCTTCGCCCTCAGTACATGGCAAGTGCACAAGTCTCAAGAAATCTGAATTAATTCTAAACAATAATTGAATATAGGAACACCGATTATATCCTAGTACCAGAAGCCAAGCTAGACGATGCAGTAAAGGTTCTAAAGGAGGACGGTTGGAAATTCGAAAACAAAACCGCGGAAGCGTAGTGGAACAAGGAGCAATTTTTATTGGAACGACCTTCTATCTCTAATCCTCTTGTACAAGTTTATGATGAGGTCGTTGGCAGTAAGGGTGATTATTCTGGCCAGAGACGTCAGAATTAACGCAGTCGGAAACACACAGAGAAAGGTAAGAAGGCTTACGTATGGGGAGCAATCCGTAAGAAATGTGCTGTAGAACCTTTATATAATCCAAATGGACCCTCAATCTTCAATGTTTTCCAGAGACAATCGAAGGGATGCTTGTACAGAGTCCCTACCATCCTACCATTTGGTAGTCGGTGGGTCGGCTGGTTGTACATTCTAGTGAGAGCCTGGACCATTCAGCAGTATAAGTTAACAAGTCTTCGGTAATGTATGTATAACCATCATACCGTGTCGGCCGGCTGCATGGCCAAGCACTGTCGCAGAAGTTTGTTCAATGCAAAAGATATGAGCAATCAGAAGGACATACTACACAAGCTCCTGAAACAGCACTGCTGGCAAGAAATGTCCAAATGCTACCCTCATTGGTTATCCCAGTAGCAGCAAGGTGCTTTTTAGTCCAGTTGTATGTGGGAAGTTGCACCTGCGCAAGATGTAAGTACTTCGTAGCATCGAAAACATATTAGCTTACAGCTGATCCACAAGCTGTCCGAAGCATAGCCGCATCTATTCCACGTATGAGGCCGCGAAATCTTTCTGCGCGGAATATCGTGACTAATGCATCAAGTGAGCCCTTGTAATAGTGCTGCGTTCCAACGGGAAGCGCGGGTGAATAAGCCTAGCAAGAGGTATAAGATATTAGTGAGACTTTTATCAAAGAATAGTTACCTGCATCCTGGCCTTTATCAGGAACAAGGGATTGCCGAGGCAGGCTGGACATAATTGAGAACAGTCCGGAACTATATAGAATGTATGTGCGCATTACCTCCAACAATACCACTGGCAGCACCTGCAGCAACAGACGTAGTAGCAATTTGTTCCGTGATAGGACGTCCTACCAAGCGGTTGAAAGTGCGACGGAACGGTTCATAAAAACCTACGTCATAAGGATTAGAATTAAATTCGCCTCCGGTCAGGAATGCACATACCAAGCCTCGATCCATTCAAGAGAATCTTAATAATGTGCCATGAGAATGGTTATCGAGTTGCCGCGTTTGGACTCACTTGGTAAACGTACTACAGGATATTCAGAATAGATCACTTGAAAATTTCCAGGGAACGCACTGCAGGAGACAATCCCCTCTGTAAGCCTCTGATGCCTTCATTTCGCCACGTCTTTACCAGCACGTCGATGGCACTGTTGTAAACCTTGACACCACCACCCCTCACGAGTTCGCCCTGTAGTTGCAGACGAGTTTTCGCTACCTCTGCGGGATTAGAGACAGTGACCGCAGTGCAGGCAGCGAGTCCACCACAGATGAATCCTTCTGCAGTCGACAAAGGGCGGACTTGAGCAGACATCTCAAGTGGCACTCACTACTACTACTAGCTGTCGGACTCAGGTCAGGTCAGACCGTGTCTGATCTCGTAGCACGTGCCTGCATCACGTACACGCGACGCGCCGACGTTAACCGGATTGACTAACATCACCTCTTTATCCAGCACACAACATGTCCTGTAAACTATGCTAAAGGACAACATCCAGGCGATCGTTGGCGTTGTTATCTTGTACCTTTTCTTCGAGCTCGCTCACTCTGTCCTCCTTTCGCCATGGACGCTCGTCTCCGTACTCCCCATATTTCCCATCCTCCTATGTGTATCGTTTCTGGCAGGACTTTCTATTCATTTTTATCTTGGTTATCTAGTTGACAAGAAGTACGCAAAGTTACGCCCGAAGCTGTTATGGACGTCTCGGCCCCTTGCTTTCTCAACACCCGCGGCATGGCAAGCCGTCCTCACACGGTCGAAGTGGTCAATCAAATCGCCACAGAATCTTGCTCATTTACGTCCGGCCTTTCCATCGGTTTCGGCAGCAGTCAATGAGATGCTGATAATGATTGTCAGAGATTTTGTCCTGACATGGTATACCGAGATATCATCATCCCCTGCCTTTCCTTCTGCCGTCTCTGAAAGTATTCATGGCACTCTGGAGGAGCTCTTGAAACGCCTCGAGAATATAGATCTCGCGTCCCTTATCGTAAGGAGGATACTGCCCAAACTGACAAGTCATGTAGATCTGTTCAGGCATTCTGAAACAGCTCTGCGCGGAGCCGGCCTCGAACGACACCTGACCCAGTCGGAGGAACTTGACTTATTACTTGCGAGTCGATATGTCAGTCAAGGAGGCAATTTGCATTCAGCGGTAGACAACCTTTCGACAACCTTTACGAGGCAAAATGAAGAGGCTCACTTAAAAAGTCTCGTGGATTCCGTACTGCCTCTTGTCCTTCCACAGAAGGATGCGAACAGCAAGGCCGTCCGTATTGTCGTTCGCGAGATAGTCGCATGCGTTGTTCTTGCCCCAATCACAGATCTTCTCTCCGATCCAGACTTTTGGAACCGTACAATCGACCAATTAGTACGTGTTGGTCTGTATTGTTTTGCTGTTGAAGCTAACGTCAGCGAAGGCGGGTGCAGCTATCAAGCAACAGTAAGTAAACATTCGTGGATCACTTTTCGGATCTAAAATACTTTTCACGTTGCAAGGAAACTGATCACAAGAGTCCGAAATGTGTTGGAATCGCAGTCGGGAAGCCCCACACTTGCTCGTCACAGGATGTCGAAATATCAAGAACCAGAGGCGATCACCTTGCAAACGGATACTCGACACTTCGAGGCATTTCTGAGAAGTATAAGCCGCTGTGATTCCCTTCTAGACGCTCGACGCCTGAAAAACGACATCATTGGCGAGATCCGGCGTACGAGGGCGTTATTAGGTGAGATTTCTAATAATGTTGGATCTAGCTTTAACACAATTTTCTTCAGCAAGGCATGAGAATGAGGATTGGATAGATGGCAAGAAGACGGAGGACGTCGTTGCCTTCTTGGATAGGCTGTATACTGCGAAACGGAAAATCGAGAAGCGTATCGTAGTGCTTGGCGGTCAAGGCGGTCAAGATGATTTGGTAAATAAGCATGCATGTCCATACTGAATCGGATGTCCCACTCACAGCACGCATCATTAGCACTCATCACTCTTCCACGATGATGATGAAACCCCTGCTTTTCAACTTCGTGACATTCTCACGAACCCGAGCTCGTTATCTTACTTCATGGAGTTCATGGACCGACGGGGTCGTTCTTTACTTGTTCAGTTCTGGCTCACTGTGGAAAGCTTCAAGAACCCACTAGAATTGGTCGACTCTGATTCTTCCGGAGAAGAATACGAGCCCTTAGCCAATTCTACATTGGCTGCAACGTTAAAGGAAGATCTCAACATGATAAACGACCTCTATTTCGCAAACCCGGTCACTTTGGCCACTTTGTCCTCCATTTCCGAAAAGTATGTTTCGGCGATTCAATCATATGCTACAGAGGAAAAGGCGTCATCAGTACAAGAGAGACAAGCCCGTCGGAGTGTAATGCTAGCACAGAGGCAGGTAGAACGTGACATGGACCATGATTTCGAGGATTTCAGAAGAAGTGACCTTTGGTTCCGTACTGTTGGTGACTTAGCGCCGAAAGGCCGAACGCATGAGATCACGATGCCTGCAGCTCCTGCAATTCAGCAACGGCCGTCTACCGCTTCGTCTGGTCTTCTTGCATCCCTGGTTCAAAATTTAACGCCAGACCTCAACCGCAGCCAGGCTTCAAAGCCTCCTTTCTTCCGGCGACCAGTGTCGTCTCGTTCCCTTGCGTCTTCTTCTCTGTCTGGTCCGCATATAATGAGACCGAGAACTTCTTTGGGAAATGGAGGGCCGTCGAGAAAGGAGTCTCCAGCACCGAGCAGGTCTCCATCAGCGCAAGTGACGTCCAGCAGTCTAGAAATCCTCATGTCATCTTCTCCGGACCTGAAGTCAAGCGATACAGCTAGGGCACCTCTTTTCGATGAAGCCGAGGATGGGCAACTGATCTCTGCCGACGCGGAAGAGGCGCAGCGCATGGAAGCACTTCAAGCGGCAGTGACGGATATTATAGCCTCAGAGAATAAACTGGATGGCGAACCTATGAAAAGGACACGTCCATCTGATGATTCCTTGGATCGCGCTATTGACACTCACGATACACGGAGTTCTGTTTCAAGCCGAAAGGCACTCTTCCCGGATTCTCAAATCGACGCCGAAAACACAGGTGACCTTGCTGATGAAGATGACGAAAGCAAGCCTCGATCGTTGGAACTCGCAGGCCCAGGAGACCTGCTACTTCCTCAGGAGATCTCGCGCCTCGGCGACAAGATTGAACATCTTCGGTCTCAAGACGCAATATTAGACAATTTAATTAACAAGGCCGAGTTGACTGGAGATGCTCAAGAATTACGAGTATTGAGGAAGTCGAAAGCTGCTCTTGAAAGAGAGTTAAGACAGCTCGCATTCCAGAAGACTCAATATGAGCAACAGGATTCTGCTAGCAGGTTGATTCCTGGAGCAACGAAAGCGTCCATAGTCAACTCTACGACTGGAGAAGAGGACGGGAAGCAGGTTGTGAGGTATCTCATCGAGGTGCAACAGCTCGGTACAGGGTGGGTAGTGGCTCGAAGATACAGCGAGTTCCTAGCCATGCATCAAAGGCTAAAGGATCGATTCCTGACTGTGAAGAATTTGGATTTCCCTGGCAAGCACTTAGTCACGGCCTTATCAAGCCAAATGCTTGATAATAGACGTGCCGCCTTGGAAAAGTACCTTCAGGTGGGAAAAACTCATCACTCTGCGTTATGTCAAGTTACTCACACCTCAGACAGAGTCTTCTAACGGTTCCAATGGTCTGCGAAAGCCAAGAACTACGAGCCTTCCTCTCTCGTGACTCGCCTTTTATTGCAAAATCGTTGACAGAGGGCAATGCAAAAGAGTCCGGTGTCTTTCCAGGACAGAATATCGTTCGCAACATGTATCGGTCCTTTACTGAAAGCATTGACGAGGTAATCTTTGGGCCGTCCATGCTTGATGTCATGATTGGCCGACTTACTCGACAAGCAGCTGAGTTCGCTGGGATCGTTGGTACAGCATCAAATGACGAGGACCTCGTCACGCAGGCCTTGAAAGCATCGGGGAAGGGTGCACCGGAGGATACATTGGCTCAGCTACCTGGAGATCTGAAACCCCTTGAGGGAGAGTCAAGCACTTCTTCCTTCACAGCACCGATATGCGATTTCATCCTATCTGTCTTTGAACTCGATAGGAAGAATAACTGGCTCAGGAGACAAGCTGTTGTCATTATCTTACAGCAAGTCTTGGGTGGCACTGTGGAACGGTACGCTCGCATGCTTATCGAGGTGAAAAAAAACTGATTTCAATACAGGAAGTTCCGGGAGAACTTGACTGCCGCTCTCGACGAACCACACCTCCTCTCTTATATTAACATCTTAAAGGATAATCTGTGGCCAGGCGGGCATCTTAAACCTCCGACAGCCCCAAGGACTGTGGATGAAAAGGCTCGTACGAGGGACGAAGCAAATCGCAAGCTTTCCGCTCTGCTGCCCGGTGTGTGATAGCGAATATGTGCTTTGCATGACTCTCATCCTAACCTTATTACTAGATATCGCTGCAAACATGATGGGTCGGTCTAATGCCCGACGTGGAGCACGACGCATCTTCGCGGTCCTCCAGAATCGTCGACTTAATCAACATATTGTATATTCTATCCTTGACGAGGTAAATGCAATCTCCTCTTAGATAAACTTTGGTGGCTCTTGCTGATTGTAGCTTCACCAGATCTTCATGGCTCTATTCCCGGAAGTGAATCAGTAATTAGGCAACAGCCCAATAGTTGGAGGACTTACGACGTGACATGACTTATGACCATTAGTTAACTTATGCTCTGACTCACGAGGATGAATTGCACTGCTTTCTTGGTCTTGCACTTCCCAATTGTCGTATGAAGACAGTATGTCTAATACGTGACGACGTGTGAAACGATTCAAGACCCACGTTAGTGTGTTTCTCCAGTCAATATCATCAGCATTTCTGCTTCTGCTCGGCCATTACGCACATAATATACACCTCATGCATGAAAGTAAGAGCAGTAGGAAGGACGGCCACGCTGTATTCCTTCCTGCCTTCTATCTATCAATCGGATGTCTCAGATCTATTAAAAAATCAGCATCAAGTAGTCCATGTGTATCGACAGACTGATCGTTCTAAAATAGCAGCTATCGACTAGGTAACAGCCTCTTTAAGTTACGCGAGGTGCGGGGTACGGGGTATGTATGCAGTGTGTCATGTGCACGTATGCGGGGTATCGGTATCGGTCCACCGTTGATATGATAAACGGATACGCATCTATCGTGATCGTCAGGTATTTATATTTACATATTTTTGTCATCGGCTCGCGGGCTGTGAATGTGGGGATAGATTTGCGTTCCACCTTCCATTTGTCGATCATGAATGTTGCATGTTGCGGCGCTCTGTCGGGACGTCGGGATGGACCCACAAAAAATTCATGTTTTTTTTAAAACAATACGCTAACACTCACTTTTTACATGGACTTAGTCAGAGCAGTAGACGCTGACTGGATACTGGTCCATACGGATACCATATAATCTCTAACCACTGTATTCTATTTATAGATGAGCAACCTACTGGTCGCGGACACCCAATCATCTCACTCCGGAAGACCGGTGCTGTGATCCACACAGGAAGACAGTGATTTGCCAGCTGGTAGGTTAGAGGGGACAGAACGATAATAGAGGAGAAGGGAAAGGGCTCGGAAGGGGATGCAGAAGATGGGAAACCTTGAGTAATTTCGGGCACTATAGCAGTCGATCTGGGATGTTGGTAGGACGCACGTTTGATACTGCTCAATCGATGATAAAGTTGCTACATGCAATCCGCTTCATCGTTCCGAGGGAGCCTTGCGAAGTTGATGGGCTTCAATGGAAGAACAAGCAATTGAGACAGGTCCAGGACCGAACGATTCATAAAGTTGAAGGTATTGACTTCGACGATAAGTTATCGAGTACCGCCTGGATAAAATCTTCATCCGAAGAGCCACGTTTCGAACAAAGTTCACTTCTGTGCCTCCACCTCACCACCGTTCATTCATTCCGATGTGCTGAGAACACAAGATTGTGAGAGATAAGGAAAAGAAGCCGGAGAAGCAGAATAACCGATCCAACTGCATGTTGGAGGGAAGTCGGTGTGAGTAAGACGGTGACTCATCTTTGCATCAGACTCTCCGATTGCTGTTTTTGTTCTCATACTCGGATTCTTCGAAGAATAGATTTTATTCTGGTTCAGGGAGGTCAAGAAGAACTAGAACGAGGGGCTCTTCTTAGACCCGGATGTCGGAGGACGACACCGTATTTGCGATGGTCGGGCCACCTCGGGAGCTGTGCGCCAGGCGTAACTGTACTTTGCTGTCAATCGATGTCTCTCCTGCGTCGAGTGAGTTAGTAGAGTTACCACCTTACTCACTCCGGTCTTGCGCGCCGGTTTCCCGAATTGGCATCAGAACGGATGCAATCCTGCTAATCTCGGTTTCTATACTTGCGACAGAACTCTCGTAAGTTCTTGTGTAGCTCGGACTTTGAGACGGGCAGGATACCTAATATTCCAGCTCAGCCATTAGACAGCATAGACTACAATCCAGAGAGACCTTGAGGTTTTTCTGTTGTTGAGATGTTTCCAAGTGCCAAGAATCGAGATTCCAATCAAAAGGACCAAACCGGATTGAGAATATATCATTCGAGGGCGATCACGGCTTCGTTGCCATCAATTGCGGACGAACTGCCTTCGCAAATAACCTGTTCGGACAGCTTCCAACCTCGAATAATCGAAAGAACGAAAAACGGTAGAAGAAAACTCAGGACTGCGGCATAATTGAATCGAGTAAAAGTGACTGAATAAGTGAATACATGTACAAAGGAGACGATCTGATAAAAATTTCATGTGTGGAATGGACGAGCGCTCGGCGTGTTAGACTCGTTGTCGCCGATCGACCGTTTCGACCGACATTCGAGAGAGAAGAGATGATAGGAAGTCGAGGAATCTAGATTCTGGATTGCGTGGACAGTTGGACGTGGAGGACACGAACGACCCTGAATCGCGGCCTGCCCTGACAGACTCGGGTTTGTGAGCATAAACGGTCACGACTTTGAACCGCGTGAGCGGCTCACGCTGAGTCCGTATCATACACGAGGTGATACGCAATATGCAGAAGCATACACGCGGTGGGTTGCGGGGTATTGAAATGCCAGCAGGCAGACAGCAGAGCAAGGGCCAGCAGGAAACGAACAGCCAGGAATCCAGGATTGAGTTCGGGAGAATGGACAGAAACATCAGCTTCAGGAAGAAACCTGAAGGTTACGCAGAGCGGAGAAGCGTGAGCGACCACCGCGCGCTCCGATCGTCTCCATTTCTATCGTCTTCCTCATCTGCGCACACCAAGAATAGTAACGAAGGAGCCACCGACTTGCGACAGGCGAACGAACAGTAGCATAACCACCTAAGGTTTAGCTAACCGGTTATCCCATCTCCAGCTCACCGATTTCTCAATCAATGTACGAGACGTGTGCAAACGTCGACGAAAGGAATCCGAGACAGGCGCCACGATTGTCCGCACTGGTATCTGCTGTTCCCAACGATCGAACGGACGGCCTGTCCGAACAGCCGAAATGAAGCAGTCCAATACAAATCGGTTGGCGCCTTCTCTCTCAAGCTATCTCTATTCCCGCTCAGCAACGCCGGTCTTGTGTTCCAGATATGAGGCACTCCACTAAGTTCTCTGCGTCTTATCAACCAATATTCACAAGAGATTCAATTCACTTAAGAGATGCTTCGGAGTTGGACGAAGAATCATCAGTATTGTACAATCGGACCGGTCGAATGCAAGTGTTCACGTCAAGTCACGTCGTTGTCTTAATGACTGCTCATGGTGGACTTACCACCAATGCAAGTATCGAACGTTAACTATTGAGCAACAAAACAATAATCTCCATTGACGGATAATAAATATGCACAGGTGGTATGTCTTGCACAGAGACTACTATTGGAGGCTGCCAATAAGAAAAGAAGTATAAAAATGTTGGTACATTCAAAAAAGGAAAATTGGAGAAGAAAAAAATAAAGAAAATGCTGCTATGTAACCCTTGCCCGTCTACGACCTCGGTCGCCCTTTCTCCCGCCAATGTCCGTGTGTGAATGGTTACGAGCTGAAATGAGAAAGAAACAAATGATTTGATTGCGGAATGTGTGCGGAGACGGGGAGAATGGTGATTATGCGGATAAAATGAAAATGAAAATGAAAAGAAACAAGAAACAGATAAGAAAGGACGGTAAAGAGAGAGCCCGATGCGAGGACAAAAGACGGGCACTTTTTGGATAATCGTACAGCCAAACTCCGGCAAACCAATAAGGGAGAATAGACGAGTAGACCTAAAAGAGTACGAGGGCATATCAGGGGGTAGAATAAGTGATTGGGAGACAATGTGGGAGACAATGTTGCCTTGCCGCGATAGAGACTTTCCCGAAGACAAGAATAGATGCTCTAGATCGAACAAGGCAGAGTTGTGAGGTGGAGTGGGAACTGATGAGAAGCAAAAGAAGTAAAGAAGAGAATAAGGTGAAGCCCCGTGTCCGTGTATGTGCCACAACAGAGCAGAACGTACAAATCGTCAAATGACCGGAGCTGTAGGTAGAAATGAGGTGCTCAGAATGCGAAAAGAAATCAGATTGCATATGGTGAGATGTCGAATGAGTCGTAACTTGAAATTGGAAAAATGCAAAAGGCCTGACGCCTTTGCAAGTAGCCTTTTTGGGATGAGAAGGTGAATCGTAAATTCCGGTAAAAATCAGTCGTGAGTCGAGAATCATCGTTTCGACGCGTATTGGCAGACAAGGTTCGCAACCCTATCTGAATTTGATATTGAGCCGATGAGAAGATTGCCGGCAAAATGGGAAAGTTTCTGCAGCGCCATCTAGGTCGGCGGAGAGGTGTCCTACAGACCTGCCAACATCGGGCTATCGCTCCGCATTCCGGCACCGCCATAGAGTCCACTGAGGGCATCACCCAGACCAAGCGCGCCTACAGCTGACGAATGTGCGGAACCACCTGCGCTACTACCAACACTTGTTGGAGGAGTCAGGCTGGGCGATGGCGTCGGAGATTGCACGAAGCACCACTGTTTCAAGAATGCGGCGTAAGTCAAATCGTTGGCCAATGACGATGTCGGAGAGGACACAATATCTTTCGCTCGCTGCTTCTCGTGCTCCGAAGGCGCCGGCAACGCCGAATATAGCGGAGGTGGCGTACCGTCCGATAAGGACTGCGACGATGAATTGTTCGACACAGGCCATGGGAAATCGTACCTCGGCGCGGTTGCGGGCATACCGCCAAAAATCTCCATGCTTTGAGAGGTCGACGTAGGTGGGGTTGTATTGCCAGACATTGGAGCAGCGTCAGACAACCCCACGAACTCCCTCGTGGGACTGCTCTGGCGAGGTGCAACTGGTGTTGATACTGAAGGCACAGACGGTGCAGCATAATTCATAAGGTTCAGTTTCATTGGCACAGATGCATAGAGAGACTTCGCCACAGATCGATTGTTACCCATGGACGACAACGTCATAGGCTGAGGAGATGAGTTGTGCCTGATGGGTGGGGAGGGACGTGCGGGCATACTTGCATGATGCGCTCGATTCTGAGGAGACGGAAGCGTAATCTTCGGTGGAGGAGCCTGGGACTTCGTCGCATGCGCGACTGCTTGAATGGCCCCCGTCGTTGGTGTGCCCTTCAATGTCGGCGGTGCACTAAACGTGCGTTGTTGGCTGTTCCCCATGATAGGACTCGAACGTGTCGCATCAGTCATTTTCGTTGCTGCGCCAATTGGGTTCCGGAATCCAACTCGATAGTTTTTCCCATTGTTGTTATCCCACCATTCACCGACTCCGGGACACGTATATCGCACGACGAACCACATCGTCTTCTCGTGAAGCTTCCTCTCAAAATCCTCCAAATTAATTATGAAGCTGAACCGGTCCCATGGGGTCACTGGCACTGCTCTGTCCCCTTCTGTATGCGGATGCGGGAACGGCGGAGGAAGCGACGGGAGAGAGATTACATGCTTGCACAAGACTTCGGACGTTGTCTGCCAATCATCAAGGGTAAAACGGACTGCTACTTCCTTAGCGAACGCTATGAAAGAGTCAGCCACAAACAAAAAATAAAAATAAAAATATTGCACACCTATATTTCGAACGACGACAGAACCGCGCAGCACAGGTGGTGAGCTTCGGGGTAGCACTAGAGTTTCCATGTGTACGTTCGCGTACATACGAGGGTTTGCCGTAGGAATAGCCGAAGTCGTGTTCGAATCAAGTTCGAAGCCCATGTCCTGAGGCGGGCTCGCTGTTCTTGGGAAAGGATACCCTGACCGATCAATAGCAGCGGCGTTCGAAGAATCGTATTCTGTTTCAGTTTCAGTCTCTTCTGCGTTTGTACGTGACACATTAACCGGTTTCCCAGAGCTATTGAACACCCGGACGCTCCGCAATGTGTCATCGCCAGCAAAGTGAACGTTCTTAGGTGTCACCGGTCCGTTCGACGGTGTGGAAGGTTCTGACTGCGCCCGCAGATGCATTCGCAATCCAGGGACGTGGGGCGATGAGTGTGAAGACTTGAGCGATGGCTTAAGTGGTTTCCCATTGGACAATATGATGGGCGTCGAGGGCGTCCGCGGGAGAGGAGAGCTTGTTGGCGAGGGTGGTTGAGGAGACGGCAGTGGAGAGCCCCTCAATGGGAACGGTAGTGTAGACGTTTCCTCATCCTTCTTGATAGAAGGAGCCAGGAGGGTATTCGGGGGGACATTTTTCGTGTCGACGGACAAACGGAGCGCATTCAAAGACTGCGGCTCGGGAGGTGGGGTGGTGTCAGAAGAGTCCGAATCATGGTCGTCGATGTGGAAAAGTGTCTTGCGTTCGCTGCTATGCGCCTTGTGACGAGGAAGGTTCGTGAGGGAGGTAAAGGCAGTTGAAGATCGTTCTTCCGCAAACGTCGGGTTTGCCGAACGAGTTCGCCTGTGGTGGTGTTTGGGGCGAAGCTTGAGAGGGGGGAGATCAAGAGGATGGGATTCCGGAGACAGAGGCGGCTTTGCGTAGGGCATCACACACTTGGCGAGCTCAAAATAGAGGGAAAAGGGCTTCAGAGGAGGTGGAAGTTGAAAAATGAAGAATGTGGTTGAAGAGAAGAGAAAATTTGAGGGACGCGCTGAAGAGGTTGCGAGCGTGAGTAACACCGAGGTGACGTCAAGGCAATGCAGTGAAAGTACGCACCTCTGGACCAAAGCCTAGCGAACGCTCAGCGTCGTGTACTGGGACAACGACGGGATGTGAGGATGAGCAGCGGCTGAGAGAGACGCGATGGGGGAATGAAGAAGGGCCGTGTTGAGAGGACGGCCCTATTAAGCTGAAACGTGCGAACCGCGACTGAATGGAGGACCCTGACCGGTCTTATCAATTCTTATTTTTCAGATCTCCGTATTCCAGACTCCCGTACTGCCTCCCTTTCCTCGGCCTATTTTTCTCTCTCGCCTCCTACCAAGTCGCACCACTCGACAAGGGCCCGAGGAATGCTAAGCGACGCTGCAACAGAACAGTAACATGGCGGGTTATATAATTGGCCAGACTTTGCATTGCTGAGAGTTGTGCAACAGAGTTACACCCTGTGGATCTCTTGTCCTCTGCACTCCAAGAGAACCCAGAGGGACGTCCATGGTCCAAGGGTCTGAGAAGGGAGACCGCTAAGGGTCCAGTTTGATCGGCACGCGGCAGCGAGATGCGAACGACCTTATCTTCTTTTCGCACTCACTTCAATATCCTGCTTGCATAATACGCTTCTCTCGGCCCTGCCCGCCATTTTGACGTCACTTTGCGCCTTCCGTTCCGAATCCCGCCCTGCTTTGTTTTCCCTTTGGCCTCCTCAGTCTCTGAATTTTCATGTTTCAAACAGCTGCTCTACAATCTGAAGTGTTTAAATTACGATCTGACGCCTTCTACTGTCTGTTTTGCGGGAGATGACTTGCACGATCATACATGACTACACTTGTCAAACCGGCATGGTCCTACTTCAGCACTTGTTGTCGTCATCATCTGGGGCTGCTTCTCGCCCTAATTGCTTACTTGAAATCTTCCGTCTGACTTACCCGTCATACACGAGGTAGATAAACAAGTGCGCCCCGCTTCCGCTCATGTTTAGCAACTCAACACTGCCGTAACATACAAGTGTTCATCCTCCTTCCCGCGAACGTTCAGAAACTCCGTCCAGATAACTAACTTGAACAGTTCATGATCATGTAGCCGCCTGACCACCAGCCTCTCACAGCACGGTTCCTGCCAACACAACTGTGGAGCAATGCTGATATATTCTCATCTTCGATGCTCAGACTTTGTACACACTGCCTGGCTGTCGCATGCAATTGGTGCGTTTGTATCTTGCAAGGATGGCAAGATGTTGACATGGGTTGTTAGCCTGCTGCACACATGGACACATTCTGCATCAGACAACGCTTTCGCAACCGGGTTTATTAAATTCTCCAGGATAGCTAGGTATATCCCTTGACCTCCCAGGTGACCTCAAAGAGGGAATTAGAATCATAATGAGGCTGCCCATCGGTATCCTCACTTGCAGGTTGACTGCAAACCTCTCCCTATGATTTCCCGGTTCGGCTCAATGTACGAAGCAGGCCGCTGCTCTCTTGTCAAGTAAAAGACAACATATCGCAGACATGCCTTCTTTTCGTTCCTTCTGTCGCCCACATGGCTCTTGTCTATTTGCCATACCTGTTTATAGACGACAAGAAGCGCCACTTGAGCACCCATGACGCGACCAGCGCACAATTTCATATCAACATCATAGGACAAGCGCTACTTGCGTCATGCAACAAACTCAATAAGTATACTATTGGACAGATGACGATTCTTCCTGTACCGTGCTACGAACGACCTGTGTGTCGTGACATCATCACGGTCGGCTCTTTGAAATACGTTACGCAGTGCAAAGCGCTTACTTTCGGACAATCTGTACGCAAATCGGCTATCAGGGGTTTATAGTCCCCTTCCAGCTGGTTCGAGTAGTCAAGACTGGACGACGGAACCACGGATCATTTCCCTCCGCCTATTGCGTTGCATCTTTGTTCACGCACATAGGGCGGCAGCCAACCCAGACTACATATTGGCCTGCATCTATTCTCGCTATATCAGCACCAAGCCATTGTTGAGTACAATAACTTTCGATCGTTAAAACGCAGAAGCGGAGTTATTCAACTTGCTGAATAGTCAAGACCTTTTCCGCGTTCTGGGCGTCCGACTCTCGGACTGTTTTCTCTCATCTTCCCGATGCAACTTCTTTCCCCTCACATTTGCGCCCTACTCGTCATGGGCTACCGTTTTAGGACGACGGCCTTTCGGCGCACCGTATTTTGCCTTCACACTGCAAATCTGCATAAAGCCTGTTGTCGAGCTGGCTGGTCTTCCTTTACGTTGCGAGAACTTGACGAGCATTTCAGATCCCCGGTATTTGGGTGGTGGACTAGCACACATGTCATGGGTAAAACATACTCAAACTGACTGTTGCAGACCACGGCACGAGATGTAAACGATCTTTCTTCGCCCGCTCAGTAGTTGCAAGTCAATTTCGATAAGGTTCGCATTGTTACGGCATTCGCCGACGGGAGAAGACGCCGATCAGGGCCGGCTCTCCGTTTAGCCGCGGTTGGCGCGGATCGTCATTGATAAACGTTTTTCGCTTTCACACGCATACTACTAAAATCAGGAACCCGTAAACAACTTTCGGAAAGCATACTTTGCGCACTCATGTCGGCAGTGTGGTTGGATAGACAGAAATCCTCAAGTATTGAAGATCGGGAGTCTTGGTGTCGGAAATCGGATTGCCATCATTTAAGATGTGTACTGCGGCGAACGCGGGGTGTTAAGGCACCTCGAACAGATAAGTTAAGATGTTCTAGTTCGACGGCACCCTACCAATTGAAGTTCACATAGAGTTCCCTAAGGTTGCTAGAATCATCGGCATCCATAACCCGGAATATTCCTTTAGCACCCAGTTATCATAAATAAAGGTAATCTACTATATTTTGAACAAGGGCCGAGCTCTTTGTGCAACTCGAGATATCGAGAGGTTGGATAGGGACGTGAATACAGGAAACCCATTATACTAAGTAGTTTCTGGATTTCCCTGTCTTATAATGCCCGCACCTATGCGTACCGATGCATCCGACCGATGCAATTCAGTAGTCTGATCGGGCAAGTGAAGGAAGCTTGCTGGGCTTGAACTGTGTGGGCGCTTAGAGTCAAAATAGGAGTCGATTGTATATTCGCGAGATGAGGGTGCCTTCGCTCGTCCCATGGCATGCACTCTTGATGCTAAGACAATTTCTGCTCCCGTGAGGCCCTCATGGACAATACAACGGATGGAAGCCGCACAAAAGGAAAGGTGATAGACGGCAATTCGCGCGCCTCGAGAACTGTTGAGAATCGCAGATGCGGCGACTCATTCCGAGCATCTACAAAGTGGTCTACAGTCCTGACAGTTGCACTGCCGTTGTTGCTGGCATTTATGTGATCGAAGAAGACTTCCAGCACAATATTGTTGGTTCATATACCACTTAACTCGACTATCACTTCTATCATAGACGCGACGTGGCGCCGGACAAAGAAGCTTGGTTTGGGAGAAACAACCCAGCTTTGTAGGAGCATAGAAGTATACTCGTGTAACTCGTGTAAGAGCATCCTTGTCTACCTGGCATGAGCGGTGCCGCGGTCGAGAGGGAGAAGACAAAAACCCGTTCCTGTTCAGCTGTATGCATCGAAGACAACTTGCGCCTAATTCGTGGGCTGACCCCTCTTGTCCCATCAGTAACAATGGTACCGCAACGTCCATTGTCGTTATGTGATTTCGATGGTAACTGTCTAACAACAATGATATTTAGAGTTGGGCGGAACAGCCGCAGTATCAAGATGTCCCGTCATGGCATTGGATCTCCCTCGCCAGCCCTATCTCTTCTGGCACCTCAGGACACGAACTCACAGAAGAGAATGTGTATCCACCCTTCCATCAGTTTCTGGGAAGTACTTGGTACGGTACAGAAGGATGGATACGCGAGTACAGTGAAGAAAATCGGGATCTTCCACTACGAGGAAGGTAAGTAATTGTATACACGTCCTTGGGAATAAAGTTAACTAGATCAAAAAGAATCATTGCAGTTACGGCATGCCGCATGATGGTATAGAAATTTCGGGTTTTTGCCGGTATTCTTAAGTTGACAACAGTGAGTATATGAGAATAAAGATCATTGATTGAAGATCTGTGTGGCATATATTGAATAAAGGAGTGGCTAGACCGTAAGGTGAAGTACATATGGGATGATAAGAAATATGTATTGTTGGAGGATTGAGCCCGCCGGACGCAATATCCATCCATGTGTATTGTTAATTTGATCCCGATAGCTCTTGGTCGGACCAGTCGGTACGAGTAGTTGTCTCAAGACAAGCTCACAAGCCTACTCTAGTACATTGATTGACAGACGACAGGAGTTACAGTTACAACAGCTGACTCGAATGAGTAAACACATGAAAACGGGTTGTTGCTTGCCTCATCTTCACGTTCAATGTGAATCTGTATCTAATTAGATAAGAGAATGCTTAGCCTGGAATTTCGGGTGGGAAATACTGTAACACTTCGGCATCATAATAACCCGTACGTAACGAGAATCGGGATTTGGATGTGGATGGAAGTAATCGTCTCCCGCACCGGAGAACCGACGGGATAGTTCAGTATTTCGTACACGGCGTACCGACGCTTTCGTTGATAAGCGGAAACAGTGCGGGAAGGCGCCGCACGAGAAGAGTAGTAATCACCGCTGCGGTTGTTGATCAGCAGCAAGTCGTATGAAAGCAACGTGCGAAAGAGAAAAAAATCGATGAGAAGAATCCGCGAATGGAGATAGGAGTTAGGTCAAGAATAGGACGAAGATCTCAGGCCACGTAAGATTCTGGAGGGTACGAGAGCGTGCTGTTGTGGAGCTGTAATTCAAAGCGAACAGACTCTTACTCCTTGCTCGGGGAAGATTTGCTCGAAGCTTTGGAGGGTGCTTGCTCATCAGTCGGACTGTCCGACTGCCCAGCATACACGAGGCGGAAATCCATGCGTAAATCGTTGTGGAGAACCACGGCGAAAGCAACCTGTACGCTCCGGTCGGACTACAGCACTGCACATCAGACATCTTACAAACCGTCTCCTACCTCTCACCCTTCCAGAATTTCTAAAGAACGCAACAGGGGCAGTTTTGTTATTTGAATGTGTTCACCTGAGCGTTATCACCAAATTTGTACTAAACTACAAAAGGCGATTTAAATACTATATAGAGTAAGAATCGGTTAAAGGGAAATAAATGTGTATGAACGTGCGCGAAATACAAAGTGGCTTGGATATCTTGTGACTCCCCGTGGCAAGAAAACGCTCAGATAAAGGGAGTGCTTGTCCTGTCAAAGCTCGGTTGTGTTTTCTGAGCGCTCGAACCTGACTGTGGTAGGGAACGACTTGAGTCTTGTGAACGGATATATGCGCATAACTGTTATGAATTTGCTTGCGCTAGCAAATTGAGCTCGCCTTGTGATTCGATCAGTCTTTCAACAACATGAAGTCAGGATGAATTCATACTGCATCATAGAACCTAATCCCAGTACTAGAGATAAAAGAGAGAGCATCTGCCATCTTGTAAAACATAGTTAAAGTTACTCCAAAGTGCCTGGCTCTCCTACAGCGCCGTCTCCAAATAGGAGCGCATGTAGTCAGTTCGAACAGACACGTTCGCAACGAATGCTAGGCTACTTTTCCAAAGAGGGTATGCGATAGCAAATGCGAAGAGGAAGATGTCTTGGATGCCTGGATCTCTATGGAGCAGAAGGTGGCACTTTGATGGCGTTGGCGAACTTAAGAATTAACCGACTCCAAATCTTTTCGACTTCTCAAGCAGAACTATAATCCATTTTTTGAGAGACGTAGAACTTGCTCGCATGAAAAGTCGAAAGAACTCGACATGGGGACAGACGAGATAAACAACATGTGTTCGGGAAATGCCTCAGTTAGACTCAATGGCAGAGAAGGGTAATTTCCTAAAGAGGCAGGTCAACATCTTATCTTAGTGGGCACGTTTGCCGAGCAGGCGCTCCATAACGCGACTAACGATATGATGTCCGGCAAAACAGGATTTGCGTGAACGTTCAATTCCATTTTGACGTTCAGCCGAAACAGACGAGAGATGCGTGCTGTTGTTCGTTCCTAGATGGATACCTTGTCGTATCAGGCAGTCGGACGATCGGACACGCTCGGTGGACCATGGACAATGAGGATACCCGCTGCGATACTCTCCATCACGCCGCAAGTTTCGTTCAATAGAGGATCTTTACCCGTATTGCTACGAGCGGTGGCCCCACCACATTGTTCGTGCTACGAAGAGGGTCTAGAAGATACCCCAGTCGCGGCATGGGCCCTATCGGAGGTCGGAAGAGATCGGTCTTCCCAGTGCCCAGGATGATAATTGAGTGGAACAGGCCGAGACTCGCCGCTAATGTATAAACTCACTCTCCATATCAACTTCTCGGCCCCACACCCTGCGTAAACTAAAACTCTGTAATTGACAATTCACTTATCAGTAAGTATACCTACCCTGCAGTCACGCAGCATGTTGCACCGAGGCAGTACAGGATAGTTGCTAACTTGCTATGCTCCACACCGCGACTTGTCGTTTGTTCGTCATCTAGAAGCAAAGAGCCTTTGGGATATCAATTTCACCTTTTCCCCGCAGAGTAGGAAGAACTAGTACTCTTGAAAGGACAACATTACGATTTAACTCCGCTCATTATCATCACCCCCAAGATTCCCTAAGCCTTAGACGTTCAGCACCCTGGCAGCGAGTTCCACAGATAACTCCAAGGTGCATGCGTTGAAGGACTGAGTTCACGACGAGCCATTCATTTGATGCCACTCGCTATATTGCGACTAAACAATACACTACGCACACTCCCATCCTTTCTTCGCACTCTGATACCAAGGAACAACCAGGGCTTTCTAGACGCGACGAGAGACAATGCAACCGGGTATCAGTTCAATGAATCAGTATACGGAGGAAGCCTAGCTTCGGAAAGTGGCACCCCACGCCAATCCGCACCGAAAATGTAGCTCCATACCAATATGGCTATTCTCGAGCTTGAGCTTAACGGCTGGAGAATTCATCGGATTCTGGACGCTTTTGTATTGCACTCCATAAGCGCTCGCCAACTCACTTCCTTTTCAACTGAACTTTGAGTGAACTCTGTACTAGCACAGGGGGATACAGCCACTACTGACGAGTTCTATCAGCTGTAGCATCATTGATCAAGTGCTTGTGATTGCAAACATCGTTCTATATCAGCGGGATTGCATCACTCTTCGGCTGTTGCCTCGTCTTATAGGTATCCAGATAAAGACAGGAGCAATTATGGGAAAGACTAGGGCATGCATAGCGGCGAAAGGAAAGTAGTGGGTGGGATAAACGAGAGTGGGTGGAAGCAAATTATTGTCTGTATTGCTTCATACTGAGTCCATCCAAGAGTTCAACCAGGTATTGTACCAAATGTACAAAAACGTATTGTAGCAAATTAAGTTCGGCCCAAAGTCTTTCGTGTGCCGAGTCGTAAAATATTAAGAGGACGAAAATCTGATAGCACCAACCAGGTACTGGTTCAGCACACTCAACCAGCAATGAGGGTCGTTCGTCGTTCAGAAAGAGAAACGACCGTAAACCCCAGCTGCACCGATTACTGCGCCGACAAGGCCAACCATCAAAGCAAGGGTGAATCCTCTCGGAATGGCGGGTAGAGTGGCACCGTTGAACGACGATAAAGATTGTGTCGATGCTTGGTCTCCGGAAAACGAACCACCAAGTCCTCCGCCAGTGAGATTCGCACCATTCGGCTACAAACATTTCGGGTACGTTAAACAACTATATCCCGATGATAGATAAATTACTTACTCCAATCGGCCGTGACATGTCAGTGAAGGAGCAACTGCTTGACTGACAGATGCATTTATCTCCAATGGGATCCCAGAACGGTGTTGAGCAGTTCGCCGGCACTGTTATTGGCATCAGTAATTCAATCCGAATGGTGTCTGGTTGGGATGCTTACGTCGGAAGCGCGGCGAGCCACTTGATGCCTGAGGAGGGTTGGGGTTATCCGGTGTGGGCGTTGTTGCGGGACATCCGTACTAATTTGGGCATTGCCCGGTATCAATGTCCATCATCGTCAATTTCGGCGTTATGAGACCGGACTTACACAGGTGTAGAATGGGAAGTCCGAAAATGCGCAATGATCTAACAGACCTTCCTCGTTCTGTGGTATGCCATTGCAGATCTTTTCTGACGGATCGACAGCTGGTGCTGTGCACTTCAGCGCCTGTACTGTATCGAGCTGTGAGACGGGAACTGGGTTGCGAACCCAAGCGAGTAACTGTTCATTTGAAACGATCCAAACTTTGAATGGAGTTAGCAACTGAAGACGGCTTCAAGGTGCATTCTCACCATTCTGCTGTTCTTGTGCCCAGTCCAGGAAGGCATTGATCATGTCAATCGTGGATTGTGAGACTTGTACACCTGGATATGTTTTCTTTACGAACAATGAGAAAATTGAGTAACAGGTGGAAACATCTATGGATCCCGCTCACCGCCAAGTGAATAGGATGCGTATAGAGACCAATGGGCTGGCGGTTTCCATTATCTGTTGTACTGCCATCAACATATTGAGCGCGTGGGAACATAGAATATATGCATACAATGAGCCGTAAATGTGTCTTTCATGTACGCAAGAGTAGCAGCTTATGCGGAACGGTTTAGTTAAAAAAAGAGAAAGAGAAAGACTTAACAATAACTTACCATCGTCAGGCTTGCTCTTTCCATTCGGATTATCCCTTGAATAGGATGTATGCTTAGGAGCAAAATAGCAGGATTTGAGCGCATAATACTTACAGCCAAGGATCCATGAGATGAGGTCCATTTACACCCAATTGATCAAAGAACGCATACATCGGAATCTCCCAGAATCCCGGAAGCTTCGGCTCACCCTTGCAGACACCACTGCTCGCGAGGCAGTTGTTCGCCATACCATTGTCAAGAGTATACGGCCAATAGGCATCAGTTCCAGATTCATTGACAGGAATTGAAGCAGCCGCGCTGGAGTCATATGTGAATCCGGTAGCAGCGAGATGTTTGAGCGTGTCGCCATTAAAGGACAAGAACGGAGCACGAAATCCGGTGATACGGCTCAGTGGGATACCAGCGAGAGCATTCAGAGCGATGAGGTTCCCATCGATTTCCTTCGCTGGTGGCGTACCGACATGGGTCATTCTACGAGATTTGTTAGTGACGGAGAAAATCAAAATGCAGGCGGAGGATACACACGTATGGTCCGCGATCTCATTCCCGGCGACAAACCAATCGGTCACGAGCGTGTAATTGGTGTAGTTCAGAGATGTGAAGTAGGTCATCTTGGGTGTGCAGCCGTTGGGATTTTTGCGATGGGCCAGGAACTGATTGACGGAATCCAAAGTGTAGCTTTGCACAGCGTCATCTGCGGAGTAGACCACAAACATGGGCACTTCAGACTATTGAACATTGAGGTGGTAGGTGCTAGGATAAGGAACGTTGCAGGCAAATAGCTGTGAGTCGGTGCTTACTGGGTTCAAGCCACCCGGCGGACTTGTGGAAGCACAATTGCAGTTCGGTAGCTTGCAGATATTGGGATCACAGCTGTATCCAGAGGCATCAGAACTTGTCGTCGGCCCACTGATACTGCCATCTTGAGCGACCGCAAGAAGAGGGAGTAGGAGTGAAAGAAGTGGCACAGAAAAATGCATTTCTCTTGAGCAGAAACTGGCCGAACGAAAATCCCGGCGGGCAGCGAGGTAACGAAAACAAAGGAAAGCCGGGAACGGAGTGCGCAACTAGAGAGGGGGAGGGGGGGGGGAATAAAATATATGGCAAGGCCGAAGCCAGGAGGAAAAATGAGGGTGGCGTTGCAGTAAGGAGAAAGTGAGGAGAGGAGACAGCAACAGATGTTTTCTGGCTCTGGGAGCACATGGTAAATTGCTTATGGAGACGGCTAACTTGCGCCGTCCGTTCCGCTCTCGTCCAGTCTTGATCCCAACCTAGCTAGCCTCATCGTTCTTCATATACGCAGACCACAGCGAGCTTAGGACGAGGAGAGAGGTGACGCACGGGAGAAGACAAGTGTGAATCATTGCTCTAATTATATGCAGCATCGCATTCCCACTTCGTCTTCCCATCCGTGCCAAGTGTCGCTTCTCAGCCTCCAAGCCGCATGCCATCATTGATTACGTACTCCATGTGATTACATCACTCAGCTCGACAATCGTCGGTGCCTACTTTTGGCAATGCTTCCGCTCCTGCACGAACCGGCCTGCTCCTGCTCAGTGCCAGGTCCTTTCTCTTCCGTCCACTCGCGTCTTTCGCGTCTGTAGTCAACGATGGCTGAGATGCAGGTCAAACGCAAGGTATGTTATCCTTTCTCGGCATATAAACCGTGTCATCAAATGATATTGTGCTCTAGATTGGCGTCTCTCCATGCGCAAGAATTTCCACCAACCTTCCTTCCAGGCCGTCCTCTCCCACAAAACCAACAAGGCCTCCATCTCCCTTCAAACGTGTTCCTGCGCAGGCTCCAGCATCTCATTCTCTTCAACCTAGACCTCGTGCAAAGGTTAGCAGCAGCGCGAACATCGCAGTGGGCAAAAAAACCGCCTCCACTCTGAGTCCTGCTCTCACTTCTGCATCCTCCTCACCCCGAGAACCTTCACCTGTTAGAAGATATGAGTCGCAGCCAGGAAGGCTGTCTCCCAAGCCAGATGCCATTAGAATGTCCCGCGCACGTTCGGCAGGATTGCCCGCAGCATCGGCGTCGACATCTCCACGGGTGGGGAACGTGCAAGCAGATTACGCAGCACTATCCGCTGCCACCTCCGACTCTGCATTGGCAAAGCCAAGTCCACCGCGTATCCGCCAAGCCAGTATCTCCTCTGTCTCACAGTTGTCATCTACCTCATCGCCTAACATGAATGGCATTTGTTCACCGCCTTTATCCGCCGTATCACATTCACACGATTCAGACGCACAATCAACTGTTTCGTCGCACCGTATCACTGCGAAGGTATCCAGTGTAGCGAAAGCCAAGCAACAAGCCCAACCCCAGCCCTTCCCGTCTTCTTCGCCGCTTCTCGCGCCCTCGCCTATTCCTGGTCCATCAACATCTGAAGACCCATTATCTCGTGGCCCACAACTGCGTCAACGTGTCTGCCGGACTGTCTCCATAGGCTCACTCTCTGCTCCCAGAGCCTCACAGGTATACCCTATTACGACAGCAAACCCTGCCGCCAATGCCCATCGATTTGCTACTGTCCGTAGCCCTTCAAGTTCGCACCGTCCATCGCACGTATTTACCTCTCCTCTACAGTCTGAGCACAGACCGCGGTTTGAAGACCCTGCATCGGTTCCCCCTCTTTCTCCTCCCACTTCAAACGTCTCGTTCTCTTCCTTATCCTCTGTTTCTCGATCATCCGGTTCTTCTGCTTATAATACCACGGCTCCGGGCTCACGTTCTAATGGCATTGGTACCTCAAAAGAGCCAACAAATCATAATGCAAGAAATGGGTTAAACGCGCCCGGCAAATCTCGCTCCACTTCTTTGGACATTAATGATGCGGATTTGGATCGTATACAGCCTGGCGATTCTCCCCAGATTGATACCGATGGGGCAGGTGAAGAATGCGCTACAAGAGCGGAGGCAAAGTCTCACAGAAAGGTGCATTTTCTTATATATTCTCCACAGGAATTTAGTCTCATGTGCCAAATTTGTCGTATTTGATAGATCGCCGACTTAGAAATCACCAATAAATCGCTACTTGCAATCAACAGTCAACTCGAGGCCAATAAGCACAAGCAAGCGAAGGAGATTCGAGAACTACGTCTAAAACTCCGAGAATCGCAATTGGCGCTGCCTCCTCGCGCGTATCGCGAGTTGAAGGCCGCGGGTGCTGTAGAGGAATTGGACAAAGAAGAGGATGAGCCCGAAGAACAGGAGGTGGATGGAGATGAAGATGTGAGAACGACCGCCGAAGCTATTAGACTGGGCAAGGACGACGAGCTGTTCGACCGTGTACGAATTATTATTGACGGCCTTCTGACGAGTGGTAGACAAGCGCTCGCGGTAAAGGTTGAGGACCTTGCACCGCCGAAGGGCGCTGCGAAGGTCTTACATGAGGTGGAAGCACGTACGTGGCGAGATGGGTTTCTAGACACTCGTTCAGGTACTGCAACTCCCGGGGCAGCGGATACCACTGAAGATATCTCTTTTGACGAGTCGTTCCTTAGTGTCGACTCCGGTGATGAAGGAGTATCAACTCAGAACGTCACCGATAGTTCATTTTTTAGTTATAATAACAATAGAAGCTCAGAGAGGGAAGTAGAAGACTTAGTTTCCTTTTCTACGAGCATTAGTTCATAATTTATTCCCCTGTCTCTTTGTGATTCACTCCCTACTGGCATGTCGTCGCTCACTCATTTTCCTTGTTCAATTCGCTATTCGTCTTCTATCGTATCGGATATTCATACCCCAATAGACTGCATATAACCACAATCACAGCATTATTGTACACTGCTTCGTCCACTTTTACCTTCCCTTTTTTCATCGCTTGTATGCCCATGCAGCGCACGCATTTAATGACTTAATGAGTATTTTTCACCTGCCTTTAGTAGATCGTATTTGAGGGCGGGACCTTTTTGTCTCAAATGACAATTGATTATACACTCATAGAGAAAGAATCTACATATTTGAGCGCAACGGCTCATTGTGGTATAGAAGAATAGAAGAATCTATATTCATTCATTCATCATCCGCGATACGTTGTGCCCTCTTAGCGAGCTATATGAAACATATGTCAAAATCTCACTTAGTAACATAGAGAAGAGATACGGATACGTACGGCAGCTGCAAGGTCCATTTGCCCACCAGCAGCACCTGGAATCCTCGCTCCTCCGCCTCCAGGGCGAGGTGGCATAGTTGGGACTCCAGAGACTGGCCGGGGAGCAGAAGGAATAGGCGGTTTACCCGGAACTTTCGGTTTATTGGCAATAGGCGGTGGTGCCGGCTTTGGCTTCGCTGCAACAGGAGGTGGCTTCGTCGCCAGTGAACTTGACGGACGTGAGCTCGCAGGACTCGATTCGTTGGATTCATCAGCAGTGGCAGTAGACGTGTTTTTCTTCCATGGAGCCGCTGATCCATTTGCGGGTAGCATACCAGGGAAGACTGCGACGGGCTTCGCATGAGCATCCGCCATAACTGATTTCAGTGGAGTCTTTGCTACAGCGGGTGCTGCTAGAGTAGCAGCAGCTGCCGGAGTCGGTGCAGGAGGTGGTCTACGACTAGCCGGCGGTGGAGGTGGATGTGCAGGCGCGGCTTTCGGTTTCGGAGGTACAAGCTCGAGATAATTACTCGGAGTCCAGCCCTCTTCACCGTCCTTCTTCACAAGCCACCAACCGTTATCATCCTTCTCGACAAGCTCCACGAGGTCACCCTTCTGCAAAGACATCTCACCCTCTTGGCCTTCAAATGCGAACTTGGACTTGTACATTTCCACATCCGGTTCGGCTGAGGGTGGAGGTGGTGGAGGTGCCGCTGGTCTACTAGGAGGTGCGGGCGGTGGAGGAGCTGTCGTTTTACCAGGAGGTGCAGGAGCTGGAGATGCCATCGTCTTACCAGGAGCCGGAGGAGGCTTAGGAATTGCAGAAACGCCGGACGCAGGAGGTGGGGGCGGTGGAGGAGGCACGCCGTTAGCTGCATGGATTGGCGCCTTTGGAGCTGGTACTGCTGCTGGTGTAGGTGCAGGAGGAGTTGGGCGGATCGATGGCGGAGGCGCTGCTGCTTTACCTGGCAGCGCTTGAGGTGCAGGTCTCGGCTTCGAAACCGGCTTCGGTTTCTAGTACGGAAATGATCAGCCAAAGCAGCTATGACGTGGACAGTTCACATACATCAGGTCCTCCCGCCCTGAGCAATTTACCCTGAGTTATTGGCCTCACCACACCCGGTTTGCGTTTCGCCGCAGGGCGAGACTGGCTTGTTGGCGGCTCACCGGACGGGACATGCACGGTATGACTCTTATAAACGTCATCTCGAGGAACGGTCTCATCTTTGACAAACTTGATCTGGGCTCGCTTTTCTTTCTTTTTGGCGTAATCGATACTGGAGTATGCTTCGTAAGTCCGCCTTCATCAACAAGAAGCTTACTATATGAACTCACATCGGACCAATGAGAACATTGATACTTGCGTTTGTTTGTTGCAACAGGTGAGTGGCTAGTTCGGTCTTGAAAGCACAGCTGAAAACAGGATCCCCTTCTTCTGAGATGTTGCAGTTCAGGGCCTGGGACAGGTTATGTCAGTAACAATACCTGAAAAATGCAATAGCGCATTCACGTACAACCCAGTCATCACGAAGATTGGACAGGGCAATGCTCTTGATTGTGATCAAGGGAATCTTACGCTCCAGGCTGGTAATGGTTTCTCCGTCCTTGGCAGTAGTGATCAAGATATAAACAGCCTTTCCCGTCTTGCCTTGCAGTTAGTAAAGTGATATCCACAGTGAAATCAGGGGACATACCACGACTAAGAAACGTGGACTCGGCTTGCTCGATCGGCCAAACTTGGAAACGAGGAGCTGGATACGACAGCTGAATGCAACCTTCTCGCCCGCTGTGTAGAAATATCTGTAAGCTTTAGTGTAACCACATAACTATTACAAGATACTTACAGGCGAGACCACAGACTTCATGCAGTTCCTCACCTAATGGACTCTTGCCGTTAAGGTCAAGGTAGTCTCCCATGAACCGTCGATAACTGAGAAGACTAAAACGCCTGCGTTCTTTTCTTCCAGCCAGAATCTGGTGGCCATAGTCCCGGATCTGGGCGTAGGCAATACTCTCCTTGTTGTTCTTCCAGAATCGCTGAATACGTGTGGCACATTCGTTCCTGTAGCGTTGGTAGTTCCTCCACGCACGCTGAATTCGAGCCGCCATGTTATGCCAGTACCGGTCTCGCATTGTTTCCAGAGCAAACAACTAAATGATCAACTGTCAACAAGAGAAGTCGTCGATGCCTGGATATTTCGTACCGTTTCCGGATTCTTAATGAATGCCTTCGTCACACCCATCTGCCATTCTTCCTTCGCAATACCAGTGTCAATTAAGATTCGTTCACAACCTGACTTAGAGTCACCAGTCCAAATGTAATCTCCAGCATACGACGTAGCTGGCGACAACAAATAGAACCGTTCGACGACCTTCTCAAACGTGTTACGATATGCGAAACCAGCGCGTCGGACACGAATGTTCTCCTGCAATCCAAGATATTTGATCTGATGCAAAACAGCTTTTGTATCGTACTCCGTCGAGCTTCGGTTCTGATTTGGCTTGATTGTTCGAATATACGATGGTTGGGCTCGCATTAGGTTTTCTACCAAGGCACCTGCCGATTGCTATACGGACAAGTTAGAAATGTGGATGCAGAAGACGGTCATATTGATCACCTTGATCCTGTCACCTGCAGTTGGAGGTCTCTTTTTGCTGTTCGGATCTGGTCGATCAGGGAACAATCCCTGTAAGAATTTGTTGCTACTGGAAGCAACGAGGTCCAGAAGATCTTTCACGAGAGTGTCCTTGTTCTTGTCCGTCATGCCGGGAATATTGTACATCACGTCACCCGCATAGTGCTTGACCAAAAACTGAGCTCCGCGTGGCTCGAAATGGGGATTCGAAGAAAGCGCAGAAAGTCGCTGGATGAAACTGTTATCTGCAGCTGTTGGGTCGGCGTGAGCAGTTGCACAAGCATCGTTTAGCGCGGCGAAGATTCCTGGAGGTCGTCTTTCTTCAATGAGGTCGCATACGATTTTGTTGTTAAAGTAGTTGATGGGCGTCCATTTAATTTGTTCACGGACATATTCCTCCTGCTCTGTTTTCAGAGTGAGTTCGATGAAGATCTGTTGCAGCTTCTCGTTGACATAGTTTATACATAGTTGCTCAAAGGAGTTGTCCTAGTGAGTCAAATGTCAGTGTATCACAGTAAGGCCCATTAGCATGGACTGACTTCAAATATCTCAAAACCGAAAATGTCCTTGATATGACGGATGTCAGAAAACGCTTTCGAATATTAGACGTGACTCACAAGAATACCAATCAACTGGGCAGTCGCCGAACGAGGCTTCATTGAGACGTTTATACGGGAAACGATCCACTCGAACAAGTTGTTATAAATTGCCTTAGCTAAAGCATCTCGACCGGAATTCGCCTGAGCTGGGTTCAACGGAACGTCATAGACCGATCCTCTTCGACCACCTCTCTGTGTTTCCACGATCTTCGATGTTAGAACCTTTTCAACCATTGCAGAATCAACCTCCATCAGATAAGCGACAAACTCTGTCACGCTTGAGTCCGCAATTTGCGAGTTCCCGTCGTCTTTTTCTGTAAACTGCACGTTTCCCAGCCAAAGGACGGTAGCCAACATGCGGAATATCTCAGACTGTTCGTGTTGACTCAGGCCGATGACTTGCATTGCTCTCTGCAATTGTTATTCTCAGTAATTTTGTTTTTAAATGAGGGGATAGATTGTAACACACAATTGTATCGCTGAAGTCCTTGACATCGTCCATATCCTGGACATCGAGACACCCACTTCGGCTTGTGTAGGCGTACGACTCCGGTCCCTGGATCCCGAAACTCTCTAGAAAAATGTTAATTCTGCAACCGACCTATATTAAGGTTAAATTTCTAACCTCGTTGCTCTGGTGAAGCGGCTTTGGTAAACTGGTAGAAAATGTGGAAGTCTCTCTCATTGTCAATTTGACCGACGACACGGCCCTTTTCCAACAGGTAGTTCGTGATTTGAGCACCAATGGGCTCACCGCGTTCGTTGAACATGATTTCAAGGTATTTCCCCTGGCTTCCTATCAGTGAAATTTTCGATGGGGGATGTACGACAACTTACGTGTCGACTCGAGTTGTTATTACGGAGCGTCTTGGCACACCCGAAGCTCTCTAAGAGAGGGTTGGTTGCTAACACCATGTCCTTAATTTCTTGGATGCTACTGTCCGCCCCTCCTGATACTGCAGCGATATACTGCATAATCCGCTTTGCTGCTTCTGTCTTGCCTGCTCCGGACTCTCCTGAGATAATAACGCACTGATTCTCATGGTAGGCGTTCATGTTGTAATAGGCAGATTCAGCAATGCCGTACACGTGTGGTGGCACTTCGAGTCTGTTCTTCCCCTTGTAGCTCTGGAGGATAGTGTCGGTATAGATTCCCAGATCTGTAGGCCCGAGTCATTGCAGCAACTTCCAAAGAGCATATATGCAACGTACCTTTGAAAGGGTTTACAGATATCAAGACGGAGCCAATATATGTGTAGATATCGCCGTTCTTCCACCTCTTTTCCAGGTTTTCATTCACGGCTTCATTGGTGATCTTCGTGAGCAGAGTCATATCGGACACGCCGACTTGCTTCTTCTTGAACCCTTCTCTCCAGTCCGCCTGAGGATGCATTATAGTACCTTCGCCAGGCAGTGTGATCTGGCTTGCGTACCTTAACGAACTTTGCTTTGGTGCCTCCTCCTCCCGCTGCCTTCTTCGGAGCGGCGGCTGCGCCCTTCTTTCCGGCCTTCTTCGAGGGTGCCTATATTTGAGAATGTGTAAATGCATTTGTCGTATTGAAGCCCGCGATCGACCTACCATGGCCGCTCTTTGATTCCTCTTCGGCTACAGTGAACGAATCTCTCGTTTGTCAATGAGGTAGAAATCGGATGGCTAATGGGTAAGGGTGTTGAGGCAAGATACAATTGGAGAAGCAGAGTTGCAACCGCGCGCAGCTGCGTGTCTATGTGGCTGTGCTGTCGTCATCGCTTTCTCAAACTACGGAAAGAAATGATTTTGTCCTTTCTTTGATTCGCACTGTTTGTACAATTCATTTTTTTTTCTTATGCTAATACATTGACTCCAGAGTCCATCAACCATTTCAAAGCCTCCGCAGTTGGACGGAGAATAGCTTCCGTTGTTTCCTGTCTTCCAGCTGACCTGACAACATTTGCAAGCGCATCGACCAGATGATATTGGACCGCCTCGGCTGCGAGTTTACTTCGAAGCGAGTTGTCGGATAAATTCATGCAAATATTTCTGAAGCAAACAACTCCCCTATGGACGAGACCAGGATTAGGATGCGATTCCCCACTATCATGCTCTTCCTCGTCTTGCTCGGGATAGATTAACTGCTTTAGAACAGGGAAAACACGGTGATGCTCGAACTCGAGTAGCATCACCAGTTTACAAGCTGTTGGTGAGCTCGTCAGCACGGCGAGTGCTCCAGATGCAGCTAATCTTGTTGGCTCGTCGTCAACATCCGCAAGAGCAATCAAAATATGTAACCGGGATTTCGATTGGTTGAGGGAGCCCGAGGACTCAGGCGAGCCATCTCCATCGCCAGAAAACCTATTGAAGGCCATTTCGCTCCCCGACACAAGGTTACAAATCAGTTCCGTGGCGGCACGTCTCACTAATCGGTGTTCCTCCAACATCAGGAACTCCAACTTGCTGAAAACACCTTCAGCCTGAGCAATCCGATTCGCTAGTTCGGGGCCAGCTGACGCAAGGTTCGTGAGAGCCATAATCGCTTCAAATCTCTGTAACAGAGTCGACGAGGAATGCAGAAGCAGGCACGAGAATGGCTTTATCGCCTCGATGGAGTTGTTTTCATTTGGTCCGAAAACTTGCATGGGGGAAGCAGTGATGGCGAGTTTCGCTAGTGCTTGTATAGATAGCAAGTCGGAAAATTCCATGTTCGCTTTCGCCAATGTGCTTGCAGACTGTGCATTGGGCGCCTGCTGCGAGGCGCGTATGATAGTCATTAAGACTTTTGCACTACCCGACTGCAGTATCCGCCCTCTATTGTCTTTATCCGCTGTAAGACCCAAGAATGCTCTTCCGACCATCGCCATCGTACTCGCACTTTCCGATGCTCGGGAGATAGCAACTAGGAGGTCGGACGCACCACAAGCGACCAGATGCTTCCCTCTCTGTCTAACATGCTCGTCGTCATCAAGTTTCGCCTCTAAAGCAGCGAGATTTTTCGAGCCAGCAGATTTGGATTGAGCCATTTGCTTCAACCGTTCAATCTGAGCCTGCTCCTCTGTTAAGCGCGGACGATACGAGCAGAGGTTTGCAATCAAAGCAGCCAACCCGAATGGCAATGTTCCAAAGTCTTCCGCTGAAGACCTTTTCCGCTGCAAAGAACGGAAGGAGATAATCTTGTTAATTAGTCCCTCGTCTTCTACAATTTGTTCCTTTATGGAAGGCTTGGTGCTGAGATACACCAAGGATTCTACCACGTCCACCATATCTCGAGTATTACTTTCTGTGCCCATGATAATATCGCGCATAGATTTATACAAGTCGTCCGTCTTCAGCTCTGCTTCACTGGTTTCAGCCGTGATTCCACCAACATCCACACCTTCCGTGTCACGTCCTTGTGAGGACTTCAAAACAGCCAGAGATACAGTAGCTTTCAGCTTTACGTCCGTCGTATGACGAAATGTGGATTCCAGCCAGGCAGAACAACGAGGTGATAAGGACGATCGGCAAGGCTTGTAGCCACAAGCCGATGATAATACATTGGCAACAACAGATGAAATGGCTGTAGCTGAAGGGAAGAGATCTAATGAATCCACCATCGAGTCTTGAAACCCGTCGCGGATAAATATTGCTGAGGCTACGCGCCAGTCAACGGCAAAGAGCGCAGCGACGAACGAAAGAACTTCGACCAGAGGTTGCTCTTCTACTTCTGCAAGTCTACCCTCCACGCTCGGCAGGAACAAATTGAGTATCGTATTTGTTCCAAATTCATCCTCAGTGGTTGACACTTGAGGCGATTGCCTGTGACGTTCACATATTGACGACAGAACCAGGAAGGCCTTTGCCCGCGTTGAAGATGCAGTGGTAGGTGTAAACAAGCACGTTAGACGTGAATAGTCATCAGCGAGAATGAGATCCTTGTTGGTTACTTTCTTCAATAGATCGTCAAGAAACCCCTCGTCATTAGACTGCATAAACTTGATAAAGGTTGGATTTGTAGAGCTTGCAGATTCCTGAATTGGATCTTTGAAAGAAGAGTTACGCGACGCAGGCAAACCCATGGAGTGGCATTACGTAATACTGAGGCAGGATACGTTTATTGAAATTTATTCTACTGTAATTTCTACTAGACGTTCGTCTTATTATATACAAAAGAAACTTGAGCAACATCATAGATCTCCAGAATCCATACCAGATTTTTGTGACACGTCCTCTGGCATGGGTGTGGGGGTACTTGAACCTGCCTTTCGTTTTTTGTTCTTGGTCCTTATTATCGGGACAGCGTTGGCATCAGGGTCATCGTGTCTGGTATGTATATTGAGAACGGGAATATCATGCAATTGGAGGAATACGCACATTCGAATAGTATGCAGGATATAACCACCAGACCCTGTGGCCGTCATTACAGGGTGAGTACGACCTGGGAGAACCTGTAGACGCACGTTAGATAGATTATGCATGCACAAAACTGTAATACTAGCCTGGTATTGACGAAGCCAGCCTTCTGTTATCGATGGGCTGAGATACTCGGGAAGTGGCTTCATTTGTGCCTGCACTTCGGACAATACCTGTGACCGAAAGTGAATTCTGATACAGCGACAATTTACAAGAGGTTAGGACATTACCTGGATATGTGGGCTGTGAACCACAATAGATGCGGAACCAGCTAGGTAGGGACATAGCTTTTCCACGATAGAGAAAGGTTCATATTCACTTGCAATGAGAAGCCTACCATAATTATTATCAGTCGACAAATGACGGAAGGAAGAAGTATGAAAGGCCATACCCATCGAATTCACCTGAGAATAGTTCATTCCTGGTGTTGTAAAGATTTCCGACAACTTTCTTCCTCTTGTTCAGACGACTTTTTTGTCGTTCTGATCTGTAGACTCCCGTTTCTGGTTCTGATGGCGGAACGACTGTGGACGCATGAGACTCGATTTCTGAGGGTGCTATATCATCGCACCTACTGGGTTTATACTCTTCATCGGCTGTTGCCCAATTGAGCGACGAAAGCGTCGAGTTAACCATATCTTCATCGAAGTTCATGTGTGTCATAATTGGGTATGCTGGCGGTGATTCAGTATCACAAATTGTGAGAATCTTTCCTTCGCCTGTTCAAAATCAGCGAAGAGAATAGAAAGCAATTTGAAACGTCGAACCTCCTAATCGCTCTAGCACTGCAGACACCAACAAACCAGACGCCTCATCTACAACCAGATACCTGCCACTAGGTCTAACGCCTGCGTAGTTCAGCATTTGTGCGAGCGTATCAGGTCGGATCTCCCTAATGCGGCTCCTATCTTTATTGAACCAATAGTCACAGACATTGTGCAATGTCGGTTCAATCGTTGTGAAGGTCTTGGCAAACCTAATGAATGCTTGAGAACGGTTCACTGGTACTTAAGGGGGGAAATTGCATACTTTGCCTCCTTCCGCTTCTTGTACTTTTCCTTGCTAAATTCTGTCTTGAGAGTATAGCTTGCATGTTGTTCAATTTGCCGCTTGATTATTTCCTACTAGTCTTTTCAATCGCTGTCGCGTCTAACGATGTTAGAAGAAAAGGCATACTGATGCATGCACGCCCGATTTTTTCAAGGCTTCAATCTCCAAAGAGGTCAAAGGCTGGACGACGTTCCCATCGTTAATGTACTCATTCGTGGCGTCCGTATCCTCTAAAAGAAACAAGAAACCGTCATGCATGGGCACTAGCGAATAAAGACGCGACACTTACCAAGTTCATTCATGGATTTCGGAGGAAGGATTTTTAACTTCTTGTCGATTATTTCATATGACAAGCCATAGGGTTGTCCCATGAGTGCACTCGAGTTGAAGGACCCATACTTTCCGAAAGAAGTTGTCCTTGAAGGGTGCCTGGTAAGCTACACTTTCATGAAACAGGTTGACAAACAAAGACTAACGAATTCTTTCCGAGCTTTACGCTTTTGTATTCACCACTAGGTAGAAGGAAAAGGACAGAATGGCCTTCTCGAATAAATGTTCTCGAGGGTCCAGCGCCAGCCGTTTCCGTGTTGAGCTCAGTGTCCATGGTACACAGAACAGGATAAATTTTGGGCAACGGCATGGCCAAACCAAATGAACCGGACGGCACGCCTTCCATATATGGAATCGGTGCATCCATGATCCATCGGCAAGGCCGACGCGAACAGTATAAATCGATCTTCGACTTAGCAACGCGTCTAACACACCTCATCCTAGACCGCCCACCTGCACGCCCTAATCAGCATCTACAATGGATGAGGAGTACGATGTATATTACCTTTGTCTTCTCCAGCTCTTCTTGCAGCTGAACGACTCCATCTCTAGGTCATCGTCTTAGGAACAGGTCTCACGGAATGCATCCTCTCGGGTCTGCTGTCAGTAGAGGGCAAGAAGGTTCTACACATGGACAGAAATGACTATTATGGCGGAGAAAGCGCCAGTCTGAACCTTACGCAGGTTAGTCCGATAGCTGAATGTGTCTTGCGAACTGTTTATTCATATGCGACTTCACGTTCAGCTATACAGGAAGTTTAGACCGGGCCAAGAACCACCGGCTGCGTTGGGTCGCGATCGAGACTATGCCATAGATCTTATTCCGAAGTTTATCATTGCATCTGGCGAGCTGACAAAAATACTCGTCCATACGGATGTGACTCGTTACCTTGAGTTCAAGCAGATCGCAGGAAGCTTCGTCTACCGTGATGGGAGGATCTCAAAGGTCCCAAGCACAGAGATGGAGGCTGTAAGAAGCCCTTTAATGGGTTTGTTCGAAAAGAGGCGTGCAAAGAAGTTCTTTGAGTTCCTGCAGAACTGGAAGGATGAAGACCCTGCTACCCATCAAGGTATACTTTCTTCCTGCGGTTTACTTGCACACATTCAATCCAATCTCTTGCAGGTGTCAACTTGGACAGAGACAGCATGAAATCTGTCTATGAGAAATTTGGACTCGAGCCGGGTACCCAAGACTTCATCGGACACGCCATGGCGCTGTACTTGGATGACGAGTCAGTCCCGTTACGTTGACACGAAGATTGCATCTGACTTTATTTCTGTACAGCTATATTAACAAGCCGGCCCGTCCAACTTACGATCGCATAATTCTTTACACTTCCTCTATGGCACGCTACGGGAAATCTCCATACATCTACCCATTATACGGTCTAGGAGAATTGCCCCAGTCGTTCGCTCGGCTCAGTGCCATTTACGGAGGCACGTACATGCTAGACAAGCCTATCGACGAAATTGTCACAGATGCGGATGGAAAGTTCGTTGGTGCTAGGAGCGGTGAAGAGACCGTCAAGGCAAAGCAGGTAATTGGGGACCCGAGCTATTTCGGCGCTGGAGAGACCAAAGAAGGTGGCAAGATGCGTGTGGTTGAAGAAGGGAAAGTCGTGCGGGCCATCTGCTTCCTGAAACATCCTATTCCTGGTACAGACGACTCAGATAGCGTGCAAATCATCATTCCACAGAACCAGGTTCACAGAAGGAATGGTGAGATGACTTCATCCGATTTGCGAGATTAACCACTCAAGCTTTGTTGTGCAGATATCTATATTGCTATGGTTTCTTCGACGCATAATGTCTGCGCAAAGGACATCTATGTAGCTATTGTCAGTACGATAGTCGAGACTGACAAACCGGAGCTCGAAATCCGCCCCGGACTTGACTTGCTTGGACCTATTCATGACAAGTAAGTATCCAGCCTCCCTTGCGACTCAATGTACTAAGCCATTCCTTAGGTTCGTCTCTATAACACCCTTGTATACCCCTACTACGACTGGTACCGATGACAACATTTTCATTACCAAGTCTTATGACGCGACGTCTCACTTTGAGACTGTCGTCGATGACGTCCGTGATGTCTGGAAGAGGGTCATTGGCTCCGACCTTGTGCTGAAGAAGCGCGAGGTCGAGGTTGAGCAGTGAAGACTCATCCTTTAGCATTACTGTTGCGCACTTTATACATCTTCCGTGAACGCATTCTTTTCAGAAACCAGATAGCAAAGAAAAAATAATCTTGTACTTTTGTGGATAGATAGTCGAGGCGCAATAAATGAAGTCTTCTTGACTACGTTGGGTTCTACAATCGTGTATGCGTGACATGAAATTACACAATGTGTTCTAGAAGAATGCGTTCATGTCGAACTCCGGAACTGATACATTTTGTTTTGCGGTTTTCATCAGCATTCCCAGACCCGACTTTCGTGATGGCGAGGTTGGGTTTGCCGTCTTAACATCTGCTCCTGTCGTATTTGAAACAACCGGTTCCGGAGAAGTCGTGCGCGTAGATGGGTCGGAAGGCACTTCCATATCGATCAAGACGGACGAGCGACGTGTGTGTTTTGGAAATGCGAAGATGGACGGGCGAGCACTACTCGGCAATGGACCAATGGCATCCACCTCACCGTTAATCTGCAATGATCGATGCGACTTGCCAGTGGGCCGATCAAATGACCACGACCTAACGAGGTCCAGAGCAAGAGCATGACAACCTGGTCATAGTTGATGAATACTTAATTAACAATACATTGTTGAGACATACCCATTCGACAAAATACGCGAGCCGTTTGCAAGACGAAATTGAATTCAGTTTGACTAGAAATCTCCTCAGTACCCTTTGCGGTCTGCAAGGTCTTTAACCGCAGTTGTGAGAATAATAGAGCAAGACTGGGATCATCGTAATTTGGGTCTCCAATTTCTTTGATGGGAATGTCTAGTGACTTCGAGATATCTGCCAGCGGCGACTAGTAGATCTTAATTAGTCCATCAAAAGACATTTCAAAATGCTGCGCGACTCTTACCACCAGTATACGAACGGCGAGGTCACGTCTGTTAAGTAACCAAAATGCCCAGCTCCCGAGCCACCGATTTCCCTTCTCAAATGCAAGGGGAACGACGACGGACGTCAATATGCTTTTGAGAATGGGTCTGTCACCCTCAGGCTCAACGACACGTGCTATCGCAATTGCCAACTGAAAGTCATTCAGGTGTTTCACGCAAACATTGACCGCGTCTTTAAGACCGCCTCCTAGGACAAAGAACGCTGCAGCGTATTCGTAGCGTTGTTTTCCTAACAGTGCGTAAGCATTTTTCAGCGCAGCGGTACGCCATCGCGGTAGACTGAAGTCATTGGACAGGAACTTCATCATCACAGGCTGTTCTTTGTGCCCAGCCGCTTGCTTCCATAAGCCGTGGACCAGTCGAACCTTCCCAAGAGCAAAATAGAATAGCGAACAAGTCGTTGGATCTCGAGCATTGCCAGACATATAGTGGTTGCGAGCAATCTCCTCAAGTTGGGCTTTCTAGCAGAAAGTTAGACGCATGAGAAAAGAAGGCAAAAAAGGCAAAAAAGGGATCGTAGTTACCATAGAATCGACCGATGTCAGCCATATGAATATACCAAGAGCTCTGGCATCAGTCCATTTCATTTTCCCATGACAGGCCGATACCGAAGCTGACAGCAAAATTTCCTGACTCTCGCTATGGAATGCCCAGACCATATCACGAAAACGGAGTCGCTCACGAGCATGCGTCTGTCTGGAGGAAGAAGAGAGAGGGAATGAGCCAGCCGAGGCTGGAGTGCCGGGGGGTTTCGGTGAGGAGAGTCTCGCGTTCAGGATGAAGAATGATCGCATAGATATCAGGTACCGCAGCCCATTGGCATCTAGTGATCTTTTTTGTTCCTCGATCTAACGAATCCAAATCAACACAAGTCGGTAAAACGAGACGAAAAGGATGACTGACTTCCAACCTCGTCTGTACTAAAACAATGAGATGAGCATGTTCATTGGGTGTCAGATGCTCTAAAGGCTCTGTTTCGAGTTCTTTGATAAGACTCTGTACAAGTGATCGAGAGAACCTTCCGTCTTCTTCTCTGCTGAACAGTTAGCTAGAAAATGCAAGGTCTCCTAATCAACTTACTCCTCATGGATACTTCCCGGCGAGTTTAAGAAGCTCGAATACCGCGACCTGGCAACGATTTTACTCTTTATGATAGACTTTAAGGCGGTATTCTGAGCACTGGGTGAACTGCCCTTACCGAACGCGATACCTCATCAGCTTCGAGAAAGTGTTCAATTGGTGAATTCTTCCATGTTCTGTCGGAGACGGGCTTCTGGAGATAATAGTACAAGTTCTCAATAATTTCCTTCACCAGCTCAATTTTCCCTAATATACTTGTATTAGCAAGTCGAAAAGCATAATCACGCTTACATACCCCACAGTAAGCACTGTAGAATCATCTGAGGGTGATAATCTGGCAGCGGACCATTAAGCCAAGCGACGTGTTCAAACAGCCCTACAGGGTTGTCTTGTTTTGTATCTTGAGCTTTACACTGGCTATATTGCAGCATGTGATGTCCCGCTCCAATGAGCAGCGTTCCACCAGCCAACCAAATCGAGTCTGTGATATTGTGAGTTAACATACTACTACTGCGTCAATATATAGGTAAACAGAGATATAATTGAGAAAACGAACTGTCCAATCTCGATACGACCAAGCATTCCCCAAGCAGGTGTTTCCTCAAAGTATGTCATTCGTTGCTGGCAGAGCAGAACCACGCGTTGAGAGAAACCGACAGCAAGGATGGATTGGAAGTCAGGAGTTGATGTCCAATCCAAATCATTGATTGGCTCGTCCCTTAGAGTTCAGGATTCATTGCGGAGAACATAATTAAAAGACAAGATGCATACTCGTAGATGCATTTAAATTCCAGACCCGAGGCGAATTCCGATTCCTTCGAGTCCCATATACTCAGTTCGTCTCCCGTCGAACCCGGATATACTATACACTGGTCACATATAGTATCGCATAAGTGAGGAATTCGAACATACCAAGTGCGGTCTTTTTTGCCGAACTGCATCTTGCTAGCCGATATCCAGCCTTTCCTGTCCTCACACGTCCAGTACATTTCCAGTTAATCTGACCGTTGTCGTCGGCAAAAGACCAAAATGCTAGCTCGCCACCATCGGAAATACTCAGGAGGATGTCATGTTCTCGTCCATTTGTAGGAGCGTTTGCGTTACTCCATGCCATGGGATCCACAGGTATGACAAGTGAGAGTGTGTCGGATGTGGGAAGATGAGTTGGAGGCAAAGACCTGAGTTCAAACGATCGATTACGTCCCTGGTCAACAGGAATTATACGAATCTGGATAATTTGATACGACGGAGTTATACCAATGATACTATTGGATGACCCGGACGGAAGACAGAATAGTGAGGTTAGCCGTTCCACGGATACAGTACTTGTGTACGTTGGAGCAGAACATTGGTGTACTGTGAGCGTTGGGTCTTCACCTATTTCCGAGTACAAAGCAATACGCCTTCCGCGGTCCAACACCGTCACAAGGTCTGCATTTGGCCACCGACCGAGACACTTCATGTCGGAGATCTTAGAGTGAAGATTCCATGCCTCAACAAAATGTTCCCGTATGATGGCAAAACCGAGTCCCTCTGGAGTTCGGACAAACCGAAGAATTTTAGACGTCTCGCTCTCATTGAAGTCGGGGCCTTGAGAAAGGAGAACCATGCCCCTTTTCCCATCCTCAAAGAAATGGAGTGGGTCCATTTCGTATGTCCGCAACGGAGGTGAAGTGACAAAAATGACAGAAGAGTGATTAGGAGTCTTGAGAATATGAAGGTGGCGTGGGTATGAAAACAACGTATCGGGTGGCGACTGAAGTAAGGTGAACTGCTTTAGAAGAGTTGGAGGTCGACTATCGATGTTCTGTAGAATCATGTCAATCAGCATCGAGTAGACATCTGAAAGCCAGCACTCACTGCAACTGCGCGAACAACCAGCGAGTTATCTGGGAAAACTCGGACGAAGAAGTCCCAGCCTTCACTGCTCAAGTCCTTCATTCGCCTGTAGAGGGTCTCGTCCTCCGGGCCATGCGCTGCAGAAACAATAGCTTGGAAGGAATTATCCAGCGAGTCCTTATGTAGCCAGAATATATTCGAGTCGATAATTTTGCCATTAGTCCCACGCGGCACATCAGAATGAAGGTCAAGAGTTGCATGGAGTTGAAGATAATGTGGTGTATCCAATACAGGCAGAAAAACGCGGAGCGTAGCATCCGTCGTTATAGTATACAGGATGAGGTCGTCTCTTTCACAAACAATAAGTCGATTAGTGAGTATTCATCGATTGGGAATTACCGCATGTTTACCTGCTAGACTTCTCAGAAAATCTCCAAATAAAGTCTTTTACTGGCCGAGGGTGTCGAATGGACTGTAGCAAGCTACCAGACGCTGTGGAATAGATGCGAACTACGTTGTCATCCTACAAGCTCTGTCAGTTGCTGAATATCAATGTATAATTCATAATTCACAGTGCTAATGGTGGCAAGATGCATTAATGACGGTGAGAATCGAACTGTCGAGTACGGCAAGGTACTAAACTATAATCAGCAAGAATATTGTAACTTTGAACCTTCAGACATACGGAATAGACCATTTTATAGTCCAAACTGGCAACCCGGCCTCAAGATTCAACGTGTAGACCGATAACCCAGTAGCAGTACCCACACCAAGAAGACCTTCCGGAGAAACGGGTTGAGCACTGGCAGAGAGAATGGAAGCAGATCACTGACCAGACTTGCAGTCTATAGCTGTCACCAATTGCCTATCGACTGATATAAGAGAAGAAAATACTCTCCAAGTATCCTTCTGGACATCAGAAAGCGCCCATACAGCGATGTTTGGGCCCATCGAAGCTGCAATCTGTCATAGTAACTAAGTCAGTCTATCAAATCGGCGATGGAATAGCCTACCAGCTTCATGCTTGGCTCGATTGAAACGCGTCTGATATGCTCATTTGTATCTCGAGAACTAGGGAAAACCTCTCTGAACGTGAGTGCTCTCTTAAAGACAAAGGTGCGTGCATCCAACAAAACTACGCAGTCAGCGAATGCATATGCCTGCGAATATGCTCAGTCGAGGATTCGTACGTCCGGACTGCGACGTACGAGTAGAATCTCACTCGGAAGAGTGAGGATATGGACATCGGAAGAGGGACAGCCGACGAATGCGTGGACTAGCTCCAGCATTAATACTGAGGCGACCGAGCTGCGTCGGGACCAGCGAGGCTTACTCGGTGGTGTAGAAGTGATATTTCGCTACTGAAACGCGCTTTCGGCAGTTGACGCGTATTGCACGTGCCCCACCTACGTCAGCACACACTTCTACCGCGTTCCCTTATTTCACCTCTACTGGCGCGGAGCACTGCGGGAATACTAACTCTCCCTGCATCCCACATGCGCCTCTTTACAATCCTTCTCGCGCTAGTCAGCACAGCAGCGTCCTTTGCCTCCCAAGCACCGTTTGTTACTAACCCTTCGACCCAATCCACCACTCTCATTGACGCACTCTCGGCTGATCCCGACTATACCTCTCTACTTAAGCTTCTCCAACGTGCTCTACTCGTCCCGACACTTAATAAACTAAACGGAAGCACCCTTTTCGCACCAACCAATGATGCCATTGAAAAGCATCCGTCTTGGTCAGAGGCCTTGACGATCGCAGATGACGTTTACTCTGCTCGAGATAATGTTCAGCAGAAACTCCGACAGGATCTACTGTATCACCTCTTGAATTATTCTATACAAGTCCTTCCCGAAGACGATAACCCACAAGTACACAAGACGCTGCATTTCCCTCGCAAGGAGAGCGAACCACCGTCTCGTGAACCTCCTCCGAATCCACCCTGGTTACCTGTACCCGGCGGGACTCTTGGTGGTGAACCGCAGCGCCTTCGCGTATATTCCGACCAAGGAAAGGTCCTGGTTGGCACGGACGCATTTGGAGAAGGAGGATCTAAAGTAGTCAAGGGCGAGGTTGATGCAGGAAATGGAATGTTATTCGGCATTGATTCCGTGCTACAAGTCCCTCCAGATCTCGGTATGAGCATATATAATTATCTCCCTTCGGACTTATCTCATCATATATTGCATAGCATCTGTGGCATCTCAACAACATTCTCTCTCGTATTTTAACAAGATCATTAACCCGGATATCATTTCTTTACTTAATGCGACCTCAAAATTAACATTATTCCTGCCAGTCGATAGTGCATGGGATGCACTACCAGACATAGAGCGCAAGTATTTAGAGAGCAAATTTGCTACCGATGATATTCTACAAATCCTTAATATGCATGCGGTTGTCACCGAGGGCGTTCACTGGTCAGACTCGTTCAAGCCCTCTTCTAGGCGTGAGTATGTTCGTTGTGCTTTTACCGACTTTTCTAACCATATCAATCCATTAGTGACAACAATTTCTGGATCCACTCTCGAGATTATTACTTCTCCCGAGTCCGGAAAAACTCTTATTTCTTCGGCTGAGCTCCTTGAGCCGGACATTTACGCGTCAAACGGTGTCTTGCACACCGTTTCTTCCCTGCTAATTCCTCCAGGAGCATTCAACATTACACCCGAGAAGTACCTATTGACTCTGAACTGCACGACCTTCGTCTCCAAGCTGCACTCCGTGGACCTTACCCCGTTAATTAATGATACCTCGGTGCAATATACGATCCTTGCACCTAGCGACGATGTCCTCGCCCTCTCCGGTGATGACGACCTTCCAGACGAGGGAAGTGACGAGCTGAAGCGAACTTTGAGCTATCATTTTCTCCCGGGAAAGTGGACTCCAAAGAAACTTAAAGATGGAGCACTGGTCGAGACCGCGCTAGAAGAAGTCGGATTGGACGGCGGCCGCCAGGTTCTCGATATTACTATCAGTGGTAACAACGACAAGCGCGATAAAGCAAGTGGTATTCGATTCGGGGGAGCATCTGTTATAGGAGAATATCGTGTGTATAGTTACCTTTTGTTTTCCGAGTCCTTACTGGTAGCTGATGGTATCTACAGTTGAAATCGAAAACACCGTGATCTACCTCATTTCACGTCCGTTGGCACCTCCCGCCGATGCCTTAACTACTGCGCTTCCATCTCTGGAATTATCTCAGTACCTAGCAGCAGTGTTTTCGACCTCACTTGCGGATCGACTCAAGACAACACCACGTACCACCTTCATGATTCCCGTCAACGACGGTTTCAAACGACTTGGCACACTTGTTAGTAGATACCTACTTTCGGCTTCCTCAAAAGCAGATTTGGAGAATGTTATCCAACATCACATTCTCGATGGCGTTGAGTACGCCAAGTCGTTGCAGAATGGTTCACAGAAAAGCTATCCGACCTTAGAAGGAAGCGACGTTCGTGCGGAGCGAGCCGGTAATGGGTCCGTTTCAATAAGCGCAAGCGGTGGCTGGACAGGAATGCGCTCGAGTGTCGCACCCGCGAACTTACTAACAAGAACTGGTATCATACACGAACTGTCAGACGTTTTACTGCCTAGATCTGTTGATTTGACAATTGGGAAGCTCGTCAAAGCAGCTGATGGGTCTACGATGACGTCGTTGATCGTGCGCGCTGGAATGGACTGGATTCTTAATGGAACCGCGCCACCAGAGGGCTCTCCCTGGGCCGAAGTGGCTGTCAATGGTAATGGCTGGACTCTCCTGTGTCCAACGGATGACGCCTTCAAGGGCTTTGAGTTGACCAGACTCTATAATGAGTCCGACGTCTTACGCAGTATCGTGGAGCAGCATTTGATTCCAGTATCCAAACCGCAGGCACTTCAGCTAGCCAACTTAGACCCGGCTCAGACGAATAGACCAATTTTATTGGATGATGCTGCGACCTATACAACAGTGCGCTCGAACAGCTCTGCTTATGGGGATATCGTTTTCCGCTGGATTGGAGATGACGACGGAAAAGGTGGGACTGGTTACTTTGTCGGTATTAAGGATGCTCGAGGCAAAGCCGGTGAAGATGGTGGAGCACGTGTTCTCTCATGGGGAAGAACGACTTCGAATGGTGGTGTTGGTGGTGTCATACAGATTGACGCGGTGCTTGTTCCATATCGCCCGCCATGGTGGCTAGAGTACGGTGCTCCGATTGGAGTTGGCGTCATCGGTATCGCCCTCATTCTCCTGTTCTTTTTAGGCGTGCGTGCACTCTGGCGAAGGGATACAACAGAAGCGACGTACGAACCCCTCGGCGGTTTCACTAACAACGACGATGAGGAGCCGTAGAGTGGGTCATCGGCGACAATCAATTTAGACTGTACCTGTATAATTAGTTGTCTTTGTATTTCATATGTTCCGATTTGGCAAAGTGCGCTACGTATGACACCCATGTACATGGTTATTCCCTGTTCGGGATTAAATGAGCCGACGTTTTCAGACGAGCTTGTTATTTGATTAAATATATTGACAGTCTCCTCGAAAGCGGACAAATTATCGAATAAAAATTGTGCTGTAATTTGGAGGATATCTTCGCGTCGGTTGATCAGAACAGCTTCGTAGTGCAAATGAGCTTGATCGTGTTTGTATCATGATTCGAAATGATTTGATGTGGGTGACGCAGCAGTGATTAATGATGCTCCCACTGCATAGCCAGGTTCCGTGACTAGCGCAAGCGAGTGCGGAAGGGAAGGATGCGCCGGAATAGGAAGTACACTTCCTCTCCGGAGCACGCGGTCAATTTCCGACGCTCTCATGTAAAGATTGAATGCTCCTGACTGGTCGGGCTGTCGCCTTGCCTCTCCTCGTTCACCTCTCACCTCGCGCAACCACCCCCACTCTCATACCGACTACCTGTCTGCCTCAGTCGAGCTGCAGGTCTAGGCTCAGGTACGCGCATTCACCTAATATGAGGCATTTATTCGTTACTTATTTATTACCCATCATAATGATCCTGTTGCCTTGAAAGTCTCTCATAGTCTGAGCGATCACGCATTCTCGTCACGGGCTCTCTTCTCGTCTCCGCTACCAGCGAGGTTTTCGACGCACTTGGAACAGCTGCAAGCCCGGCTTGTAACCTGTCTCACTCTACATCCATGTCGGTTATAACCGGGAACGTCCCGGACCTCCGTCTGGACGATCCTCGAAGGCGCTCGGTCTTTTTGAAGCAGTCCAACTTCACTAAGAAAAATGGCAGAGCTCACCATGCATTTGACAAGATGAAAGCACCGTATCCAACCAGCTTTGACCGCCGTACGCTTGACCTAGACGTCATTGTGAGCCTGCCATTTCCCGGGATCGTGTCAGAAACTTGACTGTGGATTTTCAGGATCACATCTTCCTCAAATCCCTAAAGCAGTCTGTCAGCTTTGTCCAGTTCAAGGATGGACCTCCAAAGCGCTGTTTGGATCTGGGCTGTGGGGTAAGCGACGCGGCCGATCACAATGAACTTTACTGATTTGCATTCGTCGGTTAGACTGGTGCCTGGATTTTGGACGCACTCAAGGAATGGCGCGACTGTCACTTCGTGCGTTTAAGCCTCAGCGTCGTGCTTATCCTGCACTAACATGTTCACAGGTTGGCTTTGACCTCGTCAATATTCAGCCTCCCCTACATCTCCTCGGACCGTCGTCATCTCGTGTGCAATGGGTGCATGGCAACTTGTCAGTATTCCGAGTCTCACGCGTCATAGTCATATTGTATTCATATCGACTGACGGAGTTATTAGCTTGACCACGAAACTCCCATTTGAAGACGACGAGTTCGATCATGTCCACATACGTGGTATTGCCCGCGCAGTCCCAGAAAATAAGGTCAGTAATCTCTCACGCATATATTTTGTATCGACTTCTCAAGCCGTTCATAGTGGGATAATTTATTCGGGGTATTCGATTTTGACATTATTGGTATTGGCATTTTTCTGAGATTTTCTCTAGGAAGTTAGTAGGGTGCTCCGGCCAGGAGGTTCTGTTGAGATGATTGAAGACGGTAACGGCAGTTTCTACTACGACTCCCGCGCATCACTTATATGTGCTTTCACCAAACCAGACATTCTTTTCCCTTCTCTGCCCCGCTGGTATACGAGAGCTTTGAGAGCTCGTGATCAGAGACCCACTATCCACCGGCCTGATGGCTCTAGTCGCCGATCACTTCCTATGTCGCCTCCTCCGACACCGCCTCGTGACGACGCTCCTCATGACCATAAATTGTTGGAGTCTTTATTCAGCTCGGTTTTTGAGACACGCTTCATTAATCGGGAGCCTACATGTGCGTATATTTAATAACTAATTTTGGCTCTCGGATCAAGCTGACGCTTCCGAATAGCTATCCTACCCAGCTACTTTGCAACATATTTCCGCCAGGTTCAGTGTTCTCCGGCGATAAAATTTCCGACACCTACACTCCCCAATGTTCCTACATACAATATTGCCTCCTCAGGTCGCTTCTCTTCTCCCCCTACTTTGGCTTCTGCGGCAAGGAGTCTCCGCGCACACCGGAAGCAAGAATCGTACTCTTCTACCGATTCATCGGCCTCGAATTCAAAGAACCTATCTGACGACGAGGACGACGAAGAACTATTCCAGCAACGTACGCCTCCCTCTACTGACGATGAACTGAGGCCGTTGTCAAAAGAGGACGGCACTCCATGCGTAACACCATACTACTCCACCCATGCCTCAACATGTGATGCTGCAGAATTAGGTTTACTCCCTCTAAGCGCCCTATCAGATGTTACATGCTTCTCGCTCGCATTCCAACTCCATCGAACGTTCAACCTCGTCCTTGCATGCCAGGAGAGCATGTGGGAAGTCTTAAATGATCGGATTCGGAATCGCGAGGCGGAGCTGAAGGAGCTGGGTTGGGATGATGATGAAATCGAAGGTGAACATGCTCGACAGCGCTTTGACAAGCTTCTGGAGCGATACCAAGGGTATGTTTCTCGCGCTTCTATCACGTTTAGTCGGACAACTGAACTCGTTATATGAAGGGACATGCAAACCCGTGCTGCACTGTGGCAGCGAATGGCGCTTTCTCAATCTCCGAACTTTAAACTTCCAAAGCAAGGTTTAATGACCAAAGCGGAGATGAATGACGAAGATCGAGTTTACCATGCGGTATTAAACGCTCAGCGACATGCGTCGACAGAAGAATTACGGACACCCTGCAGGACTATGCGGATTTTCATTGGTTATAAATCTGGGATGTAATCGTATCTATCTATGTGTCCAATTATTGTATTATATCTGACGACTGTACATACCCTCGCTGTTGTTATTGCTATTTTTTAAATCTATGCGGAATTGATAATATCAATGATATCTGGTTTCTCTGTTTTCAGAAAAGATGCTCTTTACTAGCTGACGGCTTCTTCCGAGTCAGTTCGCTTGACGAGATTGTCGATCCTTGAAAGACTCTGTACATGTCCTCTAAAGCATCTGAAACCAATAATGACGACCAGTCCATTGGGACACGCGGTGTTGCTGGTATTCCTTCAAAGAGGCAGTCTCGATGCGGTCTCGTATCAAATCAGAAGACGCGCCTGCACACTCTCGTCGCATTGTCAATAGTAGTGGGCATACTTGTCATAGCTTTCCCTCGCCTGCCGTCTCTCAAGAGCGCAAGTCGAACATCCGATGAACTTGCACAGGGACTACGATCATTTGACATTCCGCTTTCTTCTTCTGGTATCCCATCAACATATACAACACGTTTAGATTACCTCTCTGCCTCCGCTCCTCCAGAGCACAAAACACCAGACACTACCGCAGTTATTCTCAACTGGTCGCGGTTAGAGAACGTTTTATTGATTTCTGCACTTCTTTGTGGACCCTGGCTGGATGGTACTATTGCTGAGGTTTTCATATGGAACAATAATCCTAATGTGACCTTAACACACAATGTCAGTGATTTATTCACATTTTTTGTTGGTATCCTGTACTAATTGACGCTTGTTTAGATTTTCAAGCCCACAGGCTGTCCGAGTAGAAAACTGCGTATATATAACTCGCCATCGAATATGTTATTTCAAGCCAGATACTTAGCATGTATCGAAGCGAAGACACCGTACTGCTTTACACAGGTCCGTGATTTCTTTGATTTTAATGCAGTATCCTCACTTCTCAATTCCAGGACGACGACTACTTGGTCCAACCCGAGGTCATCAAGAACTTGCACTTCTACATGTCTGAGAACCCGTCATCCAGTAGTATGCATCTCTTGCCAGCTCATGAGCATCTACTCTCGCGACTGCGAATATTTATTAACGAAGACCAATCGATAACTACAGCGTTTGCGTGGCTCGGACATGGCACGTACTTGAGTCGCACCTCTGCAAGGGAGTTCTTGAGTCTACTTCAAGAACTGAATGTGACCAATGATGAAATGAAAATGGCGGATAACTATTTCACAATCCTTGCAAATCGGCCGAAAATGGGTGAAATTTGGTTTGATCACGGAATTGAGTTGGGTGGTGGGCTACCCTTCACAGTTGGCAGTGAGGGTGACGATAGGAATAATAGGCATATTGTGCGTCCAATCAACCTCTTCAGTCTGACGACTCACATTTCTGTAGGCAAGGGCTCTAGAATACCTCTCCTCGCTCATCTCTGGTGGACATCCTGCCCCGCAACACAATTATGTTTCTAAAGCTGCCAGCTCAAAGGAACTGGCACGGGCTAATTTCGCACCATGTCGTCTGAATTCATGTGTCTTGTCGTCCAACATTATGCTCTTGTCGTCGGAAGCGACCGCTGAATTCCAAGGCATCAACTCAGAATCTGTCTCTAGGAGAAAATTACAAAACTTGAGTGCGGACGACAGAAACCGGTACATACAGCATCCATTGTCCAGCATTGTCGATGCACGTCCAAATTCAGCGTTCAGTAGCCCACAACGTAAAGTTTTCCTTTTAACTCGTCACGCTCGTAGGCCATTCTAACGCTGAAAAGCTGCAAGGGTTGGAGAATGGATAATACTGGACTCTCTTGGAGCTTTAGGACCAAGAGACCAACATGACCTTGAATTGGCATTCTTATTAGACGGCTCTACAGAAGACCTGTTTCGACAAGATTGCTCAATTAGTGTATCCCTGGATGGAATAAAATGGGTGAGTACCTTCACAAAGCTTGAAAGAATGCTACTAACCAGATTTCTAGGTTGACGTTGAGAATGCTTTGACCTGCATAACAATAAGTGGGACCCCCAACGTTCAGGAGTGCAGTGTCAGAGTGAGGCAGGCGGCTTGTTATTTCAAAGTCATGATGACTAGTTCTAGTGGGAAGTCTAGTCGATGGGTCGTGCACGAAATGTGGCTGAGATATTTACGCCGTCTTGAGTCAAATAGTACTTGAATGCGGAACAGAAAGTAGTTTTAACTTTTTGCTGAACTGGGAATACGTGTAGTAGTAAATGAGTTCTGTCCAGATCAAAATGACGTACAAGCCTAATTTGGCACTGCGAGTTTGGCATCCACTGCATCGAACATTTGTACTTGCAACCACACTACCTCCTGTTGTAACCTGCTCTCATTTCTTTACACTACCCTTCTGAGTCTTTCTTTGTACTCGAGTATCGGGAACAGCATCGAGTATGTTACCCAGGATATCAAATGCGTTACGAGCAACACCGACTTCCGTGGCGTTGGGCAGGCGTAACGTCTCGTTGAAGGTTCACCTCACTTCAACCCAGCTTCAAGTGGTCCCATGGTCCTAACCCATCCTCTCACTTTGCATAGAACATCGTTTATGGTTCGCCTGAGGCAAAGAAAGCTGGAGAAATCGAGTCTCAACAGCATTCGAAACTCGTTGCACGGAGGAAATATTTGCATGTGTTCGAATGTGAGTGTCGGGGTGAATTGTTCTTGCGGAGCCGTGTCCTCATACTACATCTGCATCCGTCATATCCCTCCTCTACTCCGCTTATTAGTCCACAGAGTCAAACCTGGCGCGTCGGAGGAGTACAAGGCAGCTGCGTAAGTCGTTACTTCACACCGTGGCAAGCAAATGTCGCGCAATTCCCGTCTTCAACGCTCGCTCCAATGTTTCGTTCATACACAATTCCTGCAAGCATTGGATGACTCTGAGACTGTTTTCTTGAACAGAGAGAAGTATTACACCGCAATCAAATCGGACCCCGAGTTACATGTAAAACTGACCGGTGCTTGGGAGACGATGATCGGTGAAAATGATACTTTTGGTTCGTCCACTCGTTAAACTACCTAGGAATATCTATGGTTAACATTATACAAGTACACATCACTGAATACGAGAATCACGGCGGTTTTGACCGCTCGACTCGTCTTATCAGAGAACGCGGTGTACGTACTCATCAGCTTCTTAGTTCTCCATGGTGGAGCCGGATTGATTAACCCGCGAGCGTATTGCAGCACATCAAAGCGTATAAAAGCATCCTACCATTCTTGGTCTCAAGGTCAACGCAGATCAATCAGGAATTTGCGTTCTTCCCATCGTCCCCACCACGTGAACAAGGTGGTATTTTCGAATTGAGGAGCTATCAATTGAAGCCAGGAGCATTACTGGAATGGGAAAGTACATGGTACGCTTCGCATACCTGTTTTTGTATGACGATGCCAGCGGTGATTATTTAATCTAGGCGGATTGGTATAGAAGCCAGGCGCAAGCTCGTCGCTCCAGTCGGAGCATGGTTCTCGCGAATTGGAAGGCTCCATCAGGTTCATCATTTGTGGCAGTATCCGTAAGTCTTACGCAAGAGTGTGATAACAGAATGAGTTAATGTCCATTTATAGAGATTTTCAGACTCGGAATGACATCCGGGAGAAGGCGTGGCAATTGGATGGATGGAGCGACACCGTTCACAAGGTTTGAACTGTGTCAAATCCCCCATTGAATTTTGGTTACTGACGTATGCATCGCCCGTAGACTACGCAATTGGCAAAAATTATGGACTCGACAATTCTCCTTCCACTCTCATACTCATCACTTAAATAATTGCATGTACGTACAGCCTGTCGTGGAACCTACGTTGTTTTCGGTTCGGAAGTGCGCTTTGTGCACAATGACCCTGGTAGCAGGAAGGTCGGAATCGGTGGTAAGCTAAATGCATTGAGTGACGTCACGATCTGCGAATCGGCGAATTTTGGTGAACTATATAAGTGATCCAGTGGTCAGCGCCTTGGTTGAATATACTTGCTCCGTACAACGAAGCCATCATGTCGACAGCCTCCTCTGGTGAACAAGCCTTGCAGCCAGATGTCTCTGATTCTCCCAGCCATGCAAATAAGAAGAGAAGTAGCAGAGGTAACAGCTCATTCGTCCTGAGTCCTGACACATTCGAGCTGAACGTCATTGTTAATTTCCCACGCCAGCCTGTGACCAGTGCCGAAGGACAAAGAGCAAATGCAGAAAACCGGTAGATCCGAGCAAGCCTTGTTCAAACTGTGTCATTGCGGGACTAAGTGAGCTATACACATAGTATGCAGATCGAAAATGAGAAACCTCACACAAGTTTTTTGCCTTGTTTAGCCTGTACTTTCCAGGGTAACGTGATATTTATCAATATTCACTAGGCATGTTTGATACTGAATAGCAAGCTCTTAGGTCCTAGTTACAAACGAGGTCCACCTAAAGGATATATCAGTGCAATTGAGCAGCGCCTCCACCAAGTCGAAGCAGTACTTGGTGCTATCATCAACGCCAATGATCCGAGGTCTCAAGAGGTAATATCTGCTCTGAAGACAGATGACATTGCCAAAGAAATCATTGATAGAGTCGACCATGGCCCATATGGCTCTGTGGCCCGTACAGGCTCGCCAGCCCCTGCAGATTTCTCAGCGACTATACGGCAACTCAACGAGTCGCGGGATAGCCGTGCTGCCAGAGAATCCAGGGTGAATAGGGAGAGCTTGTCAACGTCTCACCGTTCGTCATCGCACGTTCGAAGTAATTCATATTTTAATTCATCCTATTAGACGACATTCCCGCCCCTACACCTGAATGGCTCAGGAGACTCGATGATATCTTAGAGGGCCGTGGCCAGAGTCGTTACCCTGGTTCATCGTCAGCTGCGTCATCATTTGGAAGCGGGTATGACTGGTTTTCATTCTGTGTCTAATTCCTTGTGAATTTACCAGGATCCACAGACCATCGGAAACGATTGTCCATTCAACGTCCGTGGTCCACATACCAGGTATGCAGCTTCCGCTCGTCCAACTTACCATCGTCTGAATTGATTGCAAGAGAAAGAGGAGGATCGACTGGAGAAAGTAGAAGATGAGGAGGCGATTGGGAGTCTGTCTGTCAATGAGAATGACGAAGTAAGTTACTTAAGGCTGAACTAGGTGTATCCTCTTTATAGCTTCATGAACTGCCTTAGATAAGATATCATAACGAGTCAAGCGGTATGTCGCTTCTCGACAAACTCGCGGATAACTCTAGCGGACGCAATTCTGGTGGCATCTGGTTTGTTAGGACCCACTCCTGATGACGAATGACTCTGATCTTTTCATCAGGAGACTTCCTATGGCGCGCATCTGGCCGTACGCCCCAATGCATTTAGCGGGAATAGGCCTTCCCCTTGAAAACATACCGATCCACTGGCCGTCTCGCGAGCATGCGGACCTTTTAATCCAGCTCTACTTTACATATGTTCACCCAGATTTACCCGTCCTCCACAAGCCAACCTTTATGGCCTTGTATCAGTCTCAGTTTGATAATGATGCAGATAATCCTCCGACGTTAGTTGATACGTGTTGCCTCTATTTCTGTGCAGTATACTGACGCGAATTTGCGTCTGTTGCAGACACGCATCAAGCCATATGCAAACGAGGCTGGCGCAATTGATTTTACTGTCAATATTCACGCTTTCGAGCAGATTTAACGAAAAGGAGATGCCTTTACCGGAGGCTGGTCGTATGTGGGAAGCCGGTTGTAATTATTTAGCGTCGGCTCGAGGTGTCTTGTGTGCGCACGAAATCATACAATCACATTGGTTTTAACCGTCTCTAACTCGCTGATAGATACCGTTCTGCACACGGCATCACTACTTAGTTGTCAGGCGTTGGTCATCTTGGCCTATCGCGAACTGGGGCTGGGTAAATACCATTCTCTGTAAAAATTAACGCGCATTAAATCCTTTGTTCGCATTAGGTTCCTTTGAGCACAGCTCATCTTTCATGAGTAAGTAAATTGTGAACGATAGATGCTTTAGCTTTGACTGAATCAATGAACCGCCAGGCATGGCCATTCATATGGTTTGATAACTCCAACAAGCTTACTGACCCACTGTTACTGAAATAAACTCCTACCATTTAGGCTCAAGAACTCGGATTGCATAGGTCGGCTGAACGATGGCAGCGATTCGGTGTTGACATATTTTCTTCTGATCAAAAGCAAGAGAGGAAACACGTTTGGTGGAGCTGTGCTATTGCTGAAAAGTACGTAACTGTCTAATTTCAGAAGAAAAGTTTAGCACTCAGACAGGAATGGCAAGGTATTTGTCATGCGCCTTAGGTACATCGAGTTCTTCACTGGTGCAATGAATGGTTCTGATAGTTTCACAGGGAAGCCGGCTGTTATTCGCTCAAGCGATTATGATACGGAACTACCTGATGATCGCAACATGGACCCTCAGTCTCCATTTGTAATGCTATTAATTTTCTTCTATAATTTATGGCTCACATAAACTCTATTATTACAGAGAGAGGAAGTCGAGGTCTGGCAGCCCCACAGGGCTGTTATTCAGTCCTCGCCTCAACCGCCCGTCCTCTGTCATACGTTATCTACTTTCAGAGCCGCGGCTTCTCTTTGTAAGTGGCTTGCCGAGCCCCGTATTCGCTGATAACCCATGATCCGTAGCTGTCATAACCGGAAGAATAATTGACAAAATCTACGCTATTCGTCAGAAGCCCTGGCCCAAGAAACACAGGCTCCTGATTGAGCTCGACAAACAACTAAACGATTGGTTGTCCGGCTTGCCCGCTCACCTGCACTATGATCTTACAACAAGACGACCTGTACCACCGCAAACGCTTTTCCTTCACATACAGCATTCCGTTGCAGTGATTCTCCTACACCGCAGATTGTGAGTCCATCCTGCTTACACGCAGAACTGATTTCTGAATTCAATTGTACAAAGCATTCCTCGTGTCAATCATCAAGAGTAAGGGATAGATATGCTTTGCATACTTACATAATCGTAATGCTGACTCTTTATTTCCGATCTTAAGAAGTGCGGCATCAGCCCACGGGATAGACACTTCAAAGGAATTTGCACAGTGTCAGGCGGCAGCGGAAAAAATCACCGCTTTAGGTCTATTATTCGCGTCGTCTCCTCTGAGCTTCATATACTGACTATTGGTCGTTAATTTACAGCATGGATAATCCGAGAGGTATTCTCCCTAAAAGCGGTGTCGGCTTATCTACCGTCGTATTTAATGTCTGCTGGGTACGATAATTTGGTTTCAGGATGATATCCCCAGATGTATACTGCGTATATGCTAACCAATTTTTGTATATATAGGATCGTGCATCTTGCAGCTCGTAAGTCAATTTCCTAAGGCTCAGAGAAAGGTTAAACGAGAAACTGTTTGTAGTTGCCATGAATCGTGGAGATAGAGTGCGGTCCGTTTCCGCTCTTCGCAACACACTCGTTTGTCTGCGCGACATGGAGGTATGTGGTGACTTTGAACTGTCTTTATACCCATGGCTCTAATCGTACCCAGCGTGTATGGCCGAGCTCGGCTCGCAACTATGAATTGCTTGGAAGTGCCTTATCAAAATTTGAAGCAGACTTACAATCGAACATGAACGATCCTGACCAATTCGGGCTAGGCAGTCATTTTCAAGGCTATACAGCAGCGGTACGTGATCACCCCGTTATATTTGCAGTAGGCAAACTGAACCACTGGCTAGGAGAACGCTCGAGTTATGGCACAATTGCTTGGATTAGAGATACCAGGTGTCAATCCAACAGTCCATCAGCCGCCATGGGCAAGTGGATCTGTTCCGAATTCTTCCTCGAGCTCTCAAACCGGATTTTCGCCTGCATCAGCTGATTATACACGACCTGGTACAGTACCGCCTTCCAACGCCCCCGCTCCCGGTCAGTGGATGCAAGAGTTTCCTGACTCGTCTATTCCTTTCCAAGGATATGACTTCCAAAGTTTCACGAACTCCGATATGTATTATTAGTTGCACGCACGAGACGAATGCGACGGATTTGCATCGTATTGATGTACGGAACGACAGTGATTTGATTGTAATAATTTATTCATCTGTTTCGTACTGTATCTGTAATATGTACTGGACATCGTGTATGCGTATGTATGCTCGTTTTCATGTATGTGTAACGTCATGTTGTCCACCCACAGTTACTGTAATAGCTTTGTCAGACTCTAATGGAGATTTTTCTCTTTGAATTGAGCACGTGGAGAAACAAAGACAACTGTGGGTAAATATGGACAGCTTGTGTCGATCGCTGCCGTAACCAGAGAGCACCTCAGATCTCCATTTCGGCGTCTCGACGGACCTACAACGCCCGCCAGTCCTCTCTTGCCATCTCCCTCATGTCCAACCTCCATGAGCTCCTCAATCCAGAAAACCCAGCCAGAGCGTCCGTTTTTCTCCCCGTTCAAGTATCCCTTTTCCCGCTGACTTTCTCATAGCGTCCTGCAGTCTAACGCCGACGGCCAAGTCATACCGGCTCCGACTATCCCAGCCGCCCCCCAAGCATCGTCGTCAAATGTGGATGACCAAAACCCCGTGTCCATTCATGAACCCGTCTATCCTCGAATCACCATGAAATCCTTGCTCAAAGATTCATCTTACAATGGTTACTCTCAACCTTCGCTCGCGGAAGACACAGGGCATCCATACCACGAGAATTGCCCCGATTCTCTCGACTGTCTCCCCGATACAGATGACAAGCCACAGCATACGTTGCCAGTAATCTTACGCTGTGCAATTTTAGGGAGCGCAAAGAGAAAACTAACTATTCGTGATATTTATGCTGCGATGGAAAACAAGTACCCCTACTATAGAACGGCAGGGCCAGCATGGAAGGTGGGTTGTACCGCTGTTTACCCTCGTAATTAAGCACATCATGACATTACTCGTAGCAATCTGTCAGGCATCATCTATCATTGAGCAGGCTTTTTGAAAGGAAGGCGAAACCAGTGACTGAACCGGGTTTCGGCTCATATTGGACTGTCAATCTGGATGCGCCTCCTGGTACGAAACGCCCACGCAAGAGGGGACGTCATAACAAGAACGCTAGCGCAAATAAGGATGACAGTCCTACAAACACGGAAGTAGCAGGTTCTACTGGGCGCAGGGGCAGGCCAAAGAAAAACGCACCCCAAGATTTTGAGTTCGAGCCGACTTTAGGGTTACCGTCAATGAATACGATCCCTGTGCCTGCCAACGATTACCACGCATTGCATACACCTAATGGTAGTTTCGCTACATACCAATTCCCTTCTGGCTCTGCTAGTTGCTCCTCACAGCAATATCGATTGCACAGCGTGCATGATTTGGCATCACCAAGTTTTCAGCAGCATGATGACGACGAGATGCCTTATGTTCGTGGCCATCATTCTCCGACGTTGTCCGAGGATGCAGAGGATAGTATTGATGGCCACTCGGAAGAACACGCAATGTATCCTTGTTCTGGCGATCCCCGTACACTTCCTCCCCCAAGTCTCTCCAGTGTTCCAGTTGATCCGGATCTGTTGTCAAACTTTGACGGAAGCTCGCAGTACATTGGGCGTTTACAAGAAGAAATTAAAGAGTTACAGAAGAGGACGAACCAGTTGTCGACAGCAAATGCTAGGCTGACGAATGAATTACGCGATGTATACGAGGAAATGGCTCGACTTCGGGAAAGGAATTCGGAGCTCGAACGAGGAATAAGGGAGGTGTAGGCGTGTATGTATGCTTATTTCGGCTGGCCATTCAAGCGTACTTTCGGGGTTACGGATGATTTATCGCAAGAAGTGCAACTTCTGCAGGAACTTACTTTCGCTTCTCACACGTTTCCCTCGCATTCCGAAGGAAGCCGTGTCTTATTGAGTTCTTACTTTTTATTAGAACGTTCATTGTTCAGCGGGGCTTGTAAACCATTCTTTCACTCACTCACATTCCTCCCTTATCTTAAGCTCCGGATCTTCCACCATTGTATTTTATTTACAGAATTCTCATACGCTAACTTAACTTGCACGTTATGGGCAACGCTGCATAGGCGCACATTCCATGTACCTACATTTTTTTACATTACGTTTTTACGATAAATTCTGGACTGGAGTTTGTGGCTACTTACGTAAATTTGCGGCGGATAAGCAGTCATCACGTGCCCCAAGTCAATCAAGTATAGACGAATAATTTAATGCTAATAGTTTTGACCAACCGAATCTGCATGTCGCGCTTAAAAACTGCGTAAGTTTCTTGGTCCTTCCCTTGTGAAAATAGACGGCTTATCTGGGACTGTAGCTATGAGCAGTCGAAGGTAATAGGGCCCCTTTATACAGGAGGTCCTGTTGCTCTAGCTTCAGATGGTCTACATATTATATCTTGTGTTGGAGAAGAGGCTCTTCTGACGCGCCTTAGTGACGGACAAGAATTGCGTCGGTTCATAACTGTAAGGAGAATCATATTGTAAAGCTTTTACCTGGCTTTACTGGTATTTTATTACCTTGTAGGATTCCGAGACGATTCATTCGTTATGCTTAACACCCTCTGCATCGCACTTGGTGATCTTCACAGGGTCCTTAAGCCTGCACATATTCGAGGATCCTTTGGCACCTCCCTCCTCAGCAAACAACACTGTCCATCCTACTCGCGTCATACACAAAGCTCATGAAGCTCCTGTTCACGTTTGCAAAGTGGATCCTACGTCAAGTCTTTTAGCATCTGGATCTGCGGATGGTGTTGTAAAGGTCTGGGATATCCGTCGCGGACACATTACGCACGCTTTCAAAGGTCATGGTGGGGTAGTCAGTGCGCTCGTATTCCGGTACACCCACGACACGAGCTCAGTGGTCGTTACGGAGCCAGAACTACACCTAATTACTGCTTCTGTGGACACACGAATACGGATATTCGATTTGTCTCCGGCTTCTTCACGTCAGGGAAGCGGGAAGCCAGTTGCCGTTCTTGAAGGACATTCATCTGTTCCTCGCGGACTAGACGTCACCCCTGATGGGAAATGGCTACTCAGCGCAGGACGTGATTCAATTGCTTTGCTCTGGGATCTACATGGTAACTCCACTTCCAGCAAGAAGAAAGGGGTAAAGCGAGGAATTCTTTCGTCATCCCTTTCCCGAACTATTACAATCTTGGAGCGGGTTGAGGCGGCGGGTTGGGTGGATAATGAAGACGGCGCTCTCCATTTCTTCACTGCCGGACAGAAGGGCATAGTCAAGATCTGGGACGCACGTAGTGGGTCGAGTCTCTGTGCATTGAACGAGGCGGTAGAAGAGAATGAAGAGGAACAGAGAGAGATCGTATATGCTAGGTACCGTTCCCTGATTAGTTATTCGCAGAGGCTGGTGCTAACTGGTATACAACAGCTGCATCCGCGACAAATCAATCATCATGACCGTTCATGCAGATCAGAATATTCTTCTGTTTTCTGTATCAAGCAGGTCATTAATCCAGCAGCTCATTGGTTTTAACGACGAAATAGTTGCTGCATCATTCTTGTCTTTTAGTACTCAAGACTCGCACATTGCTATCGCCGCAAATTCATCACTTATCCGAATCTACTCCGTTGAAGGGAACGATGCCCGCTTATTACCAGGGCATTCAGGGATAGTACTGTCCCTCTGTAGTAGCGCGAAGAAGCGGTTTTTAGCGAGTGGAAGCAAAGACAAGTCGGCGCGGCTCTGGACGTTCTCGAAAGTCTTGTCAGCGTGGCTAAACGTAGCTGTTTGCGAGGGTCACGCAGAGAGTGTGGGTGCTGTAGCTTTATCGCGGAAATACTATGGTGCGGACCCAGATCGGGAAGCACCCCGTTTCATGTTCACTGGAAGCCAGGATAGGACAATAAAAATGTGGGACCTTTCCCCGGTATCATCAACGGTCGATTCGACTACGAACGTTCCTGTACGATGTAAAAGTCTTACGACGCACAAAGCTCACGAGAAGGACATCAATTCGCTAGATGTATCTCCTAATGACAGGTACCTTGCATCAGGTTCCCAGGACAAGACGGCGAAGATCTACGAAATCGTGTATACCGCTGATGGCACGCGGGGAGAAATCAAACTACTCGGTACGTGCAAAGGACACAAGCGAGGCGTTTGGACGGTGAAGTTCGGACATGTAGAAAGAGTCCTGGCGACGGGTAGCGGTGACAAGACTGTCAAGCTCTGGAACTTGGACGACTTTTCTTGTGTCAAGGTTCGTGACGTGACATTTTCAATCGAGGCTTGAAGAATGCGTTCTAACTTATCTAAATATCTAGACATTTGAAGGGCATACGAATTCAGTCCTGCAAGTTGAATTTTTAAATCAGGATATGCAGATTGCCAGTGCTGCTTCGGATGGCTTGCTCAAGCTCTGGAACGTTCGTACTGAGGAGTGCGTTTCGACGATGGACAACCATGAGAACAAGGCAAGTATGCACCGATTTTTTGACGGACTCGACTGACTGAACCATGGGCAGGTCTGGGCTTTAGCCGTCAGTTCAGATGAATCGATGATAGTAACCGGTGCAGCCGACTCAGTTATCACACTGTGGAGGGACTGCACAAAAGAAAAACAACTGGAGCGGCAGGCGGGTCTGGAGAAGACAGTCCTCCAGTAAGTCATGTGAAATTTTACTATTTATTAAATCTCAGTTGAACATTTGGCAAAGGGAGCAAGACTTCTCGAATTACTTGGCCATGAAAGATTATCAGAACGCCATCTCACTCGCACTTGCAATGGATCGGCCTGGGCGGCTCTTATCGCTCTTCAAGCAGGTCATTTGTCCCGACGTACCTGATTTGAACTCCATAGAGGTTGGCTCAGTTACTGGTAAAACTAGCGTCGACATGGTGCTCAAGAAACTTCCCGCAGTCGAACTTGCTTCCCTCTTACGACACGTCCGAGATTGGAACGCAAATGCTAAGACCAGCCCAGTTGCTCAAGGGATCTTGAATGCCCTGTTCAAGCTGCGAACCGTCGATGACATCGCAGATGCACTCCAAGCGAACATTTCGTCAACGCCTTTCAAATCTATCTCTGGCTCTACGAATAGCACCCTTTCTCTCAATGAGTTGATACAAACTTTGATTCCTTATACGGAACGGCATCTTGCACGGCTAGACCGCCTTGTCCAAGATAGCTATGTTCTGGATTACGTCCTCGGAGAGATGGATGGTGGACTAATTGTCGAAGACGACGGTATGGAGATCGATTTATGACAACTGTCGCTCAGAAAAGTACGCTACCGATGTGGTCACTTAGATTAGTATTGTTCATTTTCTTAAAGCAATCGTGCTTTGAGAAGGTTCGTGTACTTCAGCAAATCCAATGTTTCTTTGAGTGGATGCAACATGCAATGATCCAGGATACAGTATTACAGTAAGATACATTAAATAGTAGTCTATGCAACCCGAGGCAATAATCAACCGAATGTTTGACTCTGTTAAAGAATGCATCAGTACAGTCGCACAAAGCAACAAACAAAGCGAATAACGCACCGAACGGGCACTCCGCTTGATCTTCGACAATCTCCACTCGTCCGGTTTTTCGTACTTGTTGTACAGAGGTTCGATCTTCTCCTGTTTCTTCCGCTTGCTAATCTTGTTCGCATCTGCAACCTTGAAGAACTGCGGAGCAACTTCCACCAGCCACTTCGGTTCAATAGCCGTCACCGTGTGGCAATACTCCCTCGTCGTCAAAATGAGCTCATTATAAATAAGCCATTCAGGAGGTCTATTGAAGAGGGCACTAGAGGGATGAATATAGACTGGGGTTCCTTCTACGAGGGTCTTGTACCCTTCTTGTGGGTCCTTCTTGGCTGCGTTGCGGAAGAACCCAGAGCACAAGGCTCTACGGACACGGTTGTAGTCTCGACCGGCGGAGAGGATATCGTGCTTGTACCTGAGAACTAGATCAGCATATGAAATTCGGGAAGTGAGTGGCGGCCAGCTTACCTGTCCATAATACCGAGAAGCTGCTTTCGTACATCTTGTGCACGACGCATGCTTCTGGCTTGAATGAAATTTTCATAACACCATGGATTCGAGAACTTGCTCGCTTTCCATCCGTTGTATACGGCGAGAAGAGTGAGGTGGTCTCCCTCTGGCTGATGGAACTTCGCCTTTTTTGAATCTGCCTGAGCCTGCTTTTCTTTCGGCCGATAGAACACGTTTTGTACGGACAACATAGCAACAATGGTTAAGATCTCCTCTGAACATCCATATTCAACCGAGGCGATTAGCATCTTAGCTGATGGCGGTTCCATTGGGAAGTCGGCCATCTTGCGACCCAACCTAGTAAGCAACCCCTCGTCATCCAAAGCGGACAGTGCGTAAAGTTGCTCTAACGCTGTGAGAAGCGTCTGCGCAGGTGGAGGGTCCATGAAGTCGAAGTTGAGAAGATCGTTTACGCCCATAGCCTTTAGTATAAGGATGGTGTGCGACAAGTTGGAACGCTGAATTTCGGGAATGGGATTTGGCAACATCTCATTTCGATATGCAACCTCGGTATAAAGACGGTAGCATTTGCCAGGACCGGTACGCCCGGCTCGACCAGCTCGTTGACGGGCTTGCGCTTGCGAGATGGGCTATTCGATATCTATCAGAAAAATGACGTTCTTTGCAGATAAAGATATACATACTGTCACCACCAGCGAGTCCATTCCCAAACGAGGATCATATGCATTCTGTTTCACAAAGCCAGGATCGATAACGTAGTATATGCCGTCGATCGTAATACTCGTCTCTGCGTAATTCGTCGCAATGACAACCTTCCTCGCACCAGGTGGGGCAGGATCAAAAATCCGCGATTGCATTTCTGACGGAAGTGCAGAATACACCGGAAGAATAATAAGTTCGGGGACCTGAGGACCGAGTGCCTTCATCCGCTCATAAAGGATCTCGCAAGATGTGTCGATTTCCTCCTGACCCGTCAAAAACAGCAAAATATCACCTGGTGGTTCTGATAGGTGAATTTGCATGATCGTGATTAGGGACGCGTCGAGATAGTCTGACTCGGGTTCCTTAGTGTAGAGAATCTCGACCGGGTATGTCCGACCAGGAATCGAGAAAATCGGACATTCAAAGAAGTATTTTGAGAATTTTTCAGCATCTAATGTTGCAGATGTGACGATTAGCTTCAAGTCCGGACGTCTTCGAACTGCCTCTATTGCAAATGTCAGTAAATGCATATAGCCAATGGAAAAGCAAATACATGTACTCTTTAGAAGTCCAAAAAGAACATCAGTAGCGATGGTACGTTCGTGTGCCTCGTCCAACATAATCACGGAATAGCCAGAAACGTCTGGGTCCAACAGACATTCTCGTTGCAGCATACCGTCTGTCATGTACTTGATTTTCGTTTCCGGAGAGGTGCAGTCTTCGAAACGAATAGTATAGCCGACTTCTTGACCAAGTCGACAGCCAACTTCTTCAGCTACGCGCTTTGCCACCGACATCGCTGCAACACGACGCGGCTGGGTGCAACCAATTTTACCTCTATCGGCATAGCCACTTTCGGCGAGATACTGAGTCATTTGGGTAGTCTTTCCCGAGCCCGTGTCTCCGACGACAATGAGCACTTGGTGCTATAAAACAGAACTTCAGCATATCTAGTTTTTTTCGGAAGAGAAGGCATACGTACATCACGAATGGCTTGCAACAATGGTTCACGAAGTTTGTAGATAGGCAATGCCTTTCGCTGATCTTGTATGCTCAAGCTCGTTATTTTGCCGAACGTCGTTGCTTTGTTGAAAGTTGCCGCCTTCCATTGAGGTACCTCCTGAGCCTTTTGGCCCATCAGATTACCCTTGAGATCCTGAGCGAAAATCTTCTCTTGCTGAGAAGCCATAGGATCAAGCCAAGGGGCATTGAAGTCGCGTGCTTCAGAATCCGCTTCTTCGTTTATTTCTTGTTGACGAAGCTCTCTGCGCTCCTTTGCAAGCGATGTACCGGCTAGCGCTGCACGATTTAGTGAACCATCAGGAGCTTTTACGATTTTCACTGGACTGAGGTCAAGCGTCTGCTTAGTCTGTCCAGCCAAGAATGATGGTTCGTCCTCGCGAACCTCCACGTCAAGTTCTTCCTCAACCTCTGCTTTCGCCATCGGCGAGTTGAACTCCTCGTCCAAGTCCGGGTACTCCGATGCATCAATGACACCAGACGATATTAATTGTTTGATTTCCCAGCGCTCTGGCGACGTTAAACGCTTGGCCGAACGTATAGGAGGTCCGCTATCTGCAGCCTGCTGTGCACCGAGCGGAAGTGCATTCGCCCCTGAGGAAGCTCTTGCAGCATGAAGACGTTGCTCCTCTGCAAGCTCAGCTTCGGACTTTATTCGCAAATGAGGTGTCAAATCCCTGCCCGTTGTCTGATCCACATCCTTCATGGAAAGACTAATACGACTCCCGGCGACACTCATCACTTTCACTTTGACGGGCTGTCCTCGGCTCAAAAGGTCGGACGCCGAGTTGGCACGCCCGCCTTGCTGTATTGCAGAAACATGCACAAGTCCTTTGAAAAGTTAGAAAATCAAGGGCGGGAAGTGAGAGGAAGTATCACTCACCTTCAACTCGACCAGCCACGCCTTCTAAGGTTACGAAAGCGCCAAAATCTTTCAAGCCAGAAACACGCCCATTATAGATTTTATAAAGTACGGGTCGGTCATCCAACTGCGTACGGCCTCGTCTATCCGTATTTCTGTCATCAAATCTGTCGTTCCTTCTTCCCCGAGGTGGACTCCTACTGCTTCTTCGTGGAGAACGAGAGCGACTCCTCCGCTGTCGCTTTGCCACGGGTTCTTCTTCGGCAACACTCAAAGTGGCTTTCTTCTTCTGAACACCCTCCAATTGCGCCATCATATCATCCACTTCCTTCATGAACACATCCTTCTCTTCCACGGATGGTTGCCAGTCGTGATCGGGCAATGCCAGACCAGGGAACAATCGACGCTTTTTCTCCTTCTCGTCAATAACACCATCCTTCTGCTTTCCATTTGTCGCACCATTTGTAGCTGCGCCTTTTCGTTTGTGCTTTGGGTGCATGCTGAGGATGAGCCGATCGATGTTCTCAACGAAGGATTCGGGAAAGTCGGCTCCAGTATCCTTGAGCTTCTGCTTGAAGTCTGGCAATGATTTTGACTCATCGTGCAGAGAGATAACGAATTCCGCTAGAGTTTTGTCGTTGATACCGGTATAGTTGAGCACTTCTTGCGTGATTTTGGCGACCAGAGAAAGCAGCTCGAGATTGTACAAGTCGTCCGCCATGACGAAGTCTTCGAGTCACTTCTCGTCACAAGTGCTATACGTCTAAGTGAATGACCGGCGATTCGTCAAAGCCTCTGCAGGTAACGTTGGACCTACAAATATCAGGCACTGCCGAAAACGAAGAGATGATGGTAAACGGGGTGAAAGAGGGTTAAGAGTAAGTTGAAGTGTTGGTGAGATGCAGCAATTCGAGAGGTCATGTGACGCTCACACAGAAATTTCGAAATTCAGGTCTTGTTGTTCCTTGACTCCTCTGTGCTGTACGGACAACATACATGGCAGGTCTTGCAAACTCAGAGTAAGTAGTGGTTCTAATAGACTACCTGTATTCGTTCCTTACCATCATTCTAGCATAGATATCGCCACAAGAGGGGCAGACCAATTCGTCTACGTCTATTATGCGGCATACGACAGCAAGGATAGAATCCAGAGTGTACCCAAATTCTACAGGCAAACATCCTCTGTGGTATGGAACGGGAACCCTGTACAGGGAGACACCGGTGTGAGGGAGCTAATGGAGAAGATACCACCAAGCAAGCATGAGATACAGTCCTTTGACTGCCACCCCATTCCTAGTAAGCATTGTTGGCCCTTCTTGGTTCAATAATTCAGGTCACCCATCCACTGAAAGATACATCGCCGCCGTCGCTTCTGGTGACTGTATCTGGGACTGTCGTGCATGGCAGAGCGGCAGTAGCCTTGACTCACCCGACAGCAAGCAAGTCTGTAGATGACCAGCCCCGCATATTTGCCCAGACGTTTATGCTCGTCCCAGACAGCGACAATGCTGCACCTGGAGGCGATGCGAGCAGCTCGCAAGTCAAATATTATGTGTTGAGCGATGATATGAGATTTGTAGGATGAAACTCGAGTTAAAAGCATTCATGACGCATGTATCTTAGATTATTATTTACACACCCGTAGTGCACGCCTTAGACACGAGCTGCTGCATTTATGAATGTAAAATGAATTTGTTCAACTATGCGTACGTATGAACGGGACAAAATGCCAACGTGTGAACTCAGAACTTGTCCATTACCTTCATGTCCTCGTCTAGCATACGCGTCCTGACATTCAATTGTTGGTCGGCATTCTTCACTTTCTCGTCGTGTAGTATAGCGCTGATATTTCCGGCTCAGGGGCCTCAAATATGTTGCGAAGAAACGCGTAGAGCGCATCCGAGCTATTGCATCGGCCCTGGCTCAATCTGACCACGACATCATTGCACTTCAAGAACTTTGGGTATACTCAGACTTCGAACATGTTCGAGCAAGCGTGGAGAAACGCCTACCGTATGCAAAGTTCTTCTACAGGTGAGACTACTGTGCCGTGATTCTAGACATCCCGTACTGATGCAGTGTGCAGTGGTGCTCTCGGAGCGGGTCTTGCTATTTTCTCTTGTTTTCCTATCTTGACCGCGTCCATCTATCCCTACTCGCTCAATGGGCACCCAGTCGATGTCGGGGCTGGAGACTGGATGGTAGGAAAGGCTGCTGCGAGCGTGTTAATCCAGCACCCGGTTCTTGGAGAGGTCGAGGTTTTCAATACTCATGTCTGTCTGTCCACTTCACTTTATGTTATTACCTGCTGAAATCCGGGGATATAGCTCTTCGCAAAGGGGGCGGAAATGGCACCAGAGCACATTCGAGCTCATAGGCTGGTGAATGCATGGGAGTTTGCGAAGCTTGCCCGTAACTCAGCCTCTCTTGGACGTTATGTCATTGCGGTAGGTTATCGTTGTCCTCGGGTGATAGCTTCATTTAGGTTAATTCATCTTCGGTTTCTAGCTAGGTGATTTCAATGGCATCCCACAATCCCTGCCTATGAAGATTGTCCGTGACCATGCCGAGTTGACTGATGCGTGGTTACAATCGCATGCCGCGCCCACAGAAGTGTCTACGAGCGGTCTCACTCCCAAGACTGCGATTGAACGATTCGGTATAACAGCAGACTCGCCTCTGAATTCGTACTCCGCTGGGAAAGACCTTGAGCCTTTCGTGAAGAAGACATTCGGCAAGCGCTTGGATTATGTTTTCTTCCGCCAGCCAGTAGAAAGGTACATGTCCGAACGACCAACGCTGAAATGCTCGCACTCTCAAGTGGTATTCACGGACAGGGTACCAGATCGCACGTTTTCCTTCTCCGATCACTTTGGACTCGAGGCAACCATCGACATCGTCGCTCCGTACGAAAGCGAACCTACAGCACGTACACCGCGTTCATCTCGTTTATCTCCTCTTACCGACGAGATAATCGCAACATTTATTCAAGCGTTGACGGTCTACTACCGCCTCACTCAATCGCGTTCGCGCATCGAGTTGACCATATTTGCGACAAGTGTTGTTGTGCTTATTGGTTTATGTGTTAGCTCGCCTTGGTTTACGGCTTCTTGGATCACGCCCATCCTCGTTCTGGTCACCATTTTGCTTGCATGGTTAGGCACGACGATGCTCTATGCAGGGTTTATTTACGGAAATTGGGAGCGCAGAGCGCTCATGAACGTGATAGAGGAACTAGAGCTGATTAAACGTGCAAATTCAGGGCGACTCAGCCCGTCTACATCGCTGTCATGATCACTTATTCCTGGAATTCCTTTCCACAAGTAGAGGTACTCGTTAAGGACAACATAGCATATTTTGCAGTTAATACTTTCGTTACACGTAGTGGCTACAAGATGGTATCAAGAAAAAGAGTCAAATATCAAAATACACACAATCTATGAGCATATTATGGTCGTATATTATTAGGTCCAGATGCAGAAACGTAAGTCAGAGGCCGGTCTGATGGGCTCGAAGAGGCCCATTGCTGGCATAACGACGATATATCTGGATGACTTAATGCACGGTTCCTCGTTCGTATTGATGGGGCGGGAGTGGGAGTAAGGAAAGTTGGTGATTGTAATCCGGTTGCGTGTCGATGGTGATTGCGAGTACGGGGATTGGCATCTTCCTTCGGGGTAGCAGCTTCCTTCGGAGTAGCGTCGCCCTCCTCTCGTACTGGTGTAAAGGCAAATCTGCGGTGTAACGACGATGTCCAGCTACGCTTAGCTGATGGCTCCGCGGGGCGCTCCTCGACTGTCTTTGGAGGTCCGCCGTTGACTTTAGTCGCATGCTCAGCGGCTTTGCTCTCACTTGGTGCACCATTCGCATGGTTAGTTTCGCGCGACGACATTTCAAGTCGCTCTTCTGTCACGGCCGAACCATTAGCTTTGACCTGCCGCGTCCGCTTGTTCGCAGTCTGCTCTCTAAGTTCATCTTGAGTCGTCTGCTCTAGGTATTGCGGTGAACGTCGCTGGAGTACTGGTAGTTCGTTCATAACAAAGTCTCGGCAAGCTTGATATGCTCTGGTAGAAGTTTCTAAGAAAGGGAATTGCTGGAAAACGTGGACCTAAAGAAGAGCTATTCATTGTCTGTTACCAAGACACTATGTGCAACAAAACTTACGGCATCTTCATACAATTCATATCGTACCTGCACACCCGCCAAACGAGCCTTGTGTGCAAGCAACGTTGCTTCATCACGAAGTACTTCGGAATCACCAGCTTGAATTAATAATGGGGGAAGGCCACGGAGGTCGCCGAACAATGGACTTGCATATGGGTGTGCAACCAGCTTCTCTAGATCCTCACCGAGATAGCACGATATAGGGTTTAAATGATCACCGGGTTTTGGCGGAGGAATAATGTCGTATGCAGCGTTTGTATCCCAAGAATCACAGCTCATTGTGAGGTCTATTGGCATATATCAGGACCGTTTGAAATAATACATAATGAATAAAATGCTACTTACCAACCCATGGCGACATGAGAATTGCTCCTGCAGGAGAAGGGTATTCGTTGTCCCGAAGATACATCAATAATGCCAGGCAAAGCGCTCCACCAGCAGAATCGCCTGCAAGTAAAATATTCTCCGGGGGAATTCTGAGGTCTAGCAATCTCATATATGCGCTGACGGCATCATGTATTTGCCCTGGGAATTGGACCTCAGGAGCCAACCGGTAATCGACAGCTGAAGAAACGTATGAGTTACAGAAGGCATGCAGTAGTCCTTGACGTACCAAAAAGACGCGACTCCGTGTACTTTGCAAGTTGAATCGTAAGTTGTCGATGAGTGGCAGCGGAGAACATATAATATGCGCCTTTTGGGAGTTATTTAAGACAACCAAGGGGAAGAAGAACATATACTTGCCTCCATGTAGATAAAGAATTACTCGATCCTTTCGCCTAGGAGCCTTGTCTGGTGGCGAAGGTTTGCTATCAACGGAGCTCCTAGTGGCCTTCCACTCCGCCTGTAGTTTCTTCCATAGCTTTCTCCCAACCACCCATTCGCCAGACAGCTCTCGTTTTCCATCTTCACGATGGTCAACTTCGGATAGAATCCCTCGCAACTTGCGTCTGCGAATAGCGAAGGAAACTGGCGTTACCATTGCGTCTGATGGAAGAGGCGCATATCCGACCATGTTGATTAATCGCCGCAAAGTGGGCTATCACCCAATATTTGTGAGTATGGTCAAGAAAAAGCCACAAAAGCATAGAGGGCGCGTACAACGTCTGTTAAATGAGAATGGTCGCCGACATTCTGCATTATACTGGTAACGAACGTCATCTCCCAACCCCAACTCTTCTTCCTCGGTCCCCACATATAATGCGTCAGGAACGCGAAGAAGACAGCAAAGGCTTACAGTATATTATTTTAGTCTTGGACACTAAAGTCGAGGGAAATTACTCACTTTTCCCAATTACAAATACCACATATCTCCAAAAGTCAAAAAAGCCCAGGTTCTGCCGCTGACGTTGCTTAATGGATGGGCGGACTCTCGCCGAAGGAGGTAGGGTATAATCAGCTCCCTCAAAGTGCCGGAGTAACTCAAAGGTATCCCGAGCTAGATCATCGCTGGTCCGTTTAGTCTTGTCGACGGTAGGCTCGTCCTTTGACGTGAAGGACCAGGGCAGCACGGACTTGAACATGAGCGTAGCAGCACACACACACGCACACACTGTCCAGGTAGTCTCTTCGCTGAGGCACCTCCTAATATACGGTCTGCTACGATGCTACCTAGCAGGGCATTATTGAGGAGGTGATGGTTAGTATCCTCGTTGGGGTGTATGCCGTGCAGAGGCGCGGGGAAGAAGCACGTGAATATGGAGCTATGTTTGGCCATGCATCTTTGTTTACTCAAACTCCAATACATTCGGACTCTATTCTTCTTACACAAAATTCTGAAATGCTCGCGAGAAAATTGCCCATGAATTGTTTGAGTATCTCCAATGCTACATGTGTGCCTGAATCAAACACTAATCAAACAGTACAGTCCTAGAGCCATGCACAAAGGAAGATGGGATACGCTAATCTTCAGTAGTCGTCACCTCTGCTAACCACTTCCTTAACGGTCGGCCGCAGCAAAATGGTATGCTCCTGAATACGGAAGCATACTAATCAGTAATCCCCAAAATACGCCACCATTGAAAATCGCTCACAAATTGTGCAGTCATTGAGCCCCTCTGGTCGCATAAGGGTGGGTAATTCTGGACAACGCCCTGCTGGACGAGGTGGTTCAACTAAAAGAATGGTGATTGGTTAAGTAAGAAGTATGAGAAAAATAGAGGAGCCTTACAGCTAAAAGGTATTTGGTCTCCCCAGCACGGTCCAGATACCGCCGGCAGAAGGGTAGTGATCCAAAGTTCTTGTTGATAGACCTCAATAATGATTTGGCAGAAGATAATCTAAACGGGATATAAGCTTTTTTCCCCTGTCGAGCATGTGGTTGTACGCACCGCAAGGGGACATTGGGAGCATCAACTTTTCTTGCATAGTGGGAACAATCGCCCTGTAACATGCTCTAAGCAAATGTTATGCCGTATTGGAGACATGCACTAACAGATTCGACAACATGCCCACGTCCTGTTGATCCAAACGTCTCAATAGCGAAGTATTCCCCTTCCTCCATTTTCGTTGGGTCATCGTTTTTAACTAGAAGGACGGATTTTCCTCCATGTATTTGGTAAGGGTTAATGGAATGGCCACTGAGATTCCCAATGACTTTTACTAGAGAGCAATCAGAAGATCAGAGAAATTTGGAAGCCTCGAGACGAACCTCGCTTCGTTTCTCCGTTGACTTCCACCTCGTAGGATTCCATTGTCTCTTGGATTGCGGTACCGACTTCTCCGAGTCGAACATCAATACCAGATTCCTAATGCAAAATGAGAAACAAGGTCGTATAAGACTGTATCAGCATACACGGATCCCAGTATTAGTTGCGTCTTTGACGGCTTCCACAAGATTGTTGTATGTCGGCTCCCAGGTAAGGGTGAATGCAGAGTCACAAATCCTCCCATTCACGTGAACGCCAATATCGACCTTCAAAACGTCTCCCTGCTGTAAGACTAGTGTTGCACTCAAAAACGATACTTCAGTGTATAGTGTCGTAATGCATACCCGTAGTGTCCCCAGCATTTGGAGTGTAATGCGCAGCGCAGTTGTTGAGACTAACTCCAGTAGGGAAGCCAATGCCACTTGAAAGGCCATCCTCCTCTACCAATGCTCGTGTGCAATCCTCGATGCTTTCCGCAATTTCTGTCATCGACATTCCAGGCTTAATATGTTTACGGGCATATTGGCGGGCTTGTCTGTGCACTTCCGCTGCACGTCGAATGTTCTGATAAGTAACTTCCGGATCTTCCATAGCCAGGCGTTCGAGATGCCTCTTCTCCTCCGAAGTAGTCCGCCATTTGTTACTACCCTTGATGTCAGTATGTCGTTATATGCGTATAAAACTGCCGTAGCACGCACTCGTCTTTGTATTCCTGGATCTCGCCTTCCGGGTAGACGCCGTCTGGGAACAATTTCGACAGGCCGACGCGAGGGGGGTCAGACTGCTCGGCCTTCTTCTTTTTGGGTTTCTTCCGCTTCTTTTTCTTCTTGGCATCTCCTATAGAATGAGTTAATGAACGGAACAACAAGATTCGTGGCGGCGTTAGAGACCAACCTGTCGCATGGGGCTCAATGGCCGCCTCGTCCTCTACATCATCAGCGTCATCTTCGGCATCGGCAGTCTTGTGAGGGTCCTGGGTGGGCTCAGCACCAGCAAGTTTGTCGTCATCCGCCATCCAGTCCTCTGGCGTAGGTAGTGATCAGACGTAGAACACACGAAGATTTCAAACTTAGCATCAATGCAGTACTTTACTACTTACGTCATCAGCGCTGGACCGTCCTTTTGGGTCCAAAGTTACCACTTTTCGCGTCCACTCAAATAAAGTGTATTACTCACACCATCTAGTGGGCGACAAAATATGGTCCACACAAAAACTGAGTTAGGATATCTTAATATACAAGGTAAGGCTACGAGAGAAGGGAGTGGAAAAGGGAAAACTACATGTGCATAGAATACACGACTCGCCAGTCCAAAGGTAGGCCTGTGCAACTGTGCACCTAAGAGGAAGGATGGTTGTCCCAGACATATACATGTAACAAAGTCATCACTACGCCGTCCCACAAAATAGTATGCAGCAAGCTTAGCATTGCGTGCCGCTCGTTCCTGCGTTGTATTACAATTGCCCAAGAGACTGGGTGGCTCTATCAGCTTAGGAGTGAAGGTAATCAATATGCAATGCGGTACGAACCAATGAGCTCATCAAGTAGGTCTTGATAAGGTGGTACTTCGAGGAATCCGTACCGCGACTTAGGGAAACAGCGATTGGGGAACATAGTAGCAAGGGCTTCGTCGCTTCCTTCCCGGTACATCTAAAGGATCCCGATCCAGCCGTTAGCAGGTGTGTCTAAGGCTCACGCATAAAGCATAAGCATACCTTCAGCGCCCATACTCCAGCCTTCCATACAAAAGTTTGACCTTGCGCAACATAGCTGCTGGCGCTGTTCGAAATCAAATTTAACACTTCAAGCACAGCGAATTTATCTGGCACACATACAATGACAATCGAGGTATGAACCACCCTATCCGTTGCATGTAATCTTTGGTCAGAACGAAATCTTTGGGCAATGCTGACGATTCAAATCGGATTCTGTCTGGCTTGAAGGTGTTCAATTCCCATTCTGCTACCAGCACCTCCTGTGTATCCTTCGGGCCTCGACGAGTGATTTTTGTCCAGGTTCGCCATTTCAGCCAGCTCGTCGTTGAGTTTAACTCGTACTTTATGCCCAACGTTTCGCAGTCCAATGTCGTCCTTTTTGCATTATGGCGTTGAATGATGAACGCCGTACGATTTCCTATGGCGTCGCGTGTCCTTTGTAGTTTGGCAGAGGAGGAAGACTGGCCCTCAACATCATAAATCAGGTCGTCGGTGGTCGTAACTTTTGCTTTCTCGTCAGCCTGCATCTTTGGCAAGATGGGGGAGAGTGCATAGCCTGCGGCCCTGCGTCTTCTGCCCACCTGCTGTTAAATATGTGGATTGAGGGCCGTGTTCCTTTCTACATGGACTTAATATGAGCATCCAATAGCGGCTATTCATAGTGCTGCGCTTTGATTCGCCCAAGGAGAGTTTGACATGCCAAGAATGCAGTAATCCACCTCGATCTAACGCAATTAGCCAAGTCACCGTCGATGACGACGGCGCAGTCGACACATTCAAGAACAAAAAATCTATATAGACGACATGCATATATGGACTGATGTACAGGGGAAGCTGTATAACGGGGTAATTAGTCATTGCTTTATGTACAAAGTTTGTTGATTAGAGCACGTCGATCACGTCTCTTTCCATTCCCAAATGCGGCTTGCCTCTAGACTACCATGGGCAACAACCAGTCAACACCCAAGATCACCCAGCAAGACAAGGCCATCCTAGAGTGAGTGCAGCAGTCTCTTACGTTTCGCCACCGTTTGCTTCCTCTGAGCTAGTCTAAAGCTTCAGCGTGACAAGTTAAAGCAGTACCAGAAGAAGGCACGATCTCACTTGACCTCGACCTTGATGTTGCGCAGCAGCTGATATAATGCTTTGCATATAGATACAAACAGTACTAGACCGTGAGCAGGAAATCGCGCGGCAACACCTGCGAGCGGGGCATAAAGATCGCGCGCTGGTCGCACTGAGGCAGCGCAAGTACCAGGAATCACTCCTCGTCAAGACAGACAACCAACTGGAGTCGCTTGAACAGCTTGTATCGACGATCGAGTTCTCTTTGGTGCAAGTATCCGTGTTACATGGGTTGAAACAGGGGAATGACGTGTTGAAGGAGATTCATCGGGAGATGAACCCAGAGAGTGTTGAACGCTTGCTCGAGGAGACGGCGGAGGCACAGGCATATCAAAGGGTACGATTCATCTCTTGATGCTGGACTTTGCATCCTATACTAATATGACCACCATTATTTAGGAGATTGATGAGATGCTTTCCAATACACTGACTCTGGATGAAGAGAGCGCTGTACAAGAAGAATTGCGCCAGTTGCAAGCCGAAGCTGTACGACCCGTTCCTATCTCGGCGTCTTCTATTATTCTAAGTCTCTACTTTTACAGACCGCTGGATTAATACCTGAACTTCCTGAGGCTCCTAAGGAAGAGCCCGTTCTATTGGAGGATACTCGAGAAGAAGTGCCTGCGACTGAGGAGCGCACTAGAGTTGCTTTAGAAGCCTAACCATATTATGATTCCGTTGGCAGGAACCAAGGTCATACCCTGGACGAATTCGCGCAGCATTTCGTCCAGATACTTTTCATTTACAAGCAATCTTCATGTACCTCGGCGGCAGTCGGTGAAAGATTATGAACTAATATAATATAGTATTGTACAAATGCCATTACAACTACCAACTGTCAAAATTCCCAAAGCCAATCTTTCGTTTCTTCTTCCCATCATCGTCGTCATCAGCCCTGGTGCTCGGTGAGGCTGTTTCAAGTGGACGTTTGAGGTTAAGGTACTTCCCTACATCAGCTGCGCTTGATCCGTTCGCACCAGTACCACGTTTCTCTATCCCGAGTTTAACACCGAACCAATTCACATCATCCCCTTCCTTCTTCTCCTTTGCTATACTCTTATCAGACTCTCCCGCTTGCTCGGCCTCTGCCTTTCTCTCCAACTTCCTTTTCAGCCTGGTTTTGTATTCCTCGAACGGATCCTGGTAAATGATAATTTCTGTAATGCGCACGGTCTTCGCGGGTCGGTCTGTGCCTTCTTTTCGTGGTAACCGTTCAAGTGTGTCAAGCACGTCCTCACCACCGACGAGCTTCCCAAACACCGTATGCTTACCATCTAAGTGAGGTGTCGGCTTGAACGTTATGAAAAATTGCGACGTGTTCGTGCCCATGCCACGATTTGCCATTGCAAGTATGCCCCGTGAATCGTGCTTTGCGGCGCCCTTCAAATCATACTCATCACGGAATGCACTGCCCCAGTATGACTGCCCTCCCGATCCTGTCCCTGTTGGGTCTCCCGTCTGGATCTAATTTTGATAAAGACGAAAGCCAGTTAATTAATGGCGAGCCTGCGACACGAACTACATACCATAAAGCCTGGTATTAGCCTGTGGAATATACAGTTGTCATATTTTCCTTCTCGAGCAAGCATCAGGAAGTTATAGCACGTTTTCGGTGCCTGCGAATAAGTACATTATTAGCATCATTTGTCCAAGAGACCCGTTTGATTGAATATTACCTTCTCACAGTACAGCTCAAGATTTAAGCTACCACCTAGGCTAGTGACAACTCGTACATAGGCCCGCCGTTTCCCAACGTCCGCTTCTTTACTCTTCGACTTCGGAGGATTTGAGATCGCCTCGAACATGAGTTCCTCTTCATCCCATAATAATCGGGATGTTTGTGTGGTCGGGTCCACTGATGTGGAGGTCAGAGATGCGCCCGGTAAGCCACTAGAATACGGAGACACATTCCCTAATTTAAGACCTTCAGCACACGGCACTTAAACTAATATAACGAAATGTACATGGAAGCTTCTCCTTCTCCCTCAGTGCGGCCACTCCAGCAGCCTGTGGTTTAGTAGCCGTGCTCTTCGCAACTTTTGATGTTTTAGTGGCAGCGGTCACTGCCGTCGAGGAAGATGTAGATGACATGGCATGAGGGTTCTGAAGCGTGATGACGTCCTCCCTTTAGAAAAAATTGTTAAGTTGCATCAATGCTTGACATTTAACTGCTCATCTACTTTTTGAAACTAGTATCGCTCAACAAGTCCTTCCCACCTTTTATGCTTTCTGCAAGGTAGACATTCCCAGTCGTTGCAATTGCAACGATATGAGAGTGTTCACTAAAAGGCTTGAAGGATATTGGGTCATGAATCTGTCCATCTGGCTTGCGGGAGTAGTTTAGGTGGATAAGATCGTTGGGGGTGCACGGCTCCCCGGTGATAGGATTTGTGTTGTTATGCTGTCTTTTGATAACATGAGATGGTGTAACGTGGCAGATATAATACAATGGCAAGACGTACTTTAACCAAGGCAGGATGTTCACCAAGTCGAATACGGCGCCTGTCCCATCTGGGTTCCTTGCACAAACCGGGTGCTCAAAAGGCTGAAACGAAAGTGCACAGCAATCGAATGGAGTTAGCGCCCCAGGGTGAGGAGCTTGTTGCTTGCTAAATTGTACAGAATATTGAGTCAGTTGACACAAGAAGCCAAGATTGAGACCAGCTTACGCTCTGTAACCAGACGATGCGGAATGCCGACCTCCTGCGGCTCCTGAGTGTTCTGTTTGGGTTATGTAAAGCTTGTCGTTGCTTCCGTGTCCCATTGCAGACTATCAAAATTTTGTAATGGTGTGTTTAGAGATGAGGAGCGACCTGCTGCAACTTTGACTTCACGGACCTGTATCCTCGTCCACGTGACCGGGGAACAACTTTAAATCGAGACGCGCAGACTCACAGTTGCTCTTCAACTTGTTCAAGTGGCTTCCAGCTCTCTGTGTTGCCTGCTAAGCATTCAAACTACATCCTGACATTCAGCGTGCATATTCCATCTGCCCACAGCTTACCTATGACTATATGATATCATGTCTCTCTCAGATGTGACAAGCAGATGCTTTCAGACGGGTATTGGAGTGGCCAAGGTGCTGGTGCTGCCTGCTTATAAGTTGACTTCGGCTAAACCGATTGATTCTCCCTAAATTAATCTAGTGGGCCCGTATGTGCCATCTTCTCAAATCCAAATTGGGCGTTCAAGATTTTGATTTTCAGTGTCAACTTAGTAGTAAGCAATCAACTGTCATTGAGGAGTGAGCCAGAAACGTTGATACTTAATTCCCTCTGTTTAGATGCTGTTCTTGAACTATTCAGCACATACCCTGCGGATCCACTCCTATATTCTTACTTGAAGCACGCTATGCATACTCCAGACCTGCTGACCCTGCCTGTCTTCGTGTTCACATTTCTTGAAGCCGCAAAATCACCCAATTTGCACGATACTTCTACTCTCGACATGCTCTGTCGGTTAATCCAAGACGAGCACTTTGCATTAAGCTTGCCACCGGAGCAGTCATTACTCAACGCGCAGACTTATTCAATGCCGAGAGTACTCGAAATGGTTCATGGCGCCTTGAATTTAGTCCGTGTCTCGTACACCTCGCTTTCGCGTTCACCGTTCCACGATCTAATTTCCTCTGCATCACAACTTCTTATGCTCTTGCTTTCATGCGTCAATGACATGACCTCTATAAGTGCTGGGCAGGCTATGATGCATTATGCAGAAGTGTTGGAAATATTACAATTGCAGGATCTTCATGGAGATCTGAAAGCAGTCCTAGAACCGTTTGCATTGTCACTCAACATGATAATGGTGGATGATTCAAAAATGGCCCAAGAGGCGCAACTGATGCAGTCTCTTCAACTATCGATATCCAAGGGCGATATCCTTGGGCCAAACTCGGAGTCGGATATTGCATCGTGCAGCTTATTGTTGCGACATCTGGTAAGTAAGCCCATGCTTCACAGACGTGGTTGTTCTAAGCTGCTTTAGGTCGTGAATCGCACTACAACATTTGGATCTGGTTCACCTGCTGCAGTTGCAATACTAGTTACTGCATTCAGGTGGACAACATGGTCCCCGAGAATATTCTATACGCAGCTTTTTCTTGCGGCTATATCGATTCTTTCCCAAAGTAACTCGCACAAGACTAATGCCCTTATTTGGCGCTCCTTCATCATTACAAGGGTAAGGACTTTGCCTAATTCGGGATGCAAAGCTTTGAGTAACTGTCGTCTGCAGTTAACGCGTATTCTGTCTGACTTTGAGCAAGTCCTGACGGCCGACTCAGTAGGAGAATCGGAATGGGTCGGTACTTCTTGACGTTTCCGTCGATATTTATCCTAATTATGGAAAAAGCGAGGAGCAATCCAAGCTGCATTTTTGTCGATTCAGAGTCGCATAGATTTATTGAGTCAATGCGATACGAGCGCTACCTCGCGAGACGTGGATGACATGAACGTTGACCCTCCCGATAGGTAAGACCATCTCTGTAGTTCGTTTTCTACTCATCTCAGCAAGTCCAACAGCATGCGTAGCTCATCAGTTGGCTCATCGACGTTCTTCACGTCGTTAATTCAATATTGCGCACTTCGGACGAGTCTTTTTGACAATAGTACTCGAATGATGTTTAAGTCGACAATCGAGCCCACCTTGAATACGTTATTATCTAACGAGTGTCAAGAGACTGGGTCTACATTAGATGTAAGCTGTCATTCATGCATTGGCTCGCGTAGGATCTGACAAAGATAAGAAAGGCGTACATCGAATCACGTCTTATTTCCGACGGGAACAAGGAAGAAACGCTACTCCCTTTCCTTCGGAGATGCGTTGACGATATCCTAAATCATCCGCAGATAGCCAAGGCTGTAATTAAGGTGAGCACCTGCAGTATTATGCACAACTTGCAGCTCAGTTTTCATTGCAGAGAGTCGAAACATTGTGCCAGCAAGTCGACGTCGAAGGTCTCGGTGTACTCTGCAAGACTTTCAATTCCCTTGACGTGGCAATGGACATATTTTCTTTGCATGTCAGAATTGATGATATTCTTGCTCCCATCCTTGCATTTATAGACGACTTTGACTGCGAATCAGTAGGTACGGACTGTTCATTGAAGCATCGCGAAGTAGCTGATCATCGACAATAGGCGACCCGCAGACTGGGCTTGAGTACCTCGGAAACGTGATTCTGTTCTTGCAAGCAACGCTTGTGAAATACCAGGTGATTGCTAGATTTACTCCTTTCCATCTCTTTGATTTCACCACGTTTGCGTAGTTGTCATCACACATATTTACGCTCGGCGATCGCGTTCTCGCAACGGATTATCTGCTTTCCACGTCCACCGTTTTCCGTATGTCATCTCTCGGTCTGGAAGACGTGAATGTCGTCAAGGCATGGTCCAAGGCTCTGTTCGATACCAATAGCGAGGGTATCGAAGACAACATACTCAGGTACCACAAGATTAGCTAGTCTAGTCACTGACAAAATTCACTAATCTACTGTGCAAGGACTACGAAACCGAAAATGCTTATGAAGCTTACTGCAACTTTGATCTTACAAGCGTGTAATGCATGCGCAGACCGTAGATGGAGCGAAGATATGTTGAAGAACGGCGTGTCATACTTCACAGGACCCCTACTGAATTGGACACTCGTGGGCGGAATCAAGGCACTTCTACGCGATATAATGGAGAAAGAGTGAGCCGACTTCAACCATTTCACAAAGATCTTTCATCAAGGCATGCTAACCCTTTCTTTAGTTTCAATACTCCTATCCACCTCGAAACGCTGCAAACTCTTGTCGAGTCTTCTTTGTGTCCTAAAGCTGTAATTAGTTTGACCGGGCATGGTATACTGGCACTTGCGACAGATCCGAGAGCATCAGTTATTGAGAGCAAATCTCCGAAATTGTCATTCAAGGCGGCAAACCTTCGAGCAATAGCTAGCAAGGCCCTAGGAATAGATGATAGTGGTAGGCTTGTCTACCATTGTCCTTAAATTGAACTAAAAATCTAAAATATATCTCGTTTCAGAATCGTCCGATGCGAAGTTGAAATCGCTCTCAATTCCTTCATCACACTGGCTTGATCAGCCACGCAAATCTATCCGCGAATTCTTCAATGCCGCTCGGGCAGGGAGGGCACCTGCCTTTGACGTCGGACGATGCGTTGCTGTGCTTGGTCCGACACGTTTTCTCCGACTGCTCTGGGACGAGCTCGACACCCCTGCTAAACTAGGCGAACTGGAAGTAAGCCGTAGGCTTGCAACTTACGTGCTACTCTGTCCGCCAGCAGCAACAGGAGCCGGTGCAGGACGCACACCGCCGCTGCTACCAATCTTCCTTGGTAGTGTTCTTCATGGTCTTTTAACGCGTCTGGACTTGAAAGCACCAGCTGAGCAGACACTTGGCATCGAATTGCTCGTGTCCGTCCTCACGTCCTCGCTGACCGGCTTGTTACATCTGGAATGGGCCTTACGAGCTGTCGGAGCTGATACACAAATTGAGAACCATGCATACCAGCCGTCTGTCACGATCGCACGCAGGTTAGCTGCGGACTTACGAAGAAGTAAAAGCCCTTCCGCAGCTATTGTGATACAGAGGCTTTCTTCATCACCTTCATTCGTGGCAAACTTCCCTGTGATGGCAGCATGAAGAAAGTTAAGAAACTAGCATGTATTTTATTGTGTACGTGAATCCTGGGTTGTTATGTTGTTATAATACATAATGACAAAAGTACAGAGGTACGACAGCTATAAGTGAACGAAACAATTTAAAGTCATGAACAAAATATCAAAGTAATTAGTGCGAATCCGTTGGGAAGTTCCAGATTAGACAGTTGGTGTCGGTGGAGCTATGAGTCGAACATCAGTATAAACGTGAAGGCTTGATAGACAGTCAAGTAGTTAAGAATAAACTCACGACAACATGAATGCTCCGACGGATCACAATCCTTTTGATTAGGAGGACAAGTCACTAAGCAGCATGTTCCAGCGGGAGGCAACTGTCAAGGAGAGAGTTAAACCAGCACTTCATAATCCTTCACGAAAGAAGAAACAGCTTACAGGGAGTGTCGAAGTCTCGGCTGCATGGAATTGACGCGACGGATGATACTCAGGCTGGATAGTACTCGAATGGATACCATGATCGTGCAAAGCCCTGCGGATGTCAACCGCAACCTGCATGAAATCGTGTTTGCGGGAAGCAAGGACATGTACGGATGCCACGACCTTTGACTCAGAAAGCTGCCAGATATGGAGTTCGTGCACATCCTGCACACCGTCAACGCCCCTGATCGCTTCGTCTACCTCTTGCAGGGAAATGCCTGATGGGACACCCTGAAGAAGAATGAAAGACGCGCTCTTGACTGCAGCGGGTGAGTCAGAATACACAGCTAGTCAAGGAGGTAGCAGAGATGCACAAACCTAGTGGCAACGCGGAAGAAAATATGATGCAGGTAATTATCAAAGAAATGATAGGATCACAGTAATACTTCCAACTCAAATCCGATAGCCAGATGATCAGACCCGTGGCAATAACACCGACATTTCCTAGTGCATCACCTAAAACATGCAGCAGTAATGCATGCATGTTCATGGATCCGTGTGAATGACCGCCAGAGCGCTTCGTCCCTTGAGAGGTATGCGAAGGATGTGTGTGGCCATCATGGGAACTAGATGATGGTGTTCCCTTCCCGTTTTGACCTTTCAGAAGGGGTGTCGATTCGGAATAATCTTGCTCAACAGTACCATTTTCTGGCTCCTCTACAAACGCGAAACCAGTGTGCATTCCCTCACGACCTCGTGGAGAGGGTGATCTCTCTCGATCACTGCTGACAGAGACTGACCGAGCTCGCCTCAGTTCCTGTGCCTGATGGACAACACGAGCGCGAGTTGCGGCTGGATGTCCATACAACTCGTCCGAGTCAGAACGCTCCCCACTTCGGCCCCTTTCATCCTCGTTTGTAGGAGTGACACTCCCACTCGAAAGGGCAGTGGTGTATTCTGATTGTCCCATTCCGGTACTCGGGGTGGCTGTTTTCTTGGAGTGCTTTTCGGATCCATGCGAGTGGCTGTGCTCTGTGAAAGCCGAATGATTTAGTCCATGCCTCTCGTCGGTTGACACCAAGAAACATGAGCATACCGTGGAATAAGAAAAGACCCAAGATGTTAGAAGCTAAGCCAAGGGATCCGACAATTACGACGAGTCTCGGGTTTGATATCTCTGTACGTGTGGCTCAGACGAGAAAACGAGGTATCAATGATGAGACGCATACCTGGTGTGCTGAAGAAACGTTCCATTGCTTCCATGAAGATTGAGAAGCAAAGTGCCAATAGGAACACTCCATTGATGAGCGCAGCAAGAATTTCAGCTCGGTGCCAGCCATACGAGTATTTGGTATCGGTCTCTTCAATTCTCCGCCCGGAAAGCTTCAGAAGAACTTGTCAGTAGAGATTCACGCGGTCTTTGTGAGGGTTATATTATACCTTTATTGCGTAGAGAGCAACGATCAAACTTAGGATATCACTGTATGACTGAATGAGTATCGGGTAGACCAGCGGTAAGACAGACTCAGTGCGCACTTAAGCATATGAAAACTGTCCGCAACAAGAGCAAGAGAGCCGACAGCATAACCTGCATACGTTGAGCAAAGGAGTCAGTGAAACCGATTCTAAGCAAGTACGTCCCATAGGTAACGTACCAACAATGATCTCGACGAGGAAGAATATGACATCGATGGAGAGGAGAAGAGATATCCTCGCAGTCCGCGAGATGGAGATCCCATGCATGATTGCAAGGGAGAGAGTGGCAAGTGGTGAAAGACTTCGAAGGGAGTCTTTGGGTAGAGAGAAAGTATAAACCTGACGCGCCGTGACGCAAGATGACTAAACGGAAATACCTAATATGGACACAACCTGTGGCAACTGCAAGAAAGCTCTAGACTGGAGTACTTAGTAATAATAATACAATTATTTTATTTAATACATTCTTTGTTAGCGTCTTTACTAAAGAACCTTTACTATGAATATAAGCATTTATAGAGAACTAATCTTAATAAATGGAAATTAGAATGTACTGAACAAAGAATTTAAAAGTAAAGTCAAGCAAGAGAAGCAAGAAACCTTCTGCAGCTGTCACGACACATAGACTTTCGTCATCACTTTCATTCGTGGCGTACTTCCCAATGATGCCAGCATAAAAGGCTCAGAAAACAGCATGTATATATTGTGTACGTGAATGCGAGTTGTTGTAATACATTGTGAAAAAGTACAGCAGTCCGATCGGTATAAGTTAAAGTATAAATTAACCATGGACAAAAGCGTCAAAACGTTTAATGTGAATGCGTTGGGAAATTTTAAATTAGGCTTTTGGCGCTGGTGGAGCTGTGGATCGAGCGTCAGTATGATCCTGAAGGCCTGAAAGCGGGTTACGATTAAACTCACGACAACATGAATGCTCTAACGGATCACAATCTTTCTGATTAGGCGAACAAGTGACGAGACAGCATGTTCCAGGAGGAGGTAACTGTCGATAAAAACCGAAATCAACAATTCATACTCCTCTGCGAAAGGTGAAACTTACGGGCGGAGAAGAAGTCCCGGCCGATTGAAGTTGACGCGACGAATGATACTCAGGCTGGATTGTACTTGAATAGATACCTCGATCGTGCAACGCCTTGCGAATGTCAGCCGCAACTTGCATAAAATCGCGTTTGCGGGAAGCGAGGACATGTACAGACGCAACCACATTTGACTCAGAAAGCTGCCAGATATGGAGTTCGTGCACGTCTTGCACGCCGTCGACGCCCCTGATCGCTTCATCTACCTCTCGCAAGGAAATTCCCGACGGGACACCCTGAAGAAGAATGAAAGACGCGCTTTTAACTGCATTGCATCTGTCAGGATACGCAGTCGACCAAGGATAGAGTAGAGATGCACAAACCTAGTGGCAAAGCGGAAGAAAATATGATGCAGGTAATTACCAGAGAAACAATGGGATCCCAATAATACTTCCAGCTCAAATTGGATAACCAGATGATCAGACCTGAGGCAATTACACCGACGTTTCCCAAAGCGTCGCCTAACACATGTAGAAGAATAGCATGCATGTTCATGGATCCGTGTGAGTGACCGCCTGAGCGCTTTGCTCCTTGAGAGCTAGGCGAAGGATGTGTGTGGCTGTGATGGGAAGTAGGTGACGGGATCTCCTTGCCGTTTGGACCCTTCGGTAGAGGCGTTGTTTCGGAAAAATCTCGCTCAACAGTATCATTTTCTGGCTCGTCAACATGCATAAAACCAGTGTGAGTTCGTACCCGTCGTTGCGCAGTGGGCGATCCCTCTCGACTACTGCTGACGGAGACTGATCGAGCTCTCCGTAGTTCCTGTGCCTTATGGACAATACGAACGCGAGTCGCGGCTGGATGTCCATACAACGAATCGGGGTCAGAACGACCCTCACTTCGACCCCTTTCATCGTCGAACGTGGGACTGACGCTTCCGCTTGAAAGGGCACTGGTGAATTCCGATTGTCCTAGTTCCTCACTTAGAGTAGTTGTTTCCTTAGAGTGATTTTTATGTCCATGCGAGTGACTGTGTTCTGTGAAAGCCAATCAGTCTGACTCGAGTCTTTCAATTGCTGACTCAAAGAAACATGTACATACCGTGGAATAAGAAGAGACCGAGAATGTTGGAAGCCAAGCCAAGGGAACCGACAATTACGACGAGGCTTGGATTCGATACCTCTGTGCATTGTTATAAGTCAAAAGTAACGGAACATTAACAATGAGGCGCATACTTGGAGTATCGAAGAAACGTTGAATTGCTTCCATGAAGATTGAGAAGCAAAGTGCCAGTAGGAACACTCCATTGATGAGAGCAGCAACAATTTCAGCTCGGTGAAAGCCATACGAGTATTTAGTGTCGGTCTCGTCGACCTTTCGCTTGGAAAGCTTTTAAAAAGCATGTCAGCAGAGCTTTAGGTAGTCCTTGCAAGGAACATGATACCTTTATCGCGTAGAGGGCTACGACCAAACTTAGGATATCACTAAGCCGCTGAATGAGTACTAGGAAATACGACGCAGTTCAGAGTAGGTACAAACTTAAGCATATGAAAGCTGTCTGCAACGAGGGCGAGCGAGCCGACGATATAGCCTGTGTACATTGAGCAAAGGTGTCGATGAAACGGAATCTGAGCAAGTTTGTGTTATAGGAAACGAACCGACGATGAGCTCGGCGAGGAAGAACATTACGTCAACGAAGAGAAGGAGCGATATCCTCGCAGTCCGCGAGATGGCGACCCTACGCATGAATGCGATGAAGAGTACTGGCCTTGCGAGGGGACCAGTCTCCAATCTCTTGTCGCGTTCGCGTCAGTTAATTTAAGATGACGGTCCCGAATGCACGTGACCCCGTGGCGAGAAATCTTTTCAAGCTAGCATGACCGCGACAGTACACATCTCACTGTGCACCTACCACCTCCAACCTCCATCTGTCCGACCATATTCTCCTTTTGACGATGGCGACCTCAATGGCAGCGGCTATTGCTGCCTCTATGCCGACCGCCCAGGCGCCTGCGCCAGTGGTGCAGCCCAGTTATGAGGCCATCCCGCCATCAATGTCCAAAATCATCGATATTGAGGCAGAGATTCCGATTACCGCCGTGCAGCTCGATGCTTTGGTGCGCTTATTGTCACTCATCCATCATTACCCCTAATAACCATTATTTTGTGTGCAGGTTGTCTCAAAAATTATCAAACATGGTTCTGAGGCGCATGGCTCGACGCCTGCCCTTGGTTTACTCATCGGCATCGATTTCGACGGCACTCTCGAGATTTCCAATTCATTCCCGCTTCCTCATGTTAGCGATGAAGATGAAAAGGCAAACAAGTCTCTAGCTCGGTATCAGTCATCTATGCTACGTTCCCTCAAAGAAGTCCAGGCAGACGACTCCATCGTTGGCTTCTACCAATCAAACACATTGGGTGCATTTTTCAAACAGTCGCTTCTTGAGCTGCAGGCAATCCATCAGGAAAAGTTGAGGCATGGTGGAATTGTTGTCGTGCACGGTATGTGAATACTCAACATGATGAACGTGCCGTGCTGACACCTTTCATTCATTCATGGCTTGTGAAGATGTTATGCAGGCGTCTCAAGGAAACCCTGCCTTCCACGCGTTCAGGTTGACTAAAACGTTTTTACATGCCTTCCGCACGGGAAGGTTCAATACTCAGAGGTGAAATCTACTTTTACATTGTATTCCGTTTGCATTATTAATGAATACTGTCTCTGTAGCCTTGTTGAACACAACCTCACATTCTCTTCTATCGTCGAAGAGATTCCGCTCCGAATACGCACGAATCCTCTCGCTGACGCATTCCTGAGCACATTAACCACGCCTACTTCGACTTCATCGGCCCTCCCACTCTCGTCTTCTACACCTCGCGCATCCGCGGCCGTCCCACCGTCCTTCTCCGCGCTAGATCTCGATGCACGTTCGCTCACCTCGAATCTTTCATCCGTGCTTGACGCTCTAGACGACTACAAGACCGAAGAAGGCAACCTCGCGTACCTCCAACGGCAGATCGCACGTGAGAAGCTAAAAGCAGAAGCACACATCCAAAAACGCCGCGAAGAGAACGCGCTGCGCGTGAGCCAGGGTCTTGCGCCGCTCCCCGAAGACGACGTCAGCCGGTTGTTCAAGATTCCTCCTGATCCTAGTCGTCTTGAGAGCACACTTCTACTCGGCCAGATTGATGCTTATTCGAAGAGCCTTGCTCAGGGTGCGAGCGTCAACCTGGTGAAAATGTATTCCGCGAATGGAGGTAACAGCACATAGATGTTTTGATGTAGATGTAAGTGTACCTGATTTAGGAGTATTTGATCGTTGTATTCTTGCAAGCGCATTGCTTTGCATCTGCATCAGCGTGAAAACTGTGCGCTGTGGCGCTATTACAGTAGAACGAAGCCGACTCGCATATGCTTCCGTTCCCATGACAATCCTTCCGGAACGTCTTTGCACTCGAGTGAAAAACTCAACTGGCAAACCAACTCCTGTTTCATATTTTGGGCACCCACAGCAGAAAAAAAAAGTGCCCCAACGTGGAGTTTGCATTTATTTATTCCTGAGCGCCAGCTCACACTTTTACACTAATAGAAACCCAAATAAAGACTGCAATAAACATCTGCTAAGTAAATCCCGTACTTTAACACTTGTCAAAGCAATACACGCATCGAGTGGATATAGATCCCTAGCTCTCACGCATCGGCGTAAAAGGACACATCACTGACGTGTCGGAATAAGGAAAGACAATAAGAGAGAACGAAGAAAGGATAAACAGAAAGCAAGAGTGCCAGGATATCAAACATGGAGGTGGCACAAGGAAGGGGGAGAATTGGTGGAGTCCATGTTTTGTGCAAGGGCGGGTATTTGTTTAGTGTTGGCCGTGAGGGACATGCCGTAACTGGACGTTAACCAAGGCATGAAGTAGTTTAGTCGTTCCAGACCCAGGTCATACCGGAGATACGGCCCACGGAGAAATCTGCAATTTGCTGGAGACGAGGAAAAAGTATTTGTTAGGTCGGAACACGTCGGAGTTTTCTATGCATACCTCAAAGGCAGATGGGGCAAGGTCGATATCGGTAAGAGCACATGCTTCACAGCGGTCCTCAATTTTGACGGTCGTACTCTTGCCTTGGTCTGGAGAAATGAGCCAAATTACGTCTACAGTTCACAAGAAACAGCATGAAAACTTACAGGTGAGGGTAATGGACTTGCCACAGACAGGGTTAGAGTTTGGGTTAACTCCGTCATAGCCACTGGTATCATGAACAATTTAGTTAGGGGGAAAGCATTTTGAGTGAGAAAAAAAAGACGCACGGGAAGGCATCGAATAGCAAGTGGGAGACTGCGGCAATCTTGTCATTTCCACCGTTTGTTACACCGCAAGCGCCGAGACCGATCTGGTAGAAAGTACCTGCGGAGCAAAAAAAATCAAGACGGACTCAACAATTTTCCTACCATGGAACAGCTCACCCTGGCCAGTCTGAGTGCCGCGCAGGAAAGATGGGCCGGAATTGCTGCTAGAGCTACCGCCGGAGTTACCTCCCGAGTTCTGAGTCGGCTGCGGAGCAGGGGCCTTGGACGACGAAGCCTTCTTTGAGGACGAAGGAGCAGGGGCAGGATCCGACTCATGGGTGGGCGCTGGGGCAGCATTTGCAACAGGAGTAGTCGGGGCCTGGGAGTGCGAGGAAGAGGTAGACGAGCTGACAGCACTACTAGATCTCGCACGACATCTGCCAGTATCACCACGCTTACGTTTGGGCGTTACAACCTTGACGCCATACGGCTCTACCGCAGGAACGGGCTCAGCGACGGCCATACGGGCAGCGAGGGCACGGTGACCATGGGGGCTACGAACAACGTGGGGAGTCGCAAGACTGTTGACGGAGAGAGCGAGGGTGAAAAGAACGAGGAGCTTAGCAAGGGTCGACATGTTGGGGGATGGGAGGCGTTGGGCACAAGAGTGCTGTGAAAAGTAAAGACTGGCGGGGAAGAGTAAGAGGTGAAGGACAGGCGAGTCGGTGAATGAGAGACGAGCACACTGAGCAGGCGAGGGACGAGGAGGAGGGGGTAGTGGGACTGGGAGAAGGAAGAAGCGATCAGTTTTCAGGGCTTTTATTACGGTAACGCTCACGCGGCACACCATCACACCGGTCAATAACAACCGCCAAGGCCCAAGACTACCCACACGTCGGTCTGCTTGCCGTTCGTTTTTTTCCTCCGGTGCCCCATCAATCACTCTCATAAGGACATCCTGGAGTCTTCGTAGCTTCCGATCTCGTTAGCTGCCTGTCCTCGCTTTTTTAATAAATGCAGTCATAATTCATCATTTATTTCCACAGTTATTTCACCTGAATGGCATTCGGTCATCTTTAACGCTTGAGGGCTGTCGCTAATCTTAGGGCTCATGAGAATCGATCGATTAGTTCGCAATGGGTGAGATTTCACCGACAGGCGCAGACGCTGGAGCACAGCAGCAGTAGGTACTTCCGCAGGTTCAATTTGAATGTATCAAGTTACGGGAAACAACTCGAATATTTGGCTGCTGGCGACCTAGCACGACCAAATTGATGACTAATTTTAAATCACGTGAAGTGACGGTCCACGTGCTGCATACACGTCGCGTCCAAAGTCATTCTTCGTTGTTCACATTCTCCGCTCTTGCCCTCGGCTTCGCGTGCATCTCGATTCCCCAGATCATATTTTGCCAAGGATCGTTCTTCAGGAGCTGATGTCAGCTTACGTCTCACTTGTAACCTATATTTTGCTCACGCAAAGTTCCATATTGGCAACTTTGAATCGCCGTTCAGAGTTCATCACAGTATCTCTGCATCAGTCCAAAAGCCGCCTTTGCCCTTTCAGTCTATATATGGCAGTCATAGAGAAGAATATAGTATCCTAGGGCTGAAGCATTTCCCTTAATTTTATCCTTGTGGTTGCAAAGTCCTCCAATTACAGCTAGAGCAAAGCATCAGCCGGTTGAATACCACAACATGCATATCTGTAATGCGCATTCTCACCGTTTCTGGGAGATGCCGTCCCCCGCGCTTTGCGCAAATTTCCTTCGCCGTTGTTCTGTCAGCGTCACTTTTGCACCTCCTGCTCAACCCCCTCCCCACTCAATGACAATGCGACTGGTCGGATATTCGCAATGTTCCTCGACGCCAAGTACATAAACCTGCCCGAGCAATCCCTGTACTCTGCATTCCTCTTAACTGTGCTTGGACATCTGTCCATCCCGACTGGTAAGTACTCCCTCTAAATCCATCCATTTGACAGCGAAATCAATATCATTCTAGGATTATCTTGTAATTGTAGATTGTTGAGCAAGTCTTCCAAAACAAGTTGTCACAGACACGTTGGACTAGGCTGCAGACAGTATGAGGGGGGCGCTCAAGCTTCTCCTCTTCTGCGCTCTCATCGCATATGCATCCGCACTTTTCACTCCCAATTTTTACGGCCGAAATGGCAGACGTTCATACATTCAAGGCAGCAGCGGATCATTGCAGACTCCGCGAGAGCCGCAGCCACCGCGACTTAGACGCGCTAGATCTTTCCCCTCCCGAGATACCAATCAAGACAATGAGAAACGCAATATACTCGGAACCGCACGACCTACCCCACGCGCCTCAATTCACAACCCACCAGAAAAGAGGTGCAATCAGAACTCAAATCATGATACTTCAGCATTTTCACCATTGGATGCTCCCTCTGATGGTGCCGCCGTTTATGGACCAGGTACCCAGGGTGGCCAAGGCTCGACACTCAGCGACAATGGAAGCGGTGAAATGACCACGATGGGACAAACTGGAACTGGTGGGCCTGGATCCTCAGGTGGCTCCAGCGCACCGCAAACAACTGGCCCTAATGACCCATCTGGAACTCAAGGCGCCGAGTCAAGCGGCGGTGGTCAGTCCGGAGCAGGTCAGTCCGGAGCGGGTCATCAATCTGGCTGGTCGGGTGACGGTAACTGGGGCTCATCAAGCGGCTCAGGCAGTTATAACTTTGGAGCTTCGAGCAATTTCGGTGCCTCTTCAGAATTTGGAAACTTTGGCTCCTCGGGCTTCGGCCAATCGAGTGGTGCGCATGCCTCTGGCTACGGCCAAGGCAGCACGACTGGAGGATTTGGTGACTCTACCAACTCAGGTAGTTACGGTGCATCAGGCACTAGTAACACAGGCGAAGGGAGTCAGACTGGCAGCTTCGGAGCGACTGGTACTAATGCGCCATCCTCGGCTGGAGATGGACAAGGTTCTTCTTCTCTAGGCGGTAACTACAACTCATTCTCCAACAGTGGTGGGTACGGAATGTCGGCGAGTTACAATGAGGGCGGTTCAAGCCAATTTGGTAACTTTGGTTCATCAGGCGGCTTTGGCTCTTCTGGGGCAAGCAACACTGGTGAATTTGGCCAGTCCAGCATGACTGGAGGATTCGGCGGATCCACTGCTTCAGGTAGCTTTGGGGCAACAGGCACCAGCAACACTGGTGGTGCAAGTGAAACTGGCGGCTTCGGTTCGACGGGAGGAGTTGGCGGTTCCAACGGATCCGGAGGCTCTGGCACTGGGAACCCATCAGATTCTGGTTCTACAGGCCCGTCCGGCACCAACCCGACAGAATCTGGTTCAACTGGCCCATCCGGGACAAACCCAACAGATTCCGGTTCAACAGGTCCATCTGGCACCAACCCGACAGATTCTGGTTCAACTGGCCCATCCGGGACGAACCCGACAGACTCTGGTTCAACAGGGCCATCTGGTACCAACCCAACAGATTCAGGATCAACAGGCCCGTCTGGCACCAACCCAACAGACTCCGGTTCAACAGGACCATCCGGCACTAACCCAACAGACTCCGGTTCAACAGGACCATCGGGAACCAACCCAACAGATTCTGGTTCGACAGGGCCGTCGGGAACCAACCCAACAGATTCTGGTTCGACAGGACCGTCTGGGACGAACCCGACAGACTCCGGTTCAACAGGACCATCTGGTACAAACCCAACAGATACTGGTTCAACAGGACCGTCTGGGACGAACCCGACAGACTCCGATTCAACAGGACCATCTGGTACAAACCCAACAGATACTGGTTCAACAGGACCGTCTGGCACCAACCCGACAGATTCTGGTTCGACAGGGCCTTCTGGAACGAACCCGACAGACTCTGGTTCAACTGGCCCGTCTGGCACCAACCCAACGGACTCAGGATCAACGGGCCCCTCTGGGACGAACCCATCGGATACTGGATCAACAGGTCCATCTGGAACCGATTCTTCTGGCCCAGGCTCTCCAACTTCATCGGAAAACTTGAGCTCAGGTGTCGTCTTCGGTGGCTCCGACTCGTCTGCGGGTGGTGCCTCTGGAAGTGGGCCTCTCACTGGTACTGTCATCGGTGGATCTCCAACAACTAGCACGGCACCGGGTGAAGGTAGTGGCAGCACAGGAGCTGATTCGACTGCGACTGGCTCGACCGGTTCTCCGTCGTCTTCTGACGAACCTTGCGACGACACTAGCTCGGAGTCTGGCCCTGGTTCAGGCGGACCTACGGGCACTGGTGGTCCGTCCGGCACTGATTCTGGTACCGGAGGACCGTCGGGTACTGATTCTGGCACTGGTGGACCATCTGGTACTGGCGAGCCCACTGGCACTGACTCCGGTACTGGAGAGCCGTCCGGAACCGACTCTGGTACCGGCGGCCCTACTGGAACTGATTCTGGTACTGGAGGACCATCTGGCACCGACACTGGCACGGGGGGACCTTCGGGTACTGGTTCTGGTACTGGCGGACCCAGTGGTACCGACTCCGGTGCTGGAGAACCGTCTGGAACTGGTTCTGGTACAGGCGGGCCCTCTGGCACTGATTCTGGAACTGGAGAACCCAGTGGTACCGACTCCGGTACTGGAGGACCATCTGGTACAGGCGGACCCACAGGTAGCGATTCTGGAACTGGAGGACCGTCCGGTACTGGCTCTGGCACTGGTGAACCGTCCGGCACTGGCTCTGGTACGGGTGAGCCGTCTGGCACCGGCTCTAACTCTGGAGAACCGACTGGCTCTGGCTCTGGCACGGGAGAACCCACTGGCACAGACTCCGGCACTGGAGGGCCATCTGGCAGCGATTCTGGCACTGGCGGACCCTCTGGGACTGATTCTGGAACTGGAGGGCCTACTGGAGGACCATCTGGGAGCGGTGGCTCTGGCACTGGTGGACCCTCCGGCACTGATTCTGGAACTGGAGGGCCGTCCGGCACGGGCTCTGGCACTGGTGAACCCTCTGGAACTGATTCCGGTACTGGAGGGCCGTCTGGTAGTGGTGGCCCTACTGGCACCGACTCTGGCACTGAAGGACCGTCTGGCACAGGCTCTGGTGGACCATCTGGCACGGACTCTGGTACTGGTGAGCCATCTGGCACGGACTCTGCCACTGGAGGGCCTTCTGGCTCTGGCTCTGGCACTGGCGGACCGTCTGGCACTGATTCCAGTACTGGTGGACCCTCTGGTACTGGCGGACCGTCTGGCACTGATTCCAGTACTGGTGGACCCTCTGGTACTGGCTCTGGTACTGGAGGACCATCAGGTACTGATTCTGGGACTGGAGAACCCTCCGGCACTGATTCCGGTACTGGTGGGCCGTCTGGCACTGGCACTGGCACTGGCACAGGCACAGGAGAACCCTCCGGCACTGACTCTGGCACTGGTGAACCATCTGGTACTGACTCTGGTAGTGGAGGTCCATCCGGTACGGGCGAGCCTACTGGAACTGACTCTGGTACTGGTGGACCGTCTGGAACTGGCACTGGTGAGCCATCTGGCACTGACTCTGGTACTGGAGGACCATCTGGCTCTGGCTCTGGAGAACCCACTGGCACGGATTCCGGCACTGGAGGGCCGTCTGGTACAGGCTCTGGCTCTGATACTGGCACTGGAGAACCTACTGGCACTGACTCTGGCACTGGTGGACCGTCTGGTACAGACTCTGGCACTGGCGGACCTAGTGGAACTGACTCTGGTACTGGAGGGCCTTCTGGCACCGGCTCTGGCACCGGAGAACCAACTGGCACCGACTCCGGCACTGGCACTGGTGGACCATCTGGTACCGACTCTGGTACTGGAGGACCGTCGGGCACCGGCTCTGGTACTGGAGAACCCACCGGCACTGACTCTGGCACTGGTGGACCATCTGAAACTGGCACTGGCACTAGCGGACCTAGTGGAACTGACTCTGGTACTGGAGGGCCTTCTGGCACCGGCTCTGGCACTGACTCTGGTACTGGTGGACCGTCTGGAACTGGCACTGGTACTGGCGGACCTAGTGGAACTGACTCTGGCACTGGAGAGCCTTCTGGCACCGGCTCTGGCACAGGGGAACCCTCCGGCACTGACTCTGGTACTGGTGGACCATCTGAAACTGGCACTGGTACTGGCGGACCTAGTGGAACTGACTCTGGCACCGGCTCTGGCACAGGGGAACCCACTGGCACCGACTCCGGCACTGGTACTGGCGGACCTAGTGGAACTGACTCTAGTACTGGAGAGCCTTCTGGCACCGGCTCTGGCACTGGTGAACCCACTGGCACCGGCTCTGGCACTGGTGGGCCATCTGGTACTGACTCTGGTACTGGAGGACCGTCGGGCACCGGCACTGGCACTGGAGAACCCACAGGCACTGACTCTGGCACTGGTGGACCATCTGGTACCGACTCTGGTACTGGAGAGCCTTCTGGCACCGGCTCTGGCACTGGAGAACCAACCGGCACCGACTCCGGTACTGGTACTGGCGGACCTGGTGGAACTGACTCTGGTACTGGAGGACCGTCGGGTACCGGCTCTGGCACTGGAGAACCCACTGGCACCGACTCCGGCACTGGTACTGGCGGACCTAGTGGAACTGACTCTGGTACTGGAGGACCGTCGGGCACCGGCTCTGGCACTGGAGAACCCACCGGCACTGGCAGTGGCGGGCCCTCTGGCACTGACTCTGGCACCGGCACTGGCACGGGAGAACCAACTGGTACTGGGACCGGCACTGGCTGGCCTACTGGATCTGAATCTGGTACTGGAGGACCGTCTGGAAGTGGCACTGACTCGGGAACCGGCACTGGAACTGGCATTGGCACGGGCTCAGGCTCAGGCACCGATACTGGTACTGGTAGTGGCGGACCTACAGGCACTGGCACTGGTAGTGGCGAACCCACGGGCACTGATTCCGGCACTGGTGGACCGTCTGGAACTGGCACTGGTACTGGCGGACCTAGTGGAACTGACTCTGGTACTGGAGAGCCTTCTGGCACCGACTCCGGCACTGGTGAACCCACTGGCACCGACTCCGGCACTGGTACTGGTGGACCTAGTGGAACTGACTCTGGTACTGGAGGACCATCTAGCACCGGCTCTGGCACTGGAGAACCAACCGGCACCGACTCCGGCACTGGTACTGGCGGACCTAGTGGAACTGACTCTGGTACTGGCGAACCCACGGGCACCGACTCTGGCACCAGCGGACCGACGGACACTGGCTCTGGTACCGGCGAGCCCACCGGAACTGGTTCTGGCACCGGAGGAATGTCTGGTACTGGCTCTAATACAGCGACAGGCACTGGAACGAGCACTGGCGAAGGCGCAACTGGTACAGGCTCGGGTTCAGACAGTGGATTCGGTTCTGCCACAGGCTCAGACTCAGGCTTCGGTTCTGGCACTGGTTCTGGCACCGGCTCTGGCACTAGCGGAGCATCGGGTACTGGAACGAGCACTGGTGAAGGTGCAACTGGTACGGGCTCTGGCTCTGATTCAGGAACAGGTATAGGCTCTACCACCGACTCTGGCACTGGCGGGCCAACTGGTACTGGTACAGGATCTGGATCAGGCTCTGGCACCGCGACGGGTTCTGGAGCAAGCAGTAGTGCAGGTGCATCTGGTACTGGTACTGGCTCTGGCTCTGGAACAGATACAGGATTTGGATCGTCCACAGGATCCGGCTCAGGAGAACCAACTGGTACTGGTACACAGTCCGGTGAAGGCGCATCGGGTACAGGATCAGGAACTGGCTCTGGCTTTGGTTCTGGTACCGACACTGGCTCTGGCGGAGCGACGAGTACTGGAACGAGTACCGGTGCAGGTGCATCCGGTACAGACTCTGGCTCCGGGTCAGGAACAGGCGGCGGCTCTGCCACCGACACGGGATCAGGTGGAGGCTTCGGAAGTGCTACGGGCTCAGATACAAGTGGCTTCGGCTCTGAAACTGGATCAGGAACTGGCAGCGGTCAAGGATCACAGACAGGCTCTGGTTCTGGTTCCGGAGCTACTGGCACAGGAGCAAACTCAACGGACACGGGCGCACCGACCACTGGACCGAGTACGGGTACTGGTACTGGCGCACCAACTACTGGACCGGATACAGGCACGGGTACTGGAGCACCAACGACAGGTGCACCAACTACTGGGCCGGGCTCTGGAACGAGTACGGGCACGGGTGCACCGAGTACTGGATCGGAATCGGGCACGGGTACTGGAGCACCAACGACAGGCGCACCAACTACTGGCCCTGGCTCTGGAACGGGTTCGGGCACGGGCACTGGCGCACCAACAACTAGTGCACCGACTACTGGACCGGGCTCTGGAACGGGTACGGGTACAGGTTCAGGAAGTGGCACAGGCACGGGCACTTCATCGGCTCCGACGAGCAGCTCTACGGGCGGCGCTGGCGGTTACATGTCCGGCGTGCAACACGGTGACGGTACCTTCTTCGATGTCGGTCTGGGTTCCTGCGGAATCACCAGCAGCTCAACCGAAATGGTTGCAGCCATATCCAAACAAGTATACGATGGCTACCCAGGAGCAACTGGTAACCCGAACAACAACCCCATTTGCGGTAAAGAAGTAAAGGCAACGTGTAAGTAGTAGTCACTAATCCCATTCCTCCTTCTGACAAATTACTAACAAATTCTTTCTTTCTAAAAATATAGACCAAGGTAAATCAGTAACTGTGAAAATTGTGGATCGCTGCGATGGGTGCACTGGACCTACGGATCTCGACTTCTCGAGAGGTGCATTCGACCAGCTTGCAGACGAGGGTGCAGGCCGTATCCAAATTGAGTGGCAGTGGGCGTAGAGCGCATGAGGTCGCAGGGCGACAAAATAACCTTTCTTTTTCTCCTCAGTCAGACATAATTATGTGGACACAACGACTATGACTTTTTCTCTAATTTATCGTGACCTTTTTCATTCTCACTTTCTTACTTCCTGCCTCACTCTCACTTGTTGTTTTAGTTTTGTTTCGGAATCCACGTTTCCCTTCTTCCTCCCCCATCCACACATCTGACATAGAAATGAAACTAACCAATGTACATATTTAAGTAAATACAAGTATGTTCTTGTACTAAGCAACTCTTTTGTGCTGTTAAGGAAGGAAAGTAAAACATGAAAGATAGTATTGACAAGCCAAGTGTTGCTCCTCCGCCACCTGCCCCAACTCCCATATGCCTGGGATACTAGTGAAGCTGCTCTCCCATATATTTCTGAAGTTAAATGCAAATTTATTGACCTTGTCCCAAACATTTTCTTCATGCCTTCACCTTTCAAGCATGTCACAAGAGATTGGACTGACAAGTGCAGATAGTTCTAGTATAACAGGTACATGTTTGCATAATGAAGGAAGCATATTGAAGGCATATTGCAATCGAAATCGAAGTTGAAGTTGACCTTGAAAATGTCCCAAAGATATAAAAGAAAAAAGAAAAAAGGAAAAGAAAAGAGAAAGCCAAGACGTGTACATGTTGAAATGAGAATTGCGCTTTACCCGAATGCGAAATAAATATTACCATGTATAAAAGAGTTGAGAAAAAAGAAAGCCCGATTTACGAGAGAAAAATACAAAAAGAATGTCCATAACGTCCATGTAAAGAAAAAGAAAGAAAACAAAGCGCCGTGTGTAAAATCCAATAAAATTAAATAATTAAGAAAACTCGTTACTTGTTATTTCGTCATCTTGGAAGGAAAGACCCCTGATTAAACGACTTAACCTTCTCAAAAATCCTAAACAAACTAATCACAAGATTCGAACAATACATAATCAACCCTAAAAACACCAAACAAATAAGCGCGACTTGACTATCGCAGATATAATCCCCCGGTAATCCCTCCGTTCTACCCAAGTTGGGGTTATCGGGAGTAGTACGTGGGATTTCGTTGTACCATGATGTGGAGGAGGAGGGTGCGCAGCCGATGACGGAGGTGAAGAAGTTGTCGAAGCAGAGGGAGAGGGCGGCGGACCAGAGGCAGATGAAGACTGTTTCGGAAAGAGTGTGGAATAGTTTGAGGGAGGTGCGCCAGAGGCCTAGTGGGCGGCCGAAGTATTCAAGCTGAGAGGAACGGACGCGTTAGTATTTAATTTAGAAAGGAGATGTTGGGAGAGGAGGGAGCTGAGACTTACGTATATTGCCGCCATGACATGTACAAGTGTGAGCGGCGCAAATATAATTACAAGAGTTCTGTCAATGATAATAAATACAATGATTCCAGGTAAGACGAGACATGAACGACTTACGGAGAGCTCCCTACAGCACCCATAATCCCGTACCTCTGTTCTTTCTGTCGGATCTTTATTGCCTCAGCCAGTGCAGCGGTGGTCAAGGTCATGTTGATTACGCGAAACAGCTACGGTAAAAGACAGTTCACGTCAGTCTGAAGCTGAAGAAACAACAAATCCACGGCAAGCGGACGGACGGAACGCACCAACGGTACATAATTATTAGTTAGCATGAACGCTCTTAATCTTTTCCGTCGATGATACCACTTGGTTCGCTTTTCGCCTGGCGAAGAGTCAGGGGATACGTTTACGTTCGTAATGGAGGCTTCTCGCGAAGCTACGTGGCTTCCAGGTCCTCTAATCGACCCATGGTAAGATCGCGGACGAGCGGACCAAGGTGTATCCCATCCAGGCGTACGATTTTGAGCAATCGTAATCGGAGCAGGAGTCATCGGGAGTGGTATGTGGAAACCCCAACTCCGCCGCCGTCCCTCAACCTCTTCGTCAGACTGCTGCGCCTCAGCGTCCCCACTTCCTCCCTCAGCATGTTTTGCATGTCGGATTCGCTGGGCACCCGCAAGCCAAGTGGACCGTGCACGTTCCCTCATCGGGCGGTTGTGCTTTTCCGAACTCGGACCGTCAAGCCTTGGCCACGTCTGTTTCTCTGGGGTTACAGGGGTCTGGTCCTGCTGTTGCTGGGGTTTCTGTGGCGGACCCTCTGCACGACCTCTACGTGTGAACATCCACCAGAGAGGCTCGTCTCTTTGGCCGTATGGACGATGCACGGTCTGGTTGGATGTAGAAGCCGAATCACTTTTGCTGCTGAGCGCAGACCGGGAGGGACGTGGATTTAGGGAGGTTGAGGGTGTAGTGGAGGAAGGACCGTGGACTGTAGCTGGCTCAACGGGTGAAGGAGGTTCATCTTGTGCCCATGCTAGATAACAGTTAGCAGTTGTGCATTAGTATAGACTATAGGGTGAGATTAGAACCGATACGCACGGGGAGATGTGATGATTTTCTTAAGTCCAGACGAAGTTGCGCGAGCGTGCTCACTCCGGACAGTGTGGGACTTTGCGAGAGAAGATAGAGAGGGCGTAGATGTGCGCAGCTCTGTTGTCTGCGAGCCCATACCTGTGCGGGAGAGAAAGAGAGGAAGGAAGAGGGAGTGAGGGAGTGAAGGGAAGAGGAATACTTAAGACTAGTGGAGGCGCAGTGACCGCAGTCGGCTCTCGTCGGAGTCCAAGTCTTAATTCAACGCCTCTTTCCTTAGCTCAGTTCATAACACAACCAAGTACAATGGACGACGCTCTCCCCTCAATCACTTCCGCCCAAGGCACTGTCGGCTCTCGCTTCGTCTCCCAGGGCGACATCGACGATGCAAAAGCTAGACGAGACGAGCAGTGGCGGGCTGCATACGCGAGGTGAGCATAGCTAATCACTCTTCCTTGATCCTTTAGTGCTGTCCTTAGACGCTCATTTCGTTTGTATGTCTATCTCGATCTGTCTATTTAATATGAAGACTCGGCCAAGAACCACCGCCTCAACCGACCGAGGATGTATACGACGGGAGGAGTCTCGCAGAAGTACGTGTCCATATCTACCTCAGCCGTCAATCCGGCGCTTAACACCCATGTCATCCAGAAACTAGCCGCGAACAAGATAGCAAAACAAGAAGAATGGGAAGAAAAGACAAAACTAGGTATATGTCTCTCTCTTTCCTCGTATCACCGGAAACTCTTGCTCATCCATGAAGGACTCAACGCACAACGCACATAAACCAAACCAGCCAACCAGTTCCGCGCACTCGAGGAAGACGAAGTCCAGTTCCTTGACACAATCCGCGACGAGCAAACAAAGAATGAACTTAAGCGGAAACGCGAGGATGCTGAAGAGGTTAAGGGGTTCATGGCGTATGCTTCACTCTTATATTCCCGTATCTTAGGACGATGTTCTCAAGTTCGTTGTTTTGACAGAGCGGTAGCAGCAAGGAACACCTTGCCCGACAAACCTCCAACCTCAACCTCTCCACCAAATGGTTCCAGCGCTACAGCTTCCAACAGCAAAGGAAAAGTCTCGCCAACCATGGTGAAGAAACCCACAGGCGCTAAGAACGCTCTCAAGGGCGTCGTCGTAAAGAAAAAGCCTGCTAAACCACCAGCCAGCACAACAGACTCAACCCCAGCCAAAAAGGTTGAATCGAAGGAAAAAGATCCGAAAGCCTCAAAATCAGCTGATAGTGACACCAAGAGACCGCGACTATCGTCCTCAGATTAAATTTTTGAGCTTCTCGCATGCTTTGCTTTTGTGTAATTATCATGCTTAATATACAGTGTAATATACCTTCCCATACATCTACCCATGCATTACACCACTGACCGTCCACAAAGTAAGCTATCGTCATTCTCATCTTTTCCTCACCAAAGGCGCAGGACTAGGCGTCCACCTCACTTTGTTCAAATCTTTCTCCTTTGCTTTCGACGCACTACTACTCTCCCAGCCCGCCGTCTTCCCCATCGCCTCTGCACGCCTCGTCGCCGCGGCACCCATCGTCGTCCTATCCAGTAATCGCTTCGCTGCAGGTGTGAGCGACCCAGCAGCTTCAGCTTTACGTGGCGTCCAACTCGGCGGAGGCATCGACCCTCCTTCGCCACGCGTACCACTACCACTAGTGCTGACTGGCGTCCGAAAGCCAAGTCCACTACTCGTACCTCTACCACCCATAAGCACTGCCTTTGCACGCAAGCTCTTCACAGCCTTATTGGACAACTTATGTCCAATCGTTTCCCGGGAGGTAGGTGGCGGAAGATGAAATGGCGTACTCGGCGGAGGTAATGACTTTGCATCTGCTGGGTCGTCTGAGGTTAGGACGCGAGGCGTTGCATTTAGTGTCCCCCATGTCATTAGTTGCTTTACTGCTGCTGGGCCGAGTTCTGCTGGTGTAGGGGATGGGACGGATGGGAGAAGTGAGAATCCGTTGTTTGTTGGGGATCGTGGTCGGTCTAATTGCTCAAGTATCAGTAAGAGGTTCATGAAATTGAAAGTAATTTGAATACGCACAAGGAGTACCCATAATTGCTGCGTCAATCCGACTTCGCGTCGGACTGGGAGGCTCGGACATGCCAGATGAGGTTTCACTCTGCTCCGGGAGTCGAGTGTTACCATGCTTAATTGCTTTAGGTTCTCCTCGAGTAGGCGCAGCAGGAGTACCGGGTTTGATGAGGTCATGTGGGGCAACGTCGGCGTCTGGGGGGAACATGAAAGCATTGCGGGTCTAGATAATAGTTCAGTATCTACAATAGTTGCTCTTCAATAAAATTTAAGTACCTTGAATTTCCATCCGTCCACTCCAGCAGATCGAGTGTCTTTCTTTGGAGCCATAACATCCACCACTTCCTCCTCATCCTGCTGAGAAACCACAGCGACCTCCTTCCCTTTCTCATCTCCGTCCTCCTCTTCACCATCCTTCCCGTCGGGTTCATTCCCCTCCTCCTTGGTATCCTCCTCGGTCGCGGCAGTAATAAGTCCAACTGGTTTCGGCGCCTCAATAACTCGCTTCTCCTTCACACCGGGTGCAGGCGCAGGTTCAATAAGCATCTTCTCCCTCGCCTCAAGCATCCTCTCCCTCAGCACCTCAACCCTCCTCTGAGCATCCCAAGCCCATCCATACTTCTCCCTCCTTACACGATTCTCATCCTCCAGAATCTGCGTGAAACTCGAGTTATCCTCTGAAGTGTACTTCGCCTGGAACGAATCCAGACTCATATTCGTATCATATCGTGCACGTTTTGTCGGGGGTTCACTTCCGTCTGAGGCTGTTGCGGAACGAAAGGCTAAGGGTGTATCAGACGGCCCAGCAGCCCAAGGAGTCTGCGAAGGTGTCTGTTGCGGCTGGTACCCTCTACTCGTCCCCGCAGGCGTCGCAAGGTCTTGTAACTGCCTCACAGAAGCGTTGATAAGTTGCGGGTCCTCCGTTCGTAATGCATCTAGGTAGTTATTCGTAGCGTCGAGATGAACGAGAGACGGAAAGAAGTCCCGAGCTATGATATGTGAAAGGGCTTCAGTGTATTCGTCCTCGTCGAGAACGACTTGTCGGTTAAGAGAACGAGGTGGTGGGGAAGCGTTCCTCGGAGTTTGATCCATGTTTAATATCAAGTCATAACTTGTAGACTCGGAGCTTGATATGGAAGGTGAGTGTAAGTTGCAAGTTGCATCTAGTGTGCCTTTGCACTCTGGCACTCTCCAAGGGTTGCTGCTATATTTGGCATGCAGCGATCGACGCAAAGAATTAAGTCATAAATGATCATAATTATTGAGAGAATTCCTGCATGAGAGGATAGCGATACATGATTACGTTTGAAAGAACCATACCCTATCATGACTAGGAAACGATATGAACGGAGAAATGGGGGTAAAAGGAGTTTAAGGAGTGTGGCAATACTAATAACAATCGGAACGAGGGTGTCATGGTGGTCGATAACAACTTTACTTTAGAGTGTACCAGCAATTACAAGACGGGAATTGAATAATGTGACGAAGAAATTGGTGAAGGGAATAGTTAAAAAAACCGAAAAAGGGGGGAAATAATAAAAGTACCAGCAGGAACCACGTACGATAAGCAGCCAGAGTAGAAGCATAATAAGACAGATATCCATATTATTGAACATTGGGTCCGTTGTGCTCGACTTTCTACATCTTCACGAAGCGGCGCTACCCGACCTCCAACGTCCCAGATCCTTGACCGCAAGACCTTTGCTGTTGTTGTCTGCTGAGCTTCGTCGTCCCGAAGTCACAGGTGAAGGTCTGCCAATACGGCTTTGCCCTGTTGCCGATGGCGGGCGCGGGGATTTTGCTGCCGATTTCGGCGTAGGAGGAAGAGACTTGTCAGATGCGGATACAGCAATAGCTGCCGCCGCCGCAAGCTTCTCACGGTAATTATTTGGAGGTTGCAGATACGAAGGCGGAGTTCCTGAAGGCATGCCTCTGCCAAGCGACGCTCGTTTCTGCTTCTGGACCGTCACTGCCCGCTTTAATGTGGGCAGGGCGGAATTTGAGAAGCCTGGCGGGGGTGTCGACAGGAATGTAGGAGAAGTAGGGCGAGAGGTTGGTGTCGAAAGCGAGCTCCTGGTAGAGACAGTGCTCATACTGTCCCTTCCACCTTGTGAAAGACGCGATTGTGGTCTACCTTTGCCAATATTCACGTCTCCCGACGAGTTATTCGATGTTCTCGAACTTGAGGTCCTATTTGTGCTTCTAGATGAGATACTAAAGGGTGAAGGTGATGACGTGGGACTGCTGAGACGCCGTCGGGCTTTATCTCTGTCTTTTGTTGGAGACGGCGTCATATTGTCCTCCATAATCAGCACCCAACCGGACGTATCGCCGTTGGCCGCATTTAGAGCAGCTCGCTTTTCGTATTCAATATCTGCGCTCCGCCGCTTGAACCTATCACGCTCTGGCGTCTTGAATTCAGGGATACCATTTGGTTTGATCTGGGACGTCGTTGGTGCGGAGGCCGCTTCTGCCTTCGGTTTGGAGATGCTGCCCATTCGCAGACGAGGAACACGAGTATGCAATCTCTGCTCAAGGTTCCTCACTCGAGCACGCATCTCAGAGACCATCTGCACGCCTCTGCTCTTCGATGCCGTACCAGACGACGAGATTGCTGAGCTAGAGCTCGTGGATGCCGGAAGGCGTGAAGCAAGCGTGGGACGCGGGTTTGTTGACGGAATACCTGTAGGAAGCCGCGAGGGCACGAAACTTGACATCGTCTGAGACCGAGAGATAGTAGCCGTCCGGTCGCTGGATGCCGGTGAGTTCCAGGTCGGTGGGAGCCCGGCTCGTTTCATTAGAGCCTCGTGTCCTATTGACGAATCTGGCGAAGATGACGAGGCATTTCTAGAAAGAGCGAAATTCGTGGACGATTCGGATGACGACCGGGAGAACTGTCTCGCAATCTGTTCTGTTGTGGGAGACAGGTCTGACAGCTGCAGGTCAGACGGAGGTCTTTGTTTAAGTATATTCTCGCATGAGGGAATTTGGGGTTTGAAGGATACAGTGCCCGATGTAGACGAGTCGTACGTCGATGACCTCTGTTGCGCCTTTGCATAAGAACGGGCCTGTTGCAACTGGTCCTTTAGCACGGTGATCTCGAGATTAGCATCTGTGATAGATCGAAGTCAGAAAATTTGAATGCTACAGGATAACCTCAATATCTCACCTCTTACTTCATCCTTCAAACGTTGACACTCTTCTTCAACGTTGGCCTTGTCAAGAAGTTCATGCTCCAGAAGAATCTTCTCTTCAAGAGTTTTCGCATACTTTGCCTCGACATCGGCCAAGCTTGAGCTGACTGCACGTTCATTCCGTTCCAGGTCGTCATTTCCCATCTCCAACTCCCGCATCTGAACCATGACCTGCTGATGCGTCTGCCGCAATTGATCAAGCTCGCGCTGCAGCGAGGCCGTTGTTGTGTTGTGTGAAGTCTGGAGTGCCACGAACTTTGCCTGTGGATATTAGACGCGTCGTAAGTCGCGAATCCCCTAAACCACGAACACGGAGGAGGACGACGACGTACCTTCCACTCGTCACGCTCCGTCTCAGCCCGCTCTACCTTGACCATAAGGTCCATCTTCGCCTTCTCTGTCCGCGCCAGATCACTCTCGAGCTCTGCCTCGAGCTCCCTACTGCTAACCTGGAAGTCATCCAACTCTGCCTGGGTTTCACGGACGATGTCAGCCTCTTCCAAGTACTTTTCCTTCCAGTACTTGTAGTCCGTCGATGAGTAGCTGTTGAATGATGAAGATATGATAAGCACGGGGCGCTGTATGTCCGTAATAAGGTAAAGGGGCAGAAGGAATAGACATACTCTAACTCATTGGCGTCATTGGAGGACATGACTCGATCTCTGGCGAGGGGATCTGATGCAGACAGCACGGCTGTCATGCAGGCAGGTCGGGGCTACCGACGCGCGCTGATGGGAGAGAGAGGGCAAGCTTTGGAGAACAGGGGAGGCGATTAGTGGAAAGAGGGGAAGTCGTGTCGTGCGTACAGGCCAGCTACGCGGGACCACGGTTACGAATGCAGCACACTCACTCGCAGCATGTTCGTTCGACGCGGCCTAATGTGGAATACTCCGCCCTTTGTTTATGTAAGCTCTCAAAGCAAACTCAAACACAAACTCAAAAACAAAGCAGGTAAAAAATAAGGATGTCTATATGCCATTAGTACTAGAGTAACTACCTAACGTCCCAGAACAAGCGCTCATTATGCACAATTTTCGACTACCTCAAAGCATGAACGTCAACGGGTTCTCCAAGTAGCCCTTGAATGCAGACAGCCACCTTGCACCCACTGCACCATCCACAGTCCGGTGGTCGGAGCTCAGCGTCACTTTCATCAACGGCACAGCCTTGAAGCCTTTCTCCTCCTCTGGCGCAGGAACAAGCGTCGGCTGTGTCGTACCAACTGCGAGGATACATGACTGCGGTGGGTTGATAATTGCCGTGAAGTGGTCAATGTCGAACATCCCCAGGTTCGACACCGTGAATGTCCCGCCCTGGAGTAATAAACTTTAGTAGACAGCTTAAGAAAATCTTGGATAAATTAGACATACCTGATACTCGTGTGGTTGAAGTTTCCCGTCGCGAGCCTTCTTTGCAAGTGCCTTCGCCTCAGCTGAGATTGTAGCCAGACCTTTGCTGCCAACATCCTTGACTATTGGTGTAATGAGACCGTTGGCCGTTGCAACAGCGACAGAAATGTCCACTTTCTTGTACCTAAAATAAATACAATATCAATAATTATATCATGCAAAGTTGGTCATATGCAATAACTCACTGTCTAATCGTTTCACCTAACCAGGCCGAGTTTGCCTCAGGTACATCAGCGAGAGCACACGAGACCGCCTTTAAGATGAAGTCGTTCACGCTCAATTTCGCAGCCTTGTCCTTTTCGCCCAGAGACTTGTTGAACACCTCGCGCAGTTTCGTCACCTTGCTCATGTCGATAGACACTGTTAAGTAATAGTGAGGCAACTCCTGCTTTGATTGTGTCAGGCGTGCACCGATGGTACGGCGCATATTCGAGACCGGGATATCAATGTAATCTGCAGAGGGAGCAGAGGGAGCAGCGGGAGCGCCAGCGGCCGCTGCCTCAGCTGGAGCTTTGAATTTCTCAACATCCTCTCGGAGGATGCGACCGTTGGGACCAGTGCCCTTGACCTTGGAGAGAGGAATTCCGCGCTCAAGAGCAAGCTTCTTCGCAACAGGCGAGGCGAAGATACGATCGCCTTTCGGTAATTCCTCTTTCTTAGGCTCCTCCTTGCGCGGCGCAGGTTTCTCCTCGGTCTGAGGCTTTGGAGGTACCGGAGCTGTCTCCTCCTCGGTCTTGGGCTTTTCAGCCTTTTCTTGTGACGCCTGCTTCGCGAAATCCTCTGCACCGGAGAGATCATCGCTTTCCTCAGCAATGACCGCAATGGGGGATCCAACGGTGATGTTTTTTGAACCATCGGGTGCCTAAATTAAAGTAAATAACGCGTCATTAATTCAAAAATTGTAAGAAATACGTACAATGATTTTTGCCAAGATACCCTCGTCCTGAGCTTCAACGTCAATGGTTGCCTTGTCCGTTTCCTGACCATTGCCAGCTGTCAGTTGTATGTGCGGTAGAGAAAAAGAAGGAGTAATACTGACGACTTCCAGGAGTACGTCACCAGCCGAGAAGGACTCGCCCTCCTTCTTCTTCCAAGCAGAAATGCCACCCTCGCTCATCGTCGGGCTCATGGCGGGCATTGCAAACTTGGATAGCGCATTGCGACGCGCTGAGTAGTGAATACCTGAGAAATTGCCAAGTTAGCACGGGTGTATACATTGAAATGGGATGAAAGTGCGCACTCCTGGAGAGGATACGAGCAAGAGAAGACGCCATTGGGGAGGCTGGTGGACGGGAGCGGACAAGGTGGAAAGACGGCTACAAGACGTATTTTTCGTGTCGCGCTGTTGGGGATTGGATGCTTGCCAATATCGGAACCAGGCCGGACTTTCGGCTCATCCCGCGTCATATCCGCGCTTACTTGCTTTCCTTCACCTCTGCTGTAATTATTATTTCAATGTCACCTCCAGACTTACTATTACCTGGCCAACCAGTCCCGGTCACTGAGCCTCTCCCTCATGTCGGAGATGGCCTGTATCTCAGAGACGGTATCATTCGGGCTGGTGTTATGGGTACTCCCCAGCTGATTGGTTCTGTATGCCTCAATTTGCTCCTGAACAACTCTTCTCCTGATTGACCTATCTATCCTGCTAGTCAATATTAATACAGAAGAGGAGACCACATCCGCCTGCACCCAACTCCGTAGTTCTTGGAACAATAACGCGTCTTTCTCCTCTTCAAGCTATAATCTCAATTACCGTCGTTGACGGGATGCCCTTGTCTCTTGGCGAAGAATTTACAGGCGTAATTCGTTCGCAAGATGTGCGAGCGACTGAAAAGGACAAGGTCAAACTCGCTGACTGCTTTCGTGGAGGCGATGTGGTAAAAGGCATAGTTGTAAGTAGGCCGCACTTTATTCACTATAACTTGAATATATTCAAGTCAATAACTTCAATGCTGTTCCTATCTTATGCAGATATCACTGGGCGATGCAAGAAGCTACTACATCACTACAGCTCGAAATGACCTCGGTGTCATATTTGCAACAAGCGAAGCAGGCGCTACGATGGAGCCATTATCATGGCAGGAGATGCGCTGTCCCAAAACCAACAAAATCGAAAAGCGGAAATGTGCAAAGCCAGAAGGGCTATAGATATATCTTTCTCTGCACCATCATACTTCGCGATGTATTATAGCGGCCCGCCCTTGTCTTCAGGCCGAACTTCTGTCGGGAGAATACCACAAGTTTATTACTGCATCCGTCTTAGAATCCGGTCCGGCTCTGTACGGCCATGTGTGATCTTCGTCGAAGTCAATACCGTGCTCCTCGTCGGGTACGGTACCGAACACAAACGAACTGCGATGAAGTTCGTAGCCGACATGAACGAACTCGTGACCTTTTTGCTGGCGATCCGAAATATTTCCCATTTTCTATATAAGAAAGAAACCCGAAGCCCCGTCGGGTACGGAGAACGTCGCAAGTCAGTCAGGAGCCAACATGCTTCGAGCTACAATAATCACCATTGCACTTGCTTGTTTTGCTGCTAGTCAATCAACGACAACTGACCCAGCAGGCTCAGTACCGACCGTTGGACCTTCTCACAAAACAGGTCAGCTACCAGCTTTAGGGTATGTGTACTTCGCATCTCCCTTTCGATCTACGCTCATATAAATGTTCCGATGAAGATGGAACTCCTGGAATGCTTATGGGTGCAGTGAGTATTTAAGCGAGAATGTCCAATATTTCCCGCTAATAAACGGAATTAGACATTAATGAACAGAAGATTTTGTCTGCAGCTCAGGACATCGTCTCCCTTGGTTTGAAAGATGCAGGATACGAATACGTCAACATCGACGTATGCATCCTCTTCCCATTCTTCAATACACAGAAGGCAAACTTTTGTTGACAGGACTGTTGGGCAACCATGTCGCGCGATCCCAGTACTGGCAGGATAGTACCAGACCCGACAAAGTTTCCAAGCGGAATAGATGGTCTAGCTGAACAGATACATACTATGGGACTGAAAATGGGTATATACAGGTTCGGCCTTTTGGTTCAGTAGGAATGGCAAAATAGGATGTTAATTCTCATCCAGCGATGCTGGGACTGCGACCTGTGCAGGATTTCCGGGTTCGCTTGGGAACGAGACTATTGATGCGCAAACGTTCGCTGACTGGGGCATTGATTGTAAGTTTCTCTATCATTTTCTTTCGAAAACAGGGCTTATTCTGTTGCGAACAGATTTGAAGTATGGTAGGACCTGATTCTTACTTTTCTGAAATATACTCGTTCCTAAGAGGTATTACAGACAATTGCAATGTACCAGCAAACTGGACAGATAGTGGGGTACGTGCTATTCACCGTTGTTGGAAAATTATGCGTGTTAACTTGCCTGATCGAAGGTACCACCGAACAACGATTATTAGTAAGTGCATACTGCGCGAGAGTGGAGCGCATTATTCATGTTTCTCTATTGTAGTTATTCCAATACGGGGATCAGGTATCGTCGGATGGCGTACGTTCCATAGTCCCTTCCATGTACATCAAGTAACTCCTTACTCTTCTATTCTAGCGGCGCTCTTGCGTCCGTCTCGAGGCCTATTCTTTTTTCATTATGTGAATGGGGAATTGACAATGTCTGGGACTGGGGAGGGCGAGTAGTGAGTAATATAGATTCTTTGCTTACTACACGCTGTCCATAGTCTAAAATTCGCTCGTTCTAGGGTCACTCGTGGCGTATGTCTGGAGACGCGACTCCGGCATGGTGAGTATTGTATGTTGAGCCGGAAGATCTCGTCTGATATATTCCTCAGGTCGTACATCACCGAGATCATTGCACTTAATGTCCAGCATCTTGACTCAATCCAGTTCTTCGCCCACAATGACATGGATATGATGGAGGTTGGAAATGGTGCGACCTTTGTTCACTTGAAGAGAACGGTGGTGCTAAAGGAGTTCTTTAGGTAATTTAACCATTGAAGAGCAGCGGACTCACTTCGCTGCCTGGGCTTTCTTGAAGTCACCTATTCTCCTCGGAACAGATGTACGTCAACTTCGACAATACATAACATCGCTTTCCTAACGGATCCAAAATTGTAGCTGAGCCAGCTAAGTGCAGACCAAGTCGCCATCATTAGTAACAAGGAGCTACTCGCATTCTCGCAAGACGCATCAGTCGCAGAACCAGCAAGACCATTTACCTCCGACACATCGTCCCCTCCACAGTTCTTCAGTGGCAATTCGTCAGCTGGGACACACGTCTTCATCATAAACACGGGCTCTAGTACACAGACGATGAGTTTCAATTTCGCTGACGTCGAAGGACTGGAGGGTGGACAGAGTTATTTGGTTCATGATATGTGGAGTGGCGAGGATATTGGAGAGTTCTCTGGAAGCTTTTCGACCAGTGTTGCATCGCATGATACGGCTGCATTGAGTATCATTGGACATACGCACGTCCGTAAGGACTTTATTGGACACTCGCACTGAGTGAAGACATTACTGGACACACGCACGTCTGTAAAGTGTAACGACGAAGGTGTATGTAGTAATGCACAAACTAGGCTGTACAGAGTAGTACCAGCATGTAACTTGAAAAATGAAATTTGTTTCTTGAAGTGTCGATCGTGTGTCGATCCGAAATTGAGCCTACAGTCATCACAAAAATAAACATAGTCTTATAATGTATTATATGCAAATGTAATGTCTAAAATATATAAAATATATAGAAGTCTGCCAGGTGTCCATATATTGGATTTTAAGGCTAAGACATATATTTTCAAGATATGTAAGAGTTGTGAAATCTATAATACTTCTAATGATTGTCAGAGTATACAAGACTTGACAGACAATATAAGCCATTATAAGCTATTGTTAGAATTGATAGATAATAAAATAAATATTGTTTTAAATATTACTTGCACTTTCTAAACACTGTTATAGAAGGAAAAAAATTGTATAATATTTATTTAAATGTACTAAGGATACAAGCAAATTCCTTTAACTAACCATACTACCTTCCTCCTTTGACTCATAACAGTACTGCCCTTTTACCATTATCAACTGTCATCTTGTTGCTTGCTAGAGTCGGCTGGATGCTTAGATTCTCGTTCTGTCAAACTAGTGAGAAAAAGCCATGCCAGAACATTATGGTAATACAGGTCGACCGAACTGGACACGTGATGTATGGATAGGGGGGACAGGGAGCACGCCGATCAGACAGGCCGTGGAGGTGATAGTAACAGGATGTGTGAGCGAACGCGTGCGGGCGTCGTGAGGGACCAAGGAAGCCTGCAAAGGCTGTATAGTGAAACACAGTGCAGGCAAGATGTGCAGCCGGGTGCAGAGGGCAGGAGCAGAAGAACGGTAGCAAGAGAGGGTGGAGATGGATAGACTGTAATGACCGCAATTCAGCACAGGGGCAATATGAGAGAGTAGTGCATTGGGGCGATCATCGGACATACAGGGGTTGATGCGTCCACAGGCAGCATTGCATCACATCACACAGTTCGTTTGGGGGGCACAGTCCAGTCCACAAGGGAGAGTGCGAGAAGAGTAGGCGAGTGTCAGCGAGCAGTCAAACATAGTAAACAGAATAAAAATGAAATAGAAATAGAAATAAAATAATGAGTCAATGACCGAAGTGAAGAGACTGGGAGAAAGGGGCCAGCTGCGGTGAACAGCAGGCAGGGCGCAATGCAAAGAAAGGAAATCTGAAAGACACGTACGCACATGGATGTGTCGTTGGACCATGTTGTCGACGTCGGTCGAGCAGTACTCGTGCAGCTTCACATGGTGGCTGGCCTGTTCCTCTGCAGTGGTGTCATCATTGTTGGCGTCATCAGCCATCGGCATCGGGAGTTGCCCTCGGGGCGGTCAGGGCGCGTCAGACGAAGAAGGGAATCGACATGCCGCCATTGACGTCGAGCAGGAAGGTAGTGTGCCAAAAATAGAGCAGGTAGGTGTGTGAGAACAGGGACGCAAGATACGCAACAGAACGGCCTCGAACGCACCGAAGATGATCACTGCTACGTCCACAGAACACAACACT